CGAGGTGGTTGCGCTCGTGAAACGGTTGTGGTGGGTTGTGGCTCCATGGCAGCCAGTAACCGTTAGCGATGACAGAGAGGATGAGGCTGCTGGGGCACCACGAGCTCCACCATGCAAGGGTTGCGTGAAGCCGTCCGCGCATTTGCGTGACAGATTTGTCAGTAACGGCGAACTCGTACGGATCTCCGTCGCCTAGCGTCTCGTATCATGTTATCTCTGCATGTTTGCCGAGTGACAATGGCGCAGAGGTGTTAGAATGCAAGCCATCACGCCTCAAGGAATGTGCATGCGATAACGCGTGCGTAGACACATCAACAAGTCGTAATCACCGTCTGTCACTCATGGTGTCTGTGTGACGCGGTTCGCCTCTCTCTCCCCCCCCCCCCCTCTCTCTCTCTCTCTCTCTCTCTCTCTCTCTCTCTCTCTCTCTCTCTCTCTCTCTCTTTCTCTCTCTCTCTCTCTCTCTTTATCTCTCTCTCTTTCTCTCTCTCTATCTCGCTCTCGTTCACTCTTTGCATTTGCTCTTGCTTTCCCTTTATCCATGACATGCCCTTTGGCCTGTGGCCAAGATAAAGGCTACCGATTCCAACGAATGGTGTGGCCGTTTGCTCGGGTTCGTGTGGGTGCTTGCCATTTTGTCGCTCTCTGGGTTTTTTTTTTTTTTTTTTTTGTCATTTAAAGCCAAGATCAGAAAGTACTTTTTTAAAATAAAGCCCTTATAAGAAACGGGCCACACATAGCCATGCTTCCTAGCATGCATCCGCCCCGCACCGCGTGGGCCAATTTATGGGACCAAAGGGCTTTCTATTCCCTCTCCCGCCTCTTAGGCCTATAGCCTAATCATCACCTCTAACTAGGGCTTGGCTCATAGCCACCGCAAACCCCTTTGGGTTGCCCACGGTCAACGCACTTGACGTGCACCGTGCCACGGGCGCTAAGGCGCAAACGCTCAAGGACCATCCCTACACCACGGGTGCGGGTCCTTGGCCACCATTGCCATTCCTCAGACAGCCACTTGCCACATGCCCCGGCTGGCCGCAGCGGAAGCATGTCCCACGGAAGCCGTGGAAGCTCCCCATAGGCGGGCCGCGCTTGGGGTTGAACGCCATGGGCCCGCGACCTCCGTCGCGGTAGGAGCGAGCGTGCGCACCCTCCGCGCGATCCATTGCTGCCACGTCGGCGACGGCTTGCTTGAACGGGCGGGAGGTAAGGAGGCTATTCTGCTGGTACATCTTGAACCGCTTGGCGACGCGATCGTCGGTGGCGTCCTCGACTTGAAGCATGTCGTAGCGCTCCGAAATATAGTCGAGGGCGCTCGCGACCATTTCAAGTCCGCCCGCCATGTCGCCGCGCTGCAGTTTGTACTCCGCATGCTTCAGGTAGGCCCTCAGGTCCTCCAGGGGCTCCACTTTCGCTCGCACAATTGGGTCGATGAAGTTTGCCGCCGAAAAAGTGGGGTTAGTGCAAGGGAGGGGAGGGAGATTTTCCATGGGGGGAAAATTTGTTGCGTTGTTCGGAGCCTCACCGGCGTCGTCATCTGAGTTGTCGGAGACGTTGTTGCCTTCTGCAGCTTCAGGAGCACTGGTACCGCCTCCTTGTCATGGCGGCGCGTTGATGGTCCTTTTGCTCCTTTCTCCTTTTTTGCAATTTCGTTTTTAGCCGATGCAGATGCTGCAGGTTGTGTAGTTTCGGCAGCGATCGCGCTAGCAGGGTGCTGCTGTAATAGGGACAGGAGGGCCTTGACTTGGTCCTGGGTCAATGCCTCGGTCAAGGCCCGGTCAGCCGTCGCATCAGACGAGGCAGCCGTACGGCGCCTCTGGCGCTGACGCGACGGCCGGCCGGAGGCGTGTGCCGCTGGCGCGTGCTCCGCGTCCGTGGCGTGTGTCGCCACGTTCGCCACTGGCGCCACAGGAGCCACTGGCGCCACAGGCGCCGAAGGGTGCTGGTGTCGAGAAAGCTAGGCAAAACGAGAAACAGGAAAGAGGGCTTTTCACTAGCAGCAGCAGGATACATATACGAAACCCTAAATCGGGTTGTACTCGCTATAGAGTACCCCACTGCAGGCTAGACACACATAACATTCTGACACACCCCCATAGTCAAAGTGGGGTACAATCAACACAACAAGCAGGCAGAGCAGTAGTTCACAATTATAAGCAGCGCTAGAGACTATCACAGAGAGCAAGTGAGGAGGAGGAGAAACTGTGGGGCCGAGAAGATGAGAGACGACGGCTGAAGCTGCAGACACACGGGCAACAGAAGTGCGCAGCACTGTCGCTACCAGGCTAAACCCGGACTACACGGCGACAGGCTCTGCTGGCTCGCTGTGCTCCCACGAGTGCTCACACTGTGGCTACCGGGCGCAGAGCCCCGGACTACTCAGGCCACAGGGGGTCGTGGCTCTCTGGACTACCAGGAGTGCTCACACCGTGGCTACCGGGCGCAGGCCCCCGGACTACTCAGGCCACAGGGGGTCGTGGCTCTCTGGACTTCAGGCGCTGCGGACGACAAGTCGGCTACCTCCGGTCAACCTCCCCCAACTGTTCCACACCCCTTTCACACACTCCCTGCTGAACCACTAGCACCGCTCACACGCCACCCCCCTCGTACCACTCCGACGGCTCCAACACATCCACCCCCCTCAGCGGCAGCTGCAGCAGTGGGAGACGGAGGAGGAGGAGGAGCAGGGGACGGCTCACACACACGGCACCCCCATACTCTCCACCCCCAAACCCTAACACAGGAACGCGGGCAGCAGCGGGGGTGGGGCGCGGTCAGAAGCTCGGGGCGGCGTGCGGCACAGGGGAAGACGGTACGGGCCGCGCACGGGCCTGGCGCAGGCCGGACGAACCGCGCGCGGGCTGCCCGAGCCGCGCGCGGGCCTGGCGCAGCCCGTACGGGCCGCGCGCGGGCCTGGCGCAGGCCGTACGGGCCGCGCGCGGGCTGTACGGGCCGCGCGCGGGCCTGGCGCAGCCCGTACGGGCCGCGCGCGGGCCTGGCGCAGGCCGTACGGGCCGCGCGCGGGCCTGGCGCAGGCCGTACGGGCCGCGCGCGGGCCTGGCGCGGGCCTGGCGCAGGTCGCGCGGGCCGCGACGGGCGACGGGGGGCGACGCGCGGGTCCCCGGGGGCGCCGCGACGGGCGACGGGGGGCGACGCGCTGATCGACGGGGCAGCAAACCGCCGCGCACCTCGGGGCGCGCGGCGGGCAGGGCAGAAAACCGCCGCGCGCGCTGCGCGCTCCGAGCGCACGGCAGTGAGAAAACGGCGCGCGCCCGGGGCACGCTACAGGCAGTAGAGCAGCGGAAGCATCGGGTGGGGCCCACCCACAGGATCGACCCAGGAGGGTCGACCTGCTCTGATAGCATGTCGAGAAAGCTAGGCAAAACGAGAAACAGGAAAGAGGGCTTTTCACTAGCAGCAGCAGGATACATATACGAAACCCTAAATCGGGTTGTACTCGCTATAGAGTACCCCACTGCAGGCTAGACACACATAACATTCTGACAGCTGGGGGTGCTGCTCGGCGTTTTTGTTGACTTCCAGCCCGCCCAGCAGCACGTCCACGGCGGTAGGGGCGGACGTTTCGCCGTCTGCCCGGCGCTTGTTGCGACGCTCGCCCGTCGTTTCACGGGCATTACAGTCGTTGTCGGAAATTATCGGGTCGTTGGCGACGATGTTGTCAGCACGGTTAAGCGTCGGCGTCGTAGCCATCGTTGAGCGGTTTTGGTTAAGGATGTCGGCTAATAAAGTTGAAGGGGAAACGCCTCTAGGTAATGAGCGAGTTCTCGCCAGCTTGAACGGTAAAACTAGAAGTGAGCTCGAGAAAGTGGAGTTGCATGAGCCGTTGGAAAACGAGAGACGTGGGTGGAGGGAAATGAGCTCCAACCCACGATTTGTAGTTGGAGAAGGGCGTTTAGCGCGCTTCGACGATGCCAAAACATGCGTTACAAGCAGCTGCGCTTTCGAAATACGTAATTTTGAAAAACACTTCGTGTGTTTAAAAATTATAATGTTATATAAGACCCGGGTCTTAATACATGGTATTTTTTTAAGAATGTATAGAACGAATTCATGTTTGTTGTGTATGTTTGTGTCAGTTGCACCTTGCAGCTCGGCAATGAATATGGATGCGGGCGCGAATGTCTCCACCCTCAAGTTTTTGCCAGGTGGCATCACTCTAGCCACTGAGATCACCACATTGTCAGTGGCGAAAAGAGCACAATTTGACCACGTTGACTGCGCGATACCCACAAACAGTCATTGGAAGGGGAGAAATTTAGTTCTCTCTCCGAAATTGCTTCGATTTCATTACAAAAAAAATGACAAATGCTACATTCTTCCAGAGGATGGGAGGGTCTTATAATGATTGCACTAAAAAAGGGGGGTATAACTAAAACGACTCATATAGAGTACCCCCCCACCCCTCCCGTATTAGGGCGTGTTCCTACGCTCTTATCAGGCTTGCCTGGTAAAATTCGCGAGAGATTTAGGGTTTAAGGGAATTTCAATGTGACGCGATGCGAATGTGATAGGGGGTTGGCCTGATAGGGGGCCGTAGGAACACGCCCTTATAGACCCGGGGGTCTACAACTGGAGGGAGTTATGTTATTATAACTGCATACAAGTCTAGCTATAAGTATAATGGTGTTACATTTCTGTTAGGTGGTGCACCTCTTGGTTGTTCCTTGTATAACTCTCTCGTCACTTCTCAATGTCAGCCCTCTTTTGGCCAACTCTCTCTCCTAAACCCTAGTCTCTACTAGCTACTATTTTAACAGTCTTATATCCGGGGGTTTACGGTAGATGTGCTCGATGAAATTGTTTACATGCAGTACGTACAAGTTACATTTCATAATTTGACATTTGTACCGTACAGCCTGTGTACACCTGCAGAGCAGCTTCAAATTGCTCTCCAATGCATTTCACTGTGCTCTACACATGGATGCATTTTAACAAGGACCAGGTAATGAACAGACATTTTCACAACACTAGTACCGTATCTAAGAATCCTCCTTAGTACCAGTACCATGTGCCACGTCCACTATCCCTGGGCCCAGACCAGCCCCAGGGCTAGCCCCCTCCCCAGCTGCACCAGCATCCGGGGGGTGCTTCGCAATCTCCCGGACCTCCTTTGCCCGAGCCACATTCTCCTGGCTTGGGCCCACACCGGACTGAGGCAGGTCGAGCCCGAGCCTCCTGGCTGCCGAGGATTGGGAACTTGCAGTGTTACCAGCAGCTGCACTGTCATCAGCGTTACCACCGTCTTTGTCAGGAGCCCGGGCCTCCCTACCAGCAGTGCTGTCTGAGCCAACGTCTGCTGCAACCCCATACTGCTTGGCTAGAGCCGCCTGCTCCCGCTCCTTCTCTCGAAACTCCTGGGTAATCATGTTGCTCTTAGCTCTGTAAGGTTGGATGGATGGATGGTTGGTGAAGTAAGTGCGGAAACCGGAGGCTTGGGAAGATCCCAAGGTGAAGACGGAGAGTATGCGGTCGTTGCTGTTGCTCTTCGCGACGTTGCTGCGTCCTGCTTCTGAGGTACCACCAGTGGTGGTGAGATAATAGGCGGAGCTGTGCCGTGTCACCACAACTCCTCCTCTGAGCGCATGAGGGAAGTAGGGACCTCCGCGTGCGGAGCGAAGAGATAGCAGCGACGCAGCTGCTTTCCGTATAGCCATGGCTGCTCTAACACCCACAGTTTGGCGTCACGCACGGAGCAATCGGGTGTTCTCCTGGTGTGCTCCCTGCGTATCTCTGGTGGGTTCCAAGACAAAGGTGTCTGCAGAGTCTGCAGTGCTTGCAGTGTCTCCAGTTCCTCCAGTGCCAGCAGTGTCGCCAGTGTCGCCAGTGTCGCCAGTGCCGCCAGTGCTGCCAGTGCCTTTAGTGTCTCTGGGATATGCTTACAACTTAAATCTTCACAAAGCGCTTCCTCTATCTGCAACGCCTCGTACGTCTAACCCGCCTCGAAATCTCGGATCTTGCTTACATGGGCTCCGAGAGTCAAGGAAGGTGATCTTACATGGTCATCGAGCATCCTGCTTGCTGGTGCATCTAGCCGCGATCTGAGCTCATTATTCCCCATCAGTCGCCGCACCTGGCTGGGCTAGGGAAATGTCGACGGGAATCCACGTCGCCTTTTTCGCCATGGCGCTTCTAAGTGACATGCGCTTGGCTTGATGCCACGTGGCAGCATAACATCGATGGAGCCAACAAGACCGCTCGGGTCGGTCAGTCAATTGTTGGAAACCCAGGTAAAGTGTTGGGGATGTAGTGTACTAAATCCCTTAAGCTAAAAATACAACATTCATGGTGTAGACTCGTTTGTCCTAAATGATCACGACTACAGGCAAATTTTGCATGGTTCACAAGATCCTTGTACATCATACCTGAAATATTTATCAGTTCACGAAGAGTTTTCGATAACATTTTTTTGGACGTAATGGCTCAAAATATATGCTAATGTATAATAAAAAGGTATGTAATATTGGTAACTTGTTAGCATAGAACTTCTCCTCTCTAGAAATATTCTTTATCTCTTCATTTTATTGATTTTTATTCACAAGGTTATTTCTAAAGTCGTGAGGTAATTCTCCTGGTTACTCATAACGAGTTTCTGTATGATTCTCCCGCAGCTTTTTTGATGAGCATCAAGAAGTTAAATGTGCGGACGGACTCGTCAAAATCCAGGGTCGAGCTCCCATACAGCCCAGCATTCAACAGGGTTCCAAGGCCAGCAAAAAACGATCAGTCAGGCCTTTCTGACCTCAGGGCCAGGAATTAACGAGGTTGGATTGACGATGGCTCTCGATAGGGAGGATGGGAGGCCTCCTTACTATGCCTCCTGGCAGGAGATTCCTGTCCGCCTAACGCGAGGCAACCGACTTCTCCACTTCGTGCTCTATACTGTGGACGGTGCTGCAGTCCTCGCCGCAGTTGGCGTTGAACGAAGTGTACGTCACATGATCTTCACCATCCCTGAGACTTTCAGATACCCCATCGGGGCGAAGAAGGTTCCAAAATCCAAGTACCGTACACGAAGGGAACTAGAGGGGTGGCTTGAAAGCCTTATTCGCCTGACTCCTCCTTCCAAACGTCGAAGTAAGTTGATTAACCTCTGAAAGGTTGTAAGACACTGAAGGTCCTTGAACTGTCATTAACCAATTCTTCCCGCAGGACTAGCGGCGAAGGACGAGTATGCGGCAGGATGCTTGTCGGTACAGAAAGCCAGCCTGGTTGTCAAAGATGAGCCTGCAAATGAAACAGACTGTGCAACGTATTGCTCCTCGAGTCCTGAAGGGAGCTCTGTAAAATTTAGCGACGAAGACGTGGCGGTAAGTTTGACATGGCTTTTTTGCTCGCAAGATATGAAAGGTCGCCTTGTTCTCATTGTTGGACGTCTCTGCCTTCAGTTGTGGAGCTTCGTGGAGGCGACCTGCAACGGACGCACGAGAATTGCGTTTTTCAAGCGCCTGATATACGAGAAAGACCTCAATCCTAGAGCGAGCCTGCAATGGTTCGAAAATTCAAGGGATTTAAATGTTCACTATGGCGTGGAGGTAGCTGACGCTCACGAATACGAGCTATTTTTTACGTCGCATTCTGACACTGTTCCAATCGAAGCTGTCAAGAGAGTGGTGACGGTTCTATCCCAAGCGCACTTTGCCGAGCGCTCAGCAAGTCTGCTTTCCCGCGAGAAAAGTAGCTGCTTTATGTGTTACCGGAAAGTGGATGGGAGTAAAATTCGTCGAGTTCGGATTGAGAGCTTCCAAGGTTACTACTCTCAAAGTATTTTGGTGCAGGCTTGCTGTGATGAGGCTGCTGAGGTGCTCGAATCACGAAATGACAAGCTTAGCCGGAGATTGACGAAACCGCGGACGCAGAGGGTTCCGAAGCAGAAATTGCTGGCGTGCCTAAACAGTCCTGGGGTGAAATGCTCTTCAATGCAGTCTTTCAACTTACCTGAATCTGACATGGATGCTGACGAAGCTGATGGCCGAGTTGAGGATGAGGGTCAAAATCAGCCTGGGGAGCCTGCGAGGACGGAAAAGAAGGAAATATGGGACGCATTCGTGGGAAGTATGGTTGAGGTTTTGAATGATGACGTGTCAAGACTTTGTTGGCGGCCGGCTGAAGTCGTTTGCTCAAGGCCGCTGGAGGTCAAAGTGCGCTACTTCACTTCCAAAAGCAATTCCGCCGAAGTTAAGGAGGTAAGGCAGGATTCAGAATTGTTTGCTGCTGAATGTGATCCAGTGTCAATCTAAGATGCACCTGCTTTGCAGGAATGGGTCCTTTTGAGGCAACTGGGAGGTGCTGACAAATATGGCTTCAGACATTCACATCGGAACTGTGTTCGACCTTACCAGCTCCATAATTGCGATGGGTCCTTATTTGAGGACGGAGAGCTTGTGGATGTCAGATGGTGTGACAGATGGTGGGAGGGCATTGCTGTTCATTCATGGACAAACGGCTTTGTTGCTGTGCACCTGCTTGGTATATCATTTTCAAATTCAGCAGTTGCCAACTAAGCACCACCTTCTCACTCATAACGCAAATGCAGGTCCTGGAAGTATCAAGTTTGTGCATAAGAAGTTCCTTCGACAATCACGGGAATGGGTGAGGGGTCAATGGGAGGCCTTAAATTCGCAAAAGCCGTTTGCCAACCAAGCTGCAAGTATGCACTTGGACCCAGAGCTGAAAAATCTGTCCGAATTTCCTCCCAGAGCCATTGCAGGTGAGCCTCAGATCATATTTGTTTTTTTTGGTCCAATGTCATCTGTGATGCATTTTGACTTGTTACCAGTGTTTTTTCTTCTTCTTCTTTTGTGAGGCAGGCCCAGACACTTTGAATAACACAAGAATATCCCCCAGCTTAGGCTACCTTCAGTACCTTCGTGAAATTGTTCTGGAAGCTTTGGCGAGAGAACAATCATGTGACTCTGAGCAGGCGCATGGAGTTGACCTGGGTGTGAAAGAAGGTTTGGAAAGCGCAGAGCCAATGATGGTCTTGACGTCTCAGGAGAAGTTGATACCTGAGTCCACGAGCAGTGTGGGTGACGCGGTCACTAAACAAGCGTGGGAAGAGTACAGCTCATGCACGCCAGAAGGGAGCTTGTCATCAGACTTGGCAACAAACCATAACACTCCAACGGGTATGTTTGTGAGCTTTTAATTCTTGCTATGTTGGGTAAGCAACCTGACCCGTCATGATGTTTCGTATTTTCAGAGGCCACTGTGAGAACCTCATGCCAGGAAAGCCAATTAAGGCCTTCAACATGCAAGGACAGCAACCTTGTTCAAGAAGCAAAAATCACACAGGACATGCTGTCCAATTGTTCCGAGGACAGTTTTCAGCACAATAAAGACCGAGACATGGTTACATTGGAAGTCTCCAGCTCACAAGACTTCTCTGAGCCTGTTGGGTGCGCAAGACCCCGCACTGGGTGTGCGGGCTCCATTACACTGCAGCAGAGCACCATTCTTGCAGACCATCCGGTGTCACCAAACTGGTTGCAGATAGGCCTGTCTACAATTCCTGGAATTTCTCCTCCCACTTCTCAACCACAGCACCAGTCAGGCCCACAGCTTCAGGCCATTTCAGAGACTGAATTCAACAAAGTTTCATTGCCTAAGGTCGAGCCTGGTTTCTTGGCACTAGACAGCTGCATGCCTGCGGGGTCATGCTATCAGCCACCCTGTGCCATGGAATTCAGCGACTGTTCCACTCAACCACGGCCTCCGTCATCATCCCCACCTGAAACTCCACCACCGCCTCCATATCCGCCACCACCGTCTCCCTCGGAAGACACTGCATGTCCGGATTTGCAGTTTTTGTAGCCATCACGTGGATATGCCGTATTTAACTTTGAGTCCTGTCACAGTAGTTGCTGGAATGTCCATAGTGCCATTGCTGGGGGTTGCGCTTGTAGCGTCTCTCTGTAAAAAAGGCTTTGGTACATCTTGTATTGTGTGATTCTTGCAGCGGGTATCGCAGGCGACGCGGGGGATTGGGTGGTGTTGTGTCCGCTGGCCTTTTTGGGTCCCATGAAGTTTCACAGTTCACTCTTCTGGCTTGTCCTTGAGAACCCAGTCCACTTCATGTGGTGACAAATCTCCCTGCGGGTTGGCTCAATGAGACGAAGCCACGTGTCAATGTAAATTACGACCACAAGCATTTCTTTGAGACGTATTCACGAAACCCTTGGAATTATAAATTCGCTCTCTGTTTCGCCTAATGGGATACATATGAGTGAACTCTGCTTTGACAAGATGCATATTAGTGTCTTTCTGCTTTGTGTTCGTAAAGGGCACGTGCGCGTACGATCAAGTTTCTAGGACGCGCCTTCATTTTCTTGTGCTGGTTCGTTGACATCCATCGCACATTGTGGCGGCGGGGCGAGCAGAATGCCATTTGGAAGAAAACTGCCGCAATGGCGTGGCGGTGGCCTCAGAAGTTTACTGCTCTTCTTTCAGTCTGAACTAGCTCTCTGAGTCTCTCCATTCAAGCACGTCATCTATTGACACTCACTGATTTCACTCGCGTTCCACGTCCTCCCGTCTAGTCAGTCACTCCGCCTCATCGTCATAATCAAAGGCATATTCTCGATCTCGCCACCGAAATTGCATCCATGTCCGTCCGACGTGATTGGATTTGACGCATATCACACTCGACACCCGAAACGACGCCTCTTAACTACACCCTCACGTGCCAGGACTAATAATATACAATTGCCTTCATTACGAGTTCTCCTGGCGCATCATCCTTCCTAGCGCGTCATCAGCCCTAGCGCGTCAACGGATCCGCACCAGCGCTTCAGTGTCGAGGATCTCGCATCATCATAGCTTTTATGCGCATGTCGTATTTCTAAGGCTTTTCAAAATCTCGCGCGCGCGCCATGGTTGCTCCCGAGCATCTCCGCGCGTTCTGGAACCGCTGTCTCATCGGCCTTCGCACGGCCACCGCTGCGGTCCTCGCGGCGGTGCTCGTCCTGCACGAACCCTTCGCGACGTGGTTACCAGTGCCCTTCTTCGCCGCCGTCCTAGCCATCCTCGTCGCGGACCAAACCCTAGGCGCATCCCTCCGCAACGCTACGTACTCGCTAGCAGGCGCAGTGCTCGCTAGCATCCCTTCCGCCATCCTCTTCCGCCTATTCATGCTTCCGCCTCCGCCTGCGCAACCCCCACCCTCTTCCGCCCCCATTCCCCCGCCCCCCACGCTCTACCCTCCCTTACCCCCTGGGTTCCCGCCTTCAATTCCTCCCCCTCCCTCCCCACTCTCGCTCTCAAACCCATTCCCTCTCCCAGTCGTCTCTTCCCTCTCCCTGTTCACTGATGTTTGGGCAACGCCGGCGGTTCTGCTGGTAACCCTAGCGTTAGCGACAGCGCTTCTCTCCTTCGTTATAATCCCGCCGCTCACTCGCAAGGTGGGCCTCGCGATCCTCTCAATCCTCCTCCTCCAATTCGCCGCGGTCCTTCGCTCCGCAGACAACCTCCCTGCACCGTTTCAAACCGCTCCAATCTCCCCTACCAACGCTTCAGCTCCTGCTGCTGCGGCTGATCCTCCATACCCTGACGCGGCCTCAGCTCCCCGCAACGTCTTGGGAACAGAACCCTGGCTATACCCTCTCCGCTTCCTCTGCACGGCCCTCCTAGGCACAGCCTGCGGCCTCCTCCCCATGCTGCTCCCCCTCCCCGCCCTCGCCTCCGCCCAAGCGCGCCAGAAGCTCCAGTTTGCCGCACGCTGCGCTGCCGCCCAGTTCCACACGCTCGCTGCGGCGTTTTGCCTGGTGGATTCTCAGGCGCTGGCAACAGCAGCGATTCAGGTGTGTATATTGGCGCGGGCGGCACAGCCTAATATATCCGCGTTAAAAGCTCTGGAGGGGGATATCTGGTGGGAGGAGCAGGTGAGTGATCCGTTAAGGAGGTGCTGGTTTTGGGTGCGGTGGGGGATGTGGCGGGTGTGGTTGAGAGCGGTGGAGATGAGACGGAGACAGAAGGAGAGGGGGCAGCAGAGGAAGTTGCAGGGGCAGAGACAGAAGCAGCAGCAGCATATACCCGGATTGACTTCCCAAACAGGTGAAAGAGAGGGACCAAGAGAAGCAGGAGAGTCACAGGCAGGAGCAGCACCATCACCAGAAGCAGCAGCAGAGGGGGCAGCAGCACCAGCAGCAGCAGAAGCAGCAGGGGATGGTGCAGGTGCATGTGCAAGTGCAAGTGTAAATGCGAGAGCAGTGCGGTGCCCCAGCGAAATGGAGGCGTGGGGAAGGGTAATCCGGGGGTTGCAAGCGGTGGACGTGCATCTGCATGGCATGCGCATGGCCCTGGACACAGGGCAGATTAAAGAGTCCCCTCTCACTCTCTTAAAGGAGCTCCGCCCGCCCCTTGTGCTCCTTGCTCGCTCTGTGGGCCTGTGTTTGAACCATGCTGCTGAGTCGCTCGGGGGAGGGGGAGGAGGGGAGGGAGACGGAGTGGGAGAGGTAGAGGTAGCGGGAGAGGGAGGGGAAGGGGTAGAGGGTGGGAGGAGCTCTCTTGCTGTTTCTGCTAGTGCTGCTGCTGAGTCGACAAAGCATGGGCATCGATGGGTTGTGGCAGTGGCGGTGGTGGTGGCAGCCGCAGCAGTGCGTGCACGGGCATGTGGAGCAGCTGTTGCGAGAGGGCGTGCAAGCAGTAATACAGCTAGACGCTGCTCTGTTGCGCGGCCGAGAGCTTGCGTATTACCGCCTGTATGATAGTGATGATGGGCTGGAGAAGAGGGAGGCTGGACATGCGCATGTGCATGCAACTCCCCACACTCACACAAACCCCCACGCTCAGACAACGCCCCACACTCACACATCCCCTGACACTCACACAACACCCCACACTCACGTAAGCCCACACTCGGCTCCTCCCCATACTCCCCCTCATTCACACTCACTCTCACCTTCTCCAAACTCCCCTCCAAGCTCCCCTCTTCACTCCCCGCCACACTCGTTTCCACACTCCCCCTCACGCGCCTCTCCTCGTTCCCCTCCACGCTCCCCCTCACACTCCCCGCCGCACGACCCGCGGGCGTTTGTGAGCAGCACGCACGCGTCGAGCCTGGTGGCATCGCAGTTCTTTCTATTCAACGCGCGCCAGATGGCCATTCAGCTCCTGCACCTCGCCTCCGACTGCTGCTGCCGCCACTGCCGCTCTGCTAACGCCGCTGCGACTGCCGCCGCTGCTGCTGCTGGTGGTGTTGGTGGTGGTGCTGGTGCTGCTGCTGGTGATGCTGCTGGTAGTGCTGACAGTGCAGCTGCTGCTGGTGCTGATGGTGGTGCTGCTCTGTCTGGTTCCAAGCCACGCTCCTCCTCCTGCTGCAGGCACAGCTCTCTGCGAGGTAGTCTTAGTGTGCGGGACAGCATACAGGGAGGCAGTGTGCGGGGTAGCATGCAGCATGGCAGTGTGCGGGGCAGCATGCAGGGAGGCACCGTGGGGGGCGCTAGACATTCGTATGAAGAGCCAGAGGAGCCTGTTACGACCTGCACTGCTGCTGCCAATCCTGCTGCCACTCCTGCTGCCAATCCTGCTGCCACTCCTGCTGCCAATCCTGCTGCCAATCCTGCTGCCAATCCTGCTGCCACTCTTGCCGCTCCTCCTGCTGCTGGTGCTACCGTTGCTCCCCCTGCTATCCCTGCCGCTGCTGGTGCTGCTGCTATTGTCCCTGCCACAGGCAATCTAACCACTACCAACAGCCCTTTTTCTGCCAGCACTCGATCTTCTCACTCCACTCCCGCCCTACCCTACGCTCTAAGTGGTGCAGCTGGCGCTACTGCTAGTAGACGCTCGTCTGCTTCCTCCACCCCACTCCACCATTCTGTACCTAGCTCTTTTACCAGAAGGTCGTCGCATGAGCACGCGCGCATGCCCCAGGTGTTGTCTCTAGACGATGTGACTATAGCGGTTGCTGGAGGGGGCGTGGGTATAGAGGGCGGTGGTGGGGAAGAAGGGGAAGAGGGGGAGGAGGAGGAAGATGATGAGGATGATGATGATGAAGAGGAGGGAAATGAGGAGGAGGAGGGTAATGAGGAGGAGGATAGGGGGGATGAGGAGAGGGGTGTGAGGAAGAGAACAGAGATGAGAGGAGAGGAAGGCATGGGTGTCAAAGGGAGAGGGACGGCGAGAAGAATGGGAAGCAGGCCAAAGAAAAGGGAGGAGAAACAGGGGAGGCCACAAGCAGGAATAACACAGTCAGGACTCACTCGCTGCTTTGATCGTCTCACTGCTGCATGCTTACCTTGCGCATGCATCTTCACAGCTTCTGCTCGGTTCCTCTCCTCCCTCCTCTCGTTCCTCCTCTCAGCCACGCGTTTCCTCCTCACCTCCCTCTCCGCGTCCTTCTCTTCTGAAAACGCACCACAGCGAGCAATTGCCTCCTTTAAAGTCACCCTCGCAATAGTCACAGCGGCCCTCCTCGGCTACCTAGTCTCCCCCTCATTCGACTTCTGGGCAGCAGTCACTGTAGCATTCGTTTCAGGGGGATACCAGGGGGGGTCGTTCAAAGCCTCTATGCTGAGACTACAAGGGACAGTAGCAGGGGCTGTGTTTGGTTACTTGCTGGTTCCTTTAACTACAGACCGCATGCCGCTGCTGCTGTCGGCGCTGGCTGTGTGGGTGTTCCTGACTGCGTTTGTGCGGACGAGTAAAGAGTATGGGTATGCAGGAGTGGTTGCTGCTTTCACTGCTGCGATCATCATGCTGGGGTATCCGGCTCTCAACAGCCCTCCTCCTCCTTCCCTTTCTCCCTCACCCCCTCCCCCCTCCCCTCCCTCCTCCTCTGTCTCTCTCTCCGACTTAACAGTCGAGCATTACGCGCTATTGAGAATCACAGAGACGTGCATTGGTCTCGTGTCTGTGATTCTCATTGAGCTTCTCGTGTTCCCCACGCGTGCTGCGGCTCTGGCTCGGGCCGAGCTTGTCGCAAACATCACCCGTTGCCGCGTCTGCGCTGCCACGGTTGCCTGGTCGTACTTCGGCGGGACGTTCGAGAGGAGGTTCGGCGGGAGGTTCGGGGATGGGCCGGGTGGGGCGGGGAGGTGTGGTGGTAGTAAGTTGGGCTGGGCAGGGTGGTTTGGAAGGTGGTTCGGGGTAAGAGGTAAGGGTGGCAGAGGGGGAGAGGGAGGAGGAGGGGGAGGCGGAGGGGGAAGGAAAAGTGGAACCGGAAGGGATGATGAGAGGAGGGAGAGGAGAGGGAGTGAGGGATGCGAGAAGAAAGCAGGAGGGAAGACCAAGAGCGTGCTTGCGTCAGCTGACAAAGGAACTGGCTTGTCTGTTGAGATGTGCCAAAATCCCGGTGCTACCATGGGGCAGCGGCAAAATGGGATGGCAGCAGGGAATGTAGGAGATGGGCGAGCAGAGGTGGCTCTTGGAGTGACTTGGAAGGGGATGGGTGGAGGAGTGGAGAGCGGTGCAGTGCAGGTGAACGGAGGGAGGGGGAATGTGGCAGAGTTGAACTCTGTGGGTGGGCCTGTGGGTGGGTCTGTGGGTGGGTCTGTAGCTGTGTGTATCCCAGCGATGCACGGGGATGGGGAGGGGAGTGCGGGAAGTGATAGTGAGAACGGGTTGAGACAGCTGCAGCTGCAGCAGGAGGGGGAAGTGGAACGGATTGATTCTGCAGCTGACCTGCTAGGGCGTGAGAGGGGAGGGGGCGAAGAGGGGGCGGGGCAGAGGGCGAGGAGGACGAGTGGGAGAGGAGGCATGGAGGAGAGGGAACGGAAGGGAGGGTTTGCGGGGAAGAGGCAGTGGTGGGCTGGAGGGGGGAGTGGCGGGCAGAGGAAACGGCAGGGGCAATGGCAGTGGCCGTTTATTAGGCTTTGGGGATCGCAGGTATCAAAGCAGCAAGGACAAACGCAACAGCCGCAGCAGCGGCAACAGCAGCAGGAAGAGGAAGGAGAAAGGGTGACGACAAAGAGCAGGGAGACGGAGCATGAGCGGGAGGATAGGTGGCGTAGGGAGAAAGCCCGGGCAGTGAAGCGAGTGGCAGAGTTACAAGCTGCCGTGGCTGCGAGCATGGCTCGGCAGCAGGTGCTGCTCGACGAAGCTACTGCCGAGCCTGCGCTCTGGCACGCTCCGTTCCCCGAGCCTGCGTATAAGAGGCTACTGGCGAGTCAGCAGCGGATGCACCAGCTGCTTTACTTTATGGATTGCAGCTTGAGGGCTGTGGCGTCTGTGGAAGGGAGGGAGAGGGAGGAGAGAAGGGAGAGGGAGATGGAGGTGGCTAGGGAGGGGTGGAGGGTTCTAGAGGAGGAGAGGGAGAGAGGGAGAGGGGGAGGGTGGGTGGGGGGAGGGGAAGGTGGGGTGGGGGAAGTAGGGGCGCGGGGAGGAGGAGAAGGGGGAGAAGGTGGGATGGAGAGTGGAGTGGGAGCAGAGGGGGGAATGGGCGCAGTCGGGGGAGCAGACGGGGAAAGCGGAGTGGGGGGATTAGTGGGTAGCGGAGTGGGGGGAGCAGTGGGGAACGGAGTGGGGGAAGCAGTGGGAAACACAGGGGGGAAAAGGGAACTGGTAAGCAGTAATGAACCGTTCCCAGTGGTTGCTGCAAATCGAGCAACCAGTGCGGGTGACGTAAAAGCCTTGGGAGGAAGGGCAGAAATGGGCAGCGCCGGGAGTTCTGGTATGACTAGCAGGGAGGAAGAGCGAGTGGTAGAAGCAGCACCGGATCAGGGTCTATCGGGAGCAGCAGGAGCAGGTGCAACGATTGCTACAGCAGCACCACCCGGCATATGCTGTCCCTCAGGAGTGGGAACAGGAATGGGAGTGGGAGTGAAGGTGCTGCACGGGAGGCCGAGCGAGACGGGCAGAGAGGTGGAGCGGCTAGTGCAGCCGCTGAGGGGGGCTTTAAGGGAGATGGAGGAGGAAATGGTGGTGGCCCTGTGGTGCGTGGAGCGTGCTCTAGTGTGGGGCCATGGCAGCTGGACTGGCGTGGTGGGGGGCGGGGAGGGGGACGAGTGGGAGGAGTGGGAGGAGTGGGAGGAGGAGGGGGAGGAGGAGGGTGAGGAGGTTGAGGAAGGGGGGGAGGGGGAGGAAAGGGAAGGGAGGGAAGGAAGCTGGGATGGGAGGCAGTCGTTGGGGGGTGGGAGGGGGGGGGAGGGAGGAGAGTGGAGAGTGGGGAGGGCGGGGAGGAAGAGGAGGAAGGGGAAGGGTTGCGGAGGAGTGGCGAAGGGATGGAGGGTGAAGCTCACGCAAAGAGAGTCGTGTGGAGAGTTGGGAGCGGGGATTCAGATGAGGAGGGGGAGGGAGGCGATGAGAGGGAGGACAGGAAGGAGGGGAAGGGGGAGGAAGTGGAGGAGGAGCAGGAGGGGAGACAATGGCGGCTGCAGGGAGGGGAAGAGGGCAGCAGTAGGGGGTGGGGCAGGAGGGAGAAGGGAGGCAGGAAAGTGAGTTTTGGGGACAATCAGGGTGCCAGGTTGGGTGGAGAAGCAGAAGTAGAAGGAGAAAGGGATGAAGGGGATGGCAGGGCGAGAGGGAGAAGGAGGAGATGGAGTGAGCCTGTTGCAGTGCGAGGGATGGCAGGAGCGGGAGGCGTGTCAGGAGTGAGTGCAGGTGCAGGAGGGAGGAGTGCGAGTGGGAGTGTGAGTGAGAGTGTGCGTGGGAGTGTGAGTGGAAGAGGAGGGACAAAGGCACGTTGGACTGTAGGTGGGGGCGTAGATGCCCACACCGACACCCACACACACCCTGATTCCCACCCCCGCTCTAGCCGACACCTCCCTGCACACAACCACCACAAAATTCAATGGTTGCTTCCCTCCCTCGCCTCCGCCCTCCCATCCCTCCCGCCGCTCCCAGCCGTTCCCACACCCCACCGCCACTCCCTTCCCCTGTTGCACCGCCGGCAGCAGCAGCGTCAGCAGCAGAGCTTCATGTCTTTTCGCAGCTGGCGCTGGCGTGTGGGGGCGTTTCAGGGGGGTGTGGGGGATGAAGTGGGGGGCAGTGTTAGGCCTCTGTTGGCAGGGGATGGGAGTGGGAGTGGGGAGGCGAGAGGGGAGGGTAGAGGAGATGGGAGTGGGGAGGAGAGAGGGGAGGAGAGCGGGGAGGAGTGGGGGGAGGAGAGCGGGGAGGAGAGAGGGAAGGAGAGGGTTGAGGGAAGCAGGGAGGAGAGGGAGGGGGAGGAGGGACGGAGGGTAGAGGGCGATGAGGGGAGAATAGTGAGTGAGGGGCAAGAGGATGAGAGTAGCCGGGTAGTGGATTCGGCAGTAAGGATGCGGGTAGAGGAGCCTGGTGCGACAACTCAGGGAGGAAGGACTGGCCGGGGTGAAGCAACCCAAAGCACTCACCATTGCGGCAAATCCACGCCGTATAGGACGAGAGCAGCGGCACAAGAGGCGCACAGGACAAGAGGCAGGAGAGCGGGGCGGAAGCGAGCGATGGAGAGCTTTGTCCGCGAGTACAACCATGTACTGGACATGCTTATAGCGAGTAAGAGGCAGCACCCGGGGGAGAGCATAGTGCGGAACTCGGCGATGCTGTCGTTCAACTCGCTGGTGTTCAGCATGCAGGCTCTCATGGAGGAGAGCGAGGAGCTGGCAAGGAGTGCCAGGGAGATGCTGCTGGTGGAACAGCCTCTTGATGTGGGACACATGGCGGCTATCAGGTTTACTTGAAACAGTGCGCGCGCGGGGGGTGTGGGCATGTGAGGGGAGGAGGTGTGATGCTCTCAAGTCCTTTCCAAGAAGATGCTGTACCTGCTGGATCAGCAGGTGGTAGCCAGGAGTTGTGGCGTGCGTGGGTGGTGCGTGCGGTATGACTATGAGGAGCAGAACGGGCGATGCTGTCGTTCAACTCGCTGGTGTTCAGCATGCAGGCCCTCATGGAGGAGAGCGAGGAGCTGGCGAGGAGTGCCAGGGAGATGCTGCTGGTGGAACAGCCTCTGGACGTGACGCACATGGCTGCAATTAGGTTCACTTGAGGCAGGGGGTACTGGGGTCGGGGCAGTGAAGAGAGAGGTCCTGAGCGTGTATGTGCATGTTGGGAAGAAGGGCGTTTCAGTGAGTGCGAGGGACATGCTGCTGGTGGAGCAACCACTGGACGTGGGACACATGGCTGCTATCCGGTTCACTTGAGGCTGTGGGCAGCTTGTGTTGTGAGGCGCCTCAACACATGGCTGGTGGTGCGGGAGGAACACAGGGGTTACTTAAACGGTTCACATGCGGCGGTGGGGGCTGGGTTGCTTGAGGGATGGGTGTGAGGAGTCAAGGTGAGGAACGGGGGTTAGCTAGCACCTTGGGGGCGTGGGCGGTGTGACAGGGCTGTTGGGTAAATGTGTGAAGATTCAAGTTGGCAGGTTTTTTGCATGGAGGATTGGCGAATGTGATGTAATGAGGTATTTGTGTGTGATCCATTCGTGGGCATACCTACACATTCAATCATCTATTGTATATGCAAGCAGTGTACAGAAACCAACCTCTTGTTCAACAGCATATACAGTAGCTCCGTTTTACACATGGTATATATACATGAGAACCAGTCAAAACAGGTCCCTACGTAGCCACTTCCCTACTGTTTATCATGGGAATGCAGTACATGACAATACACTACAGTACAGAACACCAGAATACAGTACAGCTCAGTAGGAGATGTACAGTACACTAGTGTGCTTCTTCAAACCTGGCAGCAAGCTCAGAGGGTGGCTCATAGTGAATGTTGTTGAGTGACGAGTGCATGTCAATAGAGTAAACTCGCTTCACCCTCATATACGTCTCCTGCAATAGCCAGAGGAAACACACACAGAGCGTTTTCGTTTGAAGACTGGGGCAGGAATGTATGAGATGAGTGCATGTCAATAGAATACACTCGCTTCACCCTCATGTACGTCTCCTGCAACAACCAGCAGAAGCATGCAGTGTACCGGTAACTTTCCAGGGGTTCTCTGTGAAATGGTCCTGGCATGTCCAGTCCACTCCATGGGTTCTCCTGTAAATGTGAGTGCATGTCAGAAGAGTGGTACCACGCTTGCTGCACCCTTGCAGCTGCAGATTGTTTTTGAGAATTCTCGATGCTGCAGATTGTTTTTGAGAATTCTCAAAAACAATCTGCAGCATCACGGGTTCTCCTGTAAATGTGAGGAGTGCATGTCAGAAGAGTGGTACCACGCTTGCTGCACCCTCGCCACCACACACTCCGTTCTGCCCATACCTTCAAATAAAAGCCTGCAGCTGCACCGCATGCTCCTCGTCCCGAAACATCTCCAACAGCCAGTGGTAAGAGTAGGTGAAGTGAACGCTCTTCCCAAAGGCTTCGCGAAAGCAAAGGCAGACGCGTCCTTCTTAGCACCACACTCTCTCTCTCTGCTGCCTCCCGCACGCACCTTGTCTCGAAACATCTCTGACAGCCGGTGGGACGAGTTGGTGAAGTGAACGCTCTTGCCAAACGCAAAAGCATCCCCGGGGTGCCTTCCCAGCAGCGCCATCAGTGCCGGCACATCCCTGTGCATGTTTTCAAAGCGACCCACAAAGTGGTACTTGATATGGTTCAGCCCGCAGAGCAGCGACTGGGGGAGTGGGGGAGCGGGGGAGTGGGGGAGTGGGAGAGACAAGGAGGTCGGGTGTGGGAGAAAAAAGGCAAAAGCATCCCCGGGGTGCCTTCCCAGCAGCGCCATCAGTGCCGCCACGTCCCTGTGCAGGTTTTCAAAGCGACCCACAAAGTCGTACTTGATGTGGTTCAGCCCACAGAGCCGTGACTGAGCATGTTGGGAGGGGATTGGGAGGATGGAATGGATGGGAATAGGTTGGACGTGGGAAGGGGACGAGGCAAGAGTCATCAGCGCTGGCGCATCCCCGTGCATGCACTCAAGGCCAGATAGTGACAGGGAAGTAGAGACAGGTTGATTATAGGGAAAGGAGTCTCTTTCATGCATTTTATGCGCGGAACATTAAGCTTGGGGGAGCCATCTAGTAGTCTAAACATGGCGCCTGAAGAATACCCCCCCCTCTCCTCTCCCCCCCCTTCCAAACAAAAAAAACACCTGAGACACCATACCTGGGAAAGCACCCGAAGTGGGACCCAAGGAAGCACCTGGAAACATACCTGAAAAGGCAGCTGAGCATTCACCTGCGGCGCTATGTGGTTGTCCATCAAACGCTGTTCATCCGCCTCTCTTGCTGCCTCGACCAGAGTCACGAACTCTTTGAATGACAGCGTGCCCCCCGCTTGCAGGCGCAGCATGGTGGGAAGTGAGAGTGCAGGCGTGGAGGGATGCGGGCGGGGGGACGAGGAGGAGGAGGAGGAGAAAGGAGGGAGGGAGGTGAGGTGTGCGAAGAGCAGGTCTCTCCAGCGTAGGGGGTGGTGGGTGGTGTTGCTGGTCCAGAAGAGATGCTGGAAGAATGCCTGATGGGTGGGGGATAGAGGGATGGAGCAGAGAGGGGTAGGTGGAGTGCAAGGAGAGGATGCGAGTGAGGTAGATGAGGAGTAGAATGATAAACTACTCATGCACTCACTCACTCACTCACTCACTCACTCACTCACACACTCACTCACCAGGGACCAGAACCGTCTCTTGCCCCACCCTCCTTGCTCTGCCTGCACGTGCTTATTCACAAACGCAGACGCCACCCGTGAGAATGGATCCCGAACAAACACAAACCGAACCAGGTCCCTCCGCGTCACCGCACGTATCGCCTCAGGCTCGGTCATGCCGAACCAGAGCACCGGGAGGTGGGAGCGGGCCGGGACGTGCGTGGTTCGGGCGTTGTGTGCGTCTGAGTCGTTCCGCTGCTGCCGGAACCACATTTTCCAGCTGGTGCAAGCGGCTTTTGGGACGGCGCAGTATAGGAGGCCAAGGGACTCTGGAAGTAAAGAAGTAAAGAACGGAAGGAAGGGGTGAGTTGCAGGGGGGAAGGGGAACAGTGTGTGCATCTGAGTCGTCGTGGGAACCACGTCTTCCAGCTGGTACACGCGGCCTTGGGTATGGCACAGTATAGGAGGCCGAGGGACCTTGGAAGGAGGGTGTTCGTTAAAAGGGGGAAAGAGGGGAAAGGAGGGATGGGGGACAAGAGGAAATGTCCTGGAAATGTGACTTGCGGTGTTGCTTCCAGGAAACAGATGTTCCAGCAGGCGTACAGCTCACCGTGAACAAGCAAAGGAACAAGATGCTGTGCTTGCTTGCTTGTTTGCCTGCTCACTTACCATCCACAATGAGTTGTTTGCCAATCCTGTGCTCTGTAATGGGCTTCATAGCAGGCGACTCACACAACGCTCTTTCCTCCTCAAACATCGCCCGCTCAAACACTGCCTCCTCAGGGGATACCCCTTCCACACTCTCACTCACTCTCACTTTCACCCCTCTACTCTCTCCCAACCTCCCTTCTGCAACATTTTCTTTCTTTCTGCCTGCTGCACCCTCACTCTCACTCTCACTCTCACGCCTCCCCTCTCTCATAGGCTCGCTCTCAGCAGGAGCACCACTCTCCCTCACCACCACCTCCGCCCCTCTCGCCTCAGCCTGTGCTCGTATCAGGTCGGCTTGTGGCGAGGACACCAGGTGAATGAGCCCCTGTGCTGCAGGGAGAGTGAACAGCTCCGCTGCTTGCAGCTGGGAGCACACAATCGCCTGCTCCCTTGGCCGCCTTGCCCCTGACTCCCTTGGTCGTGTTCTCGGCTGCATTTCCCATGATGCTGCTGCTGCTCCCCTTGGTTGTCCCCCTCTGAATAATTCTGCTCCCATTCGAGCTTCTGCTGCTCTTGATGCTGTCACTCCTCCCTGCACCTCCCACTCTCCCCCCATCCTCCTTCCAGACATTCTCCCCCACCATCCCCTCTCCTCCCTCTCTCTAACACTCAACGCAGCAGGAATAAGGGGAGGAGGAGGCATCTCTCCCCACGCACGGTTAGGTCTGCATAGTAGGGACCGTCTTAAAGTGGACATTAATAGGTTCGGCTGGCGGTTCGGGTGGAAGGATCGGGCGACTGCTACGGCTTGGGAAGGCCAGTAACCCGCTACTGTAGCATCGTTTTCGGGCTGCCCGAGGAAGAACCACATGAGACGTCGGGCAGTGCAGTTGACAATGAGAGAAGGGGGGCAGGAGGGACAGGAGGGGTAGGAGAGGGGTGGAGAGGAGGAGGGGGAGGAGGAGGAAGGGTGGGGAAATGAGGACGAGGGAAGAACAGGCTCCATATACACAGCCACACTTTGCTTGACACGTGTCATGTTCTCTTTGGCCATAAGCTTCTTGACTGCTACAGATGGCTGTAGCAGGCTGTAGCAGCACTGCAGTGACGTGTGCAGCTGTGATTGGTCGGAGAAGGAGAGGGACTGATTGGACGAGGAGAGGAGGGGATGCTGAGGAGGAAGAAAGGGAATGAGAGACGAGGAGATGAACGCATGCACGTGGATAGGGCGAGTATTGAGCGAAAAGGAGGAGGAGGAGGAGGAGGAGGAGCCTCTGGACTCGTTGTTGCTGGTTTCGGCTGAAGAGCCTGCCAGGAGAATTCCTGCAGACGCAAATGCAAGCACGGATACACACACTTGGCAACAGGTACAGGTTCATCTGTACAGGAAGACACGGACAAACTGTACTGTTTGATCCAACGTTCATGTGCAACGTTCTGTAGCCGCCTAGCATATCCAAAGCAGAAACGAATCAAACAAGGTCAAGTTGTACTGTGTGATGTGTGGAACAACACACGAGGACTACTGCAATGCGGATGGCAGCAGATGATAAGCATGGAGGGAAAGGAGACGCACCATTGGAACAAAGGATTCTGAGTTGAGCCATCGAGGTAGATGGTGCAGCACAATGGGTGTCATTGTCTCTTCTTGTTCGCCTCCTTTATGACCTCCCTCCCTCTTCCGCGCTGCCTTTTCACCCCGTTCTCCACACATCCCTTCTCCGTCTCCTTTGACACGGAATGATAGACCAGGTTCCCGCCCATAGCTCGTATCTTGCAGCGTCTTTCTCTTTCCTTCAAGGGGATCTACAAGCCCTTTTAGCACATCGCTTGTATCACTCAGTAGTGGAGGTTGAGTAGACGGCAATGGTCCAAGTATGTCGTGTAGACGAGTATGAGGCATGTCATCATCATCAGATATCCATAAGAATCCCAGATGAAGCTGACTTGCATTTGATGGTGAAGATGACAGAGAAGACAGAGAAGACAGAGAAGATGGATCAGGCGCTGTAACATTTGTATCATGCTTCTGCAAACCTTGTGTTGCTCTTATGTGTCGCGTGTTGGTGGAAAGCAGGTCACGGAAGCCATACCCTGCGCAGATGGATTCTATACGTTCATGAAGTGGGCCCTGCAAAAAAGTGTGAAGCATGAAGAAAGAAAGAAAGTAAGAAGGTTAACATGAATGCCTTTAACCACGAGATAATTCCACATGATTTTAGACCAGTTGATCAGTTGATCAGTTGACCAGTTGACATAGTCCAGACCAGAGGACCCACATATGCCATGTACACGACGCTAGCTCTTCCTTCTCACGGTTGTGGCACGGAACCTCCCTCCATCAAATCAGACCTCTGGTGATTGTGAACAGGGCGACGCGAGCAGCGAGTTGAGTTGAGCTGAGACGAGACGCACCTTAACCGAGACAACCACGTCTGGACGATGCCGGCGCCGCGCTCGCGGCCGCCCAGCACCTGATTCGAACGCGAACACGCTGCTGTCACCTTCCTTGGGTCTTGAAAGGCCTTTGGACTGACGACTTTTCGACTGAATCCTGTCCAAGAAGAGCAGTTTTTCAGCGTCGACCGCCGCCGAGTTAGTCACCGTTGTACGATCGTGCTGTTCCAAGGAGCCTGTGAAGCCGTGGCTTTTCGGTGTCATAACAGCTTCACCGGCTCCTTCGAACGGCACGATAGGAGACAGGAGCGAGCGGGTTTGTATGATCCACGAGACGAACGCGCTCTTGCCGTCTCCCGCGACTGTAACGAGGGTTGTTAAAGCGAGAACTACAATCAGCCGCGCAGTCAGCCGGAACTTCGAGCGACTGCTCTTCTCGCCGCAGCTACTACTAGTCGTAGTGGCGCTTTTCATGGCTCCTTTCTTCCCTCCCCTTGATGTCTCCATGCCATACATTATGGAACCACCATCACGACGCGCGTTTCGCAATACACACAACTCTATGGCAAGCGCGGTTACACTCGTGACGGTGAAAGGAATATTGGGGGTACTAAGACCTCGCTGGAAAAGCAGTGGAATCTGGAAAAAGGTATGAAGTCAGGAAAATTCGCGCAGAAGAGCTGGAAGCGCGTGGAATTCGCGAGAGTGCGAATCTCTCTGAGTTTTACGAGTGTGCGATAAACCTCAGATAGGTTAGCTGCGACGCAACCATCCGCAACTTCGGCCTTGATAAGCAGATCGTGAGGCAATCTCAGCGTACTGATAAGCGCTTTGCCCAGAATCTCGCCTAGGCTGGTCACTCGCAATTTGCAGGAGAGCGCGGCGCCCATGAGACGCCAAGAAAATGTCGCAAGAACGTCTTTGAGGCGAAGCCCATGAGACGCCTCAAAACTCGACGCGTCCTCGAACGTCTATTACGGTAACGACTCCTCTCGCTTTCGGCTCGCTTGCGCTCCTCGTTCTGTCCGCACGCGTTTCTCCCACTTGTTCCTCGCATGGCGACAGCCAGGGGAATTCGAGGGGCGCCGCGTCACGGTCGGCAAGAATACGTCAACTCGACACGTCCTCGTCACAGCCATTCTGACAGCAAAGAGAGTAGCTAGCGATACGCGCTGCTGCCTTTCTTGCGGATCGCGTTCTAGTCGAAGGTGCTCGAAGCAACGTTGGTTGAATGGCGGCCTCGGGATTGTCGAGCCATGCAGTCGCAGTCTCACCGACAGCCTGATTTTGACCGCAGAATGACAGATTCGCTGGGGAGGCTGTGGTGGGTGTACTCTTATAAGCGACGAGCTAGTTTGTTAAAAAGAATAAACCTACTGTAGCTTCAAATCACATCCATTGGAACATAAATTCGTATCCTTTCATTGTTCAATAAAAATAGTTGGCGCGCACTGAACATCTCGTGAGAATGCCATTTTTTCATGGCGTGCACTGCCATCAATACCCGCTTACATTTCTTCATGATTGAGCTACGCAATACATAAGAAGAGACTGTAAGTGCAATTGACGTGCAAAACGCGGGTTGCATCAAGGTGCAAAGAACGAGAAGTGTGAGCAAACGCTAATCTACTGAGAGTCTTCAAATCTGGCAGCAAGCTGAGGGGGTGGCTCATAGTGGATATTGTTGAGTGAAGAGTGCATGTCAATAGAGTACACCCGCTTCACCCTCATGTACGTCTCCTGTATGAACACAACCACAGGAAACACATCGTACAAGGTGTTGCATGAGACGACTGGGCACGAGTTCAAGTAAATCCTTTTGAGCGGTGAGTGCATCTCAATAGAGTGCACTTGTTTCACCTTCATATACGTCTCCTGCAACGACCAAAGGAATGCAGATGGAATAAGTAGATGCTAAAGACAATGGGCAGAAGTTCATGTATTGAGTGCTGCCAGTTATCAAAAACATCTTCCCAAGGCAATGGCACTTATCCTACAACTCAAACGGGATACGGAATGGGCCCTTCATACCACCGTTTACTCCAAATGCAATTCTACTCGCACACGCACCTTGTCTTTAATCATCTCAAGCATTCGGTTGGATGAGTTGGTAAACTGCACGCTCTTCCCAAAGGAAAAGGCGTCTCCGGGTTGCCTCCCCAGCAGTGCCATCAGCTCCAGAACGTCCCTCTCCATGCGCTCAAAGCGACCCACATGGTGGTACTTGATGTGGTTCAACCCACAGAGCAGCGACTGGGAGGGGAGGGAGGGGATAGGGGGATCGGAGAGCATGGATGCGGTTGGTTGGGCGGATGGAACAGGGGTGCCTGCCTCCCCAGCATCGCCATGGTGGTACTTAATGTGGTTCAACCCGCAGAGCAGCGACTGGGAGGGGGAGGAGGGGATACGGGGTGTGAGGGGTTATGGGAGCAGGGATGGAGGAGAGGGAGAGAAGAACAGTGATACAGGAGCAGAGATGGTGCTTCAGGTATAGGGGTGAAACTTGAGTTGACTCAAAAGTCAGGGATGGGGGGGACAGGGAGGGAAGAAGAGTAACAGAGGAGCAGAGATCGGGCAGAGATGGTGATGCTGGTAAATGGGTTTTCCCCACCTGCAGTCCCACCCACCTGCAGTCCCACCCACCTGCAGCACCCCCCACATGCAGTCCCACCCACCTGCAGTCCCACCCACCTGCAGGTCCCCCCACCTGTGGCGCGATATGGTTGTTCATCAAATGCTCTCCGTCTGCCTCCCTTGCTGCCTCTACCAGAGCCATGAACTCTCCGAATGACAACCTTCCATCTGCTAGCAGCCACAGCAGCATGCGGAGAGAGAGTGCAGGGGCGGAGGGATGGGAGGAGGAGGAGGAGGAGGAGGAGGAGGAGGAGGAGGAGGAGGAGGAGGAGGAGGAGGATGAGGAGGAGGAGGAGGAGGAGGAAGGAGAGAGGGAGGGGAGGTGCGCAGAGAGTAGGCCCCTCCAGCCTAGTGGGCGGTGGGTGGTGTTGCTGGTCCAGAAGAGATGCTGGAAGAAAACCTGAGGGGTGGGGGTTAGAGAGGCATGATTAGAAAACTCTTGCAACTCTGGAAAACAAGCATTGCAGCTCGTCACTCACACTCACTCACACTCACTCTCTCACTCACCCAACACCACCAGAATCGTTTTGTCCCAAACTCCTTTTGCTCCTTCTCCACATGCTTATTGAGGAAAGTAGACACCACCCGCGAGAACGGGTCCCGCACAAACACAAACCGAACCAGGTCCCGCCGCGTCACCGCACGTATCGCCTCAGGCTCGGTCATGCCGAACCAGAGCACCGGGAGGTGGGATCGGGCCGGGACGTGCGTGGTTCGGGCGTTGTGTGCGTCTGAGTCGTTGTGTTGCTGCCGAAACCACACCTTCCAACTGGTGCAGGCGGCTTTGGGAACGGCGCAGTAGAGCAGTCCGAGAGACTCTGGAAAAAGTGGAGTCAGTGGTTGATTGGGAAGGAGAAGAAGCTTTGGATATGGTACAGTAGAAAGGGCGGAGAAAGGGTCCATACAATGGAGGGAGAGAGGGGACGGAAGGGGCAGATAGAAGAGCGGAGTGGAAATTTTGGCGTGATAAAGAGAGGAGCAGAAAGGAGGGTAGAGGAAGGACGAAGCGAGGAGCGGAGAGGAGATGAAAGGCGAGCAGAGGGGAGGGAAGGGTAGTTGCTTGCTTGCTTACCATCCACGATGAGTTGCTTGCCGATCCGGTGCTCTGTTATCGGCTTCATAGCAGGCGACTCACACAACGCTCTTTCCTCCTCAAACAGCACGTGCTCCAAGGATTCACCTTCCACACTCTCACTAACTCTCGCTCCAACACCCACACTCTCTCTCACCCCCTCCTCCTCCTCTACCCTCCATTTCACCTCTCCCTCCTCACTCTCACTCTCACGCCTCCCCTCTCTCATAGGCTCGCTCTCAGCAGGAGCACCACTCTCCCTCACCACCACCTCCGCCCCTCTCGCCTCAGCCTGTGCTCGTATCAGGTCGGCTTGTGGCGAGGACACCAGGTGAATGAGCCCCTGTGCTGCAGGGAGAGTGAACAGCTCCGCTGCTTGCAGCTGGGAGCACACAATCGCCTGCTCCCTTGGCCGCCTTGCCCCTGACTCCCTTGGTCGTGTTCTCGGCTGCATTTCCCATGATGCTGCTGCTGCTCCCCTTGGTTGTCCCCCTCTGAATAATTCTGCTTCCATTCGAGCTTCTGCTGCTCTTGATGCTGTCACTCCTCCCTGCACCTCCCACTCTCCCCCCATCCTCCTTCCAGACATTCTCCCCCACCATCCCCTCTCCTCCCTCTCTCTAACACTCAACGCAGCAGGAATAAGGGGAGGAGGAGGGACCTCTCCCCACGCAGGGTTGGGTCTACACAGCTGGGACCGCCTCAATGTGGAGATTAATAGGTTCGGCTGGCGGTTCGGGTGGAAGGATTGGGCGACTGCTATGGCTTGGGATGACCAGTGACCTGCAACGGTAACATCTTGTTCGGGCAGCCTGAGGAAAAGCCACATGAGGCGCCGGGCAGTGCAGTTGACAATCAGAGAAGGAGGGCAGGAGGGGCAGGGGAGAGATGGAGGGGAGGAGGAGGAGGAGGAGGAGGAGGAGGAGGAGGAGGAGGAGGAGGAGGAGAAAACAGGCTCCATATACACAGCCACACTCTGCCTGACACGTGTCATGTCCTCTTTAGCCATAAGCTTCTGAACTGCAACAGACGGTTGTAGCAGACTGTAGCAGCGCTGGAGTGACGTGTGCAGCTGTGATTGGTCGGAGAGGGAGAGAGACTGATTGGAGGCGGAGAAGAGGGGATGCTGGGGAGGAATAAGAGGAGTGAGAGAGGAGGAGACGAATGCATGCACGTGGATAGGGCGAGTACTGTGTGAGGAGGAGGAAGTGGAGGAGGCAGAGGCTGCCGAGCGTGTGCTTGCTGGTTTCGGTTGAAGAACCTTCCAGGAAAATTCCTGCAGACGCAAATGCAAGCATGGATGCACACACGTCCACAGAAACACACGCATTCGGAACACAAGTGGTGCTCTTAGCAAACGGTTCTCAGAAACTTACCATGGTGTTGCCGTCTATGAATGTCTGTGTGTGTGTGTAACAACAGAGGACTGCAATGTGGATGGCAGCAGACGAGCAAGCATGGGGAGAAAGGAGACGCACCATTGGAGCGAAGGACTCCGAGTCGAGCCATCGAGGTAGACGGTGCAGCACAGTGGGTGCCATTATCTCTTCTTGCTCCTCTCCTGCACGCCCTCCGTCACTCTTCCGCACTGCCTTTTCACCCAGTTCTCCATGCATCCCTTCTCCTCCGGCGCCTCTTGCATGGATCGACGGACCAAGTTCACGCCGATGGCTCGCATCGTGCAACGTCTTCAATCCTCTTTCATTGTCACCTACACTGCTTTTAATTGCACCGCTTGTACCACTTAACGGAGATCTTATAGATGGCAATGATTCGAGGATGTCGTGTAGACCAGTATGAGGCATCTCGTCATCAGAAAGCCACAAAAAACCCAAATGAATTTGACGTGTATTGGATGGATTTTTTTCATGAGACGATGTAACATCTGCATCATCCGTTTGCAAACCTTGTGTTGCTCCGGTGCGTCTCATGCTGATCGTGGTAAGCAGGTCACGTAAGGCGTATCCTGCACAGATGGATTCTAGACGTCCATGAAGTGGGCCCTGCATAAAACATTTGAGCAAAAGAACTTAGTGGTTAGGCAAGTTCGTGGTTAAGAGCATGCGGTAACACTACAATTTCAAATCATCTCTTGTGTCGTAACCGCGTCTCGCCAAACAGAAGACCAGGACAAACTGACGCGATACAGTACATGTGGACGCTTTTCGAAAGGGTTTCGGGAGAAAAGCCTTCGTACATAGCTTCGATTTTGTGCAAATTTCCCCACAAAACGTTGTGGTCTCACTTCCAGCCCAGATGCTTCTATAATTTTGCGAATCGCGCGATTCGTGTCGCACCTTAACCGAGATGATCAAGTCTGGAAGAGGCCGCCGCCGCACACGCTTCCCAACGCGCGATTCAAATCCGAATGCGCTGCCGCCACCCTTAGGTCCTGAAAAGGTGTCCGATTGATTCCTCATTGCTAATGGGATCTTGCCGAAGAGCAACAACTGTCCGTTGGCGATCGCTGAGTTAGTATCGAGGCTTGGCGTAGTATCGGCTTGTACGACCCACGGCTCCCCAGCTCCCTCGAACAGCACAGTAGGAGCGAAGAGCGAGTGCGGGGCTTGTACGACCCACGAGAGGAAAGCGCCGTGTCCAGCGAGTGTAACGAGGGTGCATGCAGCGAGAACCAGAAGCAATTGCATGGTCAGCGGAAAATTCGAGCGACCGGTCTTCTCTCGACAGTTACTACTTGTTGTAGCGCTATTCATGGGTTCCGTTGTCCCTCCCCTTAGAAATGTCTCCATCCCAGACATCAGGGAACCATGATCTTGACGCACCCACGAGTCGCCAAGACAATGCGGCAAGAACGTATTATCGAGTCTCCGCTCGCTGTCGGCTCGTTTGCGCTCCTCGTTCTGCGCACCCGCGTTTCTCCCACTTGTTACTGGCATGGCGAAGGCCACGGGATTCGCCGAGGGGCGCCGCGTTAAGGTTGCCGCCCGAGGGTGCGTCAACTCGACACGTCGTCTCAGAGGCTTTGACAGCAGAGAGTTGCGCAGCAGAGAGCCAGACTGATTTGAGCGCAGATTGAGAAATTCGCAGGGAGGGCGAGGTACAGAATCCGATTTGAAGCTTCAGTCGGTGTGCACTTCTAACATGTAGTTCCGCAAAGACAGCAGGGTCCTGACATTTGGGGCGATGCGGGTTAAAAGGGGATTACGGTTCAGAGAGCCGGTTATGGGAGGGCAGGCGAGGTGAGCCTGGCTGGAAGCACCGACGAGACGACTGGCTGAAGCCCGATGAAATGGACGCGGCGGAACCGTGAGCTTGTTACGTTCGTACACAGTTTCCGTTCGTACTGTACGGACATCCGTACGGAAGCTTCCACACGTATTCTTCCTGTTCGAATTTGCATCAGACAGAGCGAGTCTCGTCGGGACGAGGCTAGCTGGAATATGTTATCGTGTGGATTCGATGGACGAAGGTTATGGCGCCGCCCGCAAGTTCGCCAATGCCCACGATCATCGTGGGCATCATGCCCACAAATCATTTCAGAAAAGACGGCAAAACTATCTGGGCAGGGAAAAGCTTCCCACATAAGCCGGAAGCAGTCCACGTGTTCGCGTGGTACGACTCGTGGATACCTGTGCCTGCGTTGCTACAAATATCTGCTCCCTGCCTCATCTAAGACGCGACACGATAATTTATTTTTGTTTCTAATTATTGGATCATTGTCCGTTGCGAATCTCATCCCAACTTATTTTTATCGTTCTCGAATAGGGACCAGACGGTGCGCTGTGCAGCCGCCTGGCTGGACATTGGAGGGAAAGCCGTACAGTACATAGTTTGTACAATAACTGGAAGCAGTCCACTTGCTTGGCCTTCGTAGATACGTGTGCCTGCGTTGCAACAATATCTGCTCACGGGAATTCCCAAATTGTTTCTTATTATTGAATCATTGTCCGTTCTAAATCTCATTGCCACTTCTTTTTTCGCGCTCAAATAGGGAACGGTGGGCGTGCTGTGAAGCCGCCTGGCTGGACTCTGGAGGGAAAGCCGTACTTAGTCCGTACAATTACAACACTGCGGAAGCGTTCACACGAATATCCAAGACGTACGGACTTCAGCCAGCATAGCGGGCAGGCGCGCGCAGAACATAGATAGAATAGCCAGCCATCCAACCGAACAGTCCGCTCCGCATCTGACATCCCGGTCACGCGGGCGGACAGGTCGGTACGTTACGGTGACATCACATAGGCTTACAGCGCCAGCGGCAATTGCTGACGTGTATCTAGTGCTTGAACTCGTTATTGCGAAAGAGTATGGTATACGACAGCACACTATATCCACCTTACGATAAGAACTTGGCAAGTTTCACTAATGATCAGCGGGCCGGGTTCAAACAGGTACGGTACCACAAAAACTAGATTGCATTCAAGCAACGACAAAATTAGGCATTCCACATACACTGCATGAAAGGGTGTAGGCTGATCTTAAGTGCTTCAACTTCAAACATCACAGTTGGAAACAGCAAGCAACCCAGCAACTACACATTCACAAGGTCAGCTGCTGCTCCTGCTGCCTCCCCTACCCACACACTCTGCTCTTTCCTCTCGAACCTCCTGCTGCCCATGGCATGGCACTGCTCCTGATAGCAGCCGACGACAAAGCAACTGCAGCAGCAGCCACCCTACAACCGCCATCACCGCAGCTAACCACAACCACCACCATCCACACCCAAACCACCACCACGAGCGTGCTCCTCTCGTTACACTCCGACCCCGACCGCTTACTTCTTCTCCTCCTTCTCCTTCTCCGCGGCGCGCTTCTTGCGGATGCCTGCAAGCCGGGCGGTGGTTCTCTCCTGGCGGAGAGTCTCGTACGCCTTGACTGAGCGCAGCTCCTCCGTAACAGCCTCCAGCGGCACGTCCTTGGCGGGCCTGACAATGGGCAGGACGGCGCCCACGTGCTGCACGGCGGCCGCCAGCTCCTCAGGCGAGGCGTCGCCAGCCTGTAGAGATAAGGGGAGAGGGGAAACCACAGGGGGGCACAGGGTAAGTGAGAGGGAGCTCCTCGGTGACAGCTTGCAGAGGCACACGTCCTTGGCGGGCCTGACGATGGGCAGGACAGCGCCCACGTGCTGCACAGCGGCTGCCAGCTCCTCAGGGGAGGCGTCGCCGTCCTGCGGATGGGGGAGGCGGAGGGGGAGGCGGAGGGGGAAGGCGGAGGGGGAAGGCGGAGAGGGAAGGCGGAGAGGGAAGGCGGAGAGGGGTTCCGGGGGGAGGGGGAGAGAGGGGGAGGGGGAGAGAGGGGGAGGGGAGTTTGAATGGAGAGAGGGGGAGGGGAGTTTGAACGGAGAGAGGGGGAATTGGGGGAGCACAGGCTGAGTAAGGGGCCCCAAAGGCTTGGGCATAGACACGTATCACTAATGAAAGTACGTGAGTGTGAGAGGGGAGAGGGGGCCAGCAGATCCAGGTTCACGGCCACCTTTCCCAATGCCAGTCAGACACTCATCAAGACAGGAAAACATAATGCCAACGAGCCGCTCCTAAATCAGACAGACACGGCCTATGAAGCGACTCCCACACCATGCCGTCCCTGTCCCCCCACCCCGCACATCCCAACCCCCCTGCACTCGCCAAGCTACTCTTCTACATTCCTCTTTACACCCTTGAGCCCGACCTCCAACCTACCCTACCCTCCTGTAACCCTTCTCCCCTCTCACCCTGTCCCTCCCCTGTCCACTCCCTTTCCACCCCCTTTCCTCCCCTCTAACCCTGTCCCCCCCCTCTCCACCCCTTTCCTCCCCCTCTCCTCCCCTCTAATCCACTCCTCCCCTCTCCTCCCCCTCCCCCTAGATAAGCCACGTGTCCTCACCTTGGGCTTCTTGGAGCGGCGCGGGAACACGACGAGCTTGGCCTTGTACGCCTTGAGACGCGCCGCGTTCGCCTGCAGGCTCTCCAGGCTGCGGTTGCGGCGGCGCGAGTCCACGGAGATCCCGATGGTGCGCGCAACCCTGATGGGGATGCCCGCCTCCTGTGCGCGCGCGCGAAAGAGGGTGGGCGGAAGCGGGTGGCATGAGGAGATGGGCGGAAGGGGAGGGAGAGACAGTTTGGCGAGTGAAACCGATGAAAACACGAGAGGATGGCAGGGAATACGACCGACGGACGGAAATGGCGGGGAGAACAGCGAAACCATACGGAAATGCAAGCTGCACGAGTCTGTACCCCCCCCAGGCTTGGTTGCAACAAAACCTCCGCGCAAGTCTCTAGGGCGTATTTCTTGCTGCAATAAGATTGCCTCCTACGCAACACTCGCACCGCTATGCGAAGCTAGAGATCCTAACAAACTCTAGGTTTACACCGACTCGCTGCGACTAAGGCTCTCTCGCGATCCACCATCTCACAGCCGCCAAGCAAACAGCCCGGCTCTCTCGCTACAGCATCATGTGATTCGCGCGCTTGCCTAGCCCCAGCGAGTCATTGCAAGAGACGCAAACAACCGCGCAACAATTACTTCCGATTGTTGCACTGCCATAGGAAACTCTTAGCAGCGAATGGCCACACTCCTTACCGCCAGACCAGGCATGCCCGGTAACAAATCACCAGAACGGGAACACGATCCATCCTTTATAAACCTGCCGTACCTGCTGCATTACGAACGAATTTGCGAGCGAGCCGGGAAGAAAGACGCGGGTAAAGAATATAGTACAGAAGCAACGGGAAGAGGCCGGGATGCCGAGAGAAAGGCAAGGGACGCACCCTGAGCTCAGCGGGGGTGAAGCCGCGGCCCTCGCGGATCTTGGAGTTGTAGCGGATGCTAGGCGCGTGCACCTCCGGCCGCAGCGGCCCGGCTGTGGGGCGCGGGAAGATGCTCACGGCCTTCTTCTGCCTCGCTGCTCGACGAAAAGAGGGGGGAAGCGGAATGGGAAGGAGGGGAGGGGGATGGGTTGGGGTGGGGTGAGGGGAGAACACATATGGAGTTATGAAGATGCGCACGGACTTCTTCCGCCTCGCTGCTCGACGAACGGGGGGTCAGCGGAAGGGGGGGAGGGGAAGGGGAGAAGGGAGGAGGGGGGGACAAAACAAGGATATGGAGTTGTGGGGGTAAGATCAGTCTTATTCTGCCTCGCTTCTATCGGAGCGCGAACAAGGAATAGAACCAGATTATTTCGGTTCAGGACGTGAAAGGTGAGTGCATTAAGAAGGGGCTAAGAGACGATACTCATCGGCTCTTTAGCATCAACGATGGGACAGACAAAGAAACGGTGAGTGCATTGACGCTAACATCAATTGCGCCAGCACGCACCGATCCGTCTGCGCTTCTTGCGGGCCGGTTGGTTGAACCATGTCTTCACGTACGACTGCCAGTCCTTGTGGAAGTGCGCATTCGGCACCTGGTTGTTGTGTCGCACCATGGCGGCGTCACGTTATCTGCCGCTTCTAACGAATCTGCTCGCGGCTTTAGAGAAAAAACTTCCTCCCCTGTGGATTGAGGGAAAGGAATTGGGGAAGGAAATCGGGAAAAAAAGTAACGGGGGAAAAAATGAGAAAGAGGCGATGCCGGAAGTGCTTGCCATAGCGAAATCGCAACAGCGAAGTTGCAAAAGTCCTCACGACGCGAGCGACAGAATAAAGCGTATGGATTTCGAGCCGATCCTAGATAACTGGTGCTGAAGGAAGAATCGACCATCTGCTCATCTCGAAGTCTACGACGCGCTAAAAAAAGACGACTCCTCAGTCGCGCAATTCCTCGATCTACCCTGCAAACCCTCGCGACCCAACCTACAGCCCGACGGTACAAGGACGAACAACCAATGGCCTTCATTAATCACAACCAAAATGCCCCGCATAATGCATAGCTCCGAATCCCGTAATCAAGACCTCATCGCGGTACGGGAACTAAACCTAAGAAACTTAGTCTCGAGCTAGGGCATGGCTGGAAACGCACCAGGGAGGGCGAACGGAGAGGGGGGGAGAAGGGTTTGCTGGGAAAGGAGAAAGGAAAAAGGCGGAGAGGCGTTTATGCTGCAGACGGAAAGGCTCGGACTGAGTCTCAGGCTGGGAGGGGGCCTGGGGCTTGCCGCACGGAAGCATGGACGGGAGGGAGAGGGAGGGAGTGGGGAGGGGATACGATTGGAGGGGAAAGGACAGGGGAGGGGAGGGGGAGGGGGGAGGGGAGGAAAGGGGGAGTATGATGGTAGAAGGCGGGAGAAGTGGCGGACAGGCTTTGAAAAGCTGAGGGAGAGGGGGGGGAACTGCGCGACAATCCAGGGGGGTTTGCGGCATCGAGGTGCGAGGGAAAACATGAGCATGGGGAGAGGGGGTAGACATCTGCGATCGATAAAGCGAAGTCTTCGTGGTGGTAACTAGCCCACAGCCATCAGCTGTTTCCGTGGTTTACCACCAGAGTAAGCCATACCAGGGATATCTACAACAACTTAAAAACAACTTACTGAAATATTTTCTTTCAATACTATTGTTTAACCATCAGCTTGTTACACTGGAGGGATGGGCATGGAAGTTATACGGGGCTGTTTTGAACCTTCTCCCAGTAGCTTTTGAATTATGATGCAGGTTTCAGATGCTGCGCATCAGATTTTCAGCAAAACCCAGTAGAAGCCATGGCTAAGGTGATATTTTGATTGGTAACGGTATTAGGGGATATTACATTGGTACAAACAAACCACAATCGAGGGCCAAATAAGGAGCATGTACTACCGTATTAACAGAGAGTGATTGCAACATCTGTGTTGCTCTCCAACACTTATGCTTATTCCCATAACACACTTCAAGAGCTCCTTAGCGGCTTGTCGCTGTGAAGTATGCAGCAAGAAGGCCTTATTGTGGAGACTCTTGTAACCTCGTGGTTGCAATACGAGTGGTATAACCTCGTGGCTGTAACCAAGGAAACCGGGTGCAGGAAGAGCTGAAACGATGGCATGAAGAGGGGGTGGAAGGGTTAAAACAATAATCCCCCACCAACCCACCCCACATATTGTGGTAGGAAGAAGTGGCCATGCTGTTGCTTCTGCTCCAGCTGCATCTGCTTCTGCGGCTGCTGCTGCTGCTGCTGTTGCTGCTGCTTCTGCTGGTTCTGGCTCGCACAAGACTGTGGTAACACAGTGACAGGGTCTGCATCAGTCGTGAACGCTTCATGCTTGCTCAAATCTGCTGTACTCCCCGTGCCACCTGCAGACGGAGAATACTTTGCTGGAGAGCTCGGGGTGAACACGGGGCTACTATGCGAGGTGTGACTATACTGAGATTCAGACTCCGAGAGAGAAGCTAATAACGGGAGGCTGCTCCAGCTCCCAAGAAGGGAGATGGCGTCCTGTACAAGAGAAGAGGGCGAGGAGAAGAGATCTGACGTGTAACTAGTGGTTGGCGAAGTAGGCATAGAATGGCTGAGCAGGTGAGGAAGATAATAGTCGCTGTACAAAATGACTTCGTCATAGTGCCCTTCGGTAAAGGCACCATCCACGTCATTGCTCTCCCAGCTGCTGACAGTGGTCGAAGTTGGAATAAGTGTTGCACTGTAGAAGGTTGCTTCCGTAGTGGGACAAAACCACGGGTGACGAAGGATTTGCGCTGCTGTGGGCCGTCGATCCTCCTCTTTTGCCAACATCCAACAAATCAAATCTTTCGCTACTGGCGAAACCTCCTTCCAAGCTGAACCGCTCTCTTCGTCAAAAGTAAAACTGCCTTCGCGAATAGATTCGCCGATTTCGTCGTCGTCGTCGCCACCGAAAGGAACGCAACCAGAGAGCAACACGAAGAGCACCACTCCCAAGCTCCACACGTCGGCGGGAAACGAATAGCGCCCGGAGAATACCTCCGGCGCAAGGTAATACGCGCTTCCAGCGACTTCTTTCGCGCCACGACGGTCTGCCGCTTCGATGACTGATAACCCAAAGTCTGTCAGCTTGACCAACGACGAGTCGCTCGGATGTGGGTTACATGAATCCTGTCCCTTCGCATCGCGATCTGTGCTGTCGCCATTGTTTCCGCCGAGAACCGTGCGATCCGCCACAGTACACTGAATGAGTTCAATCAGGGCAGAGTTGTCGGACACTGGCCTCGATAGAAGCACGTTCTCTGGCTTCAAATCTCGGTGCAGCACTCCCCGCGCATGGCACTCCGCCACTGCCCGCACAATCTCCGCGAACACCGCGCGCGCGCAAGCTTCCGCCAAGTGGTCCGCCAACTCTACGAGGCGCAGCAGGTCCCCACCCGCGCACAAGTCCATAACTAGGTGCACTGAGCGGGAATCTTCCCAAGCTCCAGCCAACGAGACGACGCCGGGACATCCGGCCAGCCGTCGCATGATCGCAACCTCCCGTCGCACGGCCTCGCGACTGTCGTGCGTGGCGAGCGACGATTTCGCGATTGACTTGCATGCGAATCTCTGACCAGTGGCGCGCTCGCGACATTCCCGCACGACCCCATACTGTCCGCGACCTATCTCATCACCGACATCGTAATGATCGCACAGATTTCCCGAGTTCAGAAGCGCTTTGCTAAGGACGGCAATCGATGGTCCCATAAAAATGGCCTCTGGATGAAGAAACGTCGAAACGAGGGAAATGGCTTACGAGAACGGCCAACTCGGCCCGTCAACTCATGGAGGAAAATAGTCAAGGGAAGAATAATTCCACATTCGCGGCGGACCCTGCTGGATGGGCTTTGATAACGAGCTCGCGCGTAAAGGCGCTGTGATGCGCAAGAACGAAACAAGAACAGCTTCAGAATTGGGTGGTGGGGATGGCAGATGGAATTTGGCTGTCATGTGTCTTGACATGTGAATTTTCTGATTTGACTGGGCAGGCTGTAGAGTCTGCGAGGCACGGAGATTTCTTGCACGCATCAAAATATTTGTGCTGCGAGTTTGAAGGGAAAGGGGCAGCGGGACGAAACGAAAGGAAACGGAAATGAACGACCAGCGCCAGCCGCGCAGCACCCTCCGCACCTTCTCCCATGAAGCCGGAAGCGAGCCCCCAAACCTTCCGCATCTCCGACCACCCTTTTTTTCTCCCCTCTCCCTACACACTCTCCCACGCATCGTTTCCCCGCAGCACCCGTCATTCGTCATTCCGCCTCCCCCTTGGGGGAGGGGCAAGGGGAATAACGTTGCGTCTCGGTTCGACGTTCCGAACTCCAGGTGTTCCCCCCACCGACGACCAGCTCGGTTTCGCCGCTGCACCGACGGAAAAACGTTTTTCCTTCTCCCTGATCTGCGGGCTGTACAGTATGGAGAGAACACAATCGCATTCCAATTCGCCCGAGACGAAAAAATTGCGCGCGTACGGTTCGTTCAGAAACCAGCGGTGGGACCGCCGCAATGTCTGGCATTCCTCCTGAGAGTCCCCCTGACCTGACAACCCGCTGTGGTTATCGGACTTCATGGGCGGGGAAGCGAACTGCCCGTACACATCAACGCAAGTCGCTTCACTTCGGGCAGCGGCGTCGTGTCGCTATTTTCCCTCCCGCCCTCTCTTCACCGTCCTTCCAGATCACCACCACACTGAGCACACACACTACCCAGTGGGGGTGGGAGGGAAGTGACAGGCGAACTGAGGTCAAGGATGGGCGCTGGAGGACGGCAGAAACCCGCGACTGTACTGTACAGTCAGAATGGGCCAGGACTCCTGACTTAGAGTCACGACAACAAGGGCAGAGTGTACATTCACACGGTAACTACATTTTCAAATGTACAAATGCAGGACGTTTCCCTGAACTGTACAGTTGTAGGGGAGTTGGAATGGCAACGCCAGCTTCCTTCGCTGTACGTTGACGTAACGCCTTTGACGGTTTGACCAGTTGTTGAAATTCTGACTCAGTCGTTTCGCTGGTGCTGTATAGAGAACTACGATATAAAGAGCAGATTTCTATTATTAGTGGAGAATCATAATTGAAGCATACATACTACCAAAATGTCAAGAGGGGAAGGAGTGCACACGATGAAGTTTTTTCTATAAATGATTTTTTTTAATTAATAAAATTAAGGGATTCACATAATGGAAAATTACACAACAAGTATCCACATTATTGTTATATGTCAATACTAATATATATATATATATATATGCATGTTTTGTATTTTTTCAAACTTTGGGTATAATTAAAAGTTTCGAGGGAGGTTTTAGAAATAATTTTTTACCCTCATATTTCTGTACACACCGTCGTTGAAAATAGATTAGTTGTAGTTGGAATAGTGAAAGCGAATTAGGTTGTAAAAGAGTTAGCGCACCAACATCTATCGAGGTCGGATATCCCTGACCTCTAACAAACACTTGATTCGTTCCAAATGCCACTTCCCGCCCTGACATAATGCAACGTGGCAGCGCGTCCACCACGGTTCAGATTAGAATACGTGTACCTGACAGAGGTTTTGGATATTCGTCCCCTGAAACCCTTCTCAAGGCTTTACGGATTCCTAACTACAGTGTCCAGTTGCTGTAAACCCTCCAACAGCGAAGTTTAGCGAAGCTTTTGTGTCTTCGGCTGCAAGCTAAGTGGTTGACCAGTTTGGTGTGGTCCAGGCTGGATTTGTGTCATCGCGAGTAAATTTTGACCACGTGCCCGTACGTGACGCGTCAGAAATAGCATCCTCCGCTCAGGCGGAATACCGTGCAGCACAGAATGCACGGGAGGCGGAATCAGCATCGTCGATTGTCAGTCTTGGAGGATTTCCCGTCGAAGAACCTGCCCAACAACCAATCCCCGCGAACCGTGCGGAACAACAGAAACGACCCTTTCCGTCAATAACGATTCCGTCAATGTCCCACCGTTTGACGGAATGGTAACCCCAATGCCAATTTCCTTCCACCCCACCCTATAAAGATTACCCCTCAGCTCCTCCCTGACCAGCTTCTAAACGTGACCAGCCGACTATTCTTGTAGTGTTTATCTACAATCGCGAACCGCGGATTATTGAAGGAGCGATCAGCAGGCAGTTACGAATAACTCAACCACGTCCGATCCTATTTCTCAGTTGCTGCTGCCCCTTCGTCAGGCAGCGACACTGGTGTCTACGGCTGATCAGTTTTGGAAATCGCACAACCTGCGCTCTCGCCAGCTGAAGACTGACGCCGTGAGAGTGCCAGTTGCCGTATTGCCATCCGGTAGAGCTCATCGCGCGGCGCTCACCGCGCGGTGCTCATCGCGCGTCGCTCGTCGCTGGTCACTCTTTCGTCCGTTCACCGTCTCCGCAGCGTGGTTGTGCGTGGTGTGCTGCTGCGCGTGGGAACCATGAGCGGCGGAGCAGCCACAGTCCTCCCTGCGGAGAGCACTCCCCGCGTCATTCCAGGTGTGCTTCAGCGCCAACCACGCCACACCTTACCACGCCACACCGTATCACGCCTCCCTGCCATGGCATACCTCTGCCACGCCTCCGTGCCCATTCTCTCCACGGCGAACGCAATATTCCCTCCTATGCGTCGTCCATTCCGCAGTCCGTTCGCACCGCGTTCCAGTCGTGCGCAAATGCCCGTGCTTGTCGTGTTCCTTCGTTGTGGCTCATCCCTGAACGAGTTATCTCATCCCGATGTCATCCCAATGTCATCCCAATGTCAACCCTTTATCAGGAGTTGCCGGTGGTCAGAGCAATGGGCCGTCCACCACCCGGTCAGCCGGCAAAGGTAACGCACCTCCGTCAATTAAGATGGACATTTCGTTGCCGTCGCATTCCTTCGCCATGTCGTATACGTGCCGTTTCGATGACCCGCATCCGTCCGTCCGTCGCTCGTACACCCCGGTGACCCTGCATGCTTGTCGCTCCCCCCCACCTGCCCCCTTTCCTTCCCCCTCTCTCTCCCCGCAGGTCGGCGGAGGCGAGCAGCAGCGGAGATGCGGCGCATCGAGCAACAGCGATGGGGAGAGGCCCTAGTAGCACCGGACGATGACGTCAGTAGTGACGTCAGCTCATCCCCCGCGGAAGCCGCGAGGGCGTCGCTCATGCAGCAGACGGCCTCCGCGCGCAGGCGGCAGCAGCGCCGCGCCTCCCGGCGGCAATTGCGGGAGGGGCAGCGCGAAATTGAGGAGTTTTTTGAGCGGGAGGGGGAGCATCACGGGGAGGAGGAATGGCGGTGGGGTTACGGCGGCAGCAGCAGCAGCAGCGGTAGAGGTAGAAGCAGAGGACAGCAGACGTCATCGTCCGTGCCCTGGTCGCATTTCGGGGGCTTCGCGGATGGGGATGAGTTAGAGATGGCGCTAGGTAAGCTTATCAGTCCTGGTTCGGTGCTAGAACGCACACGAGATCCGTTTCTCATCTTTTGCGCTTGGTTCGGCGTTGCGAAGGTTCCCTTCCGCCTTCCGCCTCTGCTTGCGCTTCCCCTTTACTCCACTTTGCTCACCCTGCCCTTCCCCGCACCGCACACCCCACCCCGCCCACAACTCCCCCACCCCTTCCCCCTCTCTCTATCCCTCTCCTTCCCCTTCTCACCCCGCAACCTTCACTTTAGCTCATGGAAAAGCCGTTTCCTCTTTCTTAGTCGACTCTTGTCCTTTCCCTCCCCCTTGCGGCAATGGTGAGCAGCGCTGTTGCTGTCCCTAGTGGATCACCCATCGCTGCCAGCGAATGCACAGCATCGGGTCTGAAAAGACTTTCACTCGGACGCTTCCCCTTGTTCGAAAAGTCATTCTCAATCTTGATCGTCGCTCGGCCTTCCCCTCTCTCTCTCCCTCATTTGGCGCTGAGCAGCGCTGTCGCTGTCCCTAGTGGATCACCCCATCGCTGCCAGCAACAGCACCGGGTCTCTCTCGGACGCTGCTGCCGCTGCTGCGTCAGGGGACCTCTCTTACGAAGTTCGTTGCCCTCTCACTGCCCCTCGCCAATCCCCCCAACCCCCCTTCCTGTTCCCCGTTTCCGTCCCCTCAACATCCCGCCCCCCCCCTCGCCCTCCTTCCCCTCTTCCCCCATCCCCTTCTCCCCCTAATCTTCCCGTTTTTCCCTTCCCTTTGCTGCTTTCACTATTGCACACCTTGGCCACTTGCTATCCGTTTTTCCCACTTGTCCAGCTGTACGAAACTGTGTTGCTCTGTCTGTTTGTCCAGCGATCCTCTCGCCCCCTATTTCTCCGATACATGGCCGTGGTTCCTGCTACCCTCACTTGTCCCCACAACCGTGTTCGCTTGCATCTCAATTCCCCGCCTCACCGATAGCACACCTTCTCACCAACAAGTCTGCTCTCTTTTGCTGCTTTACTGATGCGGTGTTCCCACCGCTGCTGTATCTCCACCCACCACCTCCGCCCACCTCTGTCACCCACCACTTCCGCTCTCTCCTGCTGCTGCTGCAGAACCTGACGGAACTGGAGAGTGTGCAGTGCGGGCTGTCAGGGGATCAGATCGACCACCTGCCCACCCTGCATGTCGGCACGCAGCACTCCAGCGAATCCTTTTCAGACGAGTGAGCACACAGAGATCACCTTTGTCTGTTCATGTTTTGTGTTCTGTGTGTGTGCGCGCGCACGTGTGCAAGCGCGTCTGCAAGCGCGTGTGCAAGCGTGTGTGCGTGTGTGTGTTCGTTTCCTTCTATTGCCTTGTATGGTACTCTTCCTGAGCATGTCTGCCCTTTTTTTCTGTCAAAATTTGAAGGGAGGGGGGGTCCTCGTTGAGAGCCTGCATCATCTACGTCTTTATTTGATGTGCAAAGCTAACGGCATGCTGTCCTCGTCTTGCTTTATTCCCTTGGTGGTGATTGCAGGCTGTGCAGCATATGCCAGGGCGAGTATGTGGAGGGAGATGCCTTGCTGGTACTGCCTTGTCAGCACCGATTTCACCGACCCTGTGCAACCGAGTGGCTATCGCAATACTCCAAGCGCTGCCCTGTCTGCAAAGCTGAGGCTTGTCAAGCGGCAGGGTGTTCCGGAAGTGAGGAGGAAAATTAGTGTTATGCAATTGTGTGCGTAAGAGCAAAAGTGAATGATGATTGCTAAGGGTAGGGGATGGATCGATGTTAGCTTGGTTAGTGGTGTCTGTGTGCGGGGTGGGTGGGTGGGTGGCTGGGATGAGTTATGGTTGGGTGCATGTAGGTTTGTCATCACCTATGTAATATACTGGATGAAATTGATGTATAGCAGCTGTTAATAATGTAATGTGTTTATCTGTGCTGATTGAGATCCGAATTGAATACACAGCGGCTGAAATCCAGAATATGATTCCCGAGAAGATTCGATTTTCTCGAGTGGAACAACGGAAAACACCCAAAAAATCATTGTGGTCAAGAACTGCCGCCAAATTTCCAGGGCGTGTTTGTATAGCTTGTCAAAGTTCTATAGACGCTTCAAACAGCGTTGTGCTCCCACCCCAACACTCTGATATTGGGACGAAAAGCTTCTCAGGCAGGAAAGGTTGAATGGAGGAGTGGCTGTGACGTTGTGCAAACAGCCACTACCAAACTTTGAGATCTAGCCGGGCAGGAAACATATTTGGTTTTGGTCATGGCGGAAGATCTTGTTCCCGCCGTATCGTTGCGTCCATTGTCGGATTGAGACGAGTTGCCCCTTGGGCAACCAGTCGAAACTCAAAATGCAGTCAGAAACAGACACGACCATATCAAGAATCCAAGGTTTAGATACGTCGAATAATTTTCCGCAACAAACCTCCGTGGGATTGAGAGAACCCTGTGGCTCCGCACGGAGGCTTCTCCCTTTTCACCCAACCCACCCTGCCCCAGCCACTGCCCCACCCAACCACCCCGCACACGGCTAGCCTTCCACGTCCAGTTTACAACTTTCCGTCCACCATCCGCTTGAGCTGCCGAAGCGTTTTGTTTTCCCCTCTTATTTTCCCCTCTATCCTCTCCCTCTTTTTTCTAAACAAGCCGTGGTTTCGTGAAGGACGTATTAACCACGGTAAACGTGCAGCAGTTCGTATGGGTCCGAATTAAGTATAGACGGGAAAACCCAGTTCGGCCACACCTCAACCATATGGAAGAGGTGGAGTTGTGGGGGATGAGGGAACCTGAAGTGGAGGTCCTGGTCCTTCCAGAACTGGACTACGTGCACATTTTGTCGTTCAACTGCCCCGATTGGGCAGACTCGGCTAAGCGCAAATTCTACACGGGCGTGAACATGAAAGATTTCCTCGCCACAACCCCAAAGATTCTTCAGAGACCTTCAAGACAGTGAGTATGAAACTTATATATCACTTTTTGACGTCCCGAGAATATGCTACCCTCTCAGGGTGATTACGCTTATACCGTTTCAAGCCATCAATCCATCTCCAACGCGAGCCCCCTTTCTCTTGCCCCACCGTCTCTCTTGCCCCCCCTTTTTCCGTTGCTTGGGTTTCAAGCTTTCACTACAGAAAGCGCTAGGGTTTCATCTTCCATTCAGGCGTGGGATAGTTCAGTGAGGTGTTCTCAAGGTTGATATGCAGTGCACAATCAAACAGCTTTGTTCGGTACGTTACGGTTCTTAGCGGTACGCTGACTTCACCGTGTTTTACCGTATGAAATTATACTCAACCGCATTGGCAGATCAGCAGACCAGCATTTGCGAACACTGCAAAAGCTTGAGTTCAAACACTTCCTCTACCCTCCATCAGCCATAGCCTTAGACAATATTTCTGCCTGTGCGCTTCGGTTGAACTTGCGTTGTCCGCCACGAATCGCGAGCCGTCTTAAGGAGGAAGCGGGGTCATATATATTTGGGCGTTTGAAAAAAAGTTAGGTCGAGAGACGCACAAGTCGCCGACATTGTACGACGCTTTGTCATCTGCTGCAAATCGGTTTTCTTTTTCCCTTTTCCTTGGCGTAATGCCCGACTACAACTAAATATTCAAGCTTTGCCTAGCGTGGCCTTCGGTTCTCCCTACTACTAAAATTGTCATAACAATACCGACTTGCTAATAACCGGTCCTCGCTTTTCGTTACACGCCGCCGACCATGTATAACTCGCTTATAGAGCACGATTTAGGAATCGGCGAGGAGGATACGTCGCCGGACCTTGATTCGCAGATACCTCTTGTTCGCAACCTGTCGAGCTCCACCAACAACAACGCCATTAACAACAACACCGGCACCAACAATAACAATAACAATAAGAACAACAATGACAGTAACAACGAGAACAGCGCAGTCTCCTTCCCGGCCGGAATGCGCGTGCTCGCTGTCGACGACGACCCGCTTTGCCTCATGATTCTCGAGCGAATGCTGCGACAATGCTCATACTCAGGTATCAGCCTTCTTCGATGGTAACAAAAGACAAGAAGCAGTTTTACTTCCGGCTTTGTTGTCAGTTTCATGTTTGTGTGGGTTTTTTTCTCGTTCTCTGTCTCAGCCTCTCTCTCCCGCTTTTCCCCTCTCTCCCCCTTCCCCCCCTTCCGCCCGCGTCCCGCTTCCTCCCCCTACCCCCTCGACCTGTCCCCCGCCAGTGACGACATGCAGCCGCGCGGCGACGGCGCTGTCTTTGCTCCGGGAGAACCGCGACCGATTCGACCTGGTGATTAGCGACGTGTACATGCCCGACATGGACGGCTTTAAGTTGCTCGAACTCATCGGCCTCGAGCTCGACCTTCCTGTTATCAGTGCGTTCGCCCGCCGGCTTCAGACACTGTTACCCCGGTTACATCTTTCTCCTTTGTAACCTCGTCGCGGCTGTCTTTCAGTCGTTGCGTTGCGTCTCCTCTCCCGCTTCGTACCCTGTTATTCTGGATTGATTGGTTTGCAGTGTGAGTTGCTTTCCTCGCGTTCGCATTCCGTGCTCTCCTCTTCCGTTCGTATTCCTGACTTGCGTTTCAACCCCTCGTTACTCGCCATGGTTCCGTCATTTGCTTCTGCGGACTCTTCGGTTCCGTTCCCCCTTCCCTCTTTCTCCGTCCCACTTCCGTCCCACTTCGCTCTCCCTCCATCCTTCTTCTCTCCTGCCCTCCCGCCTCCCCTTCTATACCCTACCTTCTCTCTCCTCTTCCCATTCTTCCCGCGCATAGGTCGTCCTCTCTCTAGTATCCATATCTCAATTTCTATTCGCGACAGAGTCAGCAGCGCTTTCAGGAGTTCGAGATGGTTTTTTGAGTCGGCTTCCATAAAAGGGTTCCGGCGTTGATTTTTGACACTCCCGTTTCTCCCGTTCCTATCCTCTCTTCTCTGTCTCCCGTTAGCTCCCACCCCTCTGCCCCTCTCCCACCTCACCACCCCTTTCCCCTCCTCCCCCTTCCCCTTCCTCCCCCCCTCCCCCCTTTCCCCACTCCCCCTCTGGTCTCCGCTTGCGCCTTCCCGCCCTCCCACCCTCCGTTCCCGCACCAGTGATGAGCGCGAACGGGGAGACGAGCGCGGTGATGAAGGGCATAACGCACGGCGCGTGCGACTACCTCTTAAAGCCCGTGCGCATCGAGGAGCTGCGCAACATCTGGCAGCACGTCGTGCGCAAGCGCACCACTCCGCGCGACGCCGGCGCAAGGGACGCGGATGCCGCCGGCGAGTGGGACGAGGTCAAACCCGGCACGTCCGTTGCTGTTGCTGGGGACGCTGGCGGCGGCGGTGGCGGCGGCGGCGGCGGGCGGGGAGGGATAAACGACGGAGGTTTCGGGGATGGAGGGGCAGCAGGAGGGGGGATGGGGGGTGGAGGCGGAGGGGGAGGCGGAAGGGGAGAGGGGGGCGGGGAGGGCGGGGAGAGTGACGGCGAGGTGGGGGGCAAGCGCAAGAAGGAGGATGCGGTGGAGGATGCGATGATGCTGAAGAAGGCGCGCGTGGTGTGGTCTATCGAGCTGCACCAGCAGTTCGTTAACGCTGTCAACCGGCTCGGCGTTGACAGTAAGTGCTGTATTCTGCCTGCATGCTTGCTGCGTGCCTTCTGTGAGTGCTGTCCCCCGCCTGTGTTGTCTGCTCACTCATTGATGCTGAAGAAGGCGCGTGTTGTGTGGTCCATTGAGCTGCACCAGCAGTTCGTTAACGCTGTCATGGAGTGGACAGTAAGTGCCGTGTGCTGCCTGCTGCCTGCTCATTGAATCATCATCATCGGTCCTTTGTTTTTTTTTTTTCCCCCTTCGTGCTTAACTCGCTTATGTTACGCGCCTTTGTGCCCGAGCGTATGACCGCAACGGAATGAAGGCAAGTGAAACGAGGGGGCTACAGTGCTGCAGGCAACTCAACTGTTCGAATGTAATAATTATTTCTCCGACCCCGATCTTCCTCCTCTCCTTCAACTTCATTTTCTTCCCCACTCCCTCGCCCCTCTCGTTCCTTTGTCCTCTGTCTCTCCCCTGCCAGAGGCGGTGCCGAAGCGAATATTGGAGATTATGAACGTCCAGGGACTCACTCGAGAGAACGTCGCCTCCCATCTGCAGGTCAGTGCTACTGCTGCTGCTGCTCCCACTCCTGCTCCTGCTCCTGCTTTTGATCCTGCTCCCACTCCTCTTCCGACCCCTCCCCCTGCCCCTCCCCCCCCCCCCCTTCCCTCTTCCCCCCTGCCTCCGCCTCCACCTCCTCCAACACTTGTCCTCCTCTCGTTCTTTGTCGTCAACTCAGGTCCTCCCTTCCAATGCAAAGCACCGTAGAGTCAACCAGATGTCGTCCGCAACCCCCACCTGACCTCTCAACAACTCGTTTGTCTCCCTCCCTCCCTCCCTCCCTCCCTCCCTCCCTCCCTCCCTCCCTCCCTCCCTCCCTCCCTCCCTCCCTCCCTCCCTCCCTCCCTCCCTCCCTCCCTCCCTCCCGCCCCCCCTCCCTCTCCTCCTCCTGCCCCCCGCCTTCTCCCCATATTTTCATGTACAGAAGTACCGCCTATACCTAAAGCGGCTAAGCGGGGTGAACCCACAGCCGCACCCAGTGGCCTCCTTCCAAGCCACAGAGGGCAGTGCGTTCGGGGGCACGCTGCACGTGCAGCTACCCGGCTCACGCTCCTCCAAAACCCCCTCCATGAGCCTCTCTGATGCGGTTGCTGCTGCTGCCGCCGCTGCTGGTGCTGGGGGCGGGCTGGGCGGCGCCGGTGGGATTGGGGGTCGAGGGGGAGGGGGAGGGGGAGGGGGAGGGGGAGGGGGAGGGGGAGGGGGAGGGGGCGGCGGAGGTGGTGGTGCCGGCGGCGGGGGTCTTTTTGCTGGGCTTGGCGGGTTGGGTGGTTTAGGCGGGGGGGATGGTGTTGGCGGCGGTGGTGGTGGTGGAGGTGGTGGTGGTGCGGCTGCTGCGGCTGCTGCAGCGGCAGCAGCAGCAGCTATGGTCGCTGGTGGGGGCTTGGACGCGTCCACTCTAGCCACAATCGCACAGATTCAAGCCATTCAGCAGCAACAGCAGCAGCAGCAGCAACAGCAGCGGAGGCAGGCAGGCGCGACAGGTGCCAGCTCCCCATTGGCCCATCTGGCTGCTGGAGGAGCGGGAGGAGGAGGTTTTGGAAACTCCGCTTCAGCAGCAGCCATGGCAGCAGGGTTGTTGGGACCTGCAGCATCCAGAATAGGAGCAAGCCATGAGTACGGATCAGCAGCAGGGGAAGGCGGCGGTGGTGCTGCTGCTGCTGGTGCGGGTGCAGGTGGTATGGCAGGGATAGCCCAAGCGCTAGGCCTTCAGAATCTCTCTCCCTACGAGCTGAACCTTTTACTGCAAGCGCAGCAGGAGAGTGTGGTGCGACAGAGGGGCGGAGGGGGAGCAACAGGGGGGGAGGCGGAGGGGGAGGGGGAGGGGCGGCTGGGATTTTTGGCGGTATGGACTCATACCTACAGGCTTTAGCAGGGCAGGTGGGATTGTTGGGTGGTGCTGGTACTGGTGGTGGTGGTGCTGCTGGTGCTGGTACAGGTGGGGGTTCTGCTGCTTCTCCAACACACGCTGGGCTTGCAGGGCTGGCTGGTATAGCAGGACTGGGCACAGTGGGTCTGGCCGGGGGAGGAGGCTTGGGAGGGCTTCTGGAAATGGCTACAGGGGGTGCGGGAGGAATGGAGAATGGCGGAGGAGTGGGCGGAGGGGGAGGAGGAGGGGCAGCAGGTCTGCAGGAATATGCAGCACTTAGGGCTACTATGGCCGCATCGGGATTCAATCTGGGCGGTCAAAATAATGCGGCTGCTCTGATGAATCTAGGGATCTCGCGGGGGGTTGGAGGAGCAGCAGCAGGCGGAGCGGGAGGAATAAACAGCAGCCTTTTGGATCCGTCACTCGGCTCACTAGCAGGTGGGGGAGGAGGAGGAGGTGGAGGAGGAGGGAGAGGTGGTTTAAATGACCCTAGTCTGTACTTAGCTTCGGAGCTTACAGAGGCTGGGGCAGGAGGGAGGTCTGTGAGGGATGAGTATGGGTTGGTGGCGCGGGGGTTGGCGTCGCAAGGAGTGGATACTGACCTCTCGTTGTTGCATCAGCTTATGGGGCAACAACAGGGCGGGAGGAATGGGGGAATAACGCACTAGGCACGAGCAGCTGATAGGTGCTTGGTTGCACACAGGTGTGCTTCATTCAATGCTTTCCATTGTAGGTATGGTTCACCCGGTCTGGAAGGGAATGGAATGAGCATAGGGGATGGTATGTCTGAGTGCATGTTATGGTGTGAGATCATGCCATGGCTAGATGCTTCACATCGGTAAGATGGGTCTGCAAGACGAACGTTTTTATTGGGTCTGACATTGCTCTTCCAACCTATTCAGAACTTAAGGTGTTAAAAATGTTGCAGTAGTGTATATCTTGTGTTTAGGCATTTGCTTGCATGCCATGACTGATCACTAATATAAAGTAGTTCTCGTAGGGACACCTCAGGCTGATATTTTCATGATAACGTACATATTGTCTACAACCAATTGCACAACCTAAACCAACATCGGCGCATTCTAGGCATCGCATTGTCACGCTGGATAACTCTGGGCTGGTAAGGGAAGACGATCCTTTCAATGACTAAAACGCGTACAATGCGTACTCTGTTGGTGGTGGTGCTGGTAGTGGTAGTGGTAGTCTGCGCGTCACTTCCCATGGTCGCCATTTCTTGGCAACCTGAATCTCACAGTAGGCTCCGTTCGAGCGGTCCGAGAGTGTCTTGGTGACTGAACTGAGCCTGTTAAAAGATGACGCGTTTCAGAGGCGAACCGCAAGCCACGCAAAGAGATATTAGCGAGTGCTACCGGCGATGGAGAGAATTCGACCTCTTTCATTTGCCATCTGCTCCATTGACGCGTCGAAAGAAGCGGATACTCAAGGCCACTGGAGCGGTTCGAGGGATGCGGGACGGTAGCGCGATTGACATCATAACCGAATGTTTATCATTTCGGTGGGATGCGTTACGATATGTCGTGTCGTCGATTTGTCTATAGTCCGAGAAGTGCTGTGCCCGCAGCGCGCGTCGTGCGACTCGAAAGGAGCTCGATGGTCCAACAATCACCGCATGCCACGTCAGCTGATCAACCAGACGCGATCGCACAGCTGATGCCATTTATCGAAGAAGCGTCGTCGACTAGGACGGTAAGATTGACGACTGTGAAGCTAGTCAGACGTCTGACCGGCTATTGAGAATTCTCAAATGGTGCTACTGGTCATGCCAGCTACGACATCGGAAGGAAGCACTACCCGCCTTTCAGCCTCAGCCTGTGCCTCCTAGTCACCCTCACGCTCCCATCTGTACTGCCTGCTTCCACGAAACCCGCAGTTCTGACGCTCCCACGACCCGCGTAATGGCCTATGAAGCATCAACCGCCATTCGGAGCTCGAGTTAGCTTTGTCTTAAACAGCGAATCTTGGAATTTCGAGCGTGGCGGTCCGAACTGTTCGACCATCGAACTTGCGGAGTTGCGGAGTGATTCAGCGTGCTGGCCGCCTTCGCTTGCGGAGAAGCTTATCTCCCTTCGCTTCGCTTGGCTCATTTCAAGTTGCTCGCCCACGACTCAGAAACGATCGAGGCGGCTCCGACTGCCGCTGACAAGGCCCGGGATTCTAATCCGCGGGCTTGCGTGGCGGCTGCACAGTGGGCAGAGAGACTCTGAGACCCGCACTAGCCACGCTGCCGCCGCCGCCGCCGATGTAACGCCTGTGGGTTGTGTTAAGGGCAATCCGCTGCGCCAAATAACACCCTCGTTTTGACCCAGTGGGTAGCGAGGTGTTACAACCGAGGACAACTCCGACGACGCCGTAGACGCCGACGAGAGGCTGTCTCAAATATGATGGAACTCGGACGTCGGGAACTCGGGCACATCTGGGCTGCAAGTGGCGGGAGTGTGCCCACCCTGGTGTGACCAGCGTTGCACAGCCGGTGCCGGTGCTGGTGGTATGGTAGCAGCGGCTTCTCCAACCAGCTGCTATCGAATCGCATGACACCCGAGACCCTGAACATGGACTTTCCAGCAGCGGCAATGGCGCAACCCGGCCAGCAAGCATCCACCAATGGCGTCGTGCCACGCGTGTGCCACGTCAGCCTGGAGTATTCCATCCCAGGGGTGAATTACTCTGCGTCAGTGGGCGGGCTGTTTAAAGTGGTAGATCTTTTTATCCGCAAATTCCCCTTTCCCCTCTCCTTGATCGTTCCGCGCCTGGCGGATTTCCCCCTGCCGAGCCTCCCGCCTGCCGAGCCTGCGAAGCAGGGTTGGGTGACGGTGCTGGGCGCGTGGGTGCCTGTGCACGTGCACGTGCTGCGTGACGTGGCGCCGTGTGGCGCACCACGGACGTTCTACCTGCTGACGTGTCGGGTGTTTTCTAAGAGGACGGCTAAGGACTTGTACGAGTGAGTATTGAAGGGAACTGGCAGAAGGGGGAGGGCGAGGGACTGGGCTGGGGTGGAGAAGGGTGAAGGGGAAAGAGGAAGGGAGAAGAGAGAAGGGTGAAGGTTGGAGAGGGGAGGAAGGAAGGGGAGGAACGAAGGGGGGGGAGAAGAGGAAGGTTTGTTCTTTCTTCCAGTCTTTGCTCCTGCTCCCTTGCCCACCCTCCCTTCCCCCAGCCGCCCCGCCCACCAATCCATAAACTCCTACCTCCGGCCTCAACCACGCGCGCCTCCTCCCTCCAGGTGCGACAGCGCCAGTGCGGAGATGGTGCTGTACTCCGCGTGGAGCCAGGCAGGCCGTGGCAAATTCCCCCTCGCTTCCCTTCTCTTCCCCTTCCCTGTTCCCCCCGCGCCTTCCCCTCCCCCCAGGTGCGCCAGCGCCAGTGCGGAGATGGTGCTGTATTCCGCGTGGAGCCAGGCAGTGGCGCATGCTGCTCACGTCATTGCGCCCCATGCTGACGTCATCCACCTGCACGACTACCACGGTGAGGGGGAGGGGAAGAGGAAGGGGGAGGGGGAGGGGATGAGGAGGTGGGGAATGGTCCTTCATCGGCTCTTTATTGTTACTACCGCAACAGTGTCCGTTTCTGCTTCCCCTCTTGCACACACTCTCTCACTCTCTTCTCTCTCTCCCCAGTCCTCTATAACCTCCACATTCCACTATCCCACCCACCCATCCCCCGCTCGCCCTCAGCCTCATTAGCCCCACTCTACATGATGCGAAGGGACTGGAACCAGCAGCACCAATCCCACCAGCAGCAGCAGCAGCAGCAGCTGCTGCAACAACCCCAGCAGCAGCAGCAGCAGCAGCAGCAGCAGCAGCAGCAGCAGCAGCAGCAGCAGCAGCAGCAGCAGCAGCAGGAGGCGGGAGGAGAGGAGAAGCCATTTCCTGCCTTTTGCATCACCCTGCACAACGGTGACTTCCAGGTGTGTTACTGTGTGTGATGGTATGCATAACGCTACACTCTGCTATGCTATGCACGTGACACATTCTTGCGATCTGCTTGTCATGCGTTTCACTCTGTATGTGGTATGCCCTTCCTCTCGCATCCTCCCTCCCACCACTCTTCATCACTCCCTCACTTCTCCCGCTCCTTCACCCACCCACGCACCACCCCAGGGCGCATGGCGAATCCGCAGTGTCGCCCACCAAGAATGGGTTCTGTCCACATTCAACGTATCTCCCTTCGAGTTCCACACCTACTGCTGCCACAGCAACACATTCAACATGCTCCATGCCGCCCTGACCATTCTCCAAGCCTGCCAGGCAGGTTCGGGGCTGGTAACCGTCTCGGAGCACTATGCCGAGAGGCTGAAACGAAAGCTGAGCCTCTTTTGGGGGGTGGAGCGGATTGTGAGTATAACGAATGGGGTGCATGAGGAGGAGAATCCGGGGTGGGGAGTGGTGGAGATAGCTGGGAGAAAGAGGGAGGTGAAGAGAGAAGTTATGAAGGCGTATGGGTTAGGGGTGAAGGGAGTGGAAGGAGGAGGGAGAGGGTGGGAGGGAAGGAGTGGAGGGGGGGAGGGAAGGAGTGGAGGGGGGGAGGGAAGGAGTGGGGGGGGGAAGGAGTGGAGGGGGGGTGGGAAGGAGTGGAGGGGGGTGGGAAGGAGTGGAGGGGGGTGGGAAGGAGTGGAGGGGGGGTGGGAAGGAGTGGAGGGGGGGTGGGAAGGAGTGGAGGGGGGGAGGGAAGGAGTGGAGGGGGGGTGGGAAGGAGTGGGGGGGGGTGGGAAGGAGTGGAGGGGGGGTGGGAAGGAGTGGAGGGGGGGTGGGAAGGAGTGGAGGGGGGATGGGAAGGAGTGGAGGGGGGGTGGGAAGGAGTGGAGGGGGGGTGGGAAGGATAGAAGAAGGGAGGGGAGCAGGAGGCAGAGGAGAGTCGGTGGTGGTGCACGTGAATGGAGGAACCGCATCAGGTGCTGGTGGTGATGGCACGGGCAGTAGCAGCAGCGGATGCAGAAGCAATAGCAGCACAAGCAGCAGCGATGGCAGCAGCAGTGGTATCAACAACAGCAGTAGCACCAGCAGCAGCAGCAGCAGCAGCAGCAACTGCGAGAAATGGAAGGGTGCAGGGCAGCACAGCAACGAGCATGCTGTGATAAACTCTGCTCCAGAGCCAGACGCCTGCTACCCTGCTCATCACCCCACCACTGCTGCTGATAGCACCACCACTGCTGGTAGTACTGGTCTCAACACTCACCATGTGCTGCCTTCTACGTTTTACATGCACGGGGTGGGTGGCACCGGTGTAGAGGCGGACGACGGCAGTCGTCTGTTTGTGTTCCTGGGGCGGCAGAGCTACCAGAAGGGCAGTGATCTGATAGCGGCGGTGGCTGCGCGAGTGTTGAGGGAGCATCCTAGAGCGTGCTTGGTGGTGCTGGGTCCTTGCACCGATTCACACGGGCGACTGGCTGTGCAGGTAATGTGGTGCCTGCTTTTGAGGCGCGTTGAAAGGCATCCGAGAGCGTGCCTGGTGGTGTTTGGTCCCTGCACGGATAGGCACGGGCGACTGGCTGTGCAGGTAATTATTCATGAGACCTGAAAATGTGGGAGCATTCTAGGACGTGCATACCTCGTGGTGCTTGCTTGGTCCCTGCACGGACGACTGGCCGTGCTGCAGGTAATGTGGTGCAGGGCTGGTTCGTCTGTTTGTTTGTTTCTAGTTGTTATGTTGTGTGCGTGTGCGTGTGCGTGTGCATGTGCGTGTTGTGTGCTCCTGCGCTCCCACTCCACCTCAACCCCTCTCCTCCTCTCCCGTCCCCTGAATAGCGTCTCTCCCGCCTGGCTGTCACAGCCTATCCCAACCGTCTGTACGCGTCCAATGCAGTGGTGAAAGCGCGGGAACAGGCAGCACTAATGGCAGCAGCGGACTTTGTGCTGCCTTCAGTCTCCTCACCTGTTCCACTCCCACTCCACCTCAACCCCTCTCCTCCTCTCCTTTGAACAGCATCTCTCCCGCCTGGCTGTCACAGCCTACCCCAACCGTCTGTATGCCTCCAACGCAGTGGTGACAGCACGGGAGCGCGCAGCACTGATGGCAGCAGCGGACTTTGTGCTGCTGCCCAGCCGCTTTGAGCCCTGCGGATTGACAGATGTGGAGTTTGCTTGGAAAGGCGCGCTGGGTTGTGGCTTTCAAGTGGTGCGTGGGAGGGTGGGTGGGTGGGTGTTACGGGGACGTGTGCTGTTCAGGGTTGGCAGATGCGCGGGTGTGTGTAGTGGTGGTCAGTGCAGTGCAGCAGTGTGGTGGTGTGGGTGAGGCAGTGAGATTGCTGCTGCTGTTGCTGGGTAGGAGCGCGCAGCACTGATGGCAGCAGCGGACTTTGTGCTGCTGCCCAGCCGCTTTGAGCCCTGCGGACTCACAGACGTGGAGTTTGCTTGGAAGGGCGCGCTGGGGTGCGGCTTTCAAGTGGTGCGTGGGTGGATGATGGGCGGAAACTGTATCAGGGATGTGTTTTGTGTAGTTGATGCCTCTCCTCTTCATTTGCAGTCGCATGCTTGTGTTGGGTGTTGCCATGGGAGAGTGACTGAGGCTTTTGTGGTTGCTGGTGGGGTGTTGTGGGGAGCATGGGAGTTGAAACAATCCGATAGGATATTGTGGAAACTTTCGCTTCTCGCTTGTGTGTAAGGCTCAGGGAGGCTCTGGCCAGTCCTTACCCGATTTTAAGGTCAACAAAAGGATGGACTCACGGTTGTGCGGTCTTGCAGGGTGGGCTGGGCAAGACCCCGGGCTTCTACCAACCGCTAGAGTAGTCGTGCTACGAGCACCAGCAGCAGCAGCTCCTAATGAGCCGCCTCAAAATTCGTTTTGCTGTGCCGTGCTGTGGTATGCTGTATTGTGACGTGCCATGCTGTCTTGCAGGGTGGGCTGGGCAAGACCCCGGGGTTCTACCAGCCACTAGACTCGTCCGGCCACGAGCACCAGCAGCAGCAGCTGCTCGCTGCCATCAATGCTGCCATGGCCGCCCCCCCTCTGCTGCTCTCCCTCATGCAGACGCACGCCACGCTGCTGCGCTTCTCACCCCAGGTATGCACTGGGGGAAGACCGAGGGGAAGGTGTGAGGTGAGGCACAGGCTACTGCATTCTCCTCTCCCTCCTGCTCTCCTGCTCTCCCTCATGCAGACGCACGCCACGCTGCTGCGCTTCTCACCCCAGGTAGGTCCTGGGGGAATGATTGTGTAGGAAGCTGTTGGGGGTTAAGGTAAGCAGGCACACAGGCGCATGCAGGCTCATGCCATACAGTTGCGCTTCTCGGCCCAGGTACTGGGGAAAAAAGGGAAGGGTGGCGTGGGGGCTATAGAGGGTCGAGGTCGTGGGAGCATCCTCCTCTTCTCCTCCCGTTCATCTTCCCCTCTTCTTTTTGTGCTCCTCTTTCCTCTCGCGCCCAGCGCTTGTTTTCCCAGTACCTCCAGTGCTACATGGAAGGACTTTTGAGGCGCCTCAAAACGCGCCCAGCGCTTGTTTTCCCAGTACCTCCAGTGCTACATGGAAGGACTTTTGAGGCGCCTCAAAACGCGCCCAGCGCTTGTTTTCCCAGTACCTCCAGTGCTACATGGAAGCCACTCCAGCTTTTATTTGAGTCAACTCAGAAGTCAACTCCTTTATCCTCCCCTCCGTCCTCCCCTTTTATGCTCCTCTTTCCTCTCTCCTCTCTCCTCTTGCGCCCTGCCCAGCTCATGTTCTCCCAGTACCTCCAGTGCTACATGGAAGCCATTCAATCCTCCTCCTCCTTCTCCTGTTCCTCCTCCGCCTCCTACCCCGCCTTCCTCCCTTCCTCCCCAATCACCTCGCTCTTCCAAGCCTGCTGCTGCCTCCCATCCCCCCCTTCACACCAATCCATCCTCCCTTCAAACTTCCATTCAAACGTCTCTTCAAGCGTCCCTTCAGCCGCTAACGCCCCCCTCGCACGCACGTTCCTCGGCCCACCACCGCCCCCTTCCCTCTCCCCTCTCCTTCCCTCCTCTCATCCTCCCCTCGCTCTCTGCCCCATCGACCTCCTCTCCTCCCTCTCCCACTCCACCACAAATCTCTTGAAGAAGCTTCTCTGGTCTTTCCTCCTCGCTGTTGCCTCATGGGGTAGGGTCTGCGGACTCAGGCAGAGGCAAAGGTGTACAGGAAAAGTGCAGTGCTCACAAAGGCGTGGGCATGGGGGGTGTGGACGTGGGAGAGCGAACGGAGGGGGAGTTGCATTTCTGTACCGCTGGAGCAGAGGAAGATGCAGCAGCGGCAGCAGCAGCAGCAGCAACAGCAGCAGCAGCAGCGGCAGCACCAGCAGCAGTTACTCGGGAAGGCAGCAGTGTTCTTCCAGAGACCCTGCTAGTTTTTGCTTGCCTTCCCCCCCTTCACGTGTATCAGGGCATCACCCCATGGCCAAGCGCGCTCCCCATTCCCGTCCTGCACCCTCTTCCTTCTCCTCCTCCTCGTATGCTTCCTCTTTCTCGTCCTCCTCTCCCTCTTCTTCTTCTTGCTCTTCCCTATCCCCCTCTTCCACTTCCAAAACTTCCTTATCCCCCTCTTCCTCCTCCCCCTCTTCCTCTTCCCCCTCTTCCTTCTCTCCCTCTTCCTCCTCCCCAACTTCCTCCTCCCCCACTTCCACTTTTCCCTCTTCCTCTTCCTCCCCCTTCTCCGTCACGCATTCATACTCTACCTCGTCCCCAGTCGCCACACCCTCTCCCTTCCCCCTTCCTCCTCCCACCTCCCATCACCACTACCTTCCCTCTCTCCTCCACCGCCTCTCCTCCTCTCTCCCCTCTCTCCCCCCCCTCCCCTCGTTTCTCACTCGTTCTAGGTCCCCCTTCTCCCTCCTCCCAGCTCAACCCTCTCACTCCTCCTCCTCCTCCTCCTCTGCATCCTCCCTGCAACCACCTTCCGCACAATCACTTTCAATGCGATCACGTTCGGAACAATCACTAGCAGTACAAGCACCTTCGATGAATGCACATGGCGGCATCCCTCATGTTTCAGTCGCTCTGGAGTTCCCAGGGGAGGAGGGAGACGGAAACGAGTCTCGGTGGGGAGGAGAGGAGGAGGGAGAGGGAGAGGACGGAGATGAAGAGGAGGGAGAAGGACTGGAGGAAGAGGAGGAAGAGGGAGACGAGGAGACAGACGACTGTGACTTCGAAGAGTGCACTTTTGAAGAATTTCTCAGGGAAGAAGATGGGTGTGAAGGGTGTTACTACGAGCAAAGCACAAAGCACATGGTAACTGATGGGGCAGAGGAGTCCACAGGTGCAGATGCTAATATTCCTGCCGAGAATTCTCAACAGCAACACCAACGTATTCCTGGCTGTAGCAGCAGCACCGGTGAGGTTCTAGATACACGGGCACAGAAGCCTGGCTGTAGCAACACGGGCATGGGCATGGTGTATATGCCTGATGCTGAGACCGTGGAGGGGAATGATGAGGGGAAAGAGGAAGAGGAGGAGTTTCTGCTCAGTCGCAATGGTGGCGCTAATGGCGCTGATGTTGATTCTGTTGGTGCTGTTGGTGCTGTTCGTGGCATGGTATCAGCAGTAGCAGTGGGTGCAGCAATCGTACCAGGTGCAGGACCGACAGAAGCAGAAGCAGACGCAGCACAGTCAGTCTCCTTGAAACCGCAATGCACCCAGCAGCACAGTTGCAGGAGCAGGAGGGCAGGGAACACAGGAAAGGCAGGATCAGCAGGGAGGGCAGGGAGGAGAGCAAGGGCCGGAAGGGTAGGAAAAGCAGGAAGGGCAGCTCGAGGGGGGCTTGGTAGAGGGGGGCTTGGTAGAGGGGGGGGGAGCAGCAGAGTGCTAGGGGGGTGGTTTGAACGGGTGGTGATGCTGGCATGTGCTGCCACGGCCCTTCTTCCAGGGTGCATGGTGCTGCTGATTGCTCTGCACCGCTGGTGGCCCCTCCCTCTTCCGCTTCCTCCTCCTTCCTCTCCTCTTTCCCACCTGATCCCATACCCTCCTGGTGCTTCTCCCTCTGATATTCTTCAAGGAATCACCGTCGGTACAAACACATACCCACTTACCATCTCCTCTCCTGATTCTCTCTCCTCTACTCTCTTCTCCGCTCTCTCCTCCCCTCTCTCCTCCACCATCTCCTCCCCTCTCGCCTCCTCGCCTTACCCCCCTCCTCCCCCATACCCTCTCCCATCTCCCTCCCTCCTCCTCTCCCTCTTCTCCGCCATATTCTCACTCTCATCTCTCCTATGGTCCCACTTGGCCCTGCACCACCCTCCCCTCACGCTCATGCGAATAGCCATGGCTGGCACATGTGCCGCCATGCTTCTTCTCTCCTCCATCGCCCTCCCTCACTTCCCTCTCCTAAGCACAATCAGTCTCGGCAGCAGCAACAGCAGCAGCAGCAGCGGCGGTGGCGGTGGCGGCAGCAGTGATTTGTTGCTGCGACTGGCCCTGGTGTCTCTCCCTCTTGCTTTCTTCTCAGCCTGCTCCGGTCCAGTCCTGAATGGTAAGTTCGTCCTTTGAGACGTTCAGTTTTGAGGCGCCACAAAACTAGGCTCCGGCCCCGTCCTGAATGGTAAGTTGGAGTTTTTGAGGCGTTTATAACACCCTTAATGATTTGGAATTTGCGACCAAGAAAATCATTTTCTTTTATTCCTTTTGTTCCAGTCCCTCTCCCTCGAACCCCTTCTCTTCCTCCTCCTTATCCCTCCACCCACCTTCCCCTTTCTCTAACCCAGGCCTGAATTTCCTGGGAGACTCTATAGGGAACGTTCCTGTGGCAGAGAGGGTTGGAGTGGTGGAGGCGTTGCGGTCACTGCTACTGCTGGTAGTGGTAGTGGGAGGGGTGCTGACGATGGGGGAGAGAGGAGGGAGTGTGGGAGATGTTGCGGGTGGTAGCATTGATGGGAGTGGTGGGAGTGTGGAGGGTGTGTTGGGGAGAGGGGGGTATACTGCGTGGATGGAGGAGCAACGGGCAGGCCCTTTTCCCTTATCCGTTTCAACCGTCACCCTCCTCCCGTCTCTCCTCCTCTTCTTCCTCCTCCTCCTCCTCCTCTTCCTCCTCCGCCCCTCCACTCGCCTCTACACCCGCCGCCTCCTCCCCTCGCGCCACCAGCTATGCCTCATGCTGCTGCACCGCTCTACACCCCTCCTCGCCCTTCTCTCCTCCTGCACACTCCTCCTCTCTTCAGCCATCTCCCTGTGGCTCCTTAACTGCGCTCTTGACACTTGGAACCTCTCCTCCTTCCTGGTACACCCTGAATTGCCCCCGGTCTTGGGACGTCTCAAAAGCTGTCCTCCTTCCAGATGCTGCTCTTTCTGAATCTTGCACTGCTCTCCTCCTGCGCCCCCCTGTTCTGCGTTCCCCTCTGCTCCACAACTGTATCCCTCTCTTCGCCTCGTTTTGTCCTCTCAGTTTGCCCTTCACCTGGTTGCCTCACTGGACTCAAACACGTAGTGTTTCACTAAAACTGCCTAAAAATAATGATTACATTTTTGTGGCGCCTAACTATGCATTGCCTAGCTCACGGTTAGCATGCTGGTCGAAGTATTTTCTTCCCTAATTCCTTCCTCTCCTCTGTTCCCTCTTTTTATTCCTCCCATCCACTCCCTCCTCTTGTCTACCCCCACCCCAACTTCCATCCCATCCCCACAGCATATCATCCTAGCAGCAGCCATCCTCCTCCCCCTCTCCTTCTCCTCCCTCCTCTCGGGTCGCCTCCTCCAGTCACACCTTCCCCTCTATCCCTCACTCACTCCCCTCCTCCCTCTCCTCCTCCCCCCTGCCGCTCTCCTACACGCTCCCTGCTGGTACCTATTAATTGGGGGATGGGGAGAGAAAGGGGGAGGGGTGTGGTTGGGAGAGAGAGGAACAGGGGTCATGGCATGGTGGGGAGGAAGTTTTGTAGGCCGTTTCCCTTCTCCCTCCTCTCACCTCTCCTCTCTCTCGCTCATCCTTTTCCTCACCCTCCTCGCTCTCTCCCTCCTCTTCCACTCGTTCCGCACTGTAGCAACAAGCTACATGGTAATTCAAAGCATGCCTAGAGAACACTACGTTATTCTTTTAGGTTTACAAGGTTTTGCAGGAGGAGCTCTAGTAGCGGCTCTACCTGTATTGGAGCGATACTATACGGGGGATATAGCAGGGCTGTATGTGGATGGGAGGGTACCTTTTCCTCTGCTCGTAGAACGGGCTGTGCCGGTGCTGCTGCTGCTGGGGGTGATAGAATGGGGGGTGTCCGCCCTTTATTGGCACGTCTTCCCTAAGGAACGGCTGGATGTGCCTTGAGGCTAGTAGAGAGGTTTCAAGAGACTACTACCGTACTCCACATGTGGTTGCTATTCTTTACACTTGAACGCCCTGTACTGTACCACGTTCCCTTCACGCAGTACTGTACCGTATGTGTTACTATGGTTCAGTATCGGTGTGTCCCTGCGTGTAGGATAAAGCATGTGTGTGTCGTATAACTGTGATGAAGGGCTCTTATATATATGACAGAACAGCAGTACCATATAATAACAAGCATTAGTGCCTCCGGTGCAAACCATTTAGTACCTCATATGGACAAACCAGAAAAGAGATATTGGTAGTACCTTATAATAAATCTCCAGCACAGGCAGGTAACCATATTACAGCGAATCCGCACTGTCGTCATCATCGTTAATGAACTTGCCAGTACCAGGGTTGATCGCCGATAGGAACAGCAGCATAATGCCCAGAATCACAAGAGGCTCTATCTCCGATACAGGGACACCCGTCTCTATATTGAGTTGTGCCAGAGCGCCCTTCCCTGTAATCACCTCTCCGATTAGCGACGCGGCAAACCCTAGCTGTGCCACGCGACCCACGAACAGCTCGTTCGACTTGGTGAAGCCGAGGACGGGACCTGGTGGTGCACAGGGGTGGGGTGGGGTGTGGGGTGGGGTGGGGTGGGGCAGTGCAATGGGGCAGCAATGGAAGACTGATTAGGGAGGCACCACAGCCCAGCCAAGGCACAAAGGCCACGAGAAGCGTATAGGACTCAGTGAATAGACTGAAATGAGTGTCGATACCGAAACGAGGCGCCTTTAAAATAGACTAGACTGTGAACCTGAGGCTGGGTGGGTGGGGACAGGTAAAGGTGTGCACGGAGGGAACTGGGCAGGATAGGGGAGGGATTGGTGTGAGGATGGGGTGGAAAGGAAATTCTTACAGGCACTCTCGCTCCATTACAGCCACTTGCCCGCCCACCCACCCATCCTTCCATCCTTTTCCAGCCACACCCATCCCCTCCCTCCTTCCTTTCCCTGCTCTTCTTACCTTCCCCACCTACCCCTCCCCACCACCCATCGCCCCCTTTTCCCCCATACCCTTCCCCACTTTCCCCTTTAAACCTCACCCCACCCTCCCCAACCACCAACCACCCTCCATTCTCCACCAGCCCCAGCGCGCCCTTCTCACACTACCCCTGCCCTATTTCCCCCTAATTTTCCCCCTTTCCCCCTTACCCTTCCCCCACCCCATAACACCCTCCCCCACCACCCACCATTCTCCACCAATCCGAGCGCGCCCTTCCACCCGGCATTGGCCGGCGGCACGGGTGGCTTGACGGGCTCCAGGACAAACTTCCCGCGGTCGCCCAGCGCGCCCACCGCGCCGAGCATGTTGAATAGGACAAAGAAGAGCAGCAGCGGCTCGGCCTCGTACACTGGGATCCCCGTCTCCATGTTCAGCTGCGCCAGAATGCCCTGCCCGGTTACCGCCTCCCCCAGAAGCGACGCCTGGTGGGTGGGAGAGGAGGGCATGGGATGGGGGGTGGAAGAAGGGTGGAAGGGGGAAGGGAGGATGGAACTGGCGACCTCAGGACTTCTGCTTCGCAATGTTCAGCTGTGCCAGAATGCCCTGCCTTTGATTACCGCCTCCCCCAGAAGCGACGCCTGGCGGGTGGGAGAGGAGGTTGAGCGGGGAAAGGGTGGAGGGAGGAGGAAGGACGGGATGGACTAACATAGAGTCGTGTTATTTTCAAGTTCGGTTTTACTGCGAGGCGTCTCAGATGTCACTTCCATGAGCGTCCGTAGCTTTTTAACACGTCCTCATCGAAGTTCTGCCAGCGCCCATACCTACAATACGATCCTAAAGCGAGTCGCATCGTAAGGCACGCACTTACCGCGAACCCCAGCATCGCGACGCGCCCCACGAACAGCTCGTTCTGCTTGGTAAAGCCGAACCCGCCCCACGATTCCCTCGGCGCTGCCGCCGCCAACGGCGCCGCATCCTGCGATGCGAAAGTGGATCAAGGGGTAACCGAGAGGAGAGAGTGAACGGGAGAAGAAGGGGGGGGAATTTACATCATTTCAGAGAGAGGGAGCGGGAGAAGGGAGAGGGCGCGAGAGAGAGGGGGAAAGCGAGAATGGGGTTTCAAGGGAATGATGGGGTCAAAGCCAAAAACTGATGGGTGTGCCCTCCAGGCAGAAACGGGGATGTGGGGCGGGAGAGGGGACAGAGTATGAGGAATACTGCCTTGGTTGAGCGATTTCTTTGATACACTGCGTGCGCGCATTTAGTGTCCGCTGTTTTTTGTGCCGGTGTATGGGGCATGGCGCGTGGCGCGTCACTACAGCCGCATTTCAGCAGCAGTATTGCACACTGAGGAAGCAAAAGAAGAGCATAAAGCACACGCGCACCACAAGAGCGCAACTCGCACCTCGCATCTCGCAATAAACACCAGCACGGACGTACTTTCAAATCGTTCTTAGCTGCCTCTGCGGACGAGGGAGACACGGGCGATGCGGGCGATGCGGGCGACGAGGCGGCGTCCTGCCGGCTGTCTGCTCGCGTCGCGTGAATCTGCCATTGCCGCGACCGCTTGGATGCTGCCCTTTCAGGCGCCGCCGATTGCGCGAGGCTATGGGAATGTACGCGGGACGAAAAGAGAACCCGAGGCGCTGTTGCTGGCACTGCCCGAGTGAGAACTGCTCGGGTTATTGCGGTCGAAGACGCCATGTGAAACACGAGGCAGCTGTCCGCTGGCTTTAAACGTCCCTAAAGTACTGGTGCTCAACACCTCCCGTGTGGGAAAATGGCGCTGGGACAAATGTCGCCTGGAATCAATCAACGCTCGAACCGGAAGGCACGGATTCTGAGTGGCTTACAGACGTCGCTAAAGTAGAACGATACGATAAATATCAGAATAAGGAACTCGTGAATGGCACTGACTAGGGAAGCAGAAATTCATTCGAGTTTCAAGACAACACATCTCCTTGCTCATCATGCGTGCGACTCGGGCTAGATTCTTTCAGCTTCAAAGCACCGTCGATGATGACAGCATGTAGGATGCAGTTTTGTTCCCGTTTCGCAGGTTGGGCTTGGCGAGCGTTTTCTTGCCGTGCAAAAGTCTTTGCCGTGCCCGGGTGGGGTAAAAAATCATCAGCAAACTTTCGCCCCTCAGCATGGAAGGCAAAAAGCCATTCCCAGCACCCATTCCCGGCACCGTAACATGACCGAACGCCAAGAAAAGCCATCTAAAATCTTCGTGACCAACGCTTGCGAAGGCTGCGACGATGAATCGCGAGGTAGTTCCTGCGCCCAAGGACATGGAGATGGCGAAGTGGAATGGCGTGTGATACATTGCCACGTGTATGATATGGAGCGCAACAGAAGCGATGCCCTCCGAATGGTTCGGACTTCTCCAGGTCATCTGATGTGGCGTTTTCAGAGGCCGTGACGTGGAGCCCATATTCACCGCAGATCCTTGCTTCGTTCAATTCGAATTATTGTCCAGTTGTCCTTGAATTGCTCTGGCATGTTGAGTTTTCGTGAGAAGTATAAAACATGAGAATGTACACGAACAGGTAACTCCGTTGAGGCTCCCTGCAAGGAGGATATCTTTGTGCAAACCTTCAAATCTTGCTGGCAACCCGATGACTAGGAGCTGACATCACTGCTCGACTCGCAGCCTTGTGATTGGTTGTCCATCCGTGTATTGTGTCAGCATTCACCCATATTGGTCAATACGATGCGTATCCACGGAAGTCTGCTTTTCCATTGGTGGCCAGTTTCGCGAATGAGGTTGCTTGTGCGACAAGGAAGAACGTGGGCCTGTGTGAGCGGCCGGGCCGAACCGAACCGAACCTCCTAGAGCCCACGCGCAAGCACCCAACCGCCCTCCTAACGAGCGAATATGTTCTCTCTGCACCGCTCAATAAACTTCAATACCGTATATTAAACCCGTGATGCTCCCTCTCGACATCCCTGCTTCTGCTCCCGTCTTCCCACCCCATTCCACCCACCCCATTCCATTCCGCCTTCCGTCAATCAATCTCCTCACGGGCTCTCTCCCGCAGCCCTCGCGCGACCTCGGCTCACATTCCTGGAGCAGCATAGGCAATTTTTTTTGCAGTACAGCACCTGTGCTCAGCTCACGCGCACGCCTGGGTAAACGTCGTGCCTTTGGCGGCTCGCATCATCACGCGCGCTTCGAGGGTACTTTCCGGGTGTGTTTTGAGTCGACGCGGAACATTCAAGGGGTGCTGCTCTCCTCCGAGCCGCGTTTCCTCTCCTCGTAATGGCGGTTTCTGTTCACGCATCGCTGACCGCTCGCATGCCGGTCGTCTTGAGTCCGGCCACTGGGCCAATCACATGCTCCCACGTCAGACCGTCGGGTCTTTCGCAATCGTCTCTCGGTAGCCTGAAAGCGCCGCGTCTGGCGGCCAGCGCACGGGCGACTCGGTCGTTCCGGGTGAGAAGCAGCGCACAGAGCGGAGAGCAGGAGACGGCGGAATCGGTGGCAGCGGCTGGGGAGCGCCCGATGCCCAATTTCACTTGTGAGTGTGCGGACCGTATGCGCGCGGTGCCTCTGCGCGCGGAGAGTCTATGCGCGGAATTTGTGTTAATTTCTTCTCTTCGTCGTCGTCGGATCAAACGTAATCGATATTACGTCCTCCCTGTCCCACGCTCCCTCTATCCGCACTCGCTGTCGCGCATTCTACTCGCACAATTATGTTCGTCACACACCTCTTTAGTGCTTGCCGCTTGCTTCAAGCCTCTTATCTCTGGTCATTTCCCGCCCTTTGATCTCCGCCCCCTGCGCGCGTCGTGGCGTGGCACCCGTCCGTCGCAGGGACTCCGAGCCCCGCGTCGCAGAGCTTTCGCAATGGGAGTCGCGCGTCGCCCACGGGGCTCGTGCCGTTCAACTCCGGCGCCGGCGGCGGCTCGTTGTCGCTGCAGAGCATCAGCAAGGTACGCTCGCACGCTCGCACGTTGGGATTGTTATGAGTTTTGGTTGTGGGGGGAAAAGGGGGGGCCGGCTTGTTTTGAGACGTCTTCGAGCAAATTTGATTTTGTTATCGCGTCGCTGTCGCTGTCGCTGCAGCGCATCAGCTAGGTGCGCCGCGCGCGCGCGCGTTGGGATCGTTCTGAGTTTTGAGGGTGGGTGGGGAGGGCCTTGTTTCGCGCAAGGAAACGTCTTTAGCGACGTGCTGACAACGTTTGAACACAATCAACGTCCTTTTTCCGCGCTGGGTTTTATTGTGGAATTCCAGCGGAGGAGCCGGGTGAGACTTACTATCGACTTCCGCATTGCATTGCAGGAGGAGGCGTTAGGCGTGGTGATCTGCGCCGAGGCGACTGTTGAGTCGACATCAAAGTCACTACCATCATACCCTTTTCCCCCACTCATTCCCCCCCTTCTCCCCCCCCCCCGCACCCCGCAGGAGGAGGCCCTAGGCGTGGTTATCAGCGCGGCGATGGGCACGGGGTGGAAGACCATGACTGGACTGGAAGGGCCGTCGGCGCCCGCCGTTGACCCCGTTGACTCCGTTGACTCGCTGGGCATGCCCATCCTCTCGCCCGTGTCGCCGCGGCGCACGGCGCGCGTGGACTTCACGTGCAACAAGTGCGGCAGCCGCACCAGGCGCGCCATCAACCCGCACGCGTACCGAGAGGGAACCGTGTTCGTGCAGGTAGGTTTGTCTTTGTGCACTCGACCCACCACACTCGCACCCACTACACACGACCACCAGTTCCAGGGCTGTCAGGTGTTTCACAGTCTTGTCTAGTCCACCATCTCAACCTCTCTTTCCTGAGCCGGTTGCATTCTTGTTCATCCCCCTTCTCCCTCATTCCGGCCCCCCACTCCCCGTTTCCCCATCATCACCAGTGTCAGGGCTGCCAGGTGTTTCACAAGCTAGTCGACCATCTGAACCTCTTCCACGAGTTTAGAGGGCCCGTGTTTCACGCCGCAGACGCCGGGCAGCATGGGTTTGCAGAGCACCGCTCCGTTGATGTGCTCGGGCTGGATGGCGACGGTGGTGACGGTAGCTCGCGTTTCGACTTTCCTCGTTTCTGAGGGTGAGTGCGTGAGTGAGTGAGTGCGTGAGTGAGTGAGTGCGTGGGTGAGTGAGTGAGTGCGTGGGTGCGATGTGAGCAGTGTGAGTGGCTTCGCAGAGCACCGCTCGGTTGATGTCCTCGGCCTGGATGCAGGGAGGGACGGCGATGGTGGTGCTGGCGCTGGCGGCTCTCGCTTTGACTTTCCGCGCTTCTGAGGGCGAGTGAGTGAGTGTGCCGCGTGGAATGCTCTCCAAAAGTTTTACGAGTTCGGGGGGCCCGTGTTCCACGCCTCAGACGCGGGCCAGCACGGCTTTGCAGAGCACCGCTCCATGGACGTGCTTGGGGTGGATGCTGGGAGGGATGGTGATGGTGGTGGCAGTTCGGGCTTTGACTTTCCGCGCTTCTGAGGGTGAGTGAGTGTGGCGTGTGGAATGCAGTGGGCTGGGCGGCATGTGTGGCAAAGGGGTTGAGATCGTTGCCTGGTTGCCAGTGTTGCCTGGTGCGTGCTGGTTGAAGTGCCCGGGTGGACATTCTGGTGCTTCACTTCGTGCTTGTGTACCGTTTCATGCTTTGAGGCTGATGTGTGCTCGTATTTCCATTTCGCGCTTTGAGGCACCTCAACTCCCGGACTCTTTAACCATGCTTCAACTTTTGAGGCGCCTCAACAAAAGTCGCTTCGAGGCACCCTCAACTCAACTCCCAAACTCCATAACCATGTTACAACACTTCACACTACTCCCCCATGACCTCCGCTTACCCCAGTCTACCTCCCTCCTCCCCCTCTCCTTTCCACTGTCCGCACTCCTCTCATGAACCTTTTACTCCACAGGATCTCCAGAGTGAATCATGGCCATCACATGGGACATGTAGCTTGCATCCTGTCCTCTCAACCGACCTGCACCCTCTTCAACACCCGGCTTCCGCTTTCTCGGCCTTCCGCACTTGTCATTCCCACCACCCACCGGTCTTCACTCAGCCGTGGTTTAGCTTTGTACATATTGCACATTTTGTATCTTGCACAGATGCGCACACACTCATGCACACACACTTGCACATTTGCACATATGCATATTTGCACATACACGCACTTGCACAGATGCACACTTGCATGCTTGCACATATATGCACATATGCAGAGAGGCACTGGCTTGTCTCATGCATTACATACACATGCGCATGCTGCATATCCACTCACACACACACGTGCACATCCCGCATGTTCACTCACCTTCACTTGCATGCTTATGCGCGCACGTATGGACTCGCGCACATGGTCAAACACGCACACATACATACATGAACATGCACACACTTGCACTGATGCACATGCATGTGCATGCACTCTCACACACAAAAGGACGCACGCACGCCAGTACCTGCCACCCTTGCACGTGGCATTTGGCATGTGCCGTTGGGTATGTGCCGTTGCATGTGGTGTTGGGTGACTGGTGTTTGGCATGTGGCATTGGGTACGCTGCAGTGAGCATGACAGATGGTGGTGGTTACATGGCATTGTTTGACGGCCATGCATGCAGCAGAAACAGGGAATACGGCGGCTAGTATATTGGCACGCATCTGTGGGACTGGACAGGACAGGAGTTTCTGAGAATGGGAATGGTTTCAGTTTATATGGTTGTTTTGAAAGTTCTTTGGGTGGAGATGGTTGGTGATGGGTACCATGTGTTGTTGGTTGGGTGCAGTGGGATCTGGAGTGTTTTCTGATGTGTGTTGCTGTTGAGTTGAGTTGAGACATGGTTGTGAGTTACGCTTGTTTTGTTTGAGACTTGCACCGATTTTAATGGCCATGTTGGGTGTTTCTTGAGATGAGATATGCTTTCAGTATTGCCTCGCTAAGACCTGAAGCACTTGCGAAATGAAGTGAGTGTGCTTATCACATTGCATCACGACTATTTATTATCGTTCAAGTGGTCGCGTGAAGACCTGTAGCGTATGCATCTTTTGCTGTTGCTGCGCTTGATTGCAACAGCTACACAGGTATTCTGAACTAGTGCGCTCTGCATATATCCCCTCAGTTTTTGCACGCGGTGCGGAGTATATTATAAAACATTATATTACCGTATATTGCGCTGCAAGGTATGATGAGTGCATAGACTATTGTGGCTGCCGCTCCACACAAAAGAAGTGGGCAGGTGAGACAAGGCAGTTTCGCTAGATAGAAAAGGCGAAGACGTGGAGGAGGCAAGAAATAATACCATCTGCTCTGCACCCTCGGACAAGGAAAGCTGATTCTGGTTCGTGAACAAAAGGAATAATATCCTTACCAGCAGATAGAGACGGGGGAATAAGGAGGAAGCACACGGCAAACGAATGCGGTCGGAAGGGTAACCACTACTGCTATCTCTATTTGAGTGTCTTGGCGAGGGCAACCAGGTCGGATCGTTCCAATAGCCCCGTGGTGTCGCCTCCGTGCTCACGGATATACCGCTTCAGTTCGGACACTGACATGCTGTCAAACGCATGCTCGGACCCACTGCCGCCTTCTTTCCGCAGTGATGGGTTGGCAGAGGAGGTTGGCTTTGGGGAGGAGGAGGTGGGTTTTGGGGAGGAAGAGGGTTTGGGGGAGGAGGAGTTTGGTTTGGGAGAGGAGGTGGGTTTTGGGGAGGGGTCTTTGGGGGACTTGGGGGTAGATCTGGAATGAGAGGACTTGGGTGATTTCTGGAGGGGGGCAGGGGCGAAGGTGAGAGAGGAAGAGGAGAGAAAAAGGAAGCGGAAGAGGAGGGAGATGATTTGGAAGGGAGGTGATTGCATGTAATTGTAAGTGCCAGAGGGCGGTGGTCAGTCACACATGACGACATTGTGCTATATTGGGCATTGTGCCACTCAATAAGCATTCACTCACATGCGAGTCAGCAGTGGCACCAGGCGGCCATGGGACATAGGGGTTGAACGCTGCACCCGCCTTTACTGATGACCGAACGAGAGATCTAATCGCATGTTCCCATGCCACTCACATGTGAGTCAGCAGTGGCACCAGGCGGCCATGGCGCATAGGGGTTGAACACTCCAGCCGGCTTTGCGGATGGCCCCATCTTGTCCCACGCCGGTGCTACTGGGTGTATCTGGTGCGCGGCAAAGGGAGAGAGGGGACGACAGGGGGAGGCAGGAAGGGGAGAGGTGGGCAGGGCAGACGAGGAGAAAAGTGCATAGGGGTTGAACATTGCACCAGATTTTGAAGATGGGCCCATCTTGTCCCACTGCGGTGCTACCGGGTGTATCTGACGTGCGGCAGGGGGAGAGGAGACAATAGGGGGAGGCAGGAAGGGGAGAAGCGGGCAGAGGGGGAAAGACAGCTCATACGGATTGAATATTGCGCCCGCCTTTTGAGGATGGCCCCATCTTATCCCGCTCCGTTGCGACTGGGTATATCTGACGTGCGTTAGGAGAGAAGGAAATGACAGGGGGGAGGACAGGGGAAGGAAGGGGGGGAAGGCGTGGGAGGAGGTGGGAAGAAGTGGGAAGACGGGGGATGGTTCCAGCTTACCCCGCTAAAGAGCTACTGGGTATATCTTGTGAGAGACAGAAGGAAGATGAGGGGAGAGAGGGGGGAGGCCAGGCAGACAGAGGGAGGAGGAGGAGGACAGGAGAGGTCTGGAGAAAATAGAGAGAAGTTTACAGTGGCAGAGGTCTGGAAAGTTTCTGGGACAAAGAGGCTGATAATTAGTGGTAAGACAGTGGCAGGTTGCAGAGGGGTGCGCCACAGCTTTTGTGAACACAGAATGGGAGTGGACAAAAGAAAAGAGGTGGAAAGAAAAAAAAAACAAATCCGCGCCCCACACCAAGCCTGCACGCCCCACACCAAGCCTGCGCGCCCCACACCAAGCCTGCGTGCCCAAACAAGGCCTTTGTGTGTACCATACCAAGGGAGGGGGTTGAGGAGCCGTAACGGTGACTGTTGAAGCCTTAGAGCCAGCGACACCACGCGCGCTGCTGATGCTGCTGCACCTGCATTCTATTTTTGCGCGGCACATTCTATTCTACATACCAAGGGAGGGGGTTGAGGAGCCGTAACGGTGATTCCCTGCCGAAGCCTTAGAGCCAGCCACACCATTCGTGCTGCTGCTATCCCCACCAGTTCCTGCTTTCTCCGACCCTCCTGAACTCCCCGGTGCTGCTGCTCCAGACGCAGCAGTAGCAGCATCAGCAGCACCACCTGCTGCTGCTTTCTCCTTATCCGCCTTCTCCTTCTCCTTTGCTGCTTTCTCCTTCGCCATGTGCATTGCCTTGTTCTGTGCAGGCGCAGACAGGGAGGAGACAGGGAAGAACCCGCGAAGGAAGGAGAACCCCAGAACTGGTGAATGGCGAGAGAGCAGAGCACATGCCTGAATGATGACCCCCAGTTGACTTTTGAGTGGGCCAAAATTTTGAGTCGACTCACGAGGCGTGCTCACAACTGGTGCTCACAACTGGTGCTCACAACTGGTGCTCACAACTGGTGCTCACAACTGGTGCTCACAACTGGTGCTCACAACTGGTGCTCACAACTGGTGCTCACAACTGGTGAATGGCGAGAGAGCAGAGCACGTGCCTGACAGATGACCCCCAGCTGCTTGAGTGCAATGTGTGAGACTTTTTGAATCTCGAGTGGAAGAAAGGCCAGGGAGCACGTGCCTGAAAGATGACCCCCAGTTGCTTGAGAGCGTGTGCGCGTGCCTCGAGGGTGGTCCGAGAAACATCTGCCTCTGTGAGAACCTGTGGAGCGAAGCAGGGAGGGAGAGAAGGGCGAAGGGTGAGATAGGTGTATGCGGGGAATAGGTGGGGGAGTTGAGAGGAAGTGACCCCCCAGTTGCTTGAGAGCGTGAGCGCATGCCTCGAGGGTGGTCCGAGAGACATCTGCGTCTGTGAGGACCTGTGGAGTGGGGCGAGGGGGGAGAGAGGTGTGTGCGGGGAATGAGTGGGAGAGTGTTGAGCGGACATGTGTGGGGGCCTGTGGAAGGAGAGAGAAGAGAATGCAGCAGGGCAGAAAAACAAAGTTAACAGTAGCACGAGAAACACACACATCGCACACCCCACTGACTCCTCCATACGCCCTCATTCCCTTCCCTTCTAATCCCCACTTTCCCTCTTCCCCAGCCTTCCAATACACACCTGGTGGCACACAGTGGAGAGAGTGGCCTCTATGTCGAGCACGATGAGATGCCACAGGGACTCGAGCAGACCGACACTCACTCTCACTCACACATGCAAACATGCACTGCACTTTCCCCCCTGGTTCCCCCACACGCAACACACCTGGTGGCACACAGTGGAGAGCGTGGCCTCTATGTCGAGCACGTTGAGCCGCCACAGCGACTCGAGCAGCGTCTGCTGCTTGCTCTCAAGGAAGGACACGAGTGCTGCCTCGTCCATGTCGCTCTCCTCCACGTGCCGCCGCATGTCCATCTGCATCTGCACCAGACTCACCACGCCTGGGTGACATGCAATGGGATGGATTGATAGGAGGTGGCGGAGGATGTAGGGACTGGTCAATCATTGTGCTGCCTCGTCCAAAAGTTTTTTCTTCCTCCTCCACGTGCCGCCGCATGTCCATCTACATTTGCACCAGACTCACCACGCCTGGGTGATTGGGAAGGACGAGTAAGAAGAAGGGGAGTGAGGTGCGGAAGTAACGGCGGGATGAATCGAGGAGAAATCGAATGTATGTTCATGCACTGACAACAGCACACGCACATACAGACCCACCCAAATCGCATGCTTGAACAAGTGGCGGCCGCACATACAGACCCACCCACCCATGCACCACATGCACGCCATGCACCACATGCACCACATGCACCACCCATGACAGCAGACTCCCCCGCCCATGCCATCGGACCACTGTATTGGCGACATAAATAGGCAGTTAAATTTCACGTACTGACAGCAGCACGTGCACGGAAGCATCGACAAAATCACATGCACAGGCTCAAGGCGGCAAATCACAGTGACACTGTGTACAGTGCAACGCAAAGCCACATGCACCCACCCATAGCGGCAGACCACTGTGTTTGGATGCGTCGACCGCGCTCTCGAAGCAACTCGCCCACATACGGCATGCCCAGGTACATGATGCTCTTGCCCTGCTCCTTGGCCGCACTGCGCTCGTACACGTACCCTATGCTCTCCAACATGTGCTCTCCGAACGCTGCACGGAAGAGAAAGACAGAGGATATAACACATCAAGTATGACAGCTCTTGATAGACCAATGCAGCTCCCTGCTCCTTTGCCGTACTGCGCTTGTACACGTACCCTATGCTCGCCAGCATGTGCTCTCCGAAAGCTGCACGGAAGAGAAAGACAGAGGATATAACACATCAAGTATGACAGCTCTTGATAGACCAATGCTGCTCCCTGCTCCTTGGCTGCGCTGCGCTCGTACACGTACCCTATGCTCTCCAGCATGTGCTCTTCGAAAGCTGGTACTTGTAGGTAATGGTAATGATAATGGTAGTGGTAATTGTTATGCTAGTGGTAATGGTAATGTTAACAGTAATGGTAATGGTAATGGTAATGGTGATGGTAATGGTAATGGTAATGGTAATGATAGTGGTAATGGTAATGGTAATTGTAGTGATAATAGTAATGGTAGTGCCAATGGTATTTGTAATGGCAATGGTTGTGGTTGTGATAATGGTAATGGTAATGGTGATGGTAATGGTAATGGTAATGGTAGTGGTAATGGTAATGGTAATGGTAGTGGAAATGATAGTGATAATGATAATGATAATGGTAATGGTAATAGAAATGGTACTTGTAATTGTAATGGTAATAGTAATGGTAATGGTAATGGTAGTGGTAATGGTAATGGTCATGTTATTAGTAATGGTTTTAATAATGATAATGGTAATGATAATAATAATAGTAATGATAGTGGTAATGGTAATGGTAATGGTAATGGTAACGGTAATGGTAACGGTAATGGTAATGGTAATGGTAATGGTAATGGTGATGGTAATGGTAATGGTAATGGTAATGATAATGGTAATGGTAGTGGTAATGGTAATGGTAATTGTAGTGATAATAGTAATGGTAGTGCCAATGGTATTTGTAATGGCAATGGTTGTGGTTGTGATAATGGTAATGGTAATGGTGATGGTAATGGTAATGGTAATGGTAGTGGTAATGGTAATGGTAATGGTAGTGGAAATGATAGTGATAATGATAATGATAATGGTAGTTTAAAAAGGGGATGAGGCAAGAGAGGAGCAGACAGATATTGTGTTAGTGCCGTTTGCTGGACTGTGGTGTACCATGGGGATACAACATTCATGAATGCGCATTGGCTGCAGTGCACTGCAATGCACTGCACTGCACTGCCACTCCCTACTACACCTCGTCCCCTCTCACCAGCGTGGCTCAGCTCCTCCGCCTCCTCGTGCGCCCAGCACATGAAGGCATGGCCGCCTCCGTCCCACATTCCCACTGGCACAACCTTTTCCCTGCCCCACCCGCTGCCCACCCCTCCCTACCAGCGTGGCTCAGCTCCTCTGCCTCCTCGTGCGCCCACCGCATGAACGCATGCCGGCCGCCGTCCAGGCCCTGATTGGCCGAGGGTGACGCGTACACGTCAAGGCGGCTCTTCAGCTTCACCGCCAGCTCCTGCACTCGCTCCTCCTGTGCCGCCTGTGACGAATGGGAGGAGGCGGGGTGGGAATAGGGGAGGCATGGGGGCGATGACGATAAAGGGCATTACATGTCTAGGCGGCTCTTGAGCTTCACTGCCAGCTCCTGCGCTCACTCCATCAAACCCACCCCAAACCACATGAGTCTGCATCAAACCACTCTTCAGCCTACCGTGAGCTTCGCCTGAATCGCCATTGCGTCCACCCCATCCCCAGGCCCCCCGGGAGTTGCAGCAGCGCTGGAAGCCGCGTCCTTGGCAATAGAAGGGCCAGCAGGGGTCGAGGCGTTGGTGACGGAGTCGACAGCGAGGGAGGCAAGAGTGGCCATGGCGAGCTGCCCCACGTAGTCCTCGAATGCCTCGCTGCCAAACAGCATCCCAAACAGCGCCGCTGGATCCACCATCGCCTCCCTGGAGGCGTGGGGAGGGGGGATTGGTTAAGAGGGAGTGGAAGGTTGCCCCACGTAGTCCTCGAACGCCTCGCAGCCAAACAGCATCCCAAACAGCACCGCTGGATCCACCATCGCCTCCCTGGACGGGAAGTGCGAGGGAGACCAGTGGAACGGGAGCAGGGAGTGGGAGGGGGCGGAAGGGGAAGGGAGTGCGGGAAGATCCAGGCGGTGGGGTGGGGGACAGGAGAGCAAGAAGGGGGGAGGAAAGCGAGCGCTTTGAGTTGGTCGTGCTGCCAGCAGCAGCGTGAACACACCCTCATCACTGAGCGCCTCGTATGCATCGCCCCTCCTACTGCTAAAAAAATCTCCTCCGCTCCACCTTGCTGCTCTTCCCCATGAGTGAGGTGAGGACCCGTGGAACCTTAACGTTCTGAGCTCCTGGTATGCATCACTCAAAACACGGGCCGTTGGGTCTACCCTGGGAAGCAAGTCACCTGCCACTCACGCTCACACACAAACACCCACACACACCTGGATATGCCAGACTTGCCGGCGGCGTCGTAGCGCTGCCGCTGCATCTCGTCGCTGAGCACCTGATACGCCTCGCCCAGCTCCATCACACAGTTGGCGCATGCGAACTCACAAGTGAGCCCCCCTCTCCACCCACCGCACAAAACAGCATAGAAAGACGCACCTGGAAATGCCAGATTTGCCGGCGGCGTCGTAGCACTGCCTCTGCATCTCGTCGCTGAGCACCTGATACGCCTCGCCCAGCGCCACGCACACTACGAGTGAATTCCCCCTCCTCCCCCCACACCCCCCAACCCCCACACGCACTCCCCCCCACACACGCTCCCATAGAAAGACGCACCTAGAAATACCCGATTTGCCAGCGGCGTCGTAGCGCTGCCTTTGCATCTCATCGCTGAGCACCTGATACGCCTCGCCCAGCGCCTGGAACTTGGCTGCTGCATCGGGGTCGTTGGGGTTCTTGTCCGGATGCACCTTGCGCGCCTGGTAAGGGGGGAGAGGGAAAGGGAGGGAGAAGGTGGGAAAGAAGAGTAGACGCATCAGGAAAAACAATGCCCAGCGCTTGGAACTTGGCTGCTGCATCAGGGTCGTTGGGGTTCTTGTCCGGATGCACCTTGCGCGCCTGGTGGGGTGGGGAGGGAGGGGGAGGGGGGAGTATAGATGGAATGCATGGATCATGGATTGAAGAGGGATGCAATGGAAACGGATGTGTAGAATGCGTGTACACGGGCAGGAGGCATGAATCCGTGCACACATGCAACCATGCATCCATGCTCATGCACGCGTGAACCCATGCACACACACGAGCCCACGCACCTATGCACCCACGCACCCATGCATCCATGCACCCATACACTGGTAAAATGTCAAACGCGACAACAGTGGGCAAGAATGGCATACTCCAATTCCACGTACCCTCCCCTCCCCTCCCCTCCCCTCCCTCCCACGCACCTGATTGTAATAGGCCTTCTTAATCTCGTTCGCGTTTGCTGTAGGAGCCACTCCCAGCAGATCGTAATACTCCGTTTCTCGCACCATCTTGCCGGCTACCCTGATCTACGGCAGAGAAGGAACAGCCGCGACGGTAGCGGAACGGACGGAAATGAAACGGGAATGGAACGGCTAGAAGGGAGCGGCGGAAAGGTAGCAGCTGAAAGGTACTGGCAGAGAGCTAATCCGAGGGAACGGCTGAAATGTGACCGTCGGAGAAGAGGCCTTTGAGAAATCGGATAAGCCTTATAGCGCGTATCCGCCTGACAAGTTATTGCAGTCTGCCGCCAGCTCTCTGTTCGCCTCTGAGCTTAAAACCGTCAAAAAATATCCCGCAAGTGGCTGCTGCCTCCAATTTTTCTCCTGAATCCCTTCCTGAAACGCAATGTCCGCTCCTGTTGAAAATCGACTTGCTCGGAAAAATGAAATTTGATCCTCAATTAGCTCTTGTAACAGCTTGCTGCTTGTCTCTTCGCTTGCTGCTTATTGCTCGTCCCGTGTCACCGTCAGATTGCGGCTCTTCTTTGCGCGAGAGATCCTCAGCCGTCCAACCTAATGTAGTCCAGATTCAGTTTCAGATTCAGAATCTGGAATGTATTTAGGTTCTCCGAAGCGAAATTATAATGCGTACACGTGGTTAACAATCAAGTTTAACAGTCTATTCTGCAAGCACTCCTGAAGAATCGAACATCAGCTTACGTGTCGCAGCGAGATGCGACTGGTAAAAACAGAACAAGTGCGTGAAACGCACGCAAGACGCGGGGATGCAGACGAGGGACGCGGCGCTGGGCGCGGGACTAAGGAGTACGGCGGTTGACTAGCGGCAGGACTGCCGGGACGCAAGTATCGTCAGATGCGCAGGCACAATCAACCAGCCATGCCACAACTGAATTGACCGAGGGGAGAGCTGTCCGATTTGCAGATAAACCGGAGATGATTGCTGTGCAAAGCAGCACCCACGGCTGCTGCTGGCTGAATGCGAGGCAAGGACAGAAAGGTGGAGCAGGGACGGGGGGGATGTATGTACGTCTCGACGGCGCGATGATTTCAAGAACAGAGCTTCCAGAACCGAGAGCATTCCCATGTGTACAGTAAACAAGCTGCACTTTACGCAGATAAATAATGCATGACGGTGATTATAGAAGTTTATCAAGCATGGACTAACCATCTATGCAAGCCTTCCAACAAGGTCAAACCCTGCTTTAACTGACATTTATAGCTGCTGTAGATAGGACAAATGATACACGATAATGTAATGCGTTACGATGCGTACTGTGGTACCCCTCCAGCTGTTTGTGGGACCTGCTAAGCGTAGACAAAAAGCCAGAGAAGGCCTTTCACGAACTGTACAATCTCTGTCCCTCCCAGCTTCGAAGAACCATACAACCGATCCACGAAAACAATTGGCACCTGAAATAGGAAGGGTAAGGTACGATAGCCTTGTCAAACGCGCAGCGAACACACAATGTGCAAAAACAGCACACCACCCACCAAAGAACCCCCTTCCCCCTCCGCTCCCCCCTCACCACACCACAACACCCACCCAAACCGCTCCCAACCGCACCGCACCCTCTCACCTCCTCAATAACCAAACTGGCTCGGCTCGCCCGGACAATCATCTCCATCTGAAACACATAGCCCTTGGACACCACCACATCCATGAGATTCTCCAGAATCTCCTTGCGATACAGCCGGAACGATCCAGTGAGGTCGGACACTCGTGGCCAGAGCAGCGTGTGCGTGAGCACGTTGGCGCCTCGGCTCGTCATCTTGCGCTTGAGATCCCACCCCACGACGCCCCCCCCTGGGGAGTAGCGCGACCCCGTGACTATGTCCGCGTCTGTCTCCTTCTGCTTGCTGGAGCGGGTGGGGGAGGGAAGAATGGAAGAGTGATTTTTGGGAATTCTCAGAAATCACCCCACGACGGCCCCCCCCTGGGGAGTAGCGTGACCCGGTGACTATGTCCGCGTCTGTCTCTTGCTGCTTGCTGGAGGGTGGAGGAGCAGAGGAGAGAAGGATAGGGGACACGGAGAAGAAAAAGGAAGAGGCAAGGAAGAAGGTTGGATGCTGTAACAGAGGAGGCGAGATGGCAGGAAGGAGGGCTCCACCCCACGACGCCCCCCCCTGGGGAGTAGCACGACCCGGTGACAATGTCCGCGTCTGTCTCTTGCTGCTTGCTGGAGCGGGTTGGGGAGGGAAGAATGGAAGAGGGGAAAGCGAGAGGAGATGTGGATAAGCCAAGGGGAGACGGAGAGAGGAATGGCAGGGGGGGAGGATGGAGAAGAACGGGAAAGGGGGACGATCCATGGCAGCAGGCAGGTGGTGGAGGAAAACACTTTCTGAGACACAGCAGGGAATAGCTGGTCAAGGAGGATACAACAAATACATGTCTGCCAGATGTCTGCCAGATATCACTAAGGGGGTGTACTTCGGACCAAATGAAATGGCTTACCGTATGAACTCAGGGATGTACTTTGGCTGATACATTGATTCCACGTGCCAGGTTCGTCGATGCCCCCCAAGTCAGTCCCACAATCAACACCACCGAGATGACCGGTTCGAGAGGAACACATGGGGCGCATGAGTTGGCGGGTAGTGCATGCGCATAGGGGGGGGCAAAAGGGCCGTTGGAGTGTGGAATTGAGTGGCCTCGGAGAAGCACATGGAGAGAAGCGAAGAGCTTGGAAGTGCTCGAAGGTGCGTGGACCTTACAGACAGGACACGGCTGAAGCAGCCCTTCTGCGTGCATAACTTGAAAGCATAGAATTCCAGTACGTGCAAACTCTCTTTTCAGACCTCGCAAAAGTCTGTGCCAGCACCACCACCCCAATCATGACTCACGAGGTGCAAAATTTCTGCATCCATGATAAACACGAATTCTAGTTTGAGAAGTCTCAAATGTCTGTGCAAACTCTCTTTCCTGACGTCTCAGAAGGCTGTGCCCATGCCACCCCCCTCTATCATGACTCACGTGGTGCGACAGGTCTGCGTCCATAATAAACACGAATTCTCCCCGCGCATGCTGCAACCCAAACACGTATGCTGTGCCTGATGGTGGTCGACAAAAATGGGTGAAGGTGGCGGGAAGGAGAGGGAAGGTGGTGGCAAGGGGGGAGGTGGCAAAGGGGAAAGATAACCAAGGGGGCAGCGAGGAGGAATGTTGGACAGATGGAGGAATGACAGGGACGATGTATTTAGGGATGGTGGGAGTGACATGGGTTCTAGCGAACAAGCGCATGAGGTGTATATCACTCACCTAGCCCAAGCTTGCCAGGCCTTGGCCGAAGAAGCTGTGAGGCTCACACACACACACAGATACAAACACACACGCACACACACACACACACACACACACACACACATGCACACACACACACACACACACACACACACACACACACACAGACACACACACACAGATACAAACACATGCACACACACACACACACACACACACACACACACATGCACACACACACACACACACACACACACACACACACACACACACACACACACACACAGAGATACGCACGCGCGCGCACACACACACAGAGTCAGCATGTAGCCATGGACAATTGTGACGCCATGAGCAAGCGTGCATGGCAATAGCGCAGATTTACAAGCACATACCCACATACGACAGCTCTACCCTGTATCCTCCTCCCTCCTTCCTCCTCCCCACACTCCTCCCCCACGCCACTCACAATGGTGTCCTCCCCATAGTGCTTCGCCAGTTTCTTCACCACTTCTTGCGTGCCGTCCGGGCTGTTGTCATCAATAACAATGATCTCAAACGACTCCTTGCTGGGAAAATTGGGAAGAAAAACAAGGGGAGAAAGGAAGGTCCGGAGGAAGGGAAGTGAGGGGGAAGGGAGGGGGAAGGGAGGGGGAAGGGAGGGGGAAGGGAGGGGGAAGGGAGGGGGAAGGGAGGGGGAAGGGAGGGGGAAGGGAGGGGGAAGGGAGGGGGAAACGGCGAACTGGAAAGCCTTGACAATCAGGTACGCAACGACTTGATACCCCCCACACCCCTCCCCTCCCCACCCCCTCACCCCCCTACCGCGCCTTTTCCCCCACCTCCACGCTCTATCACCCGCACGCACATGGACTGGAAGGCCTTGACGATCATGTACAGGACGAGACGAACATTCCAGCCTCTACCCTCCACGCCTTACAAGACGATCGTGTAGCCTTTCTTTCCCTTTCTCCACGCCTTACTACCCCGACGCACATGGACTGCAAGGCCTTGACGATCATGAACACAACGAGACGAACATTCCAGCCCCTCCCCTCCCCTCTCCTTCCCTTCTCCTTTCCTTTCTCCACGCCTTACTATCCCGACATACATGGACCGGAAGGCCTTGACGATCATGTACACGACAAGGCTGACGTTCTCGCGCTCGTTGAACGTCGGCAGCAGCACCGAGTACTTGACCATGCGCAGCGACGCGCTCGCCGTGTTTGGCGCTGCGGGCTTCGGGATCCGGCCCAGCATGGGCGCGTCGGCTGGAAGCTCCATCACCCCCATGCCCTCCCGCTCTTCCATCTCCTCGATTTCCTCCTCGCGAACCATCCTGTGCAACGCTTTCTCTTCGCTTCCTCTTCGCGTTCTCGTCGCTTCCTCTCACTCGATCGAACTCCCTTCTCTCGCAATCTCTCCCTTCCTGTCTGTCACTTTCTCCCTCTCTCTCACACACTCTCTCCCTGTTCTCTCTCCCTGTTCTCTCTCCCTGTTCTCCCTCTCACACTCGATCTTCCGTGATCTTGTCCTAGCTGCTGGCTGAAACTGAGAGCTGCAGAATTCGACGGTGATGGACGGAAGAGGACAACTTAGTGCTGGTGCCGGTCAACGCTACGCCTGGTAACTACGCCAGGCGAAACACGATCGTTTGCGAGTCCACCGCTGCTGAAATTCGACGACGCGGGGTTCGAATGTTGAAAGCGCAGCCCGAAATCTGACGGTCGAAGAGGAAAAAGCGGTTTAGAATCAATACAGTCAACGGTCAGATTTGGTCTAGATAATTACTATCAATAGAAGAGATCCGCAGATACGCAGAATTCACTTGAGGAAAGCCGGAGGCACAATGCTTTGTGAAGAAGAGAAAGGGACTCTAGCTTCCAAAGAAAGAGCATATGCTGGCCTTATAGTAACCAGTCGCAGGCTAAGATACGGTAAGGAGAGAAGCAAACAGTTCAGCAGCAACTAGTATAAAAACTAGTCCGCAAAATGCGGTAGAGTGGTTCGTATCGTGTCGGTTCTGCAAATTCCCTGCACAAAACATGGATCCGTGGTTTTCTGATTTATGTTATCCACGAATGTGTCGGATTGCGTATGGTTCTGTTTGGTTGTGTGTGGTTGAGTCTGGTTGTGCTTGTGATGGTCGGTGGTGCGGTTCTGGCAGCAAAAAGTGATCAAAGCAGATCTTCTGACAGAGATTTCTGCCACAACGAAAAGTGGCGGATTGTCGGAACCAATTTTCAATGTAACACAAATCATATTGCTTCCGTTATAGAAAGTCAATCAGAATGTAATACATCATTTCTACGCGATATTGGACAGGTAGCAAATGTCATACTGTAGGCAGTTGCGATGCCCATAAGCGTCATTGAAATGGAAGACCCCATAAATGAAGTCTACCGTATAACCATCTCATCTTACAACCACCTTCCTCCTCTCCCTCTCCCCCTTCCTTTTCCCTTTCCTCTCCTTTCTATCCCTAATCCTTCCCTCACCCTCAATCCTCCTCTAATCCTCTTCCTCCTCTGGGTACTCAATCCTCATCCCCCCTCCGCGCATCGAAACCAACCTCGGCCCCTCCTCCCTCTCCCCAATAACCTGCAACACATCACCCACCCGAAACCCTCCCCAACCGCGCGCCACCACTCCGCACTCCACCCCTGCATTCACCGCATCCACATCCGCCCTCTCCCTCCTTAACGATGCACACAGCCCTTCATGCACCACCTCTCCCGACCTCAACACTCGCAGCTTCGCCCCCCGTTGAAATTTCCCTTCAGTAACCTTACACCCAGCAATCATCTCTGCTGCACTCTCATCTGCACCACCGGCACCTTCTCTCTTCCCACCGCCACCCCCACCCCCGCCGCTGCTGCCCGAGCCAGACTGCGACGAGGCCGAGGAGGAGGCAGAGGAGGAAGAGGAGCGGCGGGAGGACTTGCCCTTGAGTGGGAAGAGTTGCAGCACCTGTGCTTGCCCTGTCACCACACTGCACCGCACTGTGGGCGCCTGCTGCACCACGAGCCCTCCAATGTCCTCCAACAGGTGGTAGATCACTCGGTGCAGACGGATCTAAGGAAAAGACGGGCGTGGAAAGGGATGCGGAGGCATGGGAAGAAGTGCTGGTCAGGTCAAATCGAAATCTGAATCAAGCAATGAACATCTGGCCTGTGACTTGCCTTCACAACACGGACACACAAATCCACTCACCGGAATATCAGCTTGCTTTGCAGCAGCGTCCACAGCCGCGCCCATGCACCGCACATTGAACCCCACAATCGCCGCCACACCCGTGGCCTCCGCCATGTCAATATCCGACTGCGTGATCGCCCCCACCTTCGCATGCACCACTCTCACGCGCACCCTCTCATTTTCTCTCACACACGCGCATCCACTCACCGGAATATCGGCCTGCTTCGCAGCAGCATCCACGGCAGCGCCCATGCACCGCACATTGAACCCCACGATAGCAGCCGCACCCGTGGCTTCAGCCATGTCAATATCCGACTGGGTGATCGCCCCCACCTCCGCATGCACCACCCTCACGCGCACCCTCTCACACCCCATGTGTTCTAAAGCGCTTCCCACTGCTTCCACCGACCCCTGCACGTCCCCTTTCAGCACTAAGACCACTTCTTTCTGCGTGGGCGCGGCTGCTGCTGCGGCGTCATCGTCTCCTTGCTCCTGCTCCTCCCCTGCCGTTCCTGCTCCTGCTCCTCCTTCTCCTGCTGCTGCTGAATCGGCTGCGGCACCTGCAGACCCCCCTCGCGCTTGCACCTCCCCTGTCCCTTGCCCCGCCTGCTGCTCCTGTAACACACTAGCAGCCTTCTGCTGCTGCAGCAGCCTCTGCCTATCCGCTGCCTCCTGCCTGGCCTCACTGATCCTCCTCGCCCGCGCCTCAGATCCCACCTCCATGAGCAAATCACCTGCCTCAGGCACGCCCTTAAGCCCATCAATCTCCACAGGAGTAGACGGCCCTGCTTCCTTCAAGCTCTCCCCGTGGCACCCCTTCAGGCTCCTCACCCGCCCCCACCACTTCCCCACCACCACATACATCCCGCTCCTCAACCTCCCGCCCTTTACAATCACGCTCGCCAGCGGCCCCTTCCCCCGCGCCATCCTCGCTTCAATCACCACCCCCTCTGCCTCCCCAGCCTCTCTCCCTCTCAAGTCCATCATCTCTGCCTGTAAAGCCACGGCTTCTTCAAGGGTTTCGAGCCCGGAGCGAGTACGGGCAGACACTCGCACCACCTGCACGTCTCCTCCTATCTCTTCGAGTTCTAGCCCTTCGGAGATGAGCTGTTGAGTTACCCGGTTGGGGTCTGCGCCCTCCTTGTCGCACTTGGTTATCGCCACCACCATGGGGACACCTGGGGGAGGGGGAAAGGATAGAATGGCAGAGGTGAGAAGACGGCGGGTGAGGGGGGAAGGGGGGGGGGGGAAGAGGAGCAAACACTTCACTTTCTGAGCTCAACTGCCCTCTGAAGGGCTGGCGCCCGTCTTATTGTTGCCCCCTTAAACCCCACCTGCGCTCTTTAACCCACTCTGAAGACACCTCACCCTAAACACGAGACACCTGACACCACCTGCACTCCTGCCCTCTCACCTGCGCTCCTGGCGTGTTGAATGCTCTCTATGGTCTGCGGCATCACCCCATCGTCTGCTGCCACCACCAGCACCACGATATCAGTCACTGCCGCGCCCCGCGCCCGCATCGCTGCAAACGCCGCGTGCCCCGGCGTGTCCAGGAACGTGAGTGCTGCTCCTGACGGCATCTGCACCTTGAACGCGCCTATGTGCTGGGAAGGAAAGGAGGGGAGTGGGATGCATGAGGAAAGAGGAGGGACCAAGGAACGTCGTATGCCCTGGCGTGTCCAGGAACGCGTGTGATGAGTCGATTATTGAGTCGACTCAAAAGTCCTGTGCCCTGGCGTGTCCAGGAACGTGAGCAGAGTTGCCTTTCCCCGTAAATCCACATGCGCTGCCTCCACATGCGTCCACATCCCCGTAAATCCCCCCCGCCTCAGATTCCCCCCCGCCACACAGGTCTGTTGAAGCGCGTCCAGCAGAGGCGTCTTGCCTTGCCGTGACCCACAAGCTATGCACCTCTCTCCCTTCCGCTTCCGCTCTCTCTTCCTTTCCTACCTGGGTGATCCCCCCCGCCTCAGATTCCGCTACAGAGGTCTGTCGAAGCGCGTCCAGCAGGGACGTCTTGCCGTGGTCCACGTGCCCCATGACCGCCACCACTGGCGCGCGCCACGGCCACGCCTTCCGCGCCTCCGCCTCCACCTCCGCGCCCTCCGCGCCCCCCGCGCCCTCCTCCGCGCGCAGGTCCCGCCCCCCAGAGACTGTGAAGCCGAATTCCTGGCGGAGAGGGGGAAGGGAAGGGCGCGGAATGGGAGGGAGGCGGAAGGGGGAGACGGGGTGTTGTGAGAATCTGCAGATACACGTACGGGACAGAGCTGGGCGGAACGAGGAAAGGTACATTCATGCAAAGCTGCCCCATGCCTCATGCCCCATGGCCCCCATGCCCCATGCGCCAGGCCCCATGCACGCGCATACCAGCGCAACTAGCTCCGCAGCATCCGCGGACACCATAGCATCCGCTTCCGCGCGCCCACTCCCCCCGCCCCCATCCCCCTCCGCCCTCTTCCCCTCCTCCCCCAGCGCCGCCAGACACGCGCGGACCTCCTCGATCCGCTTCCCCAACCGCACTGCCAGCTGGCGGATCGTGATTCGCCCAGCCGGCAGCTGCACCTCCCGCGGCGCCGGATCTGGCGCCGCCTTTGGCGGATGCGACGATCTAGCGCCTCGGGGCGCAACTTGAGCGCGGGATCCCCAGGTTTTCGCGCCCCCAGACTGCGGAGATGTGGCGCTGCCGCTTCTGTTCTCATTCCCCATGCTGACCCTAGGTTTTCCCCCAAAGCCCTCGCCGCGCCCTCCCCCGCCCCTTCCGCCGCGTGATCCCCCTTCCCCCCTTCTCCTTCCGCCTTCCCCTGCCCCGCCGAAATCCCCGAAACCCTCAACCCCGTCCCCTCCCCGCCTGCCCCCCCTGCGCTGACCCCCCGTGCCCTCCCAGGTATCCGGGCCTTCCGCAAGGGCGCCGCTGGCAAGTGCCAGGTGTCGAACGGGGAGTGGCCAGGGATTGCTGGCGGCCGTTGCGGCGTGGAACGAGGCAGACGCGCCGCGCTGAGAAAGCAAGCCCCATGGGCGATCGCGCGAGTCGAGGCGGGGAAAGGGGGAAAGTGAGAGGAGGTGTGAAGGAGGATGCGATTGGGTTTGAGGCAGCGCGGACTGCGGCGGTGGAAGCGGGTGATCTAGCTGCTGCTGCTGATGGTGTTGCTGCCGCCCTCCTCCTGAAACCGCGGACGGATATGGCGGATCTCGGCTTCGAAGCTCGTACCCGCGCGACGCAGCGCCAGATCCGTCGGGAAACACGGCGGGCTGTTCGGGTAACTCGCGAGCTGGACTCAAATCGACGGTCGATCCGCTAAGTTGCGGATCTATGGGTTGTAGATCAACGGATCTGGTGATCGGATGCGAGGATGGGGAAGGGGAGGATGTTGAGATGGAGAGCGCTGGCTGCAAAATGGATTTTACGATCTCCTGCCGCTCGCGGTGCGGCAGCCGAGCCGCGAGGTGCCTGGCTGGAGCAGACATTATCAATGGTGGAACGGGTACGGAATCGTAAGAGATGACAGGCGACGCGGCTGACAGATGCAGAGCTCTGGGTCTAGTCGACGCGTTTGAACTAATGCAGAAAGCTGGGCACTGGAAAGTAGAATCGAGGAACGGAAGGTTGTGTCTTTCTTGCTGAAAACGCAATGCAAGGAAGAAATGGATTCCCTTCGGAGAGATCGAGGCGTGGGTGTTTTGTAGCTATGGCTTTGCTGGCTCTGCCCTGCCCGCTTCGGGGATTTTGCTCCAAGAAAAATGTGAACAAAGCAGGACAGAAGAAATCGATGAAGGGCTCTCCCGGTGGTGTTTTGTCCCGCTCTTAGCTGAGAGTAATTTTAATTAGTGATATTTCAAAGGTGCAAAAGTCGCAGGTTTGTATCTTGTTTTGTATTTTGTATTTCGTCAGGTTAAAGGTTAAAGGAGGGGGGGAAACCCCTCTGGGTGTTAACCACACCTGGCTGTCGGTCGTAACCCGCCTCCCCATTTGTTTACACTCCTCGCTGGGTCAACGAGGTTGTTCTATCCACTCCCAGATGAGCACCTGTGTAACCCCCTTCTGGGGGGCTGGCAGAACACGCCGCAGGGGGGATTTGATCCCGGGACCTCATCTTTCGGAAGTGAACCAGCTAACTAGCTGGGCCACTTCAGGATTTTTTATATTTCGTCAGGGCAGGTTTGTGCCAAACAAATCAAGAAAGTCCAGGTATTTTCTCTCCTTCCAGCTCCGTTCGCTCGTTGACCATGCCCACGAAGAAACGCTGTTTGCGAAGCTCGTCACACTCGCAAACGTCGTGAAATCGTCTCTGTCCGACGCCAACACACCTTCCCACATCCCCCCATCCGTCCCCCCTTTCCTTCGCTTACCTTCTTCGTAACTTTCGCGAAGCTGTTGCTTACGCTGCCACGTGTACTAAGTTGCTGAAGTTCTTGGGATTGGTGAGACCAGGCTCTTCATTCGGTGATCCCTCGGTAGCTACCTGCTTATCTCCCACCGCCGCTTACGCTACTAATCTACATACCATCGCAAAGCTGGTCGCCACCGCTGTTCTTGTCTCCAGGTGCCACATCCTTCTAAGTCACCTGCACAGATAGAATCAAGTCACTTCCAACACCGCAAGCTTCCGCTTTGTTTTTTCGCCTGAAACACTTCTTCTACCTCCGCTTTGCCCTGCTCTCCTCTCCTCTTCGCTCCTCTCCTCTCGTCGTCCGTACCCATGGACGCTTTGAAGAAAGAGCTGGAAAGGAAACGCAAAGCGTTTCAAGCCGACTTCGGCAACCGTCGATTCGTCGCGCGCGGCGAGATCGAACGGAAGAAGATCGAGCAGCTGCGGCAGGAGGAGGAGAAGGAACGCGAGCGGAAGCGCGCCAAGCAGCAGGCAGCCGACGCGGGTACCAACGGTGCTGGCACAGTCGCCGGGAAGAGCGGCGCTGCGGGTGCATCGAAATCCGTGGCGGTAATTGCGGGCACGTCTGGGTCAGGGATCGATAAGGCGACCGAGGACCGGATAGACTCGCTAGTTCTCCCGCGCGCGGAGGTAATTAAGCGGCTCCGCGTTCTCCGGCACCCTATAACGCTCTTCGGCGAGGACGACGAGGCGCGGCTCGCTCGTTTGAAGCACGTGATGAAAACGGGGGAGGTAGATCCGGACGGGGAGCTTTTGGAGGGGCAGCAGAACGATTTCTTGCGCGATATGGCGGAGCTTAAGAAAGGCGGGGGAGCCGGGGGGGGCGCGCGGGGGAAGAAAGACGCGCGGAAGGGTGACGGGGAGAAGAAGGACGGCGGAAAGGGGGAGGGCGGGGGGAAGGACGGCGGCGGCGGAGCGGACGGGGGAGGCGGCGCGGAGGGCGAGGGCGAGTCGGAAGAGGAGGATGACGTGGACTCGGCGCGCATGAAAGCGAACTGGGACGATCTGTGCGACGAGGATAAGATCTTGGTGTTTTTTAAGAAGCTGCTGCGCGAGTGGCAGCATGAGCTAGAGGTGAAACCGGAGGCGGAGCGGCGGACGGTCAAGGGGAAGTCTGCAGTGGCGACGTTCAAGCAGTGCGCGAGATACATCGACCCGCTGTTCATCATGTGCCGGCGCAAGGTGTGTTCTGATTCTCGAGTCGACTCAGACGCAGGATAGGGCGGTTATGCTTTATGTGAGCGTCGGTGGGTGCCTACGTTCAAGCAGTGCGCGAGATACATCGACCCGCTGTTCATCATGTGCCGGCGCAAGGTGTGTTCTGATTCTCGAGTCGACTCAGACGCAGGATAGGGCGGTTATGCTTTATGTGAGCGTCGGTGGGTGCGACGTTCAAGCAGTGCGCGAGATACATCGACCCGCTGTTCATCATGTGACGGCGCAAGGTGCGTTGTGATGTGATGTTAGAGTAGACGCAGCAGCAGGTGCAGGATCGAGCGAGTATGCTTTATGTGCGCGTCTGCTGTGGCGGCGTTCAAGCAGTGCGCGAGATACATATACCCACTGTTCATCGTGTGCCGGCGCAAGGTGCGTTGTGATGCTTGAGTGACAATGAAAGGGAGGAGAGAGGAGAGGGAGGAGAGGTTGAGAGGAGAGGAGTGGAAGGAACATGGTGGGACGATATGTAAGGTAAATTAGGGTTCGTGATTGACAAAGGGAATAGGATGGGATGGTGAGGTTAGAGCAAGGGAGTGGATCATGGATGCGTATTCTGGGTTAGTTCCAAGGATTTGTTACTGCAGAGCAACTTAGGTAGTTGAGTTGGACCTGATGGGTCTCGTTGTTTAAACAAGCTGACTTCACAACTTTTTTATCTTCAGCACCTGCTTGTTGCTTCCCAGTGCTCACAACCAAGTGACTTTTGAGTCGATTCATGAGTCGAGGTGACTTTTGAGTCGATTCATGAGTCGAGGTGACTTTTTGAGTCGATTCATGAGTCGAGGTGACTTTTTGAGTCGATTCATGAGTCGAGGTGACTTTTGAGTCGATTCATGAGTCGAGGTGACTTTTGAGTCGATTCATGAGTCGAGGTGACTTTTGAGTCGATTCATGAGTCGAGGTGACTTTTGAGTCGATTCATGAGTCGAGGTGACTTTTTGAGTCGATTCATTAGTCGAGGTGACTTTTTGAGTCGAGGTGAGGTGACTTTTGAGTCGATTCATGAGTCGAGGTGACTTTTTGAGTCGATTCATGAGTCGAGGTGACTTTTGAGTCGATTCATGAGTCGAGGTGACTTTTTGAGTCGATTCATGAGTCGAGGTGACTTTTTGAGTCGATTCATGAGTCGAGGTGACTTTTGAGTCGATTCATGAGTCGAGGTGACTTTTTGAGTCGATTCATGAGTCGAGGTGACTTTTGAGTCGATTCATGAGTCAAGGTGACTTTTTGAGTCGATTCATTAGTCGAGGTGACTTTTTGAGTCGATTCATGAGTCGAGGTGACTTTTGAGTCGATTCATGAGTCGAGGTGACTTTTTGAGTCGATTCATTAGTCGAGGTGACTTTTGAGTCGATTCATGAGTCGAGGTGACTTTTGAGTCGATTCATGAGTCGAGGTGACTTTTTGAGTCGATTCATGAGTCGAGGTGACTTTTTGAGTCGATTCATGAGTCGAGGTGACTTTTGAGTCGATTCATGAGTCGAGGTGACTTTTGAGTCGATTCATGAGTCGAGGTGACTTTTGAGTCGATTCATGAGTCGAGGTGACTTTTGAGTCGATTCATGAGTCGAGGTGACTTTTTGAGTCGATTCATTAGTCGAGGTGACTTTTTGAGTCGATTCATGAGTCGAGGTGAGGTGACTTTTGAGTCGATTCATGAGTCGAGGTGACTTTTTGAGTCGATTCATCAGTCGAGGTGACTTTTGAGTCGATTCATGAGTCGAGGTGACTTTTTGAGTCGATTCATGAGTCGAGGTGACTTTTTGAGTCGATTCATGAGTCGAGGTGACTTTTGAGTCGATTCATGAGTCGAGGTGACTTTTTGAGTCGATTCATGAGTCGAGGTGACTTTTGAGTCGATTCATGAGTCAAGGTGACTTTTTGAGTCGATTCATTAGTCGAGGTGACTTTTTGAGTCGATTCATGAGTCGAGGTGACTTTTGAGTCGATTCATGAGTCGAGGTGACTTTTTGAGTCGATTCATTAGTCGAGGTGACTTTTGAGTCGATTCATGAGTCGAGGTGACTTTTGAGTCGATTCATGAGTCGAGGTGACTTTTTGAGTCGATTCATGCGTCGAGGTGACTTTTGAGTCGATTCATGAGTCGAGGTGACTTTTTGAGTCGATTCATGAGTCGAGGTGACTTTTGAGTCGATTCATGAGTCGAGGTGACTTTTTGAGTCGATTCATGAGTCGAGGTGACTTTTTGAGTCGATTCATGAGTCGAGGTGACTTTTGAGTCGATTCATGAGTCGAGGTGACTTTTGAGTCGATTCATGAGTCGAGGTGACTTTTTGAGTCGATTCATGAGTCGAGGTGACTTTTGAGTCGATTCATGAGTCGAGGTGACTTTTGAGTCGATTCATGAGTCGAGGTGACTTTTGAGTCGATTCATGAGTCGAGGTGACTTTTGAGTCGATTCAAAAGTCACTTCCTTTCCAGTGCTCACAACCTCGTCCACCATCCACTCTGCCCGTTAACTCCCATCTCCGCTTCCCCTTCCCCCATCTCCCCCTCCCCCATGTTCTCCGCACCCCTCGGCTTTTTTCTTCGACGGCTGCTCCCTTTTTCCCCATGTAACCCCTCCCAACAGCAACTGTATGACGACATTCAGGCAGCACTACTCTACATGGTGGGGAAGAGACTGTCTTACAGCCATGGACAAATGCATCAAGCTCTCTATCTACCCATCCCTTCCACCCTGCCCCTTTCGTCCCTGTGTAACCCCTCCAAACAGCAACTGTATGACGACATTCAAGCAGCACTGCTCTACATGGTAGGGAAGTGCCAAAAGACCATCTTTCAGCTACGGATGAATACATCAAGCGTTCCATCGTCCCTTCCCCCCCACCCTCACCCCCATCGTCCCTGTGTAACCCCTCCAAACAGCAACTGTATGACGACATTCAGGCAGCACTACTCTACATGGTGGGAAAATGCAGGGAAAGAGACTACCTCGCAGCCATGGATAAATACATCAAGCTTTCCATCGGTAACGCGCCCTGGCCCATTGGGGTTACCATGGTGGGTATCCACGAGCGGTCTGCCCGCGAAAAAATTCACGCGAGCTCCGTCGCGCACATTATGAACGACGAGACTACCCGGAAATATCTGCAGTCGGTTAAGAGGCTGATGACTCTCTGCCAGAGGAGGTATCCTGCGCTGCCTTCTAAGGCCGTGGAGTTTAACTCGCTTGCGAATGGGAGCGACTTAGAGGCTTTGTTGCAGGAGGAGGAGAGGAAAGCGGCTGCTGGGGGAGGGGGAGAGGGAGGGGAAGGGAAGGGGAGGGAAGGGATGAAGTTGCGGATAACAGCAGCAGGAGAGGATGAGGGGAAGAAGAGATGAGGGGACAGGGTTGAAGTGGGCTGTGGAAAGGTGTGATGGCGGGGAATGGTGGGAGAAAAGAGGAGGATGAGGATGTGTGTGGGAGAAACAGGGCCGGAAATGGAAACTGACAACTATATGGCAAATTCACTTGGGTGTTTAGTTGTCCTTGTCTTCATTCCCACTTTGGTGTGCGGATGATGCGTTTTTGAAAGCCCATTTTTCCCCGATGCGGTATTATGGTACCTAGCAGTACTCAGTGCCATTAGTGCTGTTGTGCTAGGTATCTTTGACTGGAAGCCGCGTGAACGCGCAAAGTTGGACTACTGTGCAAGATAGATGCTCCTTGTAAGAGAGTGCAGAATGTACAGGACATGGTTTTGTGTGGCCTGTTTGCAGTACGTACCTACGGTACTACCATAATACCTGTGATACTCTACCAGTTCATCTGTACCGGTATGGCACCGCATTGGTCTGTACAACTGCAAGGGAAAGAAGAGTTTCGTGTGTAGCAGCAGAACGAGCAGCCAGCATTCGTTGGTCAGACTTGCCATGTGACCTGAAAAGTCTGAACTCAACACTGTGAAGACATTAAATAACAGTGCTGAGTATCCATGAGGCGTTGAGACATGGCGAATCGTATCCACACATCATGCACGGTGAATTCGGTTGAGTCATACACATCATGCATCACTGCAGCAGCAGGAAGCGTTTCATGTGCAGCAGCAGCGTGGCCGGCCAGTGCCGCTCCGACTCAAGCCATGCGAGGTTGGAGTAGCGGGAATCGAGGAGAGTGGCAATGGTGAACTGCCGCTCTGCCGCTGCTGCCCCTCCCTCCACGTACAGCGCTGCTGCCAGTGCTGCGTGCACCTCTGATTGGGAGAAGGGGGATATTGGTCAGGGGATGGTGGGGGAAACAAGGGGCGGGGCATAGGAGAGTGGCAATGGTGAACTGCCTCTCTGCTGCTGCCCCGCCCTCCACTCATAACGCTGCTGCCAGTGCTGCGTGCACCTCTGGGGAAGGGATAGCAGTGGGTGGGGGAGGGAGAGGAGGGGAGGGGGGAATATCCATAGGTCTGAGCAGAGTGCAGGGGACATAGGGTCAGAAATAGAAGCGTTGCGATGGTGAACTGCCGCTCTGCTGCTGCTGCCCCACCTTCCACGTACAGTGCTGCTGCCAGTGCTGCGTGCACCTCTGGGAAGGGGTAGTGTGGTGGGGAAGAGGGTGGGTGGGAACGGGGTAATATGTCGGGGCAGAGGTGGAGAAATATAGGTTGGGGCACGGCACGGGGAGTGGCGCTGCTGCCAGTGCTGCATGCACCTCCGGGGGGCAGATTTGATGGGGTTGGAGGCAGTTTGTATGGGGAGGGATGCTTATTGAGAGAAGAGGTACAGTTGCAACGGCCACCCTGCTGCTGCTGCTGCTGCACCGCCCTCCATGTATTATGCTGCTGCCAGTGCTGCGTGCACCTCTGATGGAGGATAGTTGGGGAGGTGTGCGGGAGGGGTAATAGAGGTCGGGGCTAGTGGGAGGGAGAGTGGGGCTGTGACGATGGGTGAAGGATAGGCAAGACCAGGCGAAGGAGAAGAGGGGGTGGTGGAGTAGGAGCAGCAGATGAGGTGAGAGAATGTGTGCATGTGACGTGAGCATGCCGGTATGAGCACAGATGCATGCACTGCATGGGTCCAGCCAACCCATGGGTGTGCTGTACTGTACATGCATGTATGCATGGTGGCACTAGGCATGTGCAGTGCATGTGCAGTGCATGTGCAGTGCACCCACCAGGGTACCCCTTGAACTCCACGCTGAGCACTCGTAACCGGGTAACCGCCGTGCGCATGTCACCCACTTGGTACTCCATAAGAGCACGCCCTGCTTTACCGTATACTGACAGCGCCAGGTCCGGGTATTGCTCCTGCACCTGCCAGGTAGGAGAGGGGAGGGAAGTTTTCTTTAGTCAAACCGCTTTACCGTATACTGACAGTGCCAGGTCCGGGTATTGCTCCTGTACCTCCCAGGGAGAAGCGAAAGGGAGGCGACGGGAAGGGCAGAGGGGGGGTGTGAGAGGAGAAGAGAAGAGCAGTGGGAGAGGAGAGAAGAGAGTAGCAGAGGAGTGGAGAAAGATGAGAGGAGAGGAGAGGGAGGTGTGGTTGCTACGTGAAGATGGAACCAAATGCACTCGCACCTGAGAGGCACTCTCATCTCTGCTGTTTCCTACACCCAAGCAAGCAAGTAGTGATTCAACCCGAGCAAAAAGCGCTAAAGTTTGTTCCCGCGACTGCTGCAGCAGGTATGCGCGAGAGTGCGCGCGCGCGCACCTCTGTGTAGAGCGCCAGGGCGTCCGCCCACCGACCTTCCGCCTGCGCCCTCCGCCCATCCTCCAGTGCGCGCACTGCCCTATCCACGCGCGACTCAAATGCTGCGCGCTCCGCCGCGACGTCCGCCGCGCGCAGGTACGGCGGCGGGGGGAGCACCACGCGCGGGGGAGACCTGCGCGCGGGGGTGGCGGCGGAGAGGTCTGGCGTTTCTGTTGAAGCGCTGTCTTCCGTCGCCGCCGCCGCCGCAGGTGCTGCTCCTCGTAACGTAAATGATGTTGTTGATGCGGCGAGGGTAGCTAAACGCGATTCGGGGAAGACAGTAAGGGGGACGTAGGGGGGTGCGGAAATTGCGAGGAAGAGCAGCAGTCCGACCAAACACCGTCGCGATCCGTCCTGTGTCAATACAGAAGCCCATTCTAGCGCGGACACCGGTTCTGTATCCGGTTTTTGCTCTTGCAATTGCTCTCTCTGCGTAATAAGGGATACAGTGTCTGCTGCATTTCTGGCTGCTTTGGCCTGATTGCCGCGGGTGGCTGGTTGTGCAGAACAAATTCCACTTCTACGGATGTGACTATATCGAATTGATCGGAGTCCAAGGGAACGAAGCGGTGACGACACGTGGGTTGCTGGTGAAGCACTGTAATTGATGCGCTCTGTTGCGGGAACCGCGCTTCTGGTGCGAATACGTCGCCGATTAATAGGGCAAGCCGCGAGAAGATTGGAGGAATAAGAAGTTGCCTCGCTCAGCATCGCGTCTGACAGTGGAGACGCGTTGGAGGGCGTCGAGGAACTTGTGAAGCGGCACAAGGAACGGTAATGGCGGTAGATGTGGAGGATAAGGATAAACAGTTCGCAATAAGTGGCTCCGCTTAGAGGAACAAGGATAAAGCCAACGGGAGGAACTGTTTCGACAGTGGATGCTGGTGTGCGCTGTAGATTGTGATGTACCTCCATATTAGGCTGGTTTAGCTAAAACTTCCAAGTCTTGTTACTGAAAACTGTACATTGAATAAGAATGATTTTACAGCAGGAGCAAGAGCCCACGAGCCCTACAACTTTCCATGGTCACAAGAATTCCTAAGCTTCAATATTGCAAGCATCGAAGTACTTATGCACAGCATGCCGCACCCGCTCCTGCCATGTATGATAGCATGGCGATGACATGGAGGAGCTCTGTCCATCACCATGGCCACTGTTAGTACCACCATCTCATCCATCCACCATGTCACCATGCCGACACACGGTTGGTTAAAACTCCATCCATCATCTTCTTGTCCGTAATAAATCAATGAAACAGCAGCAGCGGTGAGCTCATCCCCTCGCCTCAGCCCACCTTCCTGGTCTCTCACTGTCTCTCACCACGCCAAGGGGTCCCTCATTCGCTCGCCTCCCCCGCCGGTGCCCGCCTTCATCCCTTGTCTTTTTCTCCGCGGATCCGCCTTGGGAGTGGACGGCTTGCCGCCCAGAAAGTCATCCCAGAACTCGTCGAAGTCGTCTTTTCTCCTCGCTGGCCGTTGCGGCTTCGCCTTGCTCGCTTTCTCATGCGCCTGTACCGCTGCCTGTAAGGACAGCCAGGGAGAAAGAGTGCAGAAGACGCGGAGAAAGGGGGAATCGGGATGACGAGGCCGTGAGGACGCGTTGACAGGGTTCCGATATGTGCATGAGGGACAGGAAAGTGCTGAAACGGACTGCCGCCAATGGTTGCGGACGAAGCGGGAAGGAGAGTCGACTGGCCATGTGACGCTGGGTGGAAATCTGAACCTTGCCGTGAGAAAACGGAGACGCAGCTAGGAAAACGGAGAGCAGCGAGGCGTAACCTTCGGAATGGAATGGAAACGGTCCACCCTTGCACTTCCCGTTCTCCCTAAGTTCCTTCAGGGTCGAAACAAGTGATGGAGCGATGGAATGCACGGGGGAGAAACGACGAGGACTGGCTCACCTCGTACGCTCGGTTGACGTCCATGAACATGGCGGCTGCTCCCGCGTCCTTATTTACGTCCGGATGCCACTGTGGGAGCGAGACGCACGCGAAGCAGGGAGGGAAAGGAGTGCGAAGGTGACATGGTTAGGAGACGCAGAAGGACGGGGAAGATACGATGTTGCTCAGTTGAGGAAAAGACAGCAAGTAGGAACAGCCGGAATGGCGAAACCGAGTTCTGCGAGAAGACGGGTAGTTTGGGAAAAAACCCGAGGTGACTGCACGGAAGCGCGTAAGAGATCAGAGGAGGTGGCGCAGGCAACGGACCTTTCGGCAGAGAGAGCGGTACGCGACGCGTATCTCCTGCAGCGAGGCGGTGCGAGCCACTCCGAGCACACGGAAACACTCCAGTTGCGACGCGGATCGCGGCCGCGAAGGCGACGTCGCAACGCGCGTACGCGAGCGTCGCGGGCTGTGCACGTGGGCAACAGCAGAGCGGCCGTTAGCACTTTCAGCAATTGAGGTCGTGCTCTTGTCATCTGTGGACGCACCGCCGTTGAGGCTGATCCTCCCCATGGCTCCCGTTGCTCTTACAGCAGCCACGTCATCTTCAGAACTCACGCCCTCTGGCTCGAGAACCGGATTTTGCGGAAAATTATCGACCAGGACGCCGGGTGGGACCACGGCTTGTGAGTGTAACGGGAGATCGAACGGGTGCTGTAGCGGGAGCGGCGGCTGTAGCGGCTGATGTAAATGCTGCTGCTGAAGCGGCTGATGCAGCTGCTGCTGTAGCGGTTCCTCTAGAGGCATGTGGGTGGGTGTTGCATGACGGTCACTGTCTAAAGGGGCTGGTCGTGTCGCCACGCGCGGCGAGGCTAATCTGGCGGAGACGCGGGGGGAAGACGGTGGCGCAGATACGAGCGGAGAGGCTGGTCGTGCGACGATTCTCGACGACGCAGGACGGTGGACGCACCCCGCTGCTGGGTCGCGGCCCGAGTCGGCCATGGATATTGCCTGCGCGCCTTGATTTGTCCATGGCCGACATTGCGTGGCGGAAGGAATGGCTACTCTTAGGTTGGAGCCTGGACGTTGGAGAATGGGGCTGGGAGGGCGAAATGGAGTCGCTGGCATGCTGACAGTGAGCTGTGAGTGAACGACGCAATTACAGTTACGGAGACGGGTGACTTGCACTCCCAGAGTCTACTGAGATAGCGAATGTAAAGGCTGTCTGAAATGCCAGAACGTCTCTCAGGCCCGGAGCAAAATCGACCTAAAATGTGATGCTGTGTTTTTGTGAAGATAAGGCAATGGGGGAGTGAGAGCGAAGCAATGGAATGGATACTGTAGATGAGAAAAAGGCGCCTGGAGTTGTAAACGTCAAGTGGGCGAATGGATGGAGGCTTGATTTGAAGGGGTCCTCCTCTCTCGTCGCGTGGTCGCGTCAACGTCGCCGAGGCACGTCAGCTCGGATAACGTGTCGCATATGGAGGCACACTGCCCACTTCGTACAGCTGCTTGCGACACTTTCGGGCACACTGGTTTGGGAACACTGGGTGCAATGTTGTCGCTGATGTCAAGCCCAGGGGTGTTTCCAGGTCGTCGCTGAGGATCATGTGGGTTGAAGCTGGAATATTCGGCGGGATGGGAGAGTTTTCAGGAAAAGCTGACGGCGTTTGAATCAGACAGCGAATGAAACAAGAATGCGATCACGGCGAATTGTGAGGCTGGCCAATCAGCACAATTTCTGCCGGCTAGACTGTGCAGGACAGTGAGGTGTGGGTGTGACTGACGACGAGGGACTTGTGATGCGGTGTGGTGTGGTGTGGTGACAGGGGGTGCGGTGCGCAACAATTTGAATTTTGAGCGGCTCGGTTGTGATGAACCTGGTGGCTGTGCGGCACCAAACCATCAATCATCTCCAGACCCCTGATAATGCTGGGTCTCGTCTCGTTCGGTTTATCCCACATTCGACATGTCCACCTGTGACCTGTAAATTTGTTTTCAACTGCCCCTTCAAACGTGCATATTTTCAGAGGGGTTCAAGAACCTGGCCCTCGCCCCTGAATCCCGCCACCGAAGCTTGTTGATGGAATTGCCAAATTTAGCTCTCAGGCTGACTTGGCGGTTCATGCATTTTCCACCTTGAAACCCTTCGGTTCTAGAACTCACACTTCAGTACCCAGAAATTAATATCTCTGACCGGGCCGTCAACGGTGTCTGAAAAGATTCCACATTGACGAACTTCCCGAAACTTCAGCTTGGCGCGCCAAAACGCATCATCCGCTTGCCAGCAGAATGTCCTGTCGACACCACACGAAGCGGCTAGTCGCAGATGACGCCACGCTAGGTCCACGTCACATCAATGGACTTTGCTGATGTCTGATTGATTGGCTGTTGGTCAACAAGCTGCGAAAGTCGGCGCCGAGCAAGTCATGGCCATGACTTCCGCCAGAAGCACAAAGAACCGTCACAGCCAACCGAACCGAGACACGCATTTCGTCCTGGATAAGGGTGACTGGTGCTCGTCTCCATGGTCTATTGTAGGCCAATTGTTGCCCCGACCTTCGGGACATAAACCATCTGTCCAAACCACACCGACAGCGTGGAACTACAAAGCAAGAAGGGGCGTGTGAACATAACGAGATAATCCAGCCTGGGCAATTGCCTTGGTGAATCAGGCTTCACAGGGCGCATCGATGCTCACAAGTGCGGTCCTTTGGAATGATATTTATGATAATGGAAAATGGTATGCTAGTACATACCAATTAGAAGCTTGAAAACATATACTATGGCAATTACCGCGGCGGTGTAAGAGGCACCAGCCATCTAGTGTCCCATCGTGATCCCTACGCTACCTACCAGTTATCAGGCCTTTGGACGTTAAAGCAAGGAAAAAAGGAAGTAACACGCCGGCGCCTTTAGGTGCTCCATGCAACAAAACCTTCCCAGGCTATATTATTGGCTGTACTCCCTCAAGCCAGTGCGTGGCTCCAGGAGAGCAAACCGCGGAGGGCTCCAGTTGTCATCATCATCGTCATCATCATTATCATCCCACCCTGCCCTCCGGGATAGCGGAACGGGGTTATCGATGATTGGAGATCCCGGTTGAGACGTAAGGAAGCTCTGGAACGGAGGCGCCATGACTGGCCGAGAAGGCACAAACCTCGACGCATCCATGGGTTTCCACACTTTATACCCCGACATGAACGACTTTTTCTTTGGCTTTATCCCCGCAGCATCCCCATCCTTCCCACTGTTCTCCCCACTGTACCCAACCCCCTCCTCCTTTGCCAATTCCCCACTTTCGGACCCCACATCTCCATCCCCACCTACACCTCCTCCTGCTCCGTGCCCTTTCTTCTTTCCCAGCTTCCAGTGTTTGCCAGCTCCCACGACAAACATGCTCATGCCCTTGCGCTTGAACGACTCCTTTTGAAGCAGCTTCGCACCCCCGAGCCACCAGAAAGCCGCAGCAGCACCAATGGCTAACCCAATGATAACGAAGAAGACAATCGCTGCCACCGCCCCTCCGCTCAATCCCGAGCTCTCTTGGCTGCTGCTCTCGCCACTGCCGTTCTCACCATCAACAGAAGCACCATTCTCACCCGCTCCTACTCTTGAGGACGAATCAGCAGAACCTTCTGCTGCTGCTGCTGCTGCTGCCGTGGATGGTGCAACGGCAGAGGAATTAGCAGCAGTGGAATTGCTGGTGATTGTACTGTTGCTGCTGGTGTTACCGGCACTAGCAGAACTGCTGCCGTTGCTGGTGGTCGTGGTGTTGGTGGTGGTAGTGGAATTTTCATGTGACCCGTCCACTCTAGTTGCGTTTCTGCTACTACCACTGCTGTTGCTGCTTCCCTTGTTGCCGCTGCTTCCATCGCTGGTGCCGGCACTGATGTCAATTTGAGAGGAGTTGGAACCCGGACGCGGTTTTTGAATGACAATCGAGGGCGGGGAGCGAGAGGGAGAGTGAGGAGGAGTGGGGAGAGAGTGGTATTGTCGCTGCTGTAGCCGCAGCTTCAAAATGACTGGATTGTACGGCATGCCTTTCTGCTCGGACGGAAATAGAGAGGCAGAAGTCAGGGGGGAATGAACGAAGAGAGAGGGGGAGTGAATGAAGGGGTAAATAAAGTAGGGTCAGATGGTTAAGGGGAACACCAGTGGTCAGATGCACATTCCAGGTAGCAAGGGTGTCATGATGCAGGTTGGATAAGGTGCAGGTTGGACGACAAGCTGAGAATATCTCCTAGAATGATAACAACGGAGGTGGTTAAAGGAACACCTATCCCAACACTGTGATTGTACATGCTGAGAGTCAATCCAAAAAGTGTAACAAAGAATGCCTCCTGCCGTTTATCCGTCATGCCCCATCAGGCACGCAGTCATGCATCCACCATGCTTCTTTCACGCATGCATGCATGCATTTATCTGCCATGCCATGTCCCGTACCACATGCGGCATCTCCACACTGATGGCGTCAGTCAGGTGCTGCGATATCAGGATGAAGTTTGTCTGTGAGAAGACGCGAAAGAAGGGGAGAATGGGCGAGAGGAATGGTGGTTGTGTCTGTGTGTGCAACAGAAGTTTTGCATACTGATGGTGCCAGTTAGGTGCTAGATATCAATATGTAACTGGTCTGTGTGAAGAAACATGATGGAAGCAAGACGGGAGGGGGAGAGAAGGAGGCTGCTTGTGTGAGTGGGGGGCGAGAATGGCTGAGCATGCCGCTGATGGCATCAGTCAGGTGATGCGGTATCAGGATGAAGCAGGATCAGGCGTGAGAAGAAGAGAGGCGACAGAATGGATGGGAGAGCGGAAGGACGTATGGGTGTGTGGGGAGATAATTGCTGCATGTTGATAGAGTCGCTCGGGTGTTGCAATTTCAGGATGAAGCTCGTCAGTGAGAGTCAGACAAGGGAATCAGGGAAGGGGAAGAAGAGTGGGGGGGGAGGTTAGAGGAGAAGGGGGGAGAGGCTAGAGGAGATGGGTTGGTCTTGGGGAGAAGGAAATCTGTGTGTATCACCCTTGAAATTTCTCAGAAGTGATTTCAACATGTCCGGAGAGTCATGGCTGTTGCTTCTCAGTCCCCGGTATTCATTACCGACAGTGCAAGCAGTGGCCTTGGAACTTTGAGCTTACCTGTACTTTCAGATCTCCCATACCTGCTGTGCAGCTAACTGGCGCTTCTCAGAGGGTAGCGCCGCCGCTATGTTGATCAGACGCTCTGATGTGGCGTCCTGTGATAGGTCGGCGGGTGAGAGTGAGGGGAGGTGGCAGGGTGGTGATTGGAAGAGAAGGTAGTAGTAAAAAGTTGTGCCGAGATTAAAATATGGTAAAACGTGGAAAGAACATATGTTTCTCAATTCAAAGCAGCGAGGCAATGAATCATGTAATGTGTCAACAATATAAACAAAAAGGACTGACCTTGATGATCTGCATGACTCGCGACACCGGATCCAGATTCTCCACATCCAGATCCTGATGGGTGGTTGGGAGGGAGGGCGGAAGGATGAATGGTGAGTTGGGATGGATGGGTGGGTGGGTGGGTGGGTGGAACGGAGGAAGGGAGAAAGGCAGGTAGGCAGGGAGGGAGGAGGGTGGATGGAAGCATGCAAGCATGCAAGCAAACGAGCAAGCGAGCTCGTATATGAACGCTCTCCCTTGATCAACGCCAAACAGCACACACCTTCCCCCAACATAAGTCACCGAACATGCCCACCACCATGGAGCGAGTTATGATGTGAAGAGACGCCTAAAGCTGGCAACGGAACGCCCGACTCACCGCGGAGAGGTCTCCGTCAAGGTCGTTGAACGTGCCCATGACCACCACCTCCTCCCTCCTCCTCCCCGCGCAGTTCGTAAGGAGGAAACCTGAAGGAGCGCTCAGAATCAAAGGAGCGTTGAAAGGGAAACGTGTGCCGATAAAGCACGACTCACCGCGGAGAGGTCTCCGTCGAGGTCGTTGAACGTGCCCATGACCACCACCTCCTCCCCGCGCAGCAGCAGCCGGCGCACCACGCGCGCCATGGCCACTGCCTGCGCCTCCCTGATAGCGCACGGCAGGCTGCCCCGGAAGGACACTCCCAGCAGCATGTACACTCCCACCACTGCGAACCGCACTCCTGCCACAGAGAAGCTGGGGGGAGAGGGGACGGAGAGCAAAGGACCGAGGGCAGGGCAGGGCAGGGCAGGGCAGGGCGGGGCAGAGCAGGGCGGGGCAGAGCAGGGCGGGGCAGAGCAGGGCGGGACAGAGCAGGGCGGGGCAGAGCAGGGCGGGGCAGAGCAGGGCGGGGCAGAGCAGGGCGGGGCAGAGCAGGGCGGGGCAGAGCAGGGCGGGGCAGAGCAGGGCGGGGCAGAGCAGGGCGGGGCAGAGCAGGGCGGGGCAGAGCAGGGCGGGGCAGAGCAGGGCGGGGCAGAGCAGGGCGGGGCAGAGCAGGGCGGGGCAGAGCAGGGCGGGGCAGAGCAGGGCGGGGCAGAGCAGGGCGGGGCAGAGCAGGGCGGGGCAGAGCAGGGCGGGGCAGAGCAGGGCGGGGCAGAGCAGGGCGGGGCAGAGCAGAGGAGGGAAGAGCAGGCAACAAGAGGCGACAGGAGAAGAGGGACGGCGAAGGGGAGGGGAGGAGAGGCCTTGGCCACGAGACACGACACAAATCCGAACCGAGGTGACTTTTGAGTCGACTCAAAGTCAAACCTCACCAAAAAACGAATCGAAACCGGCGACTCACTGCGACACGAAGTGCGTGGGCGGGGGGGTCTTCCCCGCCTGCCCCGCGGGCAGCCCGCACGCGGAGTCGGGGATGGGGTAGCGCTCCGCCTCCACCGTGCTCTGCAGGGGGAGCGCGCCCAGCGGCGCGTGCAGCGACATCAGCGCGAGGGGGAGCGAGCGCCACGACTCGTTCAGGCGCGCGGGGGGAGGCTGCTCCGCCACCTGGTACGCGCGGTAGCTGAGGGGGGAAGAGGAAGAAGAGGAGGGAGGGGGGAAGGGGAAGGAGAGAAAGGGAAGGGAGGAGACGAGAGGGGAGGGGTAAGTCTGCCCTGTCTTGTCTCCGTGTGACCTGGCTCCTTCTCAACTACGCTGCTCGCCTAATCCCATCCGCAACCTCTTCCCGCTCCTTCCACCTCGCCCCTCACCCTCGCCCTCTCCCCCTTTTCCCTTCCCCTTTCCCCCGACCGGCTGAACGTGGGTAAGGTTGCGCTGCTAACCTGATCCCTTGCCCCATCCCTTTTCTCTCCCTCCGCTCTTCCCTCAACCCCACTTTCTCCTCCGCCACTTCCCCCCTACCCCAACTTCCCCCTTCTTTCGTCCCCCTACCGGCCGAATCTGGGGAACGTTGCGCTGCTGGCCTGATTCGCTAGGCGCTGCAACGTGCCGCAGTCCGATAGCCCTGTCAGCGCCCACACGTGCACTGCGGAGGGGGAGGGGGAGAGAGGAGGGGGAGAGAGGAGGGGGAGAGAGGAGGGGGAAGCGGAGGAGGAAGTGGAGGGCGAGATGGTAAAGGATGGCTGTCCTGTTTTGTCTCTCTGTCCTGTTTTGTCTCTCTGTCCTGTTTTCGCTAGGCGCTGCACCGTGCCGCATTCCATTAGCCCTGGTCAGAAGCCACACGTGCACTGCGCAGGGGGATGGGAAGGGGGAAACGGGAGGGGGGATGAAGGGGGACCAGTGAGGGGTGAAGAGATGGTGGGTTGGGGGAAGATATCCCCGCGCTGCACCGTGCCGCAGTCCGTTAGCCCGGTCAGCGCGCCCACACGTGCTCTGGGGAGGAGGAGCGGATGGGACAATGGGAAGGCGAAGAGGGAGCGGAATGTTGAGGGGGGCAGAGGTTTGGGTGGGGGAGGAGGGGAGAAGAGATGGCGCTGCACCATGCCTTAGTCCCCTAGTCCGCTCAACGCGCACGTGCACTCGGGAGCGCGGAAAGCGCGGAAGGGGACGGTGCGGCATGAGCTTGTGAGGCGGTTTTGTGGCATGGTGATGGCTATGGGAAGAGCCACGGGTGGTTAGCTTCCAGCCAAGGGACGAGCACTGGGTGGCAAAGGGGGGGGAAGGGAGCGTGCGTGCGTGCGTGCGTGCGTGCGTGCACCAGCAGAGGCATCTCACCGCGTGATTTCCGGATGAAGGGCGAGCCGCGCCTCAGCAAGGTCTCAAGCGTGGGACACGCGGCTGCTCGTGACAGGCGGGCAGGGCGGGCAGGGCGGGGAAGACGGGGAGGTGGGAAGGGGAACAGGGAGACGGGAACATGTGAGGAAGCCTCGACGCGCACAGACGCGCACGGAGCGGTGCGGAAAGGCAGGGAAAGGCAGGCGACGGCACGAGAAGCAGTCGCGCTCACCTCTGCAAGGCATGGGGCGAGAGTCGAAGGACCACAGGCTGAGAGGGGCGAGGCGGGGAGGGAAGGCACAGGAAACAACAGGAAAAGTTATTCAAGAGAAAGGAAGAAATGATGAGACGAGGAAGGGCGAAATTCACTTTCTTCGGCATTTCCTTCCACTTTCCGTCCCCTTTTCCCTCCCATTTTTCCCCTTTCTTTTCGTGCTGCGCGTGCCCGAAGCTCATCGTGCGGCTGGAGTCCCTTCCCCTCTCCCCCCACTTTCCCCCTCCCCTCCCCCACTTTCCCCACTTTTTTCCTGCGTGCTGCGCCTACCCGAAGCTCATCGTGCGGCTGGAGTCCACGGGGGAAACGGTGGGGCCGGTGGGGCCGCACGGGGACAGCGGGAACGGCGGCAGCTTAGCGCATCCGGCGGCGGAACAGTCGGCGAGATTAAGCACCACGCCGCCCGAGAGCATTAGGTTTGCGGGGAGTAGAGTCCAGTCGCGCTCCGGCGCCGTCCAGTTGACCATGGGCGTCGCGGCGTGCGCGGCGCGCACCGCGGTCCGGCCGCGGTTGCTGCTCTCCCCCTTTGAGTCGATGCCCCACCACACGAGTCGCGAGCTCTCGCCGCCTGTGGCGGCGGCGGCAACGGCGGCGCCGCCAGGAGAGGTTTTGGTCCGGAGAGCTGCTCGACCGAACTGGAAGGAGAAGGGTAGGGGCAGGATGAGGTGAGCGGCGGAAGAGCGGAGCGGAGGAAGAGGGGAGCGGAGGAAGGGCGGAGCGGAGGAAGAGGAAAGTGAGAGATGAACGGAAGGGCGGGGGAGAGCGCTGGAACGAGTAAATAAGGAGAGACGAGGAGGAAGAACGAAGGGGGCCAACAGACAAGAAGAAAAGAGGATGCAGCGCGGATGTAGCGCGAATGCAGCGCGATGACTCCGTTTCAACACGCGGATGTCCTCCCACGAGCGGCCCATCCTCCGAACTTCTCGACCGCCTCGCCTGCCCCCCGTCTACTTGCCATGGGACGCCATTGCAACACGCTCTCGTCACATTCAGCACCCTGCCACTCCACTCGCTGCTCCTGTGGCGCGCCAGGCCCACCCGTACTTGTATTTCTCCGTCGCCCCTCTGACTACTTCCCCGTCGTCGTCTTCTGTAATGTCACGAGCTGGCTATTTATACTTATTAAGAACCAACTTGTTATTAGCTGAGACGCTTTGAGAAGCATCTTATTGAACAAGATTACTCACGATGTCTCTGGTGGGGGCTCGATCCGGCGGTTGCCAGAGCAGGTTGAACGACACGAAGGGGCCGAAGCGAAGCGACTGCGGGGAGCAGAAGGGGGGGATGGGTGGAGATCAAGGAAGAGGACGCGTTGCACGGAGCTGCCAGTGGGATGTTCCCTAAACAAAGAAATAAGACCGAGAAATTTTACGAGACGCAGGATTAGGTGAGGTCGCAACGGCCAGCGACATTGATTGTCATTCAGAAATAAGCACCCGTTGCGTAATGTCGCATTCGCACCTCGACTACGATGTCGCATAGTCGTTCCAAAATAAGCGACCCGCCACCGTGGCACAGCGTGATCGTGACACCTGGACTTAATTGCCACCTGTCGCCATATCCCTTGCCCTCCCATATGGCCGTGCCGTTGGCCCACACGAGCCGCAGGTCTGCCACGTCAGCTGCCACAGCCCCGGCTACATCTCGCACCGTAATCTGCACTGCGAAGTTGCCGTCTGTGCCGGCTACAACCTGACTTATGATTGGCTGAGCGGAGGCCAGGAGACTAGCGTATGGAGAATGGGCGAAATAGGGTGCTGAGGAGAGGAGGGACGATACCAGAAGAAAAATACCTATTGTTCGATCTAGATGTAGGCATGTCATCATCGAAAATGACTATCTTTCTGCCGGAGTGCTTACGTAGAGGATGTAGTGAGCTTAGGGGTTCGAAACTGTCACTATACGATCCGACCTTTCCTTTTTTGGCCTTGCCTCGAAACGACGGTAAGGCTGCGCGAAGGGGAGTTCTGGGATGTGACTGACCAGCGCGGCACAGTGTCTATAGTCTGGTTACTACTGAAGGCTGCCTTATTCATTTCAACTTGGTCCGTGAGCGTTTGCTCGCTCGGAGCTAAGTCGATTGAAAAGTCAACCACGGTGTCTGTTATTCTTCCTTCGGGTCACTACTCGTCGTGGCATGTCGAGGTATTTTTTTCATTGCAGAAAGTTACTTGCGTCGCGACAGAAAAACTCTCCAGAGAAGAGCGAGGAAAAATGATGGCAGACTCACGGTGGCAACATAGCGCCAGTTCGGAGGAGCAAGTGCAACGGACTCGCACAGAATGCTAGTAGTCTGCTACGAAAAACGGTGTTGGGGAGAATTGGAGAGGTGAAATGGAGCATGGATTTCTTATTTGGATGGAACTCGAACCGCATGGATTGATATTGTGCGGCTCGTATTCTCTGACTTGCGACGTTCGTCATTGCGAGTCAAGTGTGGCGAAACAGGTAACCTTGTCAATGTTTTTTGTGGAACTTCCTCGCGACACAGCAAGTGCTGTCGTGCTTGTGGGGTGTGGCGGGAGAAAGGCATGGCGGCTCGTGGAATTCGAACGGTGTGGCGCGAAAATGCAGGGTGCAGATCGCTGGCAGGGGTGTGATGGGTGGATGGTGAGGCGGAGAGGGAAAGTGTTGCTTTCAAACTGACGGCACAGTAGTAGCAGCCGACCAGAAGCCTTCCCTCCAATATTTGAAGTTCCGAAAGAACACTCATAGCAGATTATAATAATATTCGCTATATGTTTCTGGAAAGGGGTCAGTAAATTTTGTGTTTTCAGTTGATACGTTTCACACATGCAGATAGTTGTTTATAATATTCTCACAATCAATAGAGTCACGGATTTGAACTGGAGTTGTTTCTCGGGCCAGGGAGTGTTCCCTTAAGTTTTTTGTCTGGCTTATGAGGAGGAGAACTCGAGGCTGAACTGAGCCCCGTGCCGAAATGTTGCTGACACAAGGAGGGAATGCGCACACGCCCCTGAACCTTTCGCATTTGCAGCAAAAACATCTCGTCCTCGTCAACATCGAGGAACCAGTTCGGGAGGCTCGGTGGTCCCGCTCATGCGCCGCCAGATAATCCCGCTGTATCACCTATCTGCTTCACTTGCCCCAAAAGTGTCCCGTCCAGTCTTCTATTCTTCCGACTTTGCTGCTTTGAACTTCGCTGAGTCGATATCCAGTGCCAGAAAGTCACGATGGACGAAAACGAGAAAGAATCTCCCATGAGCATCTATGCTCTTTGCCAGCTTCGAGCTCAGATAAATGTGTGGATAGCATTCAGGTACTTGCTCGGCCTTAACACCAGAATGATGAAGCTTACAGTGCATATAATAGTTTTCCATGTTTCAGGAAGGGAAAGGTTCCGCCACGCGCAGACCTCGCGTTGGCATTACGCCGGCTCCCAAGGATTTCGCGGAACCAAGCGAAAGGTAATGTGTGACGGTCTTAGCAGTCACTGCTCCTTGAAGCTGAGTGCACGCGGCGATAACCAACAATTTGGGATGCTAACAAGTTTTTTCTGGAGATTACAGAGCTGGAGAAAGAATGCAAAGGAAAGCTGTCCTCCAAGATATCGACCGCATTGGAACCGCCGTCAAAGAAGACGACGAAAAATGTAAGCCATTTGTCACAGCGTTAGGCCCAGATATAACTCGTACCGTGCTAAAACGGCTACTTTCGTGACGTGCAGAAACCGCCACAAGCACAAAGCAAGAAGAATCCTGAACCAAATGGTTCGCACACCACAAAATCCAAGTCAAAGGCGAAGGTCAAGCAAGAGCCTGGCGATGCTGAAAAGGAGAAAGAGAGCTGCAAAAGCACTATCCGTTCTAGCATTCCCAGCCGCTCGACTCGGTCTCAAGGTATCCTACTTTCAGAAGACCATCTGCGTCTCATAAGCTCCATTCCGAAGTCGCATAAGGATCGCTTTCTGGAATTTCAGCAGCAGATAATACGGTACGCAGCGAATCCGCTGTTACAATGCAGATTAATTGACCATAGCCTTTTTAGACTCCGAGATTGACAGTGGTCCTGTGCAGGGACATTGTCCTAGATTTCAAGCTCGCTTCCGGCCTGCTGTTGCGCATGCCTAAACTCAGCTTCCGCAATCACAGCCTTCTCAATCTGTGGAAACGCTGGGCTCCAAACGACGAAAAGGCTGGCCTTGAGGGTGAAAAAAAGGAACCCAACGACGATGTTGGCCAAAGGAGGACCTCGCAGCGGAACAAAGTTTTGGGAAAACGTAAAGCTGTCAGCGCGAAGTCCAAATGCGGATCTAAGGATGCTCCTGAAGGGACGACTTCAACAGGGGAAGGCGTTCAGGTGCTGGCGCCAGCGGCAGAGGGTGTGTCTGCTTTGAAGTCAAGGTGGATGGAATGGAAAGCAAAAATGGTCAGTAGACGTAAGAAGCGAGACGTGGAGAAATTCCTTGGCGATATCGTCAGACAGAGGTATTCCGTCAACGTCCCTTCTGTTGCAGATTTGTGTGTTTGAGCCACCAAATGTACGCTGGAGGCTTAACGTCCTTGTTGCTCATCTGCCAGGGATAAGATATTCAAGGCTGCTAAGGCGAAAGCAGAGGCACGATTGCTGACATGCCAGAAAGTTATGGAGTTTCATGAGCAAAAGAAGAGAAAATACGAAGAGGAGCAGCTGAAGTTACAAAGGCAGAAGGTGGAGCTATTGAGGAACAATGACATGGAAGGCTACCTCAAGCTGGTTAAGGTGGGTGCTCGTCGTGCACTGAACCAGGCTGTGCTATTGGAAAAAAGGAGTTGATTTATCTTTCCAATTCAAACAACGGCTGCTGTGGCGCTTGGCATAAGATCTCTATATCGACATCTAATTGCTTGCGCCTTTGCAGAATATGAAGTCAGAGAGGGTGCAGAACCTACTCAAGGAGACAGAGGCGCATCTTCAGCGCATTGCTGGACGCATAGCTTCTGTGCGCCAGCAGAAGGGCCTTGTGAAAGGCCAGGATGAAGGGGCTGAGCCAGATTCGGGTGAATTTGTGAGTGGATCGAGGCTAACAATGCGTCTGTGGGAGATCCTATGGCTTTTGTGCTAGAAGTGACTTCTGTCCTGTCGTTTTTGTTTTTGCAGTCAGCTACGTCAAACCACCTTGACGCTGAAAAGGCTTACACCAACTTTCTGCACAAGTAAGATGACGTGACTGTTCGTAACCCTTTCCTGTGATTTTCACGACGATGCTCGGTGGCTACAGTAGCCGCCATACGATTCTAGAGTGCATACCCTAGTCAACTTTTCATTCCTGCTACTGTAACTCTTATTTCAGGAAGTCGGAAATTGTCCAACAGCCTACAATCCTCTCAGGAGGACAACTTCGCGAGTACGTGCCTCAGGAACCGATCCCTCTCCCCACATGCCTCTTTCTCCTCACACCCAGTTCCTTTTTCTTTTGAGTCATACTGATGCTCTACTGATGTAACACAAGCTGACTGTATCAATGCGTTTCATGTCTGGCAGATACCAGAGGGATGGACTCCAATGGTTGGCGTCGCTGCATGCCAATGGCCTCAATGGCATCCTTGCAGACGAGATGGGACTAGGCAAGACAGTCCAGGTGAGCAAGCATTCTCCAATGAGCGTGCGTCCCACTTGATTGCAGCTTCACTAACCCTGTGAACTTGATTTTGCCCCGTGTGCATGCCATGTACGTTGCAATCAACTGTCTCAGGTGATCGCTCTCCTCTGCTACCTCGTGGAGGTGAAGAAGATACCGGGGCCCTTTCTTATTGTGGCGCCAGCGTCTGTCCTCCCCAACTGGGTGGCCGAGTTTGGCCGATGGGCACCGTCCCTCCGTGTCTCCAGATATGCCGGCATGCCTGACAAGCGAGCCACTATATTCAGGTGCCTATCTTACAAACTTGTAGACTGGCACGTAGTAGCGAGGTCAACAATGCGCCTTTCTCACCTGATAAACTGGTCTCCTGTCCCCTACTCATTCCCACACCTTCTTCTCCCGACCCGCACCTCCCGTCCCCCAACTCACCATGCAGTCGCGAGATCAACCCATGGACACGATGCCCTCAGAGCACTGGGAGTGACAGTGGAGAGGCGCAGAAAAAGTGGCTGGAGGAGCGAGGTTTGGCAAACGTGGTGGTGACGACGTATGAGATGCTCATGGGCAAGTTTGACCGCCCGCGGTTGATCCGCCTGTCGTGGGAGTATGTGGTGCTGGACGAGGGGCACAGGATCAAGAGCGCAGAGTGCAAGCTCAACGCTCATCTCAAGTCGTACAAGTCGAATCACCGGATTCTTCTCAGCGGCACGCCTATCCAGGTACATAACCTCATGTATAAATCTCGTTTTTTTTGTGTTTCGGTATTCCCTGGGCATTTCTCTGACATGACTTCTGTCTCCTGTTTTGGTACTCATCAGAACAACCTGGAGGAGCTCTGGTCACTGCTCAACTTCCTGCTGCCCTCTGTCTTCAACTGCGCATCAGACTTCGCCTCCTGGTTTTCCCAGCCTCTATCACACGTTCTGCCCAAGAAGGCAGGCTCAAGCGCTGCAGGCAGCAGTGCTGCAGACTCAGAGCAGGAGGATGTGTTGGGCGAGGAGGAGAGGTTGTTGCTGATCAACCGCCTGCATCAGGTCCTTCGGCCGTTTGTGTTGCGGCGACTCAAGCACAAGGTAGGACTGCGCCACATGGCTTTTCCGTTCTATAACTCCCCTTCAAGTCTTATCCAGATACAGCATTCCTCGTGTGCTTGTCTTGCCCCCATGTAACTTCCTTCTGTTTCATCAATCTGTAGCTTGCCTTTCTCCTTGTGTGTACCCCATTCTGAATGTCTACCAGGTGGCATCTGAGCTGCCAAAGCGCCTGGAGCGACGCATACCATGTGCAGCGTCTGCATACCAGCAGTGGCTGATTCAGCAAGTTCTGCAGCATCAAGACCTACCTGCAGCTGAGGCTAACAATGTCTACGTGAGTTCCCATCTCTCAGTCTCCGATGCCAAGTTAGTAACGCACTATTTGGTTGATTGTTATCAACACCAAATATGCAGGAAGCTAAATCTGCTGCTCCTTTCTTCTCTACATTTTTGTCTGACCTCTTGATTTTCCATTCAACCCTTTCACTTCTTTCAACCTGCAGAATTTCAGCCTTCCGACGACAAGGAAGAGAAGCGCCCCTTCCGTCATGAACGCAGTCATGGAGCAGCGGGGCATCTGCAACCATCCTTTCCTCTCCGCGCTGCATGATCGCGAGGTCAGAGAGAGATTTGCATGCATGGCCTTGCTTGCGTTGCAGTGCTACATTATCATCACAAAGATGGTGAAACTGTCCGGTATCGCACAGCATGCACAGCCCCAACTCTCAGTTTCTCAAGCTTTTTTACTCTGCTTTCACAACCCACACTCTTTACAGGTAGAGGAGAATCTTCCAAGCGGCCCCCTCCCGCCGCTGCTCAGCACATGTGGAAAGCTGGAGACTCTGCACCGCATCCTGCACAAGCTGCACGCTGCCAAGCACAAGGTGCTGCTGTTCTGCACCATGACCCGGCTGCTGGACATAGTGGAAGAGTATATTGAGGGGCAGCAGAAGATGCACGCGGAATTGCAGGAGAAGAACGAGCAGAAGAGGAAGGTTTTGTTGGAGCAGGGGAAGCAGCAGCAGCTGGCGAAGTCGAAACAGCAGAAAGGCAAGGCGGAGGAGGGGAAGGGTCCGAGTGTGCAGCGGAGGATGACCAGACGCCAGCTTCAAGCAGAAGCGGAGCAGTTAACTAACCAAGCAGCTGAAACGAATGTTGCTTGCAGCTCTGCCACACCTTCAGCCAGTAAACCTTGGAACTATTTCAGGCTGGATGGAAACACAAGCGGCAGTGAGAGGGAGGAATTGGTTCGGGAGTTCAACAAACCAGATTCTGATGTCTTTATCTTCCTCCTCAGGTGTGACACTGCCCCTCACATCTGTTGCCTTGGCCTTTTGCGTGTCTTGTCCTTGGGCTGAACTGCACCTGATCACAGTGACCTTCACGTCTTTATCCTTCACCTTTAAATCTCCTTCTATAAGTTAGCTCATGATTGTGAGTCCATGTTCCTGTGCAGCGTGCGTGCGGGAGGAGTGGGAATTAACCTGCAAGCAGCAGATACAGTCATCATGTATGACACCGACTGGAACCCACAGGTACCAACTTGAACCGCATTCCATAAGAAACTGAACGCCATGCAATGGGCGGCCTTATGGCACTCCTGTGTGAAGAAACTCCATTCTTGCTCTCCTTCTACTCCTACCCATCCTTACCCTCTTCTCGTCGCTCGTGTGCTGTTGCAGATTGACTTACAAGCACAAGCAAGGGCACATCGCATTGGCCAGAAGAATGAAGTCCTTGTCATCAGGCTAGAGACCGTGAGTCTACACTTGGTGACATAAGGTCTTGTTTGCTCACTGCCTTACGCCTGTTGTACCCTCCGCGTTTGCACATTCAGAGAGGGCAGGTGTCGTGCTTCCATAACTCGAAGCTCACATACCCTGGCATATCTCTTATCTTCTCCCACGCATACCCTCCTCGGGCATCAGTTGGGGACCGTTGAGCAACGTGTACGGACGGCCGCAGAGAGGAAGCTGGGGCTGGCGAATCAGAGCATCACAGCTGGATTCTTCGACAATCAGACCAGGTATGCACCCTCATAATGAATTTCTGGAAAATTCCCTGTACTTGCATTTCTCCGACGGAAACCAGGCCTAAAAAACATGCGTCTGTACTGGAATGATTCCCTCCCATTGCTTGTCTCCACAGTGCGGCAGAGCGCCAGACATACCTGGAGACGCTGCTCCGCACAGAAGACCAGGGCGTGGATGAATTTGATGCTGCTGTACCAACCCCAGATGATCACTACTGCCCCTTGGCGATCTCTGACACACACCTGAACAACTTGCTGGCACGGAGGTACTGTAACTTTTTTTTTCTGGTTGGCATGCTCACCCAGACGACTGGACTTATTGTGTCACCTGTAAGACTCTCAGAAGTCCCATGCACCACACCTCACAGGGGCCTGTTTAGCACTGCTCTATCTGCACTCACTTCTATGGCATATTCATTTCATCTTGTATTCATTCTCCCTTGCAGTGAGGAGGAGAAAACTATTTTTGCCGCAGCAGACAGAGAGAGGGAACTTCAAGAAAAGGTAATTGGCCTTAGCACATCCTTCTTCTTGTATTGAAGGGTTTGAGGGTTCAATGACATTTCAAATTCCTTCTGCAGGGAGCATGGGAATGCAATAACCTTTCTCAAGATTCCTCACAAGAATCCTGTACTCCAAATACTGAGAGGCTCACAAGGCGGTTACTTGGCCCTGCTTCACTGCAGAAGGTTGTCCAGCGCATGTGCCAGTCTAGCAGCGAAGAGAAAGGGAATCAAGCAGCCAATGTTGACGGGCAGCTTGGAAGAGGAAAAAGGCGCCGAGTCGCAGTAAGCGCATGGCTTACTCCCTCTCTCTATCACGGTTTCTTGTCACATCCCCATTGCCTCCAACATTGACCCGTCCCATTCCATCCTCTCCGTCACCCCTTCAAACACATGCATCTCCGCTCGCCTCCTTTCTGTTACCCTCACCTGATCGTTTTCCCTGGTTGGTTTTGCAGAGATTTGGCGAAAACTATGACGAAAACATACTATTGCGTGGAGAAGAATGACAACTTCAAATTTTCGTCTGTGCTGTGAAACCATGATGGCTGAGATTTGCGTATGTCTAAACTATTGTACAGCACCTGTTGTTTTCTGTTCAATCAAACTGCTGCTGTTTCTATGATATTTTGTGCATATCATTCCTACCATATGAGTGCGGCTTTTATTGCAATTAATTCGTGCATTCCAACACCACTTTCGCTCCGCCACGATAAGATCGAAGCACAATGTTAGGGAGCCATTGCCGATGAAATCAGCGCGAAATCGTGCCACAGCACAGATCTCCACTAGAGCACCAGCGTTCTCGAGATGCACGCTGCTTCTTAGTTGAGACGCAGGTTCTCATTCTTCCTCTTAGCAATCAGCACGTAACGTGCCGTCCACGCACTTCCGCGCTCTCACGAAGCAGCCACCCGGAATTCCATGATCATGTTGCGCGCCGGAAAGCGGCAGTTGAGTCAGAGCAGCCGTTTTTCCGCTGTATGGATGTCGTGTCCTCTAATTTCTCGCTTGAAGACGGAAACTAGGCAGAAGGCCTTTGCCACTAGTCTGGGATCCCAATTGGAACGAAAAGCCTGCTTGTTAGAGACCTCTGTTCATTGAGGTCGTTCACTGGCAGCGGTTGGGGGGGCTGATTGATTATTGTCAATCACACCTCTTTGCCGCACGTTTCACATTTCGATCACTAATATTTCGTTCGATTGCTCGAGGATCTTAGTGGCCGATGTATCCGGAGTGATGGAGGCTCCAAAGGCCCAGCGTTGGGGATAGTACAACCAGCGTGAAGGCCCTTACTATTTTAAGATCGAGCTGAGTAGTTGCATGCCAGGACATCGTGGTTCTAACAAGTGCGTTGCGGATTCTCTTGCTGCCTTAGAAATCCTTAGCATTTTTCCTTCTCCGAAACCTGCTCGCAGATCTTGTGACTGCAGTGCATTACCCGGACGCGGATCGAGATGGCAACATCCACATGGGCTAACACACTTACAGCGAGGGCATCGCGTGCCAATGACCCCAGTGCTTCCTCCTCCTCCGCATCCATTGCTTTTCGAATCCTCCATGATAACCAACTCTTTGTCCTCCTGATCCTGCTCCCACTTCTCTCCTTCCTCCTCATTGTCAGCCCTGCTCTTTTCCCTGGTTCCATTTCTCACGGTATTCCAGTCTCTGGTAACCCAAAGCCTGTTTTGATTCCTCATGCCACGGACCTCAAAATCGTGAAAAACAGCGGGATAATAAGGCAGAGGCGCATGCAATCCTATCGACGCCAGCTTCAGTTCCTTCCCTTCCCGCCATTCCCCACTGCACCAGCCCCACCACCTGTGAGACAACCACAACCCGGCACCACCGTATCCAGCACCAACATCACTGCTCAGCTTTCCTTCAACGCATCTGCCACCACCACAACGAATCCTCCCAACTCCTTGGCCGTCACTAGCACTACTGCTTCGCCTGGGGGAGCCACGGTTATAACAGGAGGACCTATTATCCCCCCGAACACCACTTCTGGCCCGGCAGCAACTGGTGCTGCCCCGCCTGGTGTCCCTGGCCCTCATGGGTCGTTCCTGCCACCAGTTTTTCCGAATCCTGTGACAACAGCGGGAGGTGCTTTGCTGGGGGCTGTCGGAGGCGCCACCACGGGAGCCTTAGCAGGAGCTGCAGCTGGTGCTGCTGCTGCTAGCGGTGAGGGAAACGCGACTGGTGCGGGAAATGCGACTGGTGCTGGGCAGGGAGCCGGAGTTACAGGATCAGGAACCACTATGGCTTCTGTGCCTCCTCCTGCCGTCCTGCAGTCGCCACCGCCTCTGATTTTGCCGCCAGCACAGCAGCAGCAGTTGACCCCACCACTGGCACCAGCACAACAGGGAGCAGGTACTGCTGGGGGAGGTTTTCCTGGTTTTTCTGCTGTGCCTGCGGGGAATTTTGCTGCTGGTGCTGTGCTTGGGAGTGCGTTGGGTGCTGCAGCTGGCACGGCTGCCGCTGCTGCAGGCTCGGCAGTTGCGTCAGCCGCACAGTCTGCTGCACCTATGCCTCCCCAGATTCCACCTCCACAGCAGCAGCAAGTTCAGAGCCCTGCCCCACCAGCACCTGCAGTGACACCAGGGGGTCTTGTCAATGAGACTCTAAATGCGATAGGAGAGCTATCTGGGCAAGGGAGTGTCGTGGTGAACGGCGATGAGATGCAGATGCAGCTACGAGCAGGGAGGGGGGTGTAGGTTGTGCGGGAAAGGCAACACCTAAAGGGAATTTATCTAGTGGAAGAAATACGTTCTTGTTGTGTATAATATCCTATGGAGTTATATGTACAGTATTTTATCGAATCTTGGATATAACCAATCTTCTAGGGTACCCTTTTGTAGAGTAGTTTGACACCTTTCCACATGTGGCTTTGTCTGGACTAGTTCTTGCACTCATAACAAGGTGGGAAACAGTTGTGTAGCATGTATTGTCCCCCTTGACTCTCATTTCGCCTCAGCTGCACCAAGCTGTGAGCATCATTCTATACAAGGTGCGATCGAAGTTGAGCTTGACCGTACATTGCCACTCCCATACGTGACGCGGTTTTCACGCTGACACGATTTTGCGAGGTCGTATGCCCTAAAGGATCGGGCTGTCAAGTTGGCAATTTCAAGCCCTGTGTAGAGAATGATTACTTGGTGTTTAGGACTGTCATTCGCGGTCATTCTCGCGTTTAAAAACATTGCGTAATTTTCGCACCTGCACCCGCACGCAGATCAAAATGCTCACTTTGATAGGCCTTGTGAAATGGGGTTTGCGGACCACTTCGTCCCGCTGCCTGCTATTGCCCTAACTGCCCTAGGGTGTCCTAGAAATTACAAGCGGGTTCCTCCCCCACGCTGAAGCATCACCGAGCCGCGGTACGTGTGCCACGCGCCCCGTCAAATCGCCCTTGGAACTGCTTGGTGCTGGGCTGGGCATCTCGTCTCGTGTCAATTCCCTTGAAGCCCTTCTCGCCATTGCCACAGGCTCATATCACAGCCCCACCCATCCGCCGCAGCCTTGCACAAAAGCACATCTCCCCTCAAGCGGCAACGTCATTGGAGAATACTCGGCGACACCAACACCATATCGAGCACTCAAAGTCTGCGCAAAGACTTGACAACGACCAGATCAGATTATAAAAACCTGCGCATAAGCGACCTCGCGGAAATCATTCACGAATCACGAATCCCACATTTACTATTCACGCTTCTCCCGAGATACAGCCTAAGACAAACTTCCGCACGGTGAAGTAGGCTGCTATCAGAATGTCTGCCGTCCGAAGCCTTCTAGCGCTCTGCGTGATCCTAGGTGAGCTGCCTTCTACTCGCCAACCTGGACCTATCCGTAGCGTGTACCACCGTATCGTATATTTTCCATCCTTTCGAGAATTCTTACCCATGCAACCTCCCTAACCGCACCGCTTTCCGCGATTCCCTCGATCCCGACCTCCAATCTTGTTTCTCGCAGCTGCCGTTGGATCAGCGAGTGGGCAATGCGCGCGCACGTTTCAGGTGAGATAGATCCCTGCCGCGCCAGTGCATCTAGCAACAAGCTTTATACTCCCTTCTCTGAAACAAACCGCTGTAGCGTTACGCCACACTCTGTTACCGTCTCACCAGCAGCATCACTGTTCTGTACCACGCCATAAAACATCTATATGGCAGGCTCACACACCCACACCCCACACCCCTCCCCCCCGCTCCCCCCTCCTCACCTGCGCAGCAATGCGATTTCTTCTTCCTCTATAATAAAGCGCGGCCACCCGTTTTTCGGCTCTCGCCGCAGCAAGTCAACCGACTGCTCAGCACCCCCGTGTACCACAGGTGCGCGCCTTCGAACCCCGCTCAACCGTACTTCCTCCCTGGACACTGCACGCGGCAAACACTTGTTCTTCCGATGGATTGAATCCAGACCTTGGCCCTGCGAATACCACAGATGTCGGGATTAAGGAGTGCATTGATATCTTGCTTTCGTGCTTCTCCTTCTTGCGCGTGCTTTTATGTGCACTTATCCTTTTGGTAACATCCTTATTTTCTGGCAAAACGCGAGTGCCTTATTGCTTTATCCTCAGTCACTCCCGCGGCACAGCGGATTGATTTATCCCATCGCCTCAGACCTATCCAGGTGTACCGATTTGTGCACCATACCTGTGCAGGTCCGGGCTGAAAGTGATATCCGCGAACAGCAACGGCAACATGAGTTGCAATGTACGTTCTAGAACCTCGATCCATGCGCATGACTCCTTATGCGATATTGAAGCCGCAATCGCGACCTTCGTCCGAAGTAGTGTTACATTGCGCAGTGTGACGCATGTTGTGAGATACGCGCCAAACGTCGCCTACTTCATGTCGCATGTAGACCGTCGCATATTGCCTCTCGCATGCTGCGTGCTGCATGTCGCATGATCCTTGTCTTCTGTCACATTTACGTGCAGGGCCCCCAGTGCAGCCCAATTTTCTACTTCACCAGCGCCACCGTTGGGCCTTCGGGCGGCGGGCGTTTTCCCATGGCGGCCAACTGCTTGGCGCACCACCCCATCCCCACATACGTCTACCAGGTGACACCGCTCTCCGCCACGCTGGATTCTAGATGCACCTATAGGGTAGACGAGACCCGTTTGTGAACCAAATTTCGGAAAAGCCCGCTTGCTTTCCATAAAGCAGCTGCCTTGCAGGCATTCTCCTTACCCTGTTTCCCTCCCACACCCTTCTCCCCTGCAGGAGTACCGTCTTAAGTGCATTCTTCTTTACATGGATAACCTCGTTTTGCCGCGTGTTGGGTGGTTGAATCCGAACGACAACAAGCAAGAGAAATTTCCGGAGGTGAGTGGGTCATAACAGCTTTGTACCATGGTTCCAAGGGCATGCCATTTCCAATCACTTCTTTTGTGGGGCCTTATGGTACCATTGGACCTATGCTCGCATTCATCTTGATTCTCCCCCATGCGATGGTCTAATTGATGTTTGCAGAGTCGACGATGTGTAGTATTCTACACCAGAACTATGTAGTGGAATTTAGGAACAGTTCTCTCGTATTTGGTTGCAATCAACCATTTAGCTAATAAACTGTAGATTAACACAGCATGTTTGCTGGAATCGGCAGAATAAAAGCTGTAATGCGGAGCTGTTTGATAAGTAGGTCAAAATATTAAATCTGTAGTTGCATGATGCTGTAAAAACTATGTTAAGCTGTTATTTTTGTAACGTGCTTCTTTGTTGGTGCATTTTCGTAAAGAACTTCGAAAAAGAGTGGTAGTGAATCACCTGTTAGCAAGCCGTGCGGCGGACGTCACACCATTCGCCTGCTGACTCGACATTGGCGAAATTTACGTTGACCAGTCGGGTATGGCCGCAGTGTCCCAGCTCAGCTTGTTGTGGGTTTCCTGCACGACTGCCACGCATGCAGTCAAATTTCGTTACCAAACGCTGCAGAAAATCTGGGCCGAACCTATGCGCCGAGGTCAACTCGATCCATGCCTACGATCTCGTACCCAAACCTCCCCAGAGCCCTCAAACTCCCCTGCGCCGTCGATCAGCTCTACCCCAGCCTAACCGCGCCGCGGCCAAACCTACCCAATTTCACTAACGCATTGCCACGGCGGCTTGAGCAGAGCAGCATTGCCGAGGGGGCAGGAGTCCATGTCACGTGCAAAATCATCTGGCGCCGCGCCTACCTGCTTCCGCTCCGCTGCCGCCTAATCCTCCCATTTCTCCCACATTTCATATCTGGTTGCATTGCATGATTCTCCACCACTCCCTCGCCATCGCTGCTATCTAGCGGCCCTCCCTCTCGAGGCGTGTTACCAGCGCCTCGTTATTGCCGCTCTCGTCGCTTCGCGCGTTCCTATTCGCAAGCATGGGTGGCTTCACCGCCGTCGCTTTTCGCGCCGCCAGAAACTCGACGCGTCGCACGTCGCAGTCGCTTGGCCGGCAGCTAAGCGGCTACTGTAGCAGCAGCAATGTTATTGGCGAGGCGCAGTCCGCACAGATGAAGGAGTAAGCAGCACTAGTTACACGCGCTTCGTTATGCAGCTTCGCTAGGGGCGGTACTAGCACGAGCGTTTTCTCGCATCCGTACTCAATGTCGCGTACAGCGTCGTAAACATTCGCTTACGCTGCACCTGTCGAACGGGACAAGCAGTAATAGTACGTACGTTCAGTGGCAAACTTGCGATTCTACACAAGATGTTTTTCCATCCCCCTCTTCCCAACTCTTCTGTTTGCATGTCTCTGCCCTGTTTTGTCTTTCCCTTACCACCTCCTTCCTTCCCATCCGATCCCCGCCACAGTTTGCGCCCATCCCCCCAACCATCTGCCACCGCCTTTCGCCACTCGCACACCGCCCGCCCCTCTTCCGCCCCCGCCGATGCGTCCGTACCGCATTCCGCTTCCGCCGCGCCCTCTTCCGCCTCCGCATCCTCCTCCGGTAACACTCTCCACATCCCCGAATAGAGGCAATAAAGACCATATCCCGCCATTGCTCTCGAATGCAAGGCCACTTCCCCCGTCGCCACCCGCTCCCCTCCCCTCCTCCCCCTCCCCTCCAACCCCCTTCCCCTCTCTCCCCCATCTCCCGCCTCCACCTGGGTTTTCAGTGACCCGTTTTAACCATTCCCTTCCGCTCGCCGCATTTGTTCCCCCCATTCTCCTTCCGCTCCTCGTCCGCCGTTCCCAGGACCTCCGCTATTTCGTGCACTGGGCTGCTCCTTTCCCCTCTTCCCGCCCTTCCTCCCCCTCCCCTTTTTCCCCTCCCGCCGCCTTCTCCGCCCCACTCCCGCCCCCACTCCCTTCATCTTCCGCTCACCTCTTTTTGCGCACCCTTTGTGTGCGCCTTCCCTCCCCCTCCCCCCACCCTCCCCCCCGCCCGCGCCCCCCCCTTCACCCTCATGTGCGCCCCCCTGTGCGCGCGCAGCGCCCAGCGCGGCGGAGTTCCGCACGGGCGTGCAGCGCAACGGCAACATCGCGAAGCTGCAGGCGGGGTACCTCTTCCCCGAGGTGGCGCGGCGCAAGGCCGCGCACATTGCGCGCACTCCCTCCGCGAGCGCGCGCATGATCAGCCTGGGGATTGGCGACACCACCGAGCCCATCCCCGCCGTCATTGCGCAAGCCATGGCGGACGTGAGTGGCGGGGGGCAGGGGAGGGGCGGGGGGAGGGAAAGGGGGGGGGAAAGGGGAGGGGAAGGGGAGGGGAGGGGAAGGGGAGGGGAAGGGGAGGGGAAGAGGGGGGAGCTGCTGCTTTGCTAGTAGCTTGTACTGCCCTAGTCCACCTCCTCCAGACGTTCTAAGGTTGCTCCCACGCACACACAAACACTAAAGCTCTTTGCCATGCTGTGTGTTTCTGTGCGCCTGTATGCCTTTTTGCGTGCATGTGCATGTGGTGTGAATGTGTGCATGTGTGCGCGCTCACGCTCCTCCCCACCTACACAGAGAGCAGCAGGGTTGGGAACACTGGAAGGATACACAGGTTATGCAGGCAGCCAAGGGGAGGAGGTAAGTACCACTGAACCGACATTGACAGGAGGAGTCCATTTTTGAGGCGCCTGAAAAGCAGGAGGGGAAAAGGAATACGTGAATAGGGATCTGTGGCATAGCATTTGGGTCTATGCGCATTTGGGTCGACTCCACAAAGTAGGCGTTTCTGTCTATGAGCAACAGAATTCTGTGGCGTACTGAATAAGTGATACAAATTTCCTGTGGTGTATGGCTAAGGCTCCTGAAGGGTACTCTCTCTCTTCATGTCTCTTCTTGTCCCTTCATTTCTCTCCACACCCCATCACACCTCTTCACACCTCTTCACACCTTCTCACCCCTCGTGCAGGCCCTTCGTCGCGGCATAGTGGCGGCATTCTACGAGGGCATGGGCGTGGTGCATGACGATGTGTTCGTGTCTGATGGGGCCAAGTGCGACATCGCCCGCTTGCAGGTGCCCATGCGCGCACGCACACGCACGCACGTACACATGCACATCGCAGGCCTACAGGTTACCCCGCATGCATGCATTCTGCCTGCCTCGGTTATGTGTTTCACCCTTCAGCCGAGCACACTGCATCTTCCCATGGTTCATGAGCATGCATGCAAGCCGTTATCCTATTCTGTTCTTTCAAGATAGAAATTTTCATTTGGTGTGCAACATACACGTTTTGCACAGCATTCTTCCTCCCACAAGCACCATTACTTCTTGCTGCAGTTTCTGGCTGCTTCTCCTTCATCCCCTCTCACCCTTTCTGTTTGCATGACCGTTTTGTTCTGATGTGTTTGCAGATGATGTTTGGTGCCAACGTCAGTATGGCATGCCAAGACCCGTCATACCCGGTGCGTACACTAGATAAAGATTCACCATGCATTCACCATGCATGCATGCCAATGCCCCCCATGTGAAATCCTTCTTCCTTCTCCTCCTTGCATTCTTCTCTTCCCCCTCCTGCACCGGCATCTGCTCGCCCCAGAGCCACTTTTCTTTTGCAATGTCCCCAACCTCTTTCCCCTCCGCTCGTCCAATCAGGCATACGTGGACACGAGTGTGATCATGGGGCAGACAGGCGCCTACGACCCGTCATCGCAGCACTACGGCAACATCACGTACCTGCGCTGCTCGCCCGAGAACGACTTCTTCCCTGATCTCGCCTCCGCGCCTCGCACTGACATCATCTTCTTCTGCTCGCCCAACAACCCCACCGGTGAGTTTTGGGTCGACTCAGTAGTCAGCAGCAGCACTACGGCAGCATAACGTACCTGCGCTGCTCGCCTGAGAACGACTTCTTTCCGGACCTTGCTTCCGCGCCTCGCACCGACATCATCTTCTTCTGCTCGCCCAACAACCCCACCGGTGAATGTCTGGGGCAGACAGAGTGTGTGGGGCAGAGTGTGTGGGGCAGAGTGTGTGGGGCAGAGTGTGTGGGGCAGAGTGTGTGGGGAAGCGATACACAAGCCGTGAGGTCCTAGGGGAGCTCAACCCACTCATGGGAAAGAGCAGCTCACACGGACCAAATCTATCACTGAGAACTGGTCTCTGTTCCTCACACTCACATCAACCTCGTCTGCTCGACCTACAACCCCGCACCGGTGACTGATGGCTGGGTTGCATGTCGTGTCTGGATCAATGTGATGTCTAGCCGTGCCTTTCTGACTTGGACTGTGTGTTGTTCCTTTCCTAGCACACACTCCACGGCACAGCATCTAGAACGCCCATACCGCCCACTTGATCTGCACAACGCCGCTCATTGTCCTCTCCTTCCTCTCCGCTCCTAACCTCTCCTTTGCCCTGCTCTGCTCTCTGCCCCCCGCCCCTCATTCTCTCCCCTCCTTCTCGCAGGCAAGGCAGCGTCACGAGCGCAGTTAGAGCATCTGGTGTCGTTTCCGCGGTGCAACGGATCGATAACCATTCCCTCTCCCGTCTCCCCATTTCCCTCCCCTCACCCCTCCTCTCTCCTTCCCCACCCCCCCCCCCCCCCCACTCCCCTTCTCCGATCCCTCTCGCAGGCAAGGCGGCGTCACGGGCGCAGTTGGAGCAGCTGGTGGCGTTTGCGCGGCGCAACGGGTCCATAGTGGTGTATGACAGCGCGTACGGCATCTACATTGAGGACGACAGCCCTCGGTCCATTTACGAGATTGAAGGCGCTCACGAGGTGATGGTGTGGTGATGGTGATGTGGTGATGTGTGGCGGGGTATGGTGGTGCGCAACGGGTCCATATTGGTGTATGACAGCTTGTACGGCATCTACATTGAGGACGACAGCCCCCGGTCCATCTATGAGATCGAAGGCGCAGATGAGGTGATGGGGCGTGGTGGGGTGTGGTGGGCCGTGGTGGTGTGCGGTGGTGTTGTGTGGCGGGGTATGGTGGTGCACAACGGGTCCATAGTGGTGTATGACAGCGCATACGGCATCTACATCGAGGATGACAGCCCCCGGTCCATTTATGAGATCGAGGGCGCTCATGAGGTGATGGGGCGTGGTGGGGGATGGTGGGATGTGGTGGGGGGTGGTGGTGTGCGATTGGATGTGATGGGGTCATGGTGGTGTGTGATGGTGCATAATTTGGTGCATTTTCCAGTTAAATAAACTCATCCTTCCCCGCGCCCCAGGTGGCCATTAAGACCAAATCCAAACCCTACTGTAACGGTCACAATGTTACTGCACGCCCCATCCCTTCTGACTCTCTTTCCGTTCCTTCCCTTCTTTCACTCCCCCCATCCTCGCCCGCACCCAGGTGGCCATAGAGACCGCATCTTTCTCCAAGTACGCGGGCTTCACAGGGGTGCGTCTGGGGTGGACAGTGGTCCCCTCCACGCTGCGCTACGCCAACGGCCATGCAGTGCGAGCGGACTTCAGCCGCCTAGTCAACACCGCCTTCAACGGCGCCAGTAAGATGGCACAGGCGCACTTGTTACTGCACGCCCCTTCTGACTCTCTTTCCCTTTCTTCCCTCTTTCGCTTCCCCCACTCTCACCCCCGCCCTCGCCCGCACCCAGGTGGCCATAGAGACCGCCTCTTTCTCCAAGTACGCGGGCTTCACAGGGGTGCGTCTGGGGTGGACAGTGGTACCTTCCACCCTGCGCTACGCCAACGGCCATGCAGTCAGAGCGGACTTCAGCCGCCTAGTCAACACTGCCTTCAACGGCGCCAGTAACATCGCACAAGCGGGCGGCACCGCGTGCGTCTCGTCCCAGGGCCTCAAGGTCAGCTGAATATTCTTGGCATTTGGTCTCAGGTTTCCCAGGGTCGTGTTTCCTACCGAGTGCCTGCTCTACTATCCCACCAACTCTTAGGTGATTCTTTACCCTTACCACCCCACCCCCTTCTTCATTTTTTCCTGCCCCCATCCGTTTCCTCCATTTGGAAACCCCTTGGTTTCTCCCCTGCTTCTCTGTCCAGGCCATGCGAGGTCTCATAGCCTTCTACAAGGAAAATGCCCGTATTCTAAAGACCGCATTCTCAGAAGCAGGTCTAGAGACGTATGGCGGAGTGAATGCTCCTTACGTGTGGGTGCGCTTCCCCGGCCGCTCGTCCTGGGAAGTGTTTGAGGAGATTCTGGCTCGCACGGACATGGTTACCACTCCTGGGAGCGGATTTGGGCCCGGTGGAGAAAGCTTCATCCGTGTTAGTGCGTTTGGGCATCGAGAGAACATTGTGGAGGCAGCACGTCGCATGGTGGAGCTTTATGGAAAAAGCTAGAAAAGCTATAAAAATGAATGTTGAGTGAGGTACATTGATGAAGGGAGGTAATTGCTCTTTCAAAAGTGGACATGGTTTGGGTTTTAATATGTGAAGGGAAAAGCTGTTGCCTGAACCGTTTTCACTCATTTTCACTAAAATCTCATCCAAAAAATTACAATAACGAATTTGTCTGTCATGTTCATCTCTCTGCTTGATGGCTTTTGCCGACCTCCAGCATTCGGCACGGCACATCAGGGATGTACAGTCGATGCTCAGCCTATCACAAAAATTTGCTCGCACAATTAGAAAATCAGTCACTCGCGAACGTTTTGCCTGTGAGTGGTGATTGTGCTGATTTCGGGGTACAGTCACCAAGTCGCGGAAGAATACATCTACAGTTCATAAACAACAACGGCTGCCTGTCATCAGAATTGTTTACCTGGTTACGAACTTAAACCCCTAGACTCGTTTCACATTCCAATTTCATTTTACAATCACAATTTTGCCCGTGGCGACAAGGGCGACTGTGGCGAAACTCGTTTCACTCACATGCCGCCCGCCTACCTGGTGTTCTTGAAATGAGCACCTTTTGTACAGCCCAGCGTCCTGCCATACCAGCGCAACAGAACCAAACTCCAGCCTTCGGATGGTCGCGCGCGCCATGCCATCACCAATCTCTCCGCTTCGCGCCTGCCTTCCGCTTTCCGCCTCCGTCATCCAATTCGCGCCTGCCTTCTGCTTTCCGCTTTCCGCTTTACTGTACTGCAATTCGTCCTTTCCAGAGAGGGCGGATACACAGGTCTGGTAAGGTGACCGGAGCGGAGTTCGAGCGGAATGATCAAGCGGAGGTTGGGGAAAGACTTCAGCGAGCCTTGGGGTTAGTCGCATCATCAAATGGTGATGAAAGATTCTGGGCGTTTTACAGCGGCCCTTTCACAAACCAAACGGTTGGGTAAGGTTGACGCATAATCGTGGCATCAGCAGCTGCTCCGTGAATTTTCCTCCGCCAACAACAGCATCGCTCTCAGGTTTCCGTGTCTGTACGTTATGTGGAAACTCTAGATATCTCTCCTAGTCATGGTCGCTTCAGGCGGAGCTAGACCTGCTCGTTGACACCTGCTATTATTCCAAAAAGGTCGCGTTTTTTCGAGGGCACTGAGTTAAGGGATCTGGCATTGGAACTTATTCCTGCGGTGTCCCTTTGCTCTGAGACTCGGTGAGTTAGCGCATTGCTGCATGTCGTTTGACACAGTCGTATCGCCTTATCCGTCACGTTTTGGCGTGGATCACGTCGCATCAATCGTCTTCCGGTCAGTTTGCGTCGAGTAGAAACACGATCTGGTAGCGGATCCTAGCCGTGAAGATCCTAGTCGTTCGGCAGCAATCATTAAGTTGCAATATATCAAGTTGTTTCCGTGAATATTCCTCTCTTACATGACTCGACTTTTCGAGTTTTCACGTTCTATTAGGGCATACATTCGCGCTGCTAGCAATGCCTTTTCTCTGCTCAGATGGTCGTCCATTTCACGGCCTGGATCTAATCGCAAGCTTTGTAAGGCTATAGTTTCTGCTCACTACTCACAGCATCTTCAAGCCATTGTTGATGCATGGTGTAATCTTGCTCCCGTTTCCCTCTCCGCCCCCACACCCACGCTTTCCTCCCAACATTTCATGGTTCCACCACTCCACCATTCGCTATCCCTCTCCCGTCCGCAGCTGACTCGGCATGGCGGACGAGCCAGTCGATTCCGCTCCACCCGCCGAGTCCGCTCCGCCAGTCGAGTCCCCTCCACCCGTTCAGGCTGCGCAAGTCGTAGCCGAGTCCGCTTCACCTGTAGTGTCCACTCTTCCCGTCGAGTCCACTCCACCCGTCGATTCCGCTTCCCCCGCCACCCCTTTCGCGGATGTCTCCGCCACTCCGTTGCTGGCGGAAGGCGCCGGTTCGGATGCACAGGCGCAAAATCTTACTGAAGGATCGGAGAAGCTAGGAGGCGAAGTGAAATCGGGAGGGGAAGGGGAGGGACAAGAAGCGGGGGAGAAGTCGGGAGGGGGAGCGGAGGGTCAAGGGGAAGCGGAGCGACCCGAATCAGGCGGGGGCTTTCCAGGGAGCGGAGCGGGGGTTCCGCGCAGCGCGGATGAGGTAGCGGCAATCAGCGCAGCTGTAGCCGCTGCGACAAGCGGATCCGGCGGAGCAGCAGAAAGCTCGGAGGTGAAGCGGGGGAAGGGCGGATGGGGAGGACTAGGAAGTGCGAGTGCGAAGATATCGCGGGTGCGGCTTGATGACGTGGCGGAAGACGGAGAGGGGCAGAGCGACGAAGTCTCGCGGGTCAGCGGTCCCTCAGTGGGGGAGGGGGAGAAGGACATGCGCGTGCCTCCGCCGACTCCGCGCACTCCGCGGCCGGGGGAGGAGGGGTGGCTCGCGCGCGTGGGGCGCGGGGAGTCGTGGAGCGAGGCGCTGCTGCTTCCGCTGACGGCGGGGTTTTCGGATTTCGACGTGGTGGATCCGAAGCATGCGAGCAGCGACGCGCTCATGCGATGGCGCCGCATGGCGCTCGTCAGAAACGCGACGCGGCGCTTCCGATACACGGCGGACCTGCAGCAGAGACGAGAACAAGAAACAAAACCGCCCACTCCTAAGGTATTTTAGCATCGCATTTGACCTCCCCCCCCCCCCCCCCCCCCCTCCCCCCTTCTCTCCACGCGCCTTCCCCCCTGAACTCTCGCTCTTCTTTCGTATCTCACGCACTTTACACACCCTCGGATTCCCCTTCCCCCATAACTACAACCATCCTCTTTTTCCCTCCACATCGCCCCACCCCAACCCTCCTGCTGCTTTACTCTACCTTCTGCTAGCCCATGTAACTTCTCCTTCTCTTCTGCCCTTATCCCCTTCCCCCTCCCGCCACCCACCGCCTTCCCACCTTGTTCCGCACCACCCCACCGCACACCACATCCGGGCTTCACCACACCACCCCTTCCCAGATGTCGGTCGGCCTCTCTCGTTTCCGAGGAGCTGCCAAGGCGCTCAAGGCAGTGGCGCGCTTCAAATCAGGTCCGCCCGCCCTCCGCCCTCCTCCCTCCGCCCTCCTCCCTCCGCCCTTCGCCCTCCGGCCTCGCCATCCTTCACCCGCGCTGCTGCTGTCTCCGCCAACCCCTTCCGCCCCCTCCCTCCTCTTTTGCCCCGCAATTGGCGTACCCTCCTCACGATCTGGCCGATGAGGAAAACCGTAAAGTATCAGCTTGATTCTGGCCACACGCACTCACATCACCAACCCTTAAGTTCACACCCTCCCCTCCCCCACTCCCTTCTCCTCCCCATCTGTCCCACCCCTCGCCTCCTCCCTCAGCCCACTCTCTCTCCTCCCTTCCCCTCCCCTCCAAAACCCTTCTTTCCCTTTCCGCCCCCTCAAACCCCTCTGATTTCTCATAACCAACCTCCCCTCCGCCCCCCTGCCCCTTCCACCCCCGCCCGCTTACCACCCCGCAGTGCTCCCCCGTCTGTCAGACGCGGCGTATAGGGCCGCGCGCGCGGAGGGCTTTGGCGTGAGCGCGAAGCAGCTGGCGGTGATGGTGGGGGGGCAGGACGCCAGCGCGCTCGAGTCGTTCGGGGGCGCGCAGGGGGTGGCGCGGCTGCTGGGGAGCAACGTGGCGGAGGGCATAGGCGGGGGGGAGGGGGACCTGATGCGCAGGCGCAAGGTGTATGGCGCGAACACGTTCCCCGAGCAGCCTCCTAAGACGTTCCTGCAGTTCGTATGGGACGCCATGCAGGTGAGAGGAGAGGGGTTTCGGGTCTTGAGGCGCCATGAATTTAATATAGCTAATCTTTTTTTTTCCCCCCTGACTCTTGAGGGCGCCGTGAAAATACGATGCCATCATGCCATGGTGGTGGTGGTGTGGTGAGAGGGGCTTGCGCTGCTTGCAGGTGGCTGGAACAGGTGATCTGATCCTGCTTGATGGATAGACAGAGCAGTGGAGAATTAGGATGGCATGCGGCTGGCGGTTTAGTTATCACTCTCCTGCACCCCGTACCTCCTGCGTCCCCGCCTTTCCCAGCATGCCTGGAGTGTTTGTTCCCAGTTCATCCTTGTGTGCCGCTCCATCCTTTTTGTCCCCAGTCCATTCTATACATACTTGCGGATGTCTCCACTTTCCTGTGCTCTGGCATGTGTGTATGGTATGGAGTATATGCATGGCACACATGCATGCATGCATGCGTGCATGTCTGCACGCATCCTTCTTACTGACTGTACACATGTATTACGACCTCTTCCCCACCCATGCCTGTGCACACATGCATGCAGGACATGACGCTGTGGATCCTGGCAGTGTGCGCAGTGGTGTCCCTGCTGGTGGTAATGCTTTGAGACGTCTCAAAGCGCACACATGCATTACGACCCCATCCCCCATGGCCATGCGTGCATGCAGGACATGACGCTGTGGATCCTGGCAGTGTGCGCAGTGGTGTCCCTGCTGGTGGGCATCATAACGGAGGGGTGGCAGGAGGGGTGGTACGACGGAGTGGGGATTCTCATGAGCATTGTGCTCGTCGTATTCGTCACTGCCACTAGTGACTACAGGCAATCGCTGCAGGTCAGTGCGCTGAGTTGTTTGAGTCAACTTAAGCATGCACCTGTTGTGCTCGTTGTCTTTGTCACAGCCACTAGTTGTGACTACAGGCAAGCGCTGCAGGCTCGTCTGTGGGCTGAGTGGTTTGAGGAGAGTTAAACCACTCGTCACACACTTGTTGTGCTTATTGTCTTTGTCACAGCCACTAGTAGTGACTAACGGCAATCGTTCCTGGCTCATTTCTGCTGCACCCCCTTCCCTGCCCTCCCTTCCCTCAACCACTTTCCCTTTCCGCCCACCCTTCCTTAGTTCCTCCTCTCTCCCGCCCCGACCCAACCCCCTCATCACTTCTTCCCCATGCGCCCTTCCCCCACCTCCCTACCCATCACCGCTGCATCTCCCTCCATTCGCCCCTCATGTCCTGTCTTGCATTGACACACTAAACTGAGAATGCTGTTTCATTTCATCTTGATATACAAGTTTGCTCACCTCTGCACTACCCTCCACTCATTCCCTCCACTCAGTCCCTCCACTCATTCCCCTCGCTCATTCCCCTCACTCATTCCCCTCACTCATTCCCGCATTCATCCCCTTCGCTCATTTCCCCCAACAACAGTTCCAAATGCTGGACCGGGAAAAGAAGAAGGTAGCGGTGGAGGTGGTGCGCGGTGCAGTGCGGCAGAAGGTGTCCATATACGACCTCGTGGCAGGGGATGTCATTGTGCTGTCCACGGGGGATATAGTCCCCGCCGATGCTGTATTTATTGGAGGTAACACACTTTCTCGAGAGAGAGATGTCTCTACTCCAATAGCTGGCACTGGCAGTGGTTCTGGCTTACGACAGTGTGGCAAAACAAAACAGACGCAGGGACGTTATTCACTTTCCACGCTGTCATTGTCGGATGTTCCAAAACCAAACTCACCCGCGTTGTATCCCCTCTCCCTCCCTCCCTCCCTCCCTCCCTCCCTCCCGCAGGCCACAGTCTGGTGGTGGACGAGTCGAGCATGACGGGGGGGAGAGAGTGCCGGCATACAAGGGCAAGGACGCGCCCTTCTTTCTCACGGGCCCTCCGTGTCCCACACGTTTTTTCCCCTCCCTCCCTCCCTCCCGCAGGCCACAGTCTGGTGGTGGACGAGTCGAGCATGACGGGCGAGAGTGTGCCGGCGTACAAGGGCAAGGACGCGCCCTTCTTTCTGGCGGGCACCAAGGTGCAGGACGGTCATGGCACCGCACTCGTGGTGGGCGTGGGCATGAACACGGAGTGGGGGCAGCTCATCGCCAAGCTCACTGACAGTGGGGACGACGAAACGCCGCTGCAGGTAGGAGTTTGGGGGTGCCTAGAGGATTGACGCAGCACTTGGGTCCTGAGAATGATAAAGCAGCAGCAGCAGTGCTCGTGGTGGGTGTGGGCATGAACACGGAGTGGGGGCAGCTCATTGCCAAGCTCACTGACAGTGGCGATGATGAGACGCCGCTGCAGGGTATGGGAGCTAAGATGATCGATGCTGTGGTTCAGAAGAATGCTCAAGTGGTGGGAACAGCTGCAGCAGCAGCAGTCGCTGCAGCAGTTGGATCACTTATATTCCACCATTGCTCTCTCCCTGCGTCCACTTCAAGCTCTCTTCCACCCTTGTTCTTCCTCCCCAACTCGCCTCCGTCTCTCTCGTCGTTCCCCTCTCCTCCTCTCTCCCCCCCTCCCCCCGTCTCCCCTCCTCTCTCCCCCTCTCCGTCTTCCCCCCTCTCCTCCGCTCCCCCTTTCTCCCCCTCTCTCCCTCCCCCTCCCCCTCCCTCTCCGTGCGTGCACCAGGTGAAGCTGAGTGGGGTGGCAACCCTGATAGGCCGCGTGGGGCTATACGTGGCGCTGGTGGTGTTCGTGGTGCTGCTCGCGCGTCTGCTGCTCTCCACCAGCATATGGAACTGGTCCTTCCACCACACGCTGCAGGTGAGCGCCCTGTTTTGTTCTTTTTTTTTTTTTTTTTTTTTTGAGACGGCTCAAAGAACTTGATTTGCTCGCGCGTCTGCTGCTCTCCACCAGCATATGGAACTGGTCCTTCCACAACACGCTGCAGGTGAGTGAGTCTGCTCCATCCATTGAGACACTTTGAGCCGGTTCAAAAGTCACTCAGTGCTGCTGCTTGCGCGCCTGCTGCTCTCCACCAGCATATGGAACTGGTCCTTCCACAACACGCTGCAGGTGAGTGAGTCTGCTCCATCCATTGAGACACTTTGAGCTGGTTCAAAAGTCACTCAGTGCTGCTGCTTGCGCGCCTGCTGCTCTCCACCAGCATATGGAACTGGTCCTTCCACAACACGCTGCAGGTGAGTGAGTCTGCTCCATCCATTGAGACACTTTGAGCCGGTTCAAAAGTCACTCAGTGCTGCTGCTTGCGCGCCTGCTGCTCTCCACCAGCATATGGAACTGGTCCTTCCACAACACGCTGCAGGTGAGTGAGTCTGCTCCATCCATTGAGACACTTTGAGCCGGTTCAAAAGTCACTCAGTGCTGCTGCTTGCGCGCCTGCTGCTCTCCACCAGCATATGGGACTGGTCCTTCCACAACACGCTGCAGGTGAGTGAGTCTGCTCCATCCATTGAGACACTTTGAGCCGGTTCAAAAGTCACTCAGTGCTGCTGCTTGCGCGCCTGCTGCTCTCCACCAGCATATGGGACTGGTCTTTCCACCACACGCTGCAGGTGACACCGCTCTTTTTGAGATGCCTAGGCTGTTCCCTTTAAAGACGTTTGAGACTCCTGAAAGCTAGACTACTGCTCCTCCCTCCACACTGCCCATTCCGCTATACGCTGTTGCAGGCCAATCCGCCTCGTTCTCCGTCCCCCCCACCTCGTTCTCCCCACCTCGTTCCCCCCTCCTCTCCCGCCCCTCCTCTCCCTTCCCCTCACCACCTTTCTCACCTCGTTCACATCCCTCCTATCTCACCTCCCCTCCCTTCTCACCTCCTTTCTCAGCTCCCTTCTTACCTCCCTTCTCACCTCCCTTCTCTCCCCCCTCCCTCCTTCCTATCCCTTTCCTTGCCTCCACAGGTTGTGTATTACTTTGCAGTGGCAGTCGGTCACCATTGTGGTTCTGGCAGTGCCAGAGGGCCTACCCCTCACCAAGCCTCTTTTAAGCCGTCTCAGAGCCTCCCTGCCTTTCCTGACTGCCACCTCCCACCTACTCCCCCAGGTTGTGGACTACTTTACAGTGGCAGTCACCATAGTCGTAGTGGCAGTGCCAGAGGGTCTACCCCTAGCGAGGTGACTTTTGAGTCGGCTCAAAAGTTATGTCCCTCCCCCCCCATCCGTCACCCCCAGGTTGTGGATTACTTTGCAGTGGCAGTCACCATAGTGGTCGTGGCCGTACCCGAGGGCCTACCCCTAGCGGTAACCCTCTCCCTGGCCTTTGCAATGAAGAAGATGATGAGGGACAAGGCGCTCGTGCGCAAGCTGGCAGCGTGCGAGACCATGGGGTCTGCCACGACCATATGCAGCGACAAGACGGGCACGCTCACTGCCAATCAGATGACCGTGGTGCAGGCGTGGGTGCTGGGGCGAGTGCGCAAGGTGCCCCTGTTGCAGCCCCAGGAAATGCTGGATAAGGAGGTTTGTAGTGTAGCATGCACGGGCTGTTGTGTGTGGTGTGTTCTTGTGTGTGGTATGCTGTTGTATGTCATGTGTTCTTGTATGTGGTGTGTTCTTGTACATGGTACGTGCAAAATGTCACCCTCTGTTTCCCACACCCCACTCCTTCCCAACCCTCCCTAACTTCCCACTTTCACCCTGCAGGAGTGGAAGCTCCCAGCGTCACTCTCCGTGCCGCTCCTGCAAAACGTCTTCATCAACACCAGCGGAGACGTGCAGCTGCCCACGCCACCCGCACCACCATCCTCCTCCCCAGTGGTCCTCGGCACGCCCACAGAACAGGCCATTCTCACGTGGGGTCTGCACCTCGCCTCGCCCTCCGCCTTCTCCTCCACTCGCTCCTCTGCCACCATTCTGAAGCTCGAACCGTTCAACTCGCAGCGCAAGCGCATGGCGGCGGCCGTTCGCCTGCCCGACGGGGGCGTGAGGGTCATGTGGAAGGGCGCAGCGGAGATTATTCTTGCAAGCTGCACCCATGCAGTGGTGGGGGTGGCGGCAGGGGAAGGGGAAGGTAGCGGGGACGGGGAGAAGGGGGGTTCTGAGGCAGCAGTAGTAGCGCCCATAGATCAGGAAGCGCTGGGGAAGGTGGTGGAGGATTCTGCAACTGCTGCTCTGCGCACGCTGTCTCTGGCTTACCGGGATTTGAGTGCGGAGGAGGTGGAGCAGATGGGGTTGGTGAAGGGCGGCGAGTGGGTGGCGGATGTGGCGATTCCGGATCAGGGGTTGACGCTGCTGGCGGTGGTGGGGATTAAGGACCCGCTTCGGCCTGAAGTGCCGCGCTCTGTCTTGCTGTGCAAGCGCGCAGGGATCATGGTATGGTGGTGCTGTGCGGTGCTGTGGTTTAGGGTGATGTGCTGTGTATTTTATGATATTTTTCCTGTTCCTTTGCTTTTGTTTCGTTTGTAAATTATATTCTTTAAACAGTTTTCCTTCACTGGCTTCTCACACAATCCCTCTCTCTGTGCCCCTGTCCACCTTTCCTCATCCCCCTCCTTCCTCTCCTCCCCTTCCAACCTCACCAGGTGCGCATGGTAACGGGTGACAACCTGAGCACGGCCATAGCCATTGCACGCGAGTGTGGCATTCTGACGGGCGACGGAGTGGCGGTGGAGGGTCCCAAGTTCCGAGTCATGGGCGACGACGAGAGGAGGGAGCTCGTGCCCCGCCTGCAGGTGTGTGTGTGCTGGGGTGGGGAGGAAGGGAGAGGCGGGAAGAGGGGGTGGGGCGACGGTGTGGCGGTGGAGGGTCCCAAGTTCTAGCTCATGGGCGACAAGGAGCGAGGGAGCTCGTGCCCCGCCTGCAGGTGGGTGTGCTGCTGTCACCGCCGGTGTTTGTGTGGCCATGGTCATGCACGTGCGTGTGGCCTCGTGTGTGTTTTCCGTTGTTGTGGTGGTGGTGGCGGTGGGTCGTCTGTCTTCCACAGCATCACTGTAGGCACTCTCCGTGCTGCAGCGGTGGTGCTGCGTCAGCTCAGGGGTGGTTACCACCGCTTGTGCAATCAGAGGTCATGCTGCAGTGGATGGCACTGCGTGTCTCCCCTTACCTCTCCCCACGGACAAGCACCTGCTGGTGTCGCTGCTGTGGAAGATGTCTGTGTTTGAGGCTCCTCAAATCGAAATTCCCTCCCTCCACCGTTCCACCCTCCCCTCCTCCCCCCACACCCCTCGAGGTGATGGTGCAGTCGTCCTCCACGGACAAGCACCTGCTGGTGTCGCTGCCGCTGGAGATGGGCGAGGTGGTGGCTCTCAAGATCACCCCTTCCTCTGTTTCTCTCTCCCCCACCCTATTCCCCCTCCCCCTAGGTGATGGCGAGGTCGTCCCCCACGGACAAGCACCTGCTGGTGTCGCTGCTGCGGGAGATGGGCGAGGTGGTGGCAGTCACAGGGGACGGCACCAACGATGCACCCGCTCTCAAGGAGGCTGAGATTGGGCTCGCCATGGGCATTGCAGGCACAGAGGTGAGTGGTGGAGAGAGAGGGGAGAGGTCTCTTGTATGGGTAATCTGAGACAGAGGTGAGATGGGCGAGGTGGTGGCGGTCACAGGGGACGGCACGAACGACGCGCCCTGTAATCAAGGAGGCTGAGATAGGACTCGCCATGGGCATTGCAGGCACAGAGGTGAGGGTGGAGAGGGGATACCATAGGAGACGCGTTAGCAGTGGAGAGGGATACTGTTAAACCCTCAGGCCACCTGTTGTGAGCATTTCCGACACCAAGGTGAGCGCCAGCAAGGGAATAGTTATTGAGATTTGGTACCCATGTTTTTTCCCTCTCCCACATACTGTCCACCGTCCCCACTCCCCAGTCGGGTGGCGAAGGAGAGTGCGGACGTGATATTGATGGACGACAACTAGCCTCTTTGTACCCCGCGGCTCACTGCTGCATCCTCCCTCCCGCGCTCGCTCTCCTCCTCCTCCCCTCTCCCCATCCCCTTCCCACAGGTGGCGAAGGAGAGTGCGGACGTGATAGTGATGGACGACAACTTCTCATCGGTGGTGAACGTGGCCAAGTGGGGGCGCAGTGTGTACACCAACATCCAGAAGTTCGTGCAGTTCCAGCTCACTGTCAACATCGTTGCCCTCATCACCAACTTCGTCTCCGCCTGCATCACAGGTGCTGTCTGTCGCTCGCTCGTGCCCACATGTCGCTCGTGCCCACATGCCGCTCTGCTCCCCTTAGTTCATATCTCCCTTCTTGATATCTCTGCTCCGCATGTCCACCATTCTTGGGATCCTTTCTTCATCCCGCTCTCCCCCAGCAACACGCAAAATCCCGCAGCACCATCTTTAAACCACCCACTGGACTTCTCCACAACACTCTCCACTTGAATCGACCCAGCCACTCCACCACCCCATCATCACCCCTCCCACCACCGCCGCACCAGGCACGGCGCCGCTAACGGCGGTGCAGCTGCTGTGGGTGAACCTCATCATGGACACACTCGGCGCACTCGCCCTCGCCACCGAGCCGCCCAAGGAGTCGCTCATGCACATGAAGCCCGTGGGGCGGCGCACGCCCTTCATCACGCCGTCCATGTGGCGCAACATTGCCGGGCAGGTGGCGTTCCAGCTGCTCGTGCTCGCGCTGCTCAACCAATTCGCCGCCTTCCTGTTTGGCCTGCACGGGCCGCACGCCGCCGCTACTGAGCGCACGCTCGTGTTCAACACCTTTGTCTTCTGCCAGGTGCAGGAGAGTGGGGAGGAGGACGGGGACGGGGGCGGGGACGGGGAGGGGAAGAGGGGGTGGTGGGAGTTGAGTGGGGTGGGAGGAGGCAGGGAAGTTGGAAATGCTGGTGGTGGAAGGGCCGTGGTGGGGATTGTACATGCTAATGAAACACAAGCGTTGCTCTGCTTCTCTCCATGTCGTCCCTGCTTCAGAAGCCTTTGCTTTACCCATCCCACCCTCCCCTCCCCCCCCACCCTCTCTCCCTTCCCACCCCAATTAATTTCCACCTTTCCCTACCCCCCTCTCTCTCGTTTACAAACACACAGCTATTCAACGAGATCAACTCGCGGGAGCTAGACGAAGTGAACGTGCTGCACGGCATGCACCAGAACGTCATCTTCCTCGCAATCCTGCTCTTCGAATTGACCCAAATGCCTTCCTCCTCTTCCCCTCCCGCACACGCACAGCTATTCAACGAGATCAACTCGCGGGAGCTGGACGAAGTGAACGTGCTGCACGGCATGCACCAGAACGTCATCTTCCTCGCCATCCTGCTCTTCTCCACCGTCTTCCAAGTCTGCCTCGTGCAATACCTCGGCAAGTTCGCCTCCACCGTGCCGCTCACCCCGCTGCAGTTCGCCGCGTGCATCTTCATCGCGTCGCTGAGTCTCCCTGTGGCAGCAGCAGTGAAGCTGATAGAGGTGCCGAAACAGTCTGTGGTTGCTATGGAGAGGCTTACCAGCAGCATCTCGTCACGCTTGCAGGTGTTTTTCCCCGAGGAGGGGAAAGCGCAGGAGGCAGGGGCTGGGAAGGAGGTGAAGCAAGAGTGAAGCGGGTTGTTGATGGGGCTTGGTGGTGGCAGCTACTGCTGCTGCTGGTCCTGGTGTTATTGCTGCTGTTGCTGCTGATGCTGCTGGTGGTGATGGCATCTGGTGGTTGCTGATAAGTTAAAGCCCTCACCACACCACCATTCACTCACTTCGAGGTGCCTGCCTTGCCCTCTCCTTAGTGCGGTTTCTCAGGTTCCTGTTTGCTCTTTCACCATGCCATGCTACCATATACCAAGGTGTAAGCCAGAAACAGCCAGCAAATGAGTTGTCTATGACATGTGCTGTGCGAAACTGGTGCTTATGTCTGCTCACGCACTAGCTTATATTTATTTCCTTAGCATATTCTCTAGTTTCAACTCTAGAGTTCTTCCTTGTAACAGCTAATGTAGAATTCTTGGATATGTTAATTTCATTACTGTTGTGCTTGCAAATTATGTAGATAAGGTATAGGGGAATGGTTGTCGCCGAATTGCTAAAGGGATGTCCACTAAAGTGTATTATTATCCGCATCTGCATTCCTCGCTGCGCCAGTTCATGAATCATGAACCTTCCACTTTGCTGTCGGAACCGCTAATCGACAAATCCCCACCGCCGCATTGGGGTTTGACCAACGTTTTGTTTTGACCATCCAGAGTTTCAACAGCCATGCGGTAGGGCTTCATTTCCCTCGACAGAAATAATCGCCTGCTAGGACTGTTCTCCCAGGGAGCGGTATGCCACTCTTAAAGCCCGTCAATTACGCTACTATACCTGAGATACTCGTGATTCACCTCCAATAGGCGGCCGATTTTCCTGGCGTTAGTTTTCCTAGAATTTGATTCTCATGGCTGACGGCAGCCAATCAATCGGCAGCGGCGGCGGATCGTACCGGCCGGACGGCGGAGCGGAGGCGTCAGGCGGGCTCGAGAATTATCAAGATCAGGGTGGCGGGGTGCATGTGGTAGGCGGAATTGGCGGCGTCGGTGTATCTTCCGTTGATAATACCTCTCACCATCTCACTAACATCGGCAGGCTGGAGTTAGGGTTAGGAAATAGTAACGTCTCTTTGCGCGCCGGCGGTGCGCACGGCATGACTCACGGCGTGGGTCACGGCGGTATTCAGGGCTGGGGACATGGCCGCGGGGCAGGCGTGCCCGCGCACTTTGAATCCGGCTATTCCCGCGGCGCCAACCCGGGTGATGCTGCTGATGCGCGCATGACGTGGCCTGCGTCAGCGCCGAAGGCATGGTCCGACGACGGCGCAGTGCGGAACAAGATTGCGTCGTCGCAGGCGCGCGGCGAATCTAGCTTTCAGAAGCACAGCGCGCCGGCCGCTTTTGGCGGCAGAGGGCCACATGTTTCGTCCAACGTAAGCATGGACTTGCCTAGCAGCAGACACGTAAGCAGCGGAAGGTTTGACGGCGCCGCGGACGGCGGAGACGTGGGGAACCGAGGCCCAGGGGGACCAGGGGGTTACCGCGGAACGATGGCGCAGCCCCACGTGCGGATGTGGGGGAAGGCGGAGCAGCAGGCGGCGGGGCAGAAGGGCGGGGGCGCGGAACATGGGGGGAGGCAGGGGGAGAGGCATGCGGAAAGGCTTTCTGGCTGGGACCGCGGGACGGGTTTGGGAATTGGGTTTCGCGGGGAGAGGATGGGTGCGCGCGCGTGCGCGCAAGAGGTAGCGGACGCGCAGACAAGGGACGATGGCGCAGGGGAATCGGGGGACTCTGATGACATGCGCGCGCAGTTCGAAAGGGGAGGCGCAGCGCAGCAGCAGAAACAGCATCAAATACAGCAGCAAGAGCAGCAGCAGCAGAAGCAGCACGAGCAGCAACAGCAACAAGGCGAGCAGCAACAGCAACAACAGCAACAGCAACAGCAGCAGCAACAGCAACAGGAGGCGGAGCAACAGGTTGACTGTAAGACGAGCTCGGTCGCGATCAACAGCGGAGCACAGAGGGGCGTGAGGAGGAGCAGGGGCGGCGGTGCGAGCGCGGGGAGCGGAGGGAGCGGAGAGTTTCGTGTGTATGAAGGCGGTCAGAGGCAGGAGCAGCACATGGGGAGCGCGAAGGCAGGAAAAGTGGGGCAAGTGGGAGGAGGGGAAGCACCACCGGGATTTAGACCATTCAGCCCTGATGTCTTGCTCCGTGGCGGCAATGGCGGTGGCGGCGGTGGTGGCGGTGGTAGTGGTGGTTCTGCTGCTGCTGGTGGTGGCGCTACTGCTGCTGCTGCGGCTGCTTCGGCTGCTGGTGGTGGTGCTGTTGCTGCTGCCTCTGCTGCTGGTGCTGCTCGTGCTCGTGGTGGTAGTGGTGGCGGTGGCAGTGGTGGCAGTGGGGGTAGTGGGCCCGGGCTAAGCCTGGTAAGTTATGTGTCGACTCACAATTCACCTCAGTAGTGGGGGTAGTGGGCCGGGGCAAGCCTGGTAAACTGATCACAGCAAAGGCAACATGGGCGGGCTGTCATGTAAAATTGTCACATGGACGAATTATTTCTCATGCTTTTCTTATTCTTCTCTTCCTTCCTTTTTCCAACCCCCACTCCCTTTTCCCCTTTTTCGCCCCCGCCTCCCCTCCCTCCCCTGTTCCTGCTTCCCTACTCTGCTTCCCCTTTGGGTGCGCGGTGCTCCTACCTGCTTCAGCTAGCGCCTTCCCCAGGTGTCCCTGAACCAGTCCCCGCCTGGTGGCTGCATCAGGGGCAAGCTGCTGCGCCCTCTCTCCCCCAATACCCCCCATTCTCTGCCAACGCCCCCGCGCCTTCCGCCTACGGGCCTGCAATCGCCCCTTCCGCCTCCACCGTCCCCCCTTCCGCCCCTGCTCTCCTCACTTCGGCGTCCGCGCATTCCCACCTCCCGCCTGCGCCCTGGCCCGCATCTGCGCCCACACAATACACCATAGACCCTAGTGATTCTTATTTGAAAAGGTCTGGTGGTTTGCCTTCAGCTGCAGCAGATGCACATGCGGGGGCGGACGGGGGAAGGGGAGGGGGAGGAGCAGGGGGAGGATCGGGGGGAGGGGAAGGAGGTGGGGAAGGGGAAGGGATGGGCGTTTCTGGAAGGGGTTTGTTGGGGGAGCGGGGGGAGCGGGGGAAAGGGGGGAGAGGGGGGAGAGGGGGGAGAGGGGCGCAAAGGCAAGGGGGTTGACGAGGATGGGTGGTGGTAGTGGCGACAACAGGAAAGAGCAAGGCGCGTATGGGGATACTCCCTTGTGGAGGCAACCTGAGAGAAAGGTGAGTGAGACTCCAGGCTTCACTCCCCCACAAACACATTTCTTTCTTATATTGAGTGCTCTGTGCTTTCATGCGACTTGAGTCCGAAGCTCGACAAGGCAAGGTAAGCAAGCAAGCACAGATTGTCTCTCCTCTTGTTTTTTTTTTCCCACCCCTTTTTTCTGCCCGACAGCATCTGCCTTCATACCCACTTCGTATGCCTTCTTCCCTGTCCTATCCCTCCCTCCTCTCCTTCCTCCCGCCCGCACCAATCTCCCCCCACTCCCCCACCTCCAACCTCCCTCCTCCCCCCATCCATCCCCCCTTCCCGCAGGTATCCATGTTCCATCTGGGTCAGCCCCCCCCACAGTACCACGACCTCTGCCCGCCTTCAGGAGCGCGGATCCTCTGGCGCTCCCCAGACACCTCCGATGCTTTTGAACCACCGCAACCACGCACCACAACAGAAGGGCCTCCCCCTCCCTCCTCCTCCTCCGCTTCTGCTGCTGCTGCTGCTGCTGCGGCGGCGGCTGCTGCTGCTGCCGGTGCTGCTCCGGGTGCTTCTGCTGCTCGCTCTGGCCTTGCTTCCTCCTCTCGTGCACACCTTGAGCAGCGTTTTCCGGATGGGATGTCTTTGTCGTCTCGTGCTGCGGCTGCTGCGGGTGTGGGCATGGATGGGATGGGTGCGGGGCAGGGGGACCGAGGGGGGGTGAGTGTGGGGAAACTTGGTGGAAGCATGGGGAATGTGGGTGGTATGGGGAGTGTGGGGAACATGGGTGGTGTGGGTGGTGTGGGGAGTGCTGGGAATATGGGTGGTGTGGGGAGTTTGAGGAATGAGCCTTGGCAAGTTGGGGGAGTGAGCTGTGAAAGCGGGGAGAGGGGAGGGGGAGGGGGAGGGGGAGGGGAAGGGAGAGGAGGAGCAGGGTTACCAGCAGCAGCAGCTGCTGCTGCATCAACAGGTGCAGCAGCGGCACCAGTTGCAGCGGGTTGGGAGCTGGAAGCGTTGCTTCTGGTGAATCGGCAGCTGAACAGGCAGGTGGAAGAAATGAAGGAGCAGTCACGGCGAGCAAAGGAAGAGACGGATAACTTGAGAGCCAAGGCAAGCACAGCGGAGCAGGGCGGAGAGAAGGACGGAGCGAAGGGAGGAGAGATGGGAGGGGAGAAGGGAGGGGAGAAGCGAGGGGAGAAGGGGGAAGAGAAGCGAGGGGAGAGAGCGAGGGAGGAGAGGAGGGAAGGGCAGCAGAGTCGGTGGTTACAGCCGGCAATACAACGGATGGAGAATCAGATCGTGGTGCTGACGGGGAGAGTGCTGCAAGTGCAGCATGAGAGAGATAACCTGCAGCAGCAGCTGAGGAAGTTTAAAGAGAAAGTGGTGGGTCTAGAGCAGGAGAAGGAGCAGCTAGAAGCACAGGTGGCGATACAGAGAGAGCGGCTAGAGCAGATGGAGCAGGTGGGGCAGGTGGGGACGATGGGGCAGATGCAAGGAGCGGCGGCAGCATCGGTTGGTGATGAGATGGAGAGGGACGAGCAGCAGCAACAGCGCGGGCAAGGCGTTGTGATGTGCCGTGGGATGCAAAATGCGGATTCGGATGCTGATGCTGATGCGGTGACTCTTGAGATGCTGCAGAATCGGCTTGTGCAAGGCAGAGCGTCGTTTCTAGAGGGTGGGAGCAGGGGGAGAGAGGCATGCGGGCAGGAGGGCGGGTTGGTCGCTGTAGGGGGAAGTGGTTTGAAGGGAGTGAGAAAGGGAGAAGGCAGAGATGAGGAGATAGAGGAGAATGAGGGCGTGGGGAAAGAGGAGGGGACGCGGGTTGCCGGGAGAGAAGGGGTGGGAGGGGGTAGAGACGGGAGAGGGGGGATGGAAGGGATGGAATGGGGTGTAGGGCGGATGTTGGATACCCGAATGGGAGGGGGTGTGTGCGAGGGAGGGGAAGTAGCTGGGAAGGTAGTTGATGTCAAGGTCTTGAGTGGTGAAGGTCGTATGTTGGGCATGTATGGAGATGGGGATGGGGAGAGGGGTGGGGATGGGGATAGGGGTGGGGACAAGGGTGGGGACAAGGGTGGGGACAAGGGTGGGGACAAGGAGGGAGGGCTGGATATGAACAGGGCAGTTGCGGGTTCCGAGCAGGTAGGTCACATTGGAGGTTCTGTGTCTCCTCATGTTCATCCGCCTGCCTTCGCCACGCTTACAAGTGCCCGTATCCCACGTGCTGCCATGCTCACTCCATCTGCTGTGCTTCCTAACCAGGTGGGCATGGCAGCGGGCTTGTGGGCTGCTATGCAGCAGCACATGCAGCAAGCCCTCTCTTACATGCACGCGCTCTCGCCGCTGCTGCAGGGGCAGATGCACGTGATGGGTAAGAGCGAGGGAGAGCGAGAGGGAGAGGGGGAGGGGGAGGTTGAGAGAGGAGGGGCGGGGCATGGGTATGCTCCTGAAGGTGTGATTGGTGGAGGGGTGAAGCTGGAACCCACAATTGATGCCTTGGATCAAGACGGTTCCAAGACTCCGCAGGTGGCCATGGGAGCAGTAAAAGAAGCAACAGCAGCGACAGCAGCAGTCACAGCAGTGACAGAAGTAACAGAGGGTGATGGTAGCTCACTCACTCACAAGCCTGCTGCATTTCTCATGCCCCCTGCTGTATCCTCCCTGCCCACTCACGCCGCTGCATCTGCTACAGCGGCTGCTCTCACTCTCCCTGCTGCACCTGCCGCTGCTGCTAGTGCTGCCGCTGCGCCTGCTATGGGAACAGGGGCACCTATTGCTGGTGCTGGGAGCGGGCGAGGAGCAGGAGGCGGGATAGGAGCAAGAGGGGACATGGGAGCGAAAGGGGGGATAGGAGTAGAGGCAGCAGATGCAGTGCGGGCAGTGGCAGAGGAGGCAGTAGCAGTGCGAGGCATGGTGGAGCAAGCCTTTGCCAAGGCGCAGGCGCTTTCCCAGCTGCACAGCACTTGGCTGATGCAGCAGCAGCAGTCACAGCAGCAGCAGCAGCAGCAGCAGGAGCAGCGGCGGGAGGAGCAGCAGGAGCAGCAGCAGCAGCAGCAGCAGCAGCAACAGGAGCAGCAGAGGCAGGAGGAGAAAGGAGGCGCAGAGGGAGAGGGGAGAGGGAGGAAGAACTCGAGGTTAGGACAGGCAGAGGTTGCTGTGCATGGTAGTAGTGCTTCTGGGGCTGCTGTGAGTGGTGATAGTGCAGTAGTGAGAGCTTCTGCAGCAGCAACGGAAGAAGCAGCGGCGGCTGCGGCAGCAGTGACAGCAGGGGAAAGAGCAGTAGCAGCGGGGGCGGTGGTGTTTGAGTCAGTGGGTTCAGGTGAGAGTCGGGGAGTTAAGAGCTCATCAAAGGAGGAAGGCAAACAGCAACCAGCAGCAGGAGGAGCAGCGGGAGAAGCAGCAGGAGAAGGAGCAACAGCAGAGCCTGGGCATGGTGAAAGCCACAGGGTGGGGGATACTGCTGGTGCTGGTGCTGCTGGTGCTGGTGCTGCTGGTGCTGGTGATGGTGAAAGTGATGGTGATGTGGGGGATGTGCATTTGCAGCTGCTGGCGTTGGCACATGACCTTGCGATGGCATGTGCGCTGCTGGGAAGCCTGCAGTCCAAGGCTCAGATGGCCCACGAATGGGTTGGTAAGAGCGTGACTGTGGCGGGTGCAGCAACAGGAGGACGGGTGGAGAGAGTTGGAGGAGGAAGGGGAGGAGGAGGAGAGGTAGGAGTGGGGGAGAGGGAGAGGGGAAGGGCAGGGGTGGCAGGCGAAGGGGAGAGTGGTGAGTGGGGGAGAGGAAGAGGTTTGAGCATGGTGGAGGGAGGGACAGCAGGGGGGACAGCAGTGGCAAGGAGTGGGCAGAGCAGCGGGTGGACTGGTGGGACAAAACCCGGCAAAGGTGAGCGTAGCGTTCCTTTTTTTTTTGTAGTGTTTCAGGCTGTGTGGATGCATGGGTGCGTGAGTGCATGGGTGCGTGGGTACATGGGAGCATGGGTGCATGGGTGCATGCAGGAGGGGCATCTATACCCAGCCATAAATCTCTGTTCCCCATTTTCCCATCGCCTCCCTCCCCCCATGCCATCCTTCCCTTCTCATTCCAAACAATCTTCCCCGTCACTATCTCTCTCACACACACTCCCTTCCGGCACGCTCTTCCCCCGCTCCACCTTCCCCTGCTTCCAGAGGAGTTGCGGTGGTGGGAGGGGCAGTTGTGGGCAGGCGAGGGGGCAAGAGACCCGGGGACTCGCAAGCGCAAGGCAGGGGAGGGGGAGCAGTTGCTGCTGTTCAACACACAAGGACTTTTGCAGTGGGGAGGGGGAACTGCAGGAGGGGAAGGCGCAGGCATAGGCGGGGGGACAGGGAGAGGTGGGGGAGAGGGGCGGGATGCAAGGCAGAGGCAGAGGGTGGAAGGAGGAGGGGATGTGGAGGGTGGTGGTTGGCAGGGGAGGGCGAGTGTGGGGGGGGAGGAGGAGATGGAGTTGTGGCAGGAGTTGTCTCGAATTGAGCAGATTCTAAATGTGGGTGAAGCTGGAGGGAGATTCGGATTTGCTGGTAGGGTAGGTAAGGGAGAGGATGTGAGGAAGGGGGAGGGTGGTGCAGCTAGGACAGGGATTTGGGGCGGCAGAGAGGGTGGGGTGCATGTTGCTGAGGGCATTCGGAGGCTAGTGGGGAGGGTTGAGGCGGTTGTGCTGAGGAATGCAGAGCTCATGGCAGCAATGGATGCCATGGCTGGGAAGACCAGTAATGTGTGATATTGAGCTGGGACGACGAGGATTGCTACTGCCTTGTCGTAATTTTGTACTAGCTCCTGTACAATCTCACCATTGTTCACTGACTGCTGGCTTTCGTAAATGTGCATGGATATCATTGCTGGGTTTTTTTATACATTTTCTTCAAAATATGTAAAAGGACAACTGTGCACAGTGGTGGTATGTTCTGCCAGATTTTTATCTGTGTCGAACGGGGTACATTGTGATTTAATAAGCGGCCAGCGCAGAAGACAGCTGGTGTATCCTCCGGACAGTTTGGGCCACACAGCTCAGCCCCTGAGAGTATCCTGGATAAGTGCGGCATGATGCTCCAGGTTCATTTTGCAACCAAGGGTGCAGAAGACCCCAAGGCTCTGACCTACAACGTTAGGAAAGTGCTTCCAGCCTGTTCAGTCTGAGGTCGTAGATCCACGTGAACTGGCGAATCGGAGCAAAGCAGCATTTTCATCGATCCTGTCCTGGCAGCCATTTCAAGGCATTGAGGAATTGTACACCCTGTCTGCAATGTACTGTACACTTTTGGGTTCTCGCGCCGCCATCACGCTCAGCCACAATTTGCGATTTGGCCTCGATGAAATCAAGGGGCCAAATGCAAGAGAGATGGTTGTACTGTACGGTGACGCTTCATCGCGCGTCGCATTGACATGGGATTCACATTCACTGTTTCACTGTCGCGTCCTCCATGTTCGAAGTTCCGACCGACCACTGATCAGGCGGGGAACGTGCCGCCTTGCTTGCTCCCCCTCGCTGTTGGTGCTGCTGGCCCGCTGCCCCTGCCGCTGTAGCTCCGCTCGCCCTCCCCCGCTCCCAGTCCCCCCCTCGCCCTGAACACGTCTTTCTCGCCTTCCCCAGCTCAGTCCCCCCAGGGCAACGCCAGCTCACTCCCCCCAGGCCAAGGCCAGCTCACTCGATTCATTCACTGGCTGGCATCCCTGACTCCCTAGTTCCACCTCAGCACAAGCTGTGGTACTGTTTCGAAGCGCGCGCTCTCCTCCCGTGTCTTCAGTGACTGTGAGTCTGTCTGAGCAAACCACCGATCGCCTTCAAAAACCCGTGGGTGGAATGACCAGAAACAACATTTTGTTCCCAGTCTGCGCGCCCATCTGAGCACCACGGCTCTCCTCCGCAGAATCTTTCGCAACGCTGGTACTTCAGTCCCAGCATTTCTCTCCCGACCCCCAGGCATCACGCCATGAGAGCTTTGGAGGTCCTCACTCGCTCGAAGAAAAGCCGTACGCCGTCCCCCCTTCCTCCTTCGAAAGCGTGTCTACCCCCGGCCTCCGAAGCCAAATCCCCTCAAATACTGCCGCCAGCCTCGCCGCAACTCCCTCCGCCGTCCCCGCGCCTTCAGCCGCACCCCACGGGCATCATGACGCGCGAGGAGGTTGAGGTACGCGCGCTTGGCGTCAGCGCGTATCCCGGATCGCGAGAACTACCGTTCCAACCAGGCGCGCGATCCGGTTTGTCGATTGACAAAGCGGGCACCGATTATTCCGGCGTGATGGTCCATGTGCCGAAAGACTGTTCCTCCACGAACGAGTTACAACAGCACCGCGACAACCTTGCGAAACTCGCGCCAGAGCTCGTCGCTCCCCCCCCTCCGCCCAAGGTTCCCGTTGTATCTGCGGAGGACCTTTCCGAACTTGAAATTGCCGCGATCTTGGCGGATTGCCGCTCCGCTGACACCTCACGGAGGCTCCACGGTGCAAGGACGCTGCGCGCGCTCTCGAAGGAATCCGATGCGCACCGCACGTTGCTTGTCGCGGCTGAGGGCGTCGTCGACGAATTGGTCGATCTACTATCGGAGCCGAGCGACGGCGTTTCGGAAGAAGCGGTGATTGCTCTCTTGAATCTTACCACAAATGATTCCAATAGGCGGCTCCTCCCGTCTAAGATTCTCAACCCTCTCGTCCGCGCGCTTGCCAGCGCTGCTCAACCCATGGTTGTTCGTGAAACCGCTGCCGCCGCCATTTTCAGTCTCTCGGTGGAGGACGACGTTAAAGTGGCTGCTGGCGACGCGGGCGCCGTTGCTAACTTAGTCGAGGTCCTGCGGTTCGGTTCGCAACAGGGTAAACGCGACGCGTGTAAAGCACTCTTTAATCTCTCCATGGCTGGTTGCAATAAGACGCGCGTTCTGGAAGCGAGCGGTGTGCCGGCCTTGGTGGAGCTTCTTACCCATTCCAACAGCGGAACCGCAGAGAAGGCGGCGGCCGTGCTGGCGAATGTGGTAACGTTGGAGGCGGGACGCGACGCGGTGATGGAGGAGGAGGATGCGGTGCTGCATCTGGTGGAGATTCTCGAGGCGGGCACGCCACGAGGCAAGGAGCATGCAACGGTGGTGTTGTTTCAGCTCGCGTACCACAGCGAAGCGCATCGGACGGCCATCCTTATGGAGGTGGTGATTCCGCCGCTCGTTGGGATCACGCAGACGGGCACGGCTCGTGCACGAGAGAAGGTAGGCCGCTCTTTTAGGTTGCTCAACCGTACTCGCATTCCTTTTCTTTTTCGTCCGTGCCAACTATTTCTCGTACTTTCAAGCTTACCGGACATCCTCTATCCCGTTCTCACCCTGCCCGTGTCCTTTCAGGCGAAGCAACTGCTGTCTATTCTCCGGAAAACTGGTTGAATGTAATTCCCATGTCTAACGTTGTGGCGCGGCTCGCTGTCACCCACTATACACTTGTGCTTGGAGATGCGCTTTAGGAAGAATAAGGCGCCCATTCGTTCAACATTTTCGTAGGAGGCATGAGAATCCAGTTGACGGATGCCGTCAGATGGAATGATTTGCAGCGCGCCTCGACTCCCAGCAACGCTTTTCCGGCCTCGTTTATGAGGCTGTTACTTACCATTGTTTCATTTCTTTGATTTTGTTACGTATTTTCTGTGTGCAAGGTAGATGCTAAATAATTATTACTGGTCTTTAATCGTGTAACAAGATCTCTCAGGGCAGACAACGGTGGTGACATACAGAGAAAGAATACCAGAGGCACGCTGGGGCTGAGATGGGCTTGGAGCTGTAGTAGAATCTACCGGTAGGAGGAAGATGTGTATGTGGTCTTAAAGCCCGCGCCTAGAATGGCAAGGGTTCAGGATTACTGAACTTGAAAGGGGGTTGGGCGAAGGATGACGAGAGCACAATTCGCAGGCCCATGTTGATTGAAGCCCATTTTGCAGGTGCATGTTGATTGAAGCCCAAACCAAATAAGCTGTGTGGTGGCCAGGATCTAGTACCTGCAACTACTCATTTATGGCATTGCCATTAATAAGGGAGAGGATCCTCCGCCCTTTCCTCTGGACTCTCCTGCCCCCGCCACCCACCATGCTTCAGTTCGGAAGAGAACAAAGCAAGGCCTGGTTTGTTTCATGAAGAGAATGAGGGCGTATCCAACTTTGGGTCATCGGCACTGTTCGGGTCATCCGAGATTCTTGGAAGACCAATCAGGCGCATTTAGCTACACTACTCGAATACCATTGGTCCTCCCATGACCCAAAGTGTACTGATGACCCAAACAGTGCCCGGATGACCCGAAGTTGGATACGCCCTGAGCCTACCACATGCTCAAGAGATAAAAGCACATTCCATGCTACTGCTGTCAAACTATATGTGCTGCATAGTGTCTAGGCTGTAGTGGGGTAGCCCATATGGGGTACAACCCAATTAGGGTTTACTACTTGTACTCCTGCATCCTGCTAGTTCACTCATTCCTGCTGCTAGATTCTAACATGGTTTCAGAGCACTAAGGTCCGTAGGACCGTTTTTTTTTCGGGCCCACCTACCGCTGCGGTTACCGCGCTACCCCACGTACCTGCCTGCCTTGCCTTGCCTTGTGCCGTGCTGCACTATGTGCGCCGTCCAGCAGCCCTAGCGCTGCCTCCTGCTGCCCTAGGCCAGCGCGCTGCCCCTAGAGGCCCGTAAGGCCCGCGCGCCGCCCCTACACGCCCTTCAGGCCCGCGAACAGCCCCTGCAGACCGTTAGGCCCCTTGCTGCCGCGCGCTCTCCGCACCGAGCCGCGCGCAGCCCGCTGCTGCCGCGCGCTGCCCGCACCGAGCCCGCGCAGCCCGCACCGAGCCGCGCGCAGCCCGCACCGAGCCCACGCAGCCCGCGCCGAGCCGCGCGCAGCCCGCTGCAGCCGCGCGCAGCCCGCACCGAGCCGCGCGCAGCCCGCTGCAGCCGCGCGCAGCCCGCTGCTGCCGCGCGCAGCCCGCGCCGAGCCCACGCAGCCCGCGTCGAGCCGCGCGCGGCCTGCTACGGCCTCGCGAGGCCCGCGCGCGGCCCGCAGCAGCCCGCGCCGAGCCGCGCGCGGCCTGCTACTGCCTCGCGCGGCCCGCGCGCGGCCCGCAGCAGCCCGCGCCGAGCCGCGCGCGGCCCGCTACTGCCTAGCGCGGCCGCGTGCGGCCTGCAGCAGCTCAGCGTGCTGTCAGCGCAGCCCGCGCCGAGCCGCGCGCGGCCCTCTGCCTCGGCCCCGACCTGCCGCTGATGCGGCCCCGCCCTGCAGCTGCCACGGCCCCGACCTGCCGCTGATGCGGCCCCGCCCTGCAGCTGCCACGGCCCCGACCTGCCGCTGACGCGGCCCCACCCTGCCACTTGTCGTGCGCCTACTCGGCCGCCGCCCGTCGAGCGCCGGCCCTGCTCGCCCGGTGAGCGCCTGCTCTCCCAGCCTTTGGTGAGCGCCTGCCTGCCTCCCTGCCAGCCTGCCTGGCGGCCTGCCTACCTGCCTGCCTGCCTGCCTGCCTGCCTGCCTGCCTGCCTGCCTGCCTGCCGGCCTGCCTGTCTGTCTGCCTGCCTGCCTGCCTGTCTGCCTGCCGGCCTGCCTGCCTGTCGGCCTGCCTGCCTGCCTGCCTGCCTGCCTGCCTGCCGCGCCTGCCCTGCCCGCGCTACTGCTGCTGCTACTACTACTGGCAGGTGGCCAGATTCAACTCCAGCGACGTTCACGCGAGCCTCTCACGCCCCAGCAGCTTGATGAGTGGTATACTAGCTGGGGTTGTCGCGGTAGCCGTCGTAGCTGTCGCCCTGGAGCTGGTCAGTTGGGAGCGTCTGGCAGTGGCCAGCTGCAGCTGCAGCGGCGTCCACGCGAGACACTTACGCTCCAGCAGCTCCATGAGTGGTACGCTCAGTGTAGCAGGTCTACGCGTACAGTTCGCTGCCCGTACGTCATTCGCACAGGTGCTAGGACTGGTCAGCCTTGTGGGACGCTTGGTCACACACAGTCCCGCTGCTTCGCCCGTCTGAGCGACGACTGGCGCACAGTGTTTGGCGACGAGGCTGAGCTCCCCACCTGGCTGGAGCTGCATGGACAGAGGGTAGATATCTTTGCGCTTGACTATGATGCTATTCTCACTGCCATGTATGCATTGCCTACTAGTGCTGACCGTGCCTGTTACCTGTGCGTACCGCCTGACCCTGGTATAGAGCCTGCTGCTCTCGGTGCTGGTGAGGCTGCTGCTCTAGGTGCTAGTGCGTCTCCTGCTCTAGGTGCTGGTGAGGCTGCTGCTCTCGGTGCTAGTACGTCTGTTGCTCTAGGTACTGGTGAGGCCGTGGCTTCAGGTGCTGGTGAGTCTGCTCTCTCTGGTACTGCGCCCACTGCGGTCTCGCACACCTTCACCCTTGACTCAGGAGCTTCCCGCTCCTTCTTTCGCGACTGCACCACACTCACGCTGCTTAGTCGGCCAGTTCCAGTCTCCCTGGCGGACCCCTCCGGGGGTCCAGTCCTTGCCCACTACTCCACGGTTCTGCCGTGTCCGGCCGCCCCGTCCGGCTCGCTGTCAGGTCTTTACCTCCCCTCGTTCTCTACGAACTTGGTGAGTGGAGCTGACCTCCAGGATCGGGGGGTTGACCAGTTCACTCCTGCGAGTCAGCGAGTGACTCACTGTACGTGTGCTAGGACGGGCCGGCACTTGGCCACGTTCACCCGTGCACCTAGCTCGAGTCTGTACACACTGACCACTGAGTCCCCTCAGGTAGCTGCGTCTGCGTCTACGTCTGGTCAGCTGGCGGCCCCCTGCGAGTGTCGCGCTTTGTCGCACGACACTCTCCTGTGGCACCACCGCCTTGGTCACCCCTCCTTGCCTCGCCTGCGTAGCATGCACTCTCGCTCCCTGGTCTCTGGTCTTCCCAGGTCTCTGCCTGCCCTCCCTCCCTCGCCTGCGCCGCCCTGCATTCCTTGCGTCGAGGGGCGGCAGCGCGCCGCTCCTCACTCCTCCTCGTTTCCTCCCACAGAGGCTCCACTGCAGACGCTCCACCTGGACGTGTGGGGCCCAGCCCGCGTCCAGGGACAGGGCCACGAGCGGTACTTCCTGCTGGTTGTCGACGACTACACGCGTTACACCACGGTCTTCCCCTTGCGGAGCAAGGCGGATGTCCCTGCTGTTTTGATCCCCTGGATCCGCGCTATTCGTCTCCAGCTCCGCGAGCGGTTCCGGTCGGACTTTCCTGTCCTGCGTCTGCACTCTAACAGAGGTGGTAAGTTCTCCTCCGACCTCTTGGCAGCCTACTGTGCGGAGCGCGGCATCCGCCAGATGTTCACGCTTCCGGCCTCTCCGCAGCAGAATGGGGTTGCTGAGCGCTGCATTGGCTTAGTCATGGAGGTTGCTCGTACCTCCATGATCCATGCGGCTGCCCCCCATTTTCTGTGGCCGTTTGCGGTTCGGTACGCCGCGCATCAGCTCAACCTCTGGCCCCGTGTCTCCTTGCCGGAGACCTCGCCCACACTGCTGTGGACGGGGAAGGTTGGCGATGCGTCGCGTTTCCGGGTCTGGGGTGCTCGTGCCTTTGTCTGCGATACCACCGCGGACAAGCTCTCCGCCCGCGCTGTTCCCTGTGTCTTCCTTGGCTTTGTCCCTGACGCGCCTGGCTGGCAGTTTTACCACCCCACCTCGCGCCGTGTCTTTGCGTCTCAGGACGTCACGTTCGACGAGTCGGTTCCCTTTTACCGTCTCTTCCCCTACCGCACTGCCCCGCTCCCCCCCCCGCCGCTCTTCCTCGCTCCAGGTGCTCCCCAGGTAGACCCCCTCCCCGCTCCAGGTCCTGCTCCTTCAGGTGTTTCTCAGGTAGACCCTCCTCCCTTGACTGTGCCGGTTGAGGTCACTGGTGACTCAGGTCCTACTGAGGGTGGTCCTGCTCGGGGTGCTACTTCTGGGGGTGCTGAGCCTGGGGTTGCGGAGCCTGGGGGTGCTGAGCCTGGGGGTACTGAGCCTGAGGGTGCGGAGCTTGAGGGTGTGGAGCCTGGTGGTGCTGAGCCTGAGTGTGAGGGGTCTGGGGGTGCTGAGCTTGGCGGTACTGACGCTGGAGGTTCTGGAGCTACTGAGGGTGCTGGCGCTGGAGGTTCGGGAGCTGCTGGAGGGCCTAGTACTGGTGGCGCTGGAGCTGGAGGTTCTGGAGCTGCTGAGGGTACTCGCGCTGGAGGTACTGGCGCTGAGGGTGCTGACACCGGAGGTTCTGGAGCAGTTGGGGGTGCGGGCGCTGAGGGTTCTGAGTCTGCTGCTGCGCGTTCTCCTTGGAGTAGCCGCCTTCGTCCACGTGTGCCTCTCACCTCACAGCAGCTGCAGGACTGGTACGGTCGCCGTCCGCGTCGCGCTGCTGGAGTCTGGGGCTCTACTGCTGGAGGTACTTCTGCTGCCGTCCCTGGAGCTAGGAGTGGTGCTGGTCCTTTGTCTACTGGAGGTGCTGGAGTCGCTGGTTCTGGAGGTGCTCGTGCTGGAGACACTGAGGCTGGAGACCCTGGGACTGGAGGTGCTGGTTCTGGGGGTGCTGCTGCTGGAGACACTGAGGCTGGAGACCCTGGGACTGGAGGTGCTGGTTCTGGGGGTGCTGCTGCTGGAGACACTGAGGTTGGAGACCCTGGGACTGGAGGTGTCGGCTCTGGGACTGGAGCTTCTGGAGCTGCTGGAGGTACTGGAGCTGCTGGAGCTGCCGGTACTGGTGCAGCTGCGCCGACACGACTGTTCTTCGCTCCGCCGTCTCCGTCGTCTCTGCCGCCGTCTGACTCTGTTCTTCGTCAAGTTCTTACTCTCCCGTCGTCTACTGGTCTTCCGTTACAGCCTGGCTCACCGCTGCCTGCTCCTTCTCCTTACACTGAGCAGACAGGTAGTCCTGCTGAGCGTCGTGAGCCTGCGTTGCGTCCTGTCTCACTTGTTCGTCCTGGTCGTACCGGTCGTCGTGTTCCTCGTTCGCGTCAGCCGGCTGTCCCCAGCGCACACCTCGTAGTCCGTCGTCCTTCCTCTGCTCCGCAGCCTGTTCCTCTGCCGTCTCCTCCTGCGTCCTCTTTGCCTGACGTTCCGGACCCTGAGTCTGACCGGTTTCGTGCTGAGCACCCTACTGTCACACGTCTGCTAGCCACTGTTGTCACTGACCCCTCGTTTGAGTCTACTGCTGCGTCTGCTCTTGTCGCTGAGCTTGTTGACTTTGCTGCTGCCTGTCGTCTAGACTACGCTGCTAGCCTTGTTGCTGAGTCTGAGTCTGTCTGTCCTTCGTCCGTCGGGGGTGAGTGTGCTCTTAGCATGGACGTCCTTGAGGACAGACACGAGGACCTTGAGTGTCTTGCGGCTGCTGCGCCTCATCTCGTGGCCATGCTGCTTGCCCCTGAGGGAGACCCGGATGCACCAGACATCCCGACCCCGCGCTCTTACGCTGAGGCAATCGCGGGTGAGTACTCCTCTCAGTGGCAGACAGCCATGGACGCAGAGATGGCATCCTGGAAGTCCACAGGCACTTACGTCGATGAGGTTCCCCCTCCTGGGGCGAACATCGTCGATGACATGTGGATTTTCAGGGTGAAGCGGCCGCCAGGTTCTCCGCCTGTCTTCAAGGCTCGTTACGTTGCTAGAGGCTTCAGTCAGCGAGAGGGAGTTGACTTCTTTCAGACCTTCTCCCCCACCCCGAAGTTGACCACTCTTCGGGTGCTGCTGCACGTTGCCGCTCAGCGTGACTACGAGCTTCACTCTCTTGACTTTAGCACAGCTTTCTTACAGGGCAGCCTGCACGAGGAGATCTGGCTGCGCCGCCCACCTGGCTTCACTGGGTCGTTCCCTCCTGGTACCCAGTGGAGCCTCCGGCGGCCAGTCTACGGTCTCCGCCAGGCGCCACGTAAGTGGCACGACACACTGAGGACGACACTGGCGGCTCTTGGGTTCGCTCCTTCGGCTGCACCGACACTTCACTGCCACCGTTCTACATCCTCGTGTACGTCGACGACTTGGTCTTTGCCACTTCTGACACTGAGGCTCTCGCTCAGGTGAAGTCGGAGCTGCAGAAGAGACACACGTGCACAGACCTGGGTGAGCTGCGCAGTTACCTTGGCTTGCAGATCACTCGGGACAGAGCACGTCGCACCATCACACTGACTCAGTCACATATGGTGCAGCAGGTCCTTCAGCGCTTCGGCTTCACCTGGTCCTCGCCACAGCACACTCCTCTGGCTACAGGTCACTCGCTCTCAGCTCCACCTTCGGACGAGTCCGTAGAGCCGAGTGGTCCTTACCCAGAGCTAGTTGGCTGCCTCATGTACCTGATGACCTGCACTCGTTCTGACCTTGCGTACCCTCTTGGCCTTCTCGCTCGCTACGTGGCTCCTGGTAGGCACCGACCAGAGCACATGGCTGCTGCTAAGAGGGTACTGCGCTAATTGTGCAGTACATCGGGCATGGGGCTCGTGCTTGGAGGACGGAGTGAGGTGGTCCTCACTGGGCACTCAGACGCGTCTTGGGTTGACGACCAGACTACTCAGCGGTCGTCATAGGGTTACACCTTCAGCCTTGGCTCTGGCTCTGTTTCTTGGCGGTCTACACGCTCGTCTTCTGTTCTCAGCTCCAGTTGTGAGGCTGAGATCTACGCCACCGCCATGGCTGCACAGGAGCTACGCTGGCTCACCTACCTGCTGACTGACTTGGGTGAGCGGCCTCGTTCTCCTCCAGTGCTGTACGTTGACAACAAGGCGGCCATTGCCTTGTGTGAGGAGCACAGACTGGAGCACAGAACGAAGCACATTGCTCTGCGTTACTTCCTGGCTCGAGAGTTGCAGCAGCGAGGCCAGCTTCGTCTTCGCCACGTGGCCACTCGGGCCAACACTGCTGATATATTCACCAAGGCACTTCCGTCTGGTGATCATCAGCGCTTTTGTACTCTGTTGGGCCTTGTGCCTACGTTTCCGCACTTGCTGTAGTCTCTGCTTGTACTGTGATTTATATATACACCTGCATGCTGACTCTTGTTAGGTAGTCATCACTGTACTGTTATTGTTGCATATATATCTCTGCATGTGGACTGGCCTTGTGGCCCTTTGCTTGTGCTCAGAATGTGTGGTGACGTTGGGATCCACCCTGAGCTTGTTTTGTTTCTCTTGACTGGTCGTGTGACCCTTTGTTCTCCCCCACTTTGCCCATGGGGGTGTGTCAAACTATATGTGCTGCATATTGTCTAGGCTGTAATGGGGTAGCCCATATGGGGTACAACCCAATTAAAGTTTACTACTCCTGCATCCTGCTGGTTCACTCATTCTTGCTGCTAGATTCTAACAACTGCAAGTGCCACTGCCGTTGCCGCTGTATAAGAGATCATTAAAGCTAGAAAACAGACGCTCAGCTTGTGTGCATGCTATCGCACCGAGTGGCATGTAAGCTTATCCCATCATACTACGAATACAGTATGCGTATGAATCGCTCGAACGAGCTCTATGTGCCGTCGAGGTTACTGGCATCGCCAGCCAGCTCTAGACAAACGCCGTGCGAGCTGCTCTGCGCGATTGCTTGTCGTACACCACATCAAATAGATCCACTAGCTCGTTTATCGTGCTGCGAGAACATACGGCAGGGTCACACGGAGAATGGGAGGCAGTGCATGATGGACGGGGGCAGGCAAGCAGTGCAGGGAGGACAAGCAAACGTGAAATGGAAACGAATTAGCATGGAAAGCAAAGCGGGAAACGGGTAGGGGATGGAAGAGGTGAGGAAACGAGTGGGGCACGGAAGAGAAGGGAGGTTAAAAGAGGAAAATAACGGATAAATGACTTACTTCGTTGATTTGGTGATACTGGCGAGGTATGTCATGAGGAGTGTATCGTTGAATTCCTGTAGAAGGGCAATAATTGGGGAGTAGACAGACGGAAAAAAAAAAAGAAAGGAAAAGAAAAAATCTTAAAAGAAGTTAAAGAGACAAAGGTATCTAAATGAAATGGAGAGAAGAGTGTATTGAAACACAGTATCTCAATGAAACGGAGGAACAGGGCAAGCGGAGAACAAGGGGAACAAGGGGAGAGGGAGGGAGAAAATGGGTGGTAAAGGGGGTTGATGTGTGGGAGTGATATGGAGGGGTGGTGCGGGGGGGCAGTGCAGTGGGAGGTGTAGGGGGTTGGTATAGAGTAAGGGCGAAGTGATGCGCACAGTGAGGAAGTGGCGGTGGAAGCGGTCGGAGTCGACAGCTGGCAGCCTGCGGATGAGGCTGGACACCTGGCGCGTCACTGAGTGGTCGTACGGCACTGCACCTGACGGGCGCAGAAGGGAAATGATGAGGGTGGAACACGGGGTTTGAGACGTCTCAAAAGTCTGGCAGCCTGCGAATGAGGCTGGACATGGAGAAAGGTGACATGGAGAGAGGTGGCGGTGGGAGAAAGTCGGCGGGTGGGGGGCAGAGGAGGGAAGAGGGGAACGAGGGAGAAAGGGGATGCAAGAAGGAACAGCAGCAAAAAGGGGAAAGCGGGGGAAAGGTGACTGGGAGAGAGGGACGAGATGGAAGAGAGACGAGATTGGGGAGGGGAAAGCGATGAAGAGAGGGAAAACGCCGAGGGATGCTGTGCAATGCTGGTTTGGCCTTGGCTCGATTTGGCTTGGATTAGGCTCAGTTTGACTTGACTTTAGGTCGGTTTGGCTTGGTCTGGCTTGGCTCTTGGCTTGCTTGGGTAGGTGCAATGCAGTACCTGATTCCATGGCGGCTAGACGGCTCTTAAAAGCGTCCTGATAATGGATGGTGCAGTGCAGTAGCAGCAGTACCTGATTCCATGGCGGCTAGATGGCTGTGCAGTACCTGATTCCATGGCGGCTAGGTGGCTGTGCAGTAGTCTGACCCGCGTGGTTAGCATCTTGATGGCGCTGTGCATGCCTGTTAGGTGCGCTGCCACTGCCATGCGCACAGGCACATGCATGGGTAGATAGAGGGCACACAGGGGCACACAGGGGGCAGAGGCATGCATGGGCATGCAAACATACGGAGAGATAGACATAAAAAGACACGCACACATGCGTGTGTGTGCATCACACACATGCACAGCAGTGATGGAGAGAAGCACGGCACACAGATCAAAATGGTCGGCACACAGATCAAAATGGTTGGCACACAGATCAAAATGGTTGGCACACAGATCAAAATGGTTGGCACACAGACCAGAATGGTCGGCACACAGACCAGAATGGTCGGCACATCAATATCAGAGAGAACGAATGCCCGAGCATGTGCATAGACATCACGCTTTAGCCGAATGAACGCCTGGTATAGCCTCGGGCTGGTATTGGCTGGTACAGCGTGGTATGGGCTGATATGGCGTGGTATGGGCTGGTATGGCGCGGTATGGCCCGGCACCCCTAGTGGCTCACAGTGAGTGGCTGCTGAGCTGCCATCGGACGGCTTGATGTGTGCCACGTGGTCCACTGATATGCGCTCCGCCTCCACCGTCTGATGGGCCCCGACCGCTCACACACAAACACACATGTGCATACACATGCACATGCACATGCACATACACATGCACATGCACATGCACATGCACATACACATGCACATGCACATGCACATGCACACACACATGCACATGCACACACATGCACATGCACATGCACATGCACATACACATGCACATGCACATGCACATGCACACACACATGCACATGCACATGCACATACACATGCACATGCACATGCACATGCACATGCACATACACATGCACATGCACATGCACACACACATGCACATGCACATGCACATGCACACACATGCCCATACATGGGGGATGGAGATGGGGTGGACGGATAACCAGGTTGACACGATTCCCTCTCATTATCCCCTTCCCTTGGTTGTCGCTCTCCCACCACTCTTGCGCAATGCTTTTGTGCATGCTCACATGGTGGTGACAGAAGCCTTGCAGCACAGCACAAGTGCATCTACTCTACCGTATAGTTTCAAAATAGCACAGCAAACTACTATGACACTGCAGCTGCACCTGCCACTGCTGCTGCTACTAGTGGCAGGGGGCCGGGGCGACTTTCAAGTCGAGTCAAAAGTCAACAGGGGGCAGGGGCGGTGGCAGTGGGGTCGGTGGGGTGATAAGGTTGGTGGAATCGGTGGGGTTGGTGGGGGCGGTGAGGGTGGTGACAGCAGTAGTGGTGGCGAGGCAAGGTGTGCTAATATTTCAAAGGAGTGAGTGGAAGAGAAGCAGATGAGTGAATTTTAAGTCGACACAAAAGTAGTGGTGGCGAGGCAAGGCCTGATAATACCTCGATGGTGTATGTGGAAGAGACGAAGATGAGTGACTTTTGAGTCGACTCAAAAGTAGTAGTGGCGTGGCAAGGTGCAATACCTCGATAGTGTATGTGGAAGAGACGAAGATGAGTGACGGCACACCGTCTATCACATGCAGCTCTGATGTGCGCGTGAAGGGGGAGAGGGACGGGAGGGGGTGCATGAATGAGGGAAGGGCATTAGGAAAGAGAGGGCATGACAGAAGGAGAAGAGAGCAGGAGAGGGGGTGAAACGGCCAGGAAGGATTACAGACAAGGCGGGGAAAATTATGTGGAGGAAACACTCAAAGTGTGCAGTATAGGTCTTCATATAAACTTCAAAATAAGGAAATGCATGGGAAGGGCATGGCAGGCATGGGGAAAGACGGGTATGGTAGTGCTGGCAGGCATGGCATGGCACGGCATGGCATGGCATGGCATGGCATGGCATCGTACCGCTTTCGAAGATGGAGATGGGGAGGTCCTTTCCAGCAGGGTTGATGGCGGGGTTGAGCAGCAGATAGATGGGGCTCTCGTTAATGTCCATCAGCTGTACGCATCGGTGGACGGGTGGACAGGTGGACGGGTGGACGGGTGGACGGGTGGACGGGTGGACGGGTGGACGGGTGGACGGGTGGACGGGTGGACGGGTGGACGGGTGGACGGGTGGACGGGTGGACGGGTGGACGGGTGGACGGGTGGACGGGTGGACGGGTGGACGGGTGGACGGGTGGACGGGTGGACGGGTGGACGGGTGGACGGGTGGACGGGTGGACGGGTGGACGGGTGGACGGGTGGACGGGTGGACGGGTGGACGGGTGGACGGGTGGACGGGTGGACGGGTGGACGGGTGGACGGGTGGACGGGTGGACGGGTGGACGGGTGGACGGGTGGACGGGTGGACGGGTGGACGGGTGGACGGGTGGACGGGTGGACGGGTGGACGGGTGGACGGGTGGACGGGTGGACGGGTGGACGGGTGGACGGGTGGACGGGTGGACGGGTGGACGGGTGGACGGGTGGACGGGTGGACGGGTGGACGGGTGGACGGGTGGACGGGTGGACGGGTGGACGGGTGGACGGGTGGACGGGTGGACGGGTGGACGGGTGGACGGGTGGACGGGTGGACGGGTGGACGGGTGGACGGGTGGACGGGTGGACGGGTGGACGGGTGGACGGGTGGACGGGTGGACGGGTGGACGGGTGGACGGGTGGACGGGTGGACGGGTGGACGGGTGGACGGGTGGACGGGTGGACGGGTGGACGGGTGGACGGGTGGACGGGTGGACGGGTGGACGGGTGGACGGGTGGACGGGTGGACGGGTGGACGGGTGGACGGGTGGACGGGTGGACGGGTGGACGGGTGGACGGGTGGACGGGTGGACGGGTGGACGGGTGGACGGGTGGACGGGTGGACGGGTGGACGGGTGGACGGGTGGACGGGTGGACGGGTGGACGGGTGGACGGGTGGACGGGTGGACGGGTGGACGGGTGGACGGGTGGACGGGTGGACGGGTGGACGGGTGGACGGGTGGACGGGTGGACGGGTGGACGGGTGGACGGGTGGACGGGTGGACGGGTGGACGGGTGGACGGGTGGACGGGTGGACGGGTGGACGGGTGGACGGGTGGACGGGTGGACGGGTGGACGGGTGGACGGGTGGACGGGTGGACGGGTGGACGGGTGGACGGGTGGACGGGTGGACGGGTGGACGGGTGGACGGGTGGACGGGTGGACGGGTGGACGGGTGGACGGGTGGACGGGTGGACGGGTGGACGGGTGGACGGGTGGACGGGTGGACGGGTGGACGGGTGGACGGGTGGACGGGTGGACGGGTGGACGGGTGGACGGGTGGACGGGTGGACGGGTGGACGGGTGGACGGGTGGACGGGTGGACGGGTGGACGGGTGGACGGGTGGACGGGTGGACGGGTGGACGGGTGGACGGGTGGACGGGTGGACGGGTGGACGGGTGGACGGGTGGACGGGTGGACGGGTGGACGGGTGGACGGGTGGACGGGTGGACGGGTGGACGGGTGGACGGGTGGACGGGTGGACGGGTGGACGGGTGGACGGGTGGACGGGTGGACGGGTGGACGGGTGGACGGGTGGACGGGTGGACGGGTGGACGGGTGGACGGGTGGACGGGTGGACGGGTGGACGGGTGGACGGGTGGACGGGTGGACGGGTGGACGGGTGGACGGGTGGACGGGTGGACGGGTGGACGGGTGGACGGGTGGACGGGTGGACGGGTGGACGGGTGGACGGGTGGACGGGTGGACGGGTGGACGGGTGGACGGGTGGACGGGTGGACGGGTGGACGGGTGGACGGGTGGACGGGTGGACGGGTGGACGGGTGGACGGGTGGACGGGTGGACGGGTGGACGGGTGGACGGGTGGACGGGTGGACGGGTGGACGGGTGGACGGGTGGACGGGTGGACGGGTGGACGGGTGGACGGGTGGACGGGTGGACGGGTGGACGGGTGGACGGGTGGACGGGTGGACGGGTGGACGGGTGGACGGGTGGACGGGTGGACGGGTGGACGGGTGGACGGGTGGACGGGTGGACGGGTGGACGGGTGGACGGGTGGACGGGTGGACGGGTGGACGGGTGGACGGGTGGACGGGTGGACGGGTGGACGGGTGGACGGGTGGACGGGTGGACGGGTGGACGGGTGGACGGGTGGACGGGTGGACGGGTGGACGGGTGGACGGGTGGACGGGTGGACGGGTGGACGGGTGGACGGGTGGACGGGTGGACGGGTGGACGGGTGGACGGGTGGACGGGTGGACGGGTGGACGGGTGGACGGGTGGACGGGTGGACGGGTGGACGGGTGGACGGGTGGACGGGTGGACGGGTGGACGGGTGGACGGGTGGACGGGTGGACGGGTGGACGGGTGGACGGGTGGACGGGTGGACGGGTGGACGGGTGGACGGGTGGACGGGTGGACGGGTGGACGGGTGGACGGGTGGACGGGTGGACGGGTGGACGGGTGGACGGGTGGACGGGTGGACGGGTGGACGGGTGGACGGGTGGACGGGTGGACGGGTGGACGGGTGGACGGGTGGACGGGTGGACGGGTGGACGGGTGGACGGGTGGACGGGTGGACGGGTGGACGGGTGGACGGGTGGACGGGTGGACGGGTGGACGGGTGGACGGGTGGACGGGTGGACGGGTGGACGGGTGGACGGGTGGACGGGTGGACGGGTGGACGGGTGGACGGGTGGACGGGTGGACGGGTGGACGGGTGGACGGGTGGACGGGTGGACGGGTGGACGGGTGGACGGGTGGACGGGTGGACGGGTGGACGGGTGGACGGGTGGACGGGTGGACGGGTGGACGGGTGGACGGGTGGACGGGTGGACGGGTGGACGGGTGGACGGGTGGACGGGTGGACGGGTGGACGGGTGGACGGTTCACGTTGAGAATTTTCGCAAGTGACACAAACAAAGATGGGGCTCTTGTTGATTGGGCGGATGGATGAATGGATGGGTGGACGAGTGGATGGGTGGATGGGTAAATCGATGGTTGGGTGTATGGGTGGATGGGTGGATGGGCGGAAGGATGGATTGGGAATGGGTGGATGGGCCCATGTTTGAATGGTCGAATAGATAGATGGGTGCATGGGTGGATGGGAGGGTGGGTGGATGGACAAGGGGGTGAAAACGAATCTACATGCATGTTACCGTCCATCGCCTATGGTCACATGGTGGATGCCAGTGTCATGCATGCATCTCATGGTAGATATCATGCATGGGTGCACATGTGCTTGTGCGCATGGGGTGCGACCCTAACCGCGTTACGCACATACATGCCAGGCGGTTGGTCTAGCAGCCTAACAGCCCATCAGCCTGCCTATTAGCCTACCAGCCCGCCGGCCGCTCACCGCCTTGTGCACGCGTGCATGTCGGCGGGGCGCACGTTTGTGCCCGTGGAGTACCACCCCAGCACGTGTTACATAATAACCATCGCAGTCAATTAGCCCATGAGCCTATCAGCCTTCCTACCAGCCTACCAGCCTACCAGCCTACCAGCCTACCAGCCTACCAGCCTACCAGCCCCTGCTCACCGCCTTGTGCACGTGCATGTCAGCAGGGCGCACGTCCGTGCCCGTCGAGTACCACCCCAGCACGTCGTACTTGGGGAACACCTTCTTGTCTGCGCGCACGCGCGCGCGCGCGACGGCGCACGGGGGAAGCGCGGACAGGGGGAGCGGAACGGGGAGACGGTTGGGGTAAGGGGAGGTTGAGGGCAGGTTATGAGGATTTGGAGGGGGAGTGGGAAGTGGGAAGGGACGGGGAGGTGGAGCATGCTTGCATTACCTAAGCGGAATTTCAGAAGAGGAAGGGGGTTGGGGGGGGAGGGGGAGGGGAGCGGGAGATGGAGTGTGAGGAGTGGCGGAGAGTGCGGCAGGAAAGAGGGTTTGGGGGGAGGCGGAAGGGCGCAAAGGGGGAAGGGGAGAGAGGGATATGTGACAATGGCAATACCACAACGCTGCAATGATAATAGCTGTTTAGATCGAGCTTATTGGTGCCGCGAAACCCGGCGGAGGATTGCGGGGGTGAAGTATGCGCCACGACGGTGTCTAGCAGTTGCGATGCTGAGAGCAATATGAGGTTGCTTATAAGGAATTCGTGCACTGATGCTTGCAACGCGTACATTGTTCCATTTTGACGGTGAGGAAACTACGATCAATAACGATTTCAGGTTCGCCCGAGCCGCCATCCATGGCTTCTGGCGGATTGCTGCTGCTCCCGGCACCGTCACCGCCTCGCGCCTCGTAAATCACCTCGAACGAGTTAAAGATCTCCACAACGCGACCCGACTGCACGCCTAGGAGACAGCCTACCACGCGCGAAGGCACGCCTCCTTGCTGCGCTTTAACGCGCGTGTAGTGATCTGACATGTTGACTATAACGAGCGGGTGAAGCTTGAAAGTTAGGCCACTAGACGACGACATGGCGTACAGGGCACGGTATCAGATAGTATTTTCCCGGTCAATCGATACGCTAGCAAAATTCACGAGTAGCGCTCGACGTATGTTCCAGCAACAAGCGGTGATCGGAGGAGGATGGTCACTAGGCTTGTGGCAGCTATGCAGCAGTTTCAGCGCATGTGGCGGAGCAGAGAAACAACACCACCCACACGCCAGAATTTGTAGGAAATATGGGTTCTTGTCTAAAGCAGAGATTCAAGTAATATCGCCAGAATTTGGTATGGGAAAGGGCGGGTGGATTTTGTTCTCTTGAATGCGGTTCAATGAGATGCTTCACGTTCTACAGAGGTTGAATCAGTGTTTAGATAGGTCGTGATGCGCAATTTAGAATTGAAATTGACACAACTGCGAGAATACTCGTTACCAAAAATGCTTGAATCACACAAGTAAAAACCAACTTCAAGCCATTCACGTGTCTAAAGAAGTAAACTCAAGCATATAGGTCACCCAATCCAACCACCACAGTGCCATTTAATTCCCCTCCACTCGCCACTAGAGCCACTGCAGCAGTGCCAGCCACAAAGCTACACTACGCCTAGTGCTCCTCAGCAAAGCAGTGCACACATGTGCTACTATTCAACGTAGCCATGATGTCCTCCCCTTTCTCACCCATTCTACTGTTTAACCAGCAGCCCAGAATTGAACTACTAGCCAGCCGGCCAGCCAGCACGCCGGCCAGAGCACAAGGTCTCTCCCCTCCACAAGCGTAACTCCCTCACTCCCTTTCTCCACTCCCCTTTCCTCCACTCCACACCACGTCTAGGCCAACGAGGGGAACTGGGACTGATCGAGAGCAGGGGCATCAGCAGGCCGCCCGCCATAGCCACCACGACCGCCACCGTAGCGGCCGCCGCCGCGACCTCCACCGCGACCGCCGCGGGGATTGCGGTAGTGGAAGGTTTGGCCGTCTGCAGGCTTGAGGAACTCGTTGATGTTCACCGTCTTGGGACGGTCCTCGTCCTTTTTCCTCGCCGCCTTCTCCTTATCCTCTCCCTGCCAAAAATACCCACCGACAAAAAGCACCAATCCGAACCGGCACGTACAGGCCGGCACCGAAATACACACATGAACACACCCACGCATGACGCACGGAACAAGGAATGGAGGACGGGTTAAGACAAGGTGAGAAAACGGAAAAAGACCAAAGGACCGCACTGAATGCAGGGCACAGGAGACAAAGCACACTTGCCAAGCTGCCCGTGCTACCCAAGCGAATCCAGGGCACAGGGGACAGCATGGGGAGCAGATACAGCATCGAGAGCAGAGACAACATGGGGACCAGAGGGGCAGAGAGGGCAGAGAGGGCAGAGAGGGCAGAGGGCACGGACCAGCTTGACAAAGACGTCATCGCCATCAGCCTTCTTCTTGAGCGTCATCTTGGCCATCTCCTCGTCCACCTCCACCACGCGCGCCGCCGCCTTGCTCGCCGCCAGCGCCTTGCGCTTCTCCTCCAGCACCTTCTCGTACTCCTCCAGCGTCATTTGCTGCGCGCGCACGCAAGGACACGGGGGCGGGGGCGGGGACGGGGGCGGGGGAGGATATGGCAAGGGGGCGTGCGCAGGGGAGATGGAAGGGAGACAGTTGGAGATGGGGCGGTAGGATGGGGTGGCGGAGAGATGCATTCAAGCCTGCGGAGAGAAAATTTCAAGCCTGCGAATCAATGGCTCTGAAGGTGGAGATCCGTTGGAGGTAAGGAACAGGTTGGCAGTTTACCTTCTCCTCCTCTTCCTTCTCCTTCCGCGCAGCTTCCTGGGCTGCGAGCTCCTCCTCGCTCAGCACAGGGGGCTCCGGCGCTGCGACCTCCGCCGCCGCCTCCGCCGACTCGCCCTCCGCCTTCGGCTCCGCCTCCCCGGATGCGGGCGCGACAGTCTCACTGGTGAAGGAAACGGGGGACGGCGAAGGAACACAGCGTGGGGAGATTAAGAAACGGTGGGCAGCGGCGGCACGGGAACGAACGAAGGGGAGTGAGGAAACGCGAATGCAGCAGCAAGAGTGCGGGTCAGAATTAAGACATGAAGGAACGAGGGGTCGGAGGAACGTCAGCTCGGAACGACAACGACAGGCCCAGCAAGGTTTTGAAAAAAAAAAAAAAAATCGGCGAGCGGGGAGAAGGTGAAAGGGAGAGGCGCATTACTCGCCAAGGTATTCGCCCTCCCTGCCCCAGTTGCCACGGCCAGCCCCCTCGCGCTTGATCTCCCTGCGCGCGCAACACGGGGCGGAGGGAGACAGCGGAGGGGCACTGAGCGACGGGGCGAAATGGGGGATCGAAATGGCGGACCAAAATGGCGGACCGAAATGGCCAGCAAGGGGCGAAACGGCTCCATCGCTTGCACGACGGGGAGTCGGCGGGCGGGTGCCGCAACTCAGGGATGGCCATCAAACGCGGCGCGGTCCCAGCAGCATTCACGTCCGAAGCACAATAAGGCGCAACCTCCCCTTACCCCTTCCCTTCCCCCTCATTTCCACCTAGCCCACTCCAAGCCCCCTTGCGCCACCACCGCACGTACCCGCCACGGCCGGTGCCGCTCATGCGGTCGAACTCGCGGTGCGGGCGGCGCTGGCCCCCGTCGCGCCCATAGCCGCGACCGCGCCCCCCCCTTCCGCCGCCTCTCCGCAGGTCGCCGTGGTGGTGCTCCGCGAACGACGTGCGGTTCTCGCCGTCTTCCCCGCGAACCTGGCGCTCCGCGATGAACGCGCGGCCATTGTCGCGCGGCTCGTTGAACGTCTGGTAGTCGCCACCGCGTCCGCCGTATCCGCCGCGACCGCCGCCGCGACCTCCGCGGTTGTAGCCGGAGCGAGCAGGTGCAGTGGTAGCAGCAGCAGGCTTGGCTAAGATATAGTAACGGGAGGGAGGGAGGGAGGGGAAACGAGGGCATTGGGTTAACCAGACGAGATCTTTGCCCTGTAAATCTAACAGCAGATCCAAAAAAACTTGAGAATCGGAACAACTAAAAGGTGAAAGATAGTAAGGAAGGAAAGCAAGAACAGGAAATGAAGCATGAAAGGAAGGAAGAAAAAAGCAAGAGAGTTAAGGTTAAGAATCCGGGTTACCAGCAGCAGGAGCGGGCTTGGCGCCTTTAGCGGCAGCCTTTTTGCTCGCGTCGACCTTCACAGGTTCGGCCGCGACGCGGGACAGCAGGGCCTGGGGGTCGTCGTTGTCGTCACCATCAAGCAGCGCGAAGGGGTTTTGCGTCGCCATTGCACTCCTGCTCTACCTTCCCGGACGCTCACAGAACGGCGGAGGCGCGAGACACGGACCAGTTAGTGCACGCGAGCCATGCACGGCCGAGGTATGTAGGGGCTCTAAGATTCAATAACACGACCTAGGTGCCAGCGCTAGGGGTAGACTAATCGACTAAGTACGGCCACGTGAGAGAACAAGAGAATTCTCTCTGGTGACTGAAGCAGGTACTACCGAAGAGGCAGCGAGAGAAAGATAACTGAAGGAGAAAGGAGAGCAAAAACCCTTGCTTCCTTTCGATTCCTTCCCCCTCCCCTGTTCCAACCCTGCGGGAAACAGGCAGTCTGCGCACATCCACCCTCCATTTTCCGCTTCCCCCAAAACCCCGCGAGTAACTCTGGCATTTTCTGTGCGCCGCATTCCCCGCTTCCCCCAGTCAGTCTACATCGAGAAGTCCGCAAAGGGGGCTCCCTTGCGCGCGCTGCCAGCATGCAGAGATCTACAGATTGAGATGGTGACATGTGACGCTGAACCAATCCCAGGTCTCCGTAGCCCTCAATCGGTGCGCCAAAGCCCAGGGTGTCATTTGCGCGATAAACTGGTGTATAGGGATCGTTATGGATACGTATACACCGTCGTTGTTCGTAAACTTGGCTAGCAACCGGAGTGAAGACCATAGAGATGTGATTATATACATCATAGTGAAAAAAAAACGACGTTATTCTGTGATAGGCGGCCAACAATCTCATGCAGGCTGCTGCTGTGTGATGCAATGGATGTTTCCTCCACCAAGAAGAATCTCCCGACCTTCTGGGATCATGATCACCTGTAATTAAAACAGGATTGCTCGCTCGAAAAGAAAGAAACACTTCACAAATCACTTGCTGTGGTGGTGACATCTATGCATAATCCAAAGTGCACAACAGGACGACTTGACAAACGCACCTCACGGTGTGGAAAAACCTTCTGTATCACTTCAAATGCACGCTTGTCACTAGATGGGATGCCAAATGCAGGTGCCACAACCGCACCTGCAGCAATGCACTCAAAAGACCAGGGATAGAAACCATTGTATAGAATGGAAAAGTAACAACGAAAACAAGCAACCAAAAAGAGAGGCTCTCGAAAGACATGGGTGACAGCAACAAATCAGGAGTGAGTGCGCGAATGGAGCAGCCCTGAAAAAAAGGGACAAAGGCGGCCAAGAAAGAAAGCGAGCGAGTATGATACAGAGCAGTGCGCTGGGCTGACCATTTGGGAGGTAGAAGTTGATGTAGGATGCTGCCATCAGGTCTCCTGCTTGGCGCTGGGCGTGGGCCCCCTCCTTCAAGCAGGGTACGGGTACGGCGGGTACAGCACAGCAGTGGCAGAGAAGAGGGCAGAGTAGGTGTAGAGCAAAGAGCGGCACAGGCCAGGACAGCGGGGCAGAGCAGGGAAGAGGAGAGGGAAGAGCAGGGCAGGACATGTGGCAGCAAAGGCAACGCAGAGCAGAGCGGCAAAGGCAGCGGGTAGTGGTACCTGTGCAAGGCCTTGCACGTCTTGGTGTGAGTAGTAGAGTGCGGGTGGCAGCGGGAGGTGTGTGATGCGCAGGGGCCGGTTCTTAGCGTCCCGAGCTGAGCACAGCACCTCATGCGCTGCTTGGCACACTGGGTACTGTCGTTGCCATTGCCATGGCCGTTCACGTTGTTGAGATTGCCGTTGCCGTTGCCGTTGCCGTTTTTGTTGCATTTTGGGCGATGATGGTGGAAGGGAGTGCAGGGCGGATGGAATGCAGATTGCACTGAGAGGAAGAAGAAGAGAAAGAGGAAAGGCAGTGGAGAAGAAGGAAGATGCAGTACGGGAAGTGAAAATCATGAGTGGAGAGAGAGAGAGTGAAGGGAGAGTGAAGGGAGATTGAAGAGGAGTGCGGGCGGGATAGGAGGAGGAAGGAAGGATTCGGAATGCAAGGGTACGGGAGACGTGGTACGGGAGAAGTTAAAAAAAACAAAACCAAAAAAAAAAAAAAAAAGGCTTCGGGTAGTAGGGCGACTGGGCAGAGGGGGCGACTGGGCAGAGGGGGCGAGTGGGCAGAGGGGGCGAGTGGGCAGAGGGGGCGAGTGGGTAGAGGGGGCGAGTGGGCAGAGGGGGCGAGTGGGCAGAGGGGGCGAGTGGGCAGAGGGGGCGAGTGGGCAGAGGGGGCGAGTGGGCAGAGGGGGCGAGTGGGCAGAGGGGGCGAGTGGGCAGAGGGGGCGAGTGGGCAGAGGGGGCGAGTGGGCAGAGGGGGCGAGTGGGCAGAGGGGGCGAGTGGGCAGAGGGAACTAACGAGCCGGCAGCGAGAGCGAGCACCTGCGGGTGGGAGGGGTCGTCAGTCCACGCGAGCAGCACATGTGCGGGCGCCACGAAGCACGCCACGTTGTCCACATGCCCATCCGTGTCCTCGTCCCCTGCAAGCCACGATGGCGTGTGAATGGGATTGAGCGAGTGAGCGAGCAAGAGGAAGCATGCGACCAAGCGAGCATGCGAGCGGGGCCGCCGCAAGGAGTGAGGGCGAAGCACGCCACGTTGTGCACATGCCCATCCGTGTCCTCGTCACCTGCTAGCCAGGATGACCCGTGAACGGGAACGAGCGAGTGAGCGAGCGCACGAATGCCAGCGAGCATGCGGGGAAGGAGTGAGGGCCGTGCACAGCGAGTAAAGGGCCTTGATTGCACTTGCGCTCGCAAGAGCAGAGCTAATGTTTGGGGTTTCCTGCATCGGATTCAGCAAGTGAGTGGTACCAGGTGGGGGCACCTTGCAAGCCCCGGGGCAGCCGGATGACGGTGGAGACACCCAGGAGAGAAGCCACGTGTAAAAAGAGCATTATTGAGAGACGTCTCAAAAACACTCTTTTTATGTGCGTGAGAGGCCAGCCCACCTTGTAGGCCCCGGGGCAGCCAGATGACGGTGGAGACACCCAGGAGAGCGCACAGGTGGCTCTCGATGGCAGCTCGTGAGAGAGTGGGGTTGCGGCTGCGGTGCAGCAGGCACTGCTCCGTGGTGATGAGCGTGCCTGAGAGGCAGAGCAGCGCGCATAATGAGCACAATGAGAGACGCGGCAGCGGCGATTCAAATGGTGGTTATGGATGCGAATAAAAGAGCGCAGGTGCGGGTGTGGTGTGTCATGTAGCAGACAGTGGGCTGTGGACCACGGTGATGAGCATCTCTATGAGAAAGGGGTCCCCATTGGTGGTGGCGGATCTCAGGGTGCTTCTGAGAATTCTCAAAAACGGCTTATGTGGGAAACTTCTGCTGCTCGCTCGCACTCACCTTCTCCATCCACATGCAGGGAACCCCCCTCCATGACGAGTGAGGTGCGGTGGCGCGTGCACGCAGGTATGAGCTCCGCCATCTGATGATGCCATGTGCATGGGGTGGTGCCATGGCATGCCCACGTGGAGGAGCGATGCATGAAGGTATGGGTTTGAAGTGAACACTTGATGCGCATGTGCGCGTGCATGTGCTCATGCATGTGCATGCGCATTTGGATGAGCATGCGCATGGGCATGTGCATGTGCATGGGCATGGGCATGTGTATGGGCATGGGCATGGGCATATGTATGGGCATGGGCATGGGCATGTGTATGGGCATGGGCATGGGAATGTGTATGGGCATGGGCATGGGCATGTGTATGGGCATGGGCATGGGCATGTGTATGGGCATGGGCATGGGCATGTGTATGGGCATGGGCATGGGCATGTGTACGTGCATGGGAATGGGCATGTGCATGTGCTTCCACGTGCCTTGGCAGGAATCAAGTCATCAAGTGACCAGTCACCATAGCACCCGCCCTCAGCACCTGGGACAGGGCAGGTGGGACGAATAAGGCAGGCGAATAAGAAGAGGAGATTAAGGACAGAAGAATAAGAAGAGGTGACCAGGGAGCGGAGATTAAGAATATTATGATAAGGAGGAGATTATCTGCAGGGGTATGTATTGCACGGCACAATGCCATGTGTACCTGCAACAGTGTTACTGCGCACTCACCACCCCATGCATTGAAGGTCCAATCGATAGCTGCCACGTGTCGCTTGCCACCTGGCAGGTCCTTCACCACGAACTGCAACAGAGACGGGGTGAGTAGGGAGAGAGAGAGCAAAGTGGAGAGAGAGGGGGGGGGTTGGGAGAGGAGGGAGGGAGTGAGGGGGAGAAGAGAGAGGAAGAAAGAGAGCGAGAGGAAGTGGCTGGGAGGGGAGGGATTGGGCAGATGAGAGGAAGGCAGGCAGCAATGACTGAAGGTGGTGGTGCGCTCAAAGCAAATATGGGGTTCCCCAATCCTTCAAATTTCGACTTCCATGACCACCGTCCAGCTGCTTTGGAACGCCTCAAAGCACTCTCGCAGAGGGGCAAGGTGCCAGGGGATTGCCCGTCACATCACTCTAGTCATATCCTAGTGCCGTGGTTGAATTGGCGATGGGGTAACAAGAGCAGTGGCGCGGCTTACAGTGGGGCATATGTCTCTGGCCCACGCGTCGTTGCTGCTCATCTCTATCACACGCACTGATGCTGGCAGCTGCTGCCGCGCATTCCGCCACTGGTGATTGCATGGGTGGGATGAGGTGGGATGGGTTGGGATGGGGTGAGATTGGGTGGGACGGGTCGAGATGGAGGATGAGATGGCACGAATGGGTATGGGGGGACACGGGGGGGGGGCACCGGTATACCACAATTCTCCAAGTACGTGACACACCTCTACACAAAAGCCTCTGTGTACTCAACCCATCCTCATTCCCCATCCTTACTGCTACTGTCTCCCTCACCAAGGGTTTTCTCCTTCCTCAGCCTGGGCCAGGCTCAGCTGGCACACTGCTACTCCCCTCCGCACCTCTCTCTCTCACACTGTACCTTTCCCTCCTCGCCTCTCCCAGCGCTCACCTCTGCCCAGCCCACCTTCGACCCCACACCCTCTTCCCCCTCCCCCCTCCCCTTCCCCCCGCGCGTGCGCGCACCTGTGCGCCAGACACCAGCATGCGCACAGGCTCGAATCGGCTGATGCACGCCACCACCGCTGCGAACGCCTGCTGAGCTGGCACCGCTGCGTCGCGCCAGTTGTCAGGGCGCTCCTGCGCACGGCGAGCGGAAGAGAGAGCGGTGAAGTGAGGTGCGGAGGAATGGGTTGCTGGGAGGTGAGGTGAGGTGCGGAAAATGGAAGGGATTTGGGAAGCGGTGGATGAATGCGGAAAAAGGGGAAGGGATGGCGGGACGGGGAGAGAGCGCGAGGAGCGCGGGGCCATGCGGGGAGAACTGACGGGCCAGATCATCCAACACCCATCGTGCGGCTCCCATTCCGCGGGCATCCGGAATCCGCGCAGTGCCTCGCGAAGCCGAACGAGCTCCTCGGTGTCGCCCGTGTTGTCGCCCGCGTTGTCGCCCGTCCTGTCGCCCGCGTTGTCGCAAGGGACAGTTGAGTCCAGCGCAAAAGCCGCTTCCAGCCGCTCCACGTCGCCTCCCAGAACTCCCCCTCTTTCCTCCGCTTCCTTGTTCTCCTCCGCGGGGCTGCTCCGCGCGGCGATCGGTTCCGCCTCCGCAGTCGACATCCTTGACGCCGCCGAACCAGCGCCGAAAGCCTTTCCGCGGAGCTTTTGGACGCGCAGCCTCTGAGGAGAGCGGAATGAGGCGAATCGCAGCTCGATTGATCTGGAAATCGCCGGTTCGCGGAAAGTGTTGGTTTGGTGGCGATGATGGGAATTCGCGCCTCGGGATGAGAGGAGGGGTGCAGGGGATCTTTGCTCCGCCAAGCAAACAGTACGGCTCGTATTGAGTAGGGGTGCTGATAATATCGAAGCATTCTTGCCTCCACCACACGGGCAGCGTACTCGTCGTAGAGAGGCGCAGAGTTCCGAGGGACTGTCAAGAAGGGAATAGATCAGCAATACTCGTTATCAATAAGAATATCAGCAGTGTGTATCGCATCAGAGCAGCAAATCGTTGTTTGTACAATACATGAACTGTTTCTTTTAAACTCATATTTCCAAACGCGGACAGCCCATCCGTCGCAGAAGGGGCAAGGCGGTGATGTGGACTGGATGTATGTGTTTGGATGAGTTTGCAGGCATTGAGCGCGCACCGCCCTACTCAACCCAATCGAACCCCCCCAGTCTCCAGCACGATTTTCGGCCGCACAACCCGAAAGCGGCGGGCAAGATGCGACAGCAGAAATTCGCGACGCCCTGCGACAGTCGCTCACAGCGCATCAGCGATGAAATCGTCTCCGTTCCGTCCCGCCATCCTCGCCGCCTTTTCAATCCCATCCCATCCCATGATTCCTTCCATCCCACCCAATCCATCCCATCTTGCCGATCAGATTCAGAAGCTTGCAGAGTCATGTGACTGACTGACGGGTTGCTTTCAGGTGAAACGTTATCATCGCATTCCGCAGATCCTCCGCGAGCGTATGCTGCCTTTTCGTCAACCCAGCTGAGTCTGGCCTAGGCAGCTTAATTCCTTGCATGTATTGCTGAATTTCTTAGTTATGCCATCTTGATTCGTTCTTTTTAGCAACCACGCGACGCGGCCATCAAGGGCTGCCCTGCGCTGCGCTTCGCCGTCAGCTGCCAGAATGGGATCAGCATCGTCCACGCTCTCCTCCAATGGCAACGCGCCACCTGCGACGACCGCTTCCGCACCATCGTATGGAGTATTCGGGTCGGCTGGCGCCGCGTCAGGCGGCCAGCTGTTCGTGTCGCTGCGTCTAGTCGACTCGCATCCGTCGTCCCCGTTAGAATCCGCCGCGTTAGATTCACCGCAGGAGTCGGGCCCATCGCAGCTCGTTCCGCATGTGGTCGGCGCGCATCCCCTGGTCGGCGCGTGGGACCCGCTCGCTGCGGTAAGTTCTTCCCGCAACACGCGCTGACAAGCCTTCTATGCCGTCTACTCGGATACCTCGCAATTGAATCGTAACTCTAATCAAGGCTTTTCGCAAGGCGGATCTTCCTGCTTCGCGTCTCATGCATACGGAACTCTTCTGCCTTTCAGAATCAGCATTGCCAGGGCCATGGCCGCTGCGTAACGGCTTCAGCGTGTCTCTGGTACCTTCCTATCTCATCAACAGGTGCCTATGGAGCGCGATTCGCTATGCGCGTGGCAGCTGAACGTGGTGCTGCCAGCACAGCACGGTGAGTCGCTGGCTCGCATCTCGCATCCTGCCTTGCATGCCTCTCTCCTGGTGCATTCACGTTGCTTTCTGCTGGTCCTCCTCCCCCTGCTGCATCGCACACCAACCAACCCCACCGTGCCCTAAAATACCCTCAAATTCCACGCAGCGCCGTTGGAGTTCAAGGTGGTGCTCAAGACGGTGGGCAGCATGATCATGATCATGCTTCACGACCCCTGCCTGCTAGAAGAGGCGTGTTTTGAGTCGTCTCAAAACCTCCTGAACCCCCCGTGACCCAAAATCCCCTCCAATTCCTTGCAGCGCCGTTGGAGTTCAAGGTGGTGCTCAAGACGGTGGGCGGCATGATCATGCTCGACGACCCCTGCCTGCTAGAAGAGGGCCCCCCGCGCCAAATCATCGCCGGACACCTGGCAGGCCCTGATTCGTCCCGCCCCGCCCGGTTCCTCCTTAGGGACCTGTGGAAGAAGACAGAGGGGCGCGGGGGGGAAGGGGGGAGCAGCAGCGCGGTAGGGGGAAGCGTAGGGGGAAGTGCGGGGGAGAGCGCAGGGGGGAACGCGGGGGAGAGTGGGGAGGAGGTGGCGTTTCCTGTGGAGATGAGTGCGAGGGCAGTGTCGCCGTTTGTACTGGCAGCGGCGTGGAAGCTGTACGATGGGGCTATCTCATCGCAGGGCACACTGGTGCGCGGCATTCCCGATGTCTGCGCCGACGCTTTGCCCCTGCCCACCCCCTCCCATGCGTCACCCGTGCTCGCTGTAAGGACTGGGTGGGATGGTGAAGCAGGTCAGTGGCTGTATTAGAATCTCGTTGTGTGATTACGCTGCTTTACAGGTTACGTTGGCTGCTCTGCTCTGTGGACGGTTCGTAACAGCTCACAACGGCCACCCAAAACCTCTCTGTTCACCAGACATTGTACCTCACTCCCTCGTCTGCATTCCCTTCTGTCACCTGATACCCCTCTGCTTCCCTCTCCTTCTCTCTCCTTTCCTCTCCTTCTCTCTCCTTCCCTCTCCTCCTCTCTCCTTCTCTCTCCCTCCTCTTCCCTGCCCCCCTGCCAGCCACTGCTGTCAGACTCACTCGTGGACTACGAGGTGCCGCCTCCACCACACAAGGTCCCTCTCTACGCAGCAGACGCCACAGAGGACCCGCGCTTCCTGCGCCAGTCCGCGGACGCGCCCCTCTCCGCGTCGCTCTCCCTCTCCTCCGCCAGTCCTGGGGCCGCCAGTGTGGGTGGTGCGGCGGTGACGAGGGTGAGCAGTGCGCCGCACAGCACGGGGCACACGCCGCAGCAGTCGCCCTCGCCCATGATGCGATCGGTTGTCTCCATTAAGGTGAGCGTGAGCGCCACGTCACTGCTTCATGGTGACATGATGCGCGATGGACATAGCTGAACATGGGGCGTCCTTTCCCTCCCGGTGCATGCGACACATGCATTACACGTACATAGATGCCGGTCTTTCCTCATTCCCCCAACCGTGCCGTGCCACCCACCCCAGGACCTGGTGCTGCTGGGCGAGGAGGAGCAGTCTCGCATGGACCCTCCCAGTGCATGTGGCCCTCCCAGTGCATGTGGCACATGCACTACACATAAGCGGATGCCCAACTTTCCTCATTCCCGTAACCCACCCCAACCATGCCACCCACCCACCCTAGGACCTGGTGCTACTGGGCGAGGAGGAGCAGTCTCGCATGGACCCTCCCAGTGCATGCGGCACATGCACTACACGTACACTGATGCCCATCGTTCCCCATTCCCCTAACCATGCCACCCACCCACCGCAGGACCTAGTGCTGCTGGGCGAGGAGGAGCAGTCTCGCATGGACCAAGCAGCACTGGCAGCAGCGGCAGCAGGGGAGCACGCGCATGAGCCGGGTGCAGCAGGAGAGGACGTGTCAGCGGCAGCTGCTGCTGCTGCCGGGCTGGTCCAGGTGCCCAGCCCTGCTGACGCTGCCATGCAGCGCGCTCAGTCCCGCCTTCTGCAGCAGCAGCAGCAGCAGCAGCAGGCAGAAGCAGAGGCACGGGAAGAGGCAAAGGAAGAGATAGAGAGAGGGGTGGAGGGGCTGAGGCTGGATGGTGCAGCAGCAGGGCAAGGCGCGGGGCAGCAGCAGCAGCAGGGGGCGGTAGGCACGCCGCCGGCGCATGTGCTGGGTCCTGTGAAGTCCCTGAGTGCGCGCAGCTCAGGCAGCAATGGCAGCTGTGGTGGCCTTGCGGATCTGGACATAGATGTGAGTGACGTTGCAAGTTCCCAACCCTGGGCTTAATTGTGTGTCTGGTTGGGAGGAGGGGAAAGGAGGGCGGAGGGAAGGAGCGATTACGTGGAACGGAGAGGAGATAGGGAGGGAGAGGAGGGAGGAGGGGCAAGGAAGGGTACGAACGGGGAGGCCTGCAGAATCTGCAGGGTACAGCAAGAGGTTCTGAAGGTTTAAGAGTCGACGGTTCCAAGTTTTAAAACCAGGTTAACCCCAACCTAATAGTTTAAGGTCTAAGGTTACAAAGTCTCCTTTCTCTTCCCCCCCGTGTGTCTCCCTTTCCTTCGCACCCTGCCCTCTACTGTGTGCCCCCTTCCCCCCCCCCCCACTCCCCCCTCCCGCCCACCCCATGAGCAGCATCCGCGGCTGTCGTTCCCTGAGGACCTGCCAGAGGCGGCGGGAGCGGTGGCGGCAGCAGCAGCAGCGGAGAGGCTGCTGGGACCCAAGGAGAGGCGCCGCCTCGCTATCATCATGGTGAGCCCGCCACAGGTGGATGCGTGCATGGGATGGGATGGGTGCATGCGTGGGATGGGTTGTGACTGGCCGGCAGGACGTTGGGAGGCGTGGGAGGGGCTGTCAGGGGTTGTGGGAGGGAGGTGTGAGAGGAGTGGCGGGATTGTGCTGCTTCATTCACGCTTTCAGTTGCAACAATGCTCAACCTCCCCAGACGCCCCTCCACCACCCCGTTCATGGGGTGTCTGTCTGTCTGTCACTCATCAACCACATATGGCACGGTCCCTGCCCGCCCGCCCGTCCGCCCGCCCGCCCGTCCATCCGCCCGCCCGCCCGCCCCCCCCCCTGTCCTCCCTGTGGCAGGTCGGGCTGCCAGCGCGCGGCAAGACGTTCACAGCAGCCAAGCTCACGCGCTACCTGCGATGGCTGGGCCACGAGACAAAGCACTTCAACGTCGGCAAGGTGCATGCTCACTCACTAACTCCTGAGGGAAAAAGGGGGGGACGGGAGGGAGGGAGGGGGGGAGGGGGGGGTGCAGCAATGTCACAGCGAGCGGGCGTGAGGGCAGATGGTGGATGCCCTGAGGAATGTCTTGCTCTTTGCATGCTGGCTGTTGTCAGGGATGTGATGTACGTATGGTCACTTGTGCGCATGCATGCATGCATGCATGCATGTTGTTGCTGGCCACATGTGGCTCTCCTTCCTTCCAGGGACCTCGCTCACAGACTCGCCTGTCCCTCGCTCATCCCGGAATCCCTTTTTCCATCCCTCTCCCGCTCATGCCCTCCCTTGTTATTGTCCTCCATGTGCCCACCCAACCACTGTGTGCACTGGCAGTATCGGCGACTGAAGCTGGGAGCCAGCCAGGTACGTGCGTGCACAACAAACAACCTGGGGGTTCCTGGGTTCCTTTGCTGGTGCTCTCGGGACCAAGCATGTCGCATAGTACTTAATCAGTGGTTTTAGAGTTGGTTGCAAGAGGGAACAAGGTTTGGGGGCTTGCTTGCTTGCAAAGTTCAGGTGCAGTGCTAGATTTGAGTTTCGTGACTCCAGGCCAAGTATGCCCATTCTTCATGCACTCATCCCTCCAACCACCCAGGCCGTATTTATATCTGAGAATCGTCATTTAAAACAGGCACCACGCATTTTCTCCTTCCCTTACCTGCCCTGGTCTGCCTTGCTCCCTCCCTGCTCCTTCCTGTATGTGTGGTGTGCCGCTCCTGGCTATTGCATCGCCCCACCCCACAGACATCGGATTTCTTCAGAGCCGACAACTATGAAGGCATAGAGGCCCGCAACGAGGTCACTCCCTCTCTCTCCCACCCCCTCCTCACTACCCCCTTTTTGCTACCTCGGCAACGGTTGCTCCCCTTCACTTGTTGCGGTTATAGGTCCGTCCCATGCCCCTCCTTTTCTTCTGCCTTGCGCTCATGCACCTCTATCTTTGCTGCTCTACACCAATGCTTCGCTTCCCCTCTGCTGTACGGCCTTCAACTGCTCAATCTCCAGCCTCGAGTGTGTGTGCATGGTCTGCCCGTGTGTGTGTGTGTATACCCGCTCTGTGTGTGTCTGTGAGTGCAGGTGGCAGTAGAAGCATTTACGGACATGCTCGCATGGATGGACGAAGGCGGGCAGGTGAGAATATGACGCACTCCTTGCCGTCTGCATGTGCATGTGCAGTGCATGTGCATGTGCATGTGCATGTGCAGTGCATGTGCATGTGCATGTGCAGTGCATGTGCATGTGCATGTGCATGTGCAGTGCATGTGCAGTGCATGTGCATGTGCATGTGCATGTGCATGTGCAGTGCATGTGCATGTGCATGTGCAGTGCATGTGCATGTGCAATCGCATGTTGAGAACGTTTGTCAAACGTTTGTCTCCCGTCCCCTTCTCTCCCATCTTCATCATCCCCTGTTATCCTCCACCACTGCCTCTCCCTTCTCTCCCTCCTCAATCATCTGCCTCCCCTCTGTGAATCCTCTGCCATCCCTCGCTTTCCCGTGCCTCATCCGCACCTCGTCCCCCAGGTGGGCGTGTTTGACGCCACCAACAGCACCAGGGCGCGCCGCAACATGCTGCTGGAGCTTGCAGAACACAAGTGCAAGGTGCGCTGGCAAGTGCAAGGTGCGCTGGCAAGTGCAAGGTGGGCTGGCAAGTGCAAGGTGGGCTGGCAAGTGCAAGGTGGGCTGGCAAGTGCAAGGTGGGCTGGCATGGGCGAAAATGGATTAAATACAAGGAACTGCTCCTTTTTGCCTAACATCCGCATCCCTTGCAGCAGCCATACTCGTCCCCACTCCTGGCCCCTTGCTCATAGAGCCCTGTGCTTCCTGCACCACCACTCCCCACCCCACCCATCTCCGCCCTTCCCCACCAGGTGATATTCCTGGAGTGCATCTGTGACGACGCGGCTGTGATCGACCGCAACGCACGGGAGAAGATCAAGGCGTCCCCGGATTACACCAGCATGTGAGTTTTGAGGCGAATCAAACATTGCAGGTAGAGAGAGACGACATTGAGGCACCTCCAAGGATCAAGGCGTCCCCGGACTACACCAGCATGTGAGCACCGACCCGACCCCCGCTGCTCCCCATGCATGCTCTTGCATGCATGCCGTGCTGCTCATTTCTGGACGCTTGTCACTGCCATCTGCATGGACCGAGAATGAGCCGACTCTGAATGGTGAAAAATCTCTCCAGAAGATTCTCTCGCACAAAGGGGCCGTGCAATGCCATCCTAACCCGCCCCCTGCTAGTGCGTCGCACCCCATGGCGCCATGCCCCATGCCTCGTATTGATGACCACAGGGCCGACGCCGAGACTGCTCTCAATGACTTCCGCTCGCGCCTCGACAACTACCAGCAGGTGTGTGTGCTTGTTGCACCCGTTCTCCTCCGCTCTGCTCTCTTCCTCTCTGTTCCCTTCCTCTCTACTCTCCTTCCTCCCTTCTCTTTTCTCTGCTCTCCTCCTCTCTGCTCCCTTCTCAGCCCTTCTCACTATTCTCCACTATGCTCTCAAACCAAGTGCTTCTGTCCATTCCTCTCACCTGTCCCTTGTTCTCCTATCTGACTCCACTGCACTCTCTGTTCCATGCGTGTCCTGCACGCCTGTGCTGTGTGGCTGCGTGTCATTCATGCGTGTGTGTGTGGGTGGGTGTGTGCATGGGGGGGCATGTGCCCAATGCGGGCAGGTGTACGAGCCGGTGGAGGAGGGGTCATACATCAAGCTCATCAACATGGTCTCAGGCTCCTCAGGCCAGCTGCAGGTCAACTCTCTCACACACGCCGTGCCATGCCACGCCATGCCACACCCTGTCACGCCATGCCACATCCCGCCGCGCCATTCATCCGATGCCATGCACTGACAGCTAGCTACAGGGACTGGGCATATGGCTGATTTCCTTGGCATACATTTTGATATAGACTCACCGGTGCACGGCTTTTTCTATTATTTCCTCGCTCTCAACACTCCACCACAGCTCCCACACCCTCCGTCCTGTTCCTCTTACTGCATTCCCTTCTCCCTCTGCCCCCCTTTCTCTCCCTCTTTGCCCTCTCTCTCTTCCCTCTTCTGCTTGTTCTCATCGTGTGCGCATAATGGCAGGTGAACAACATCAGTGGATACCTCCCTGGCCGCATTGTCTTCTTCCTCGTACGACCCATGCCGTGCCCCCATGCCATGCCCCCATTCTAAAACCCACATGCACACAACCACACACACACGCACGCGCACATGAGCATGCACTCCAAGCTCTTTCGCTTCCATCACTCCAAGCTCTTTCGCTTCCATCACTCCAAGCTCTTTCGCTTCCATCACTCCAAGCTCTTTCGCTTCCATCACTCCCTCTTTTACTTTCGCACCTGCCCAGGTTGTATCAAACTCCTTCGCACAGCCTGCCCTCCGCGCATCTTTTCTGCACGTTCACTGCCCCTCACTTGCCTCTTGCATCCCATTCATGCATTGCTTGCCTTCCCTTCCCTCACATGTGACATCCCATGGTTCATCCGTGCATGTGCACTTGCCATGCAGCTGAACACGCACATCACCCCGCGTCCGGTGCTGCTGACAAGGCATGGGGAGAGCATGGACAACGTACGAGGCAGAATAGGAGGCGACCCCCTGCTGAGGTGCGCACTTGCCATCCATACCATACATGTCACCCATGCCACCCATGCCACCCATGCCACCCATGCCACCCATGCCACCCATGCCACCCATCACACTCCCTCCTTCACGAACGTGTTCCTCCTACCTTAATCCTCAACCTACACTCACCTGGTTCTGGACTTTCTCGAAACTGCCTTGCGCGCGCCCCTCCGCGTCGTCCGTGCACCTCTCGTACCTCCACCTGTCCCGTGCAGCCCAGCAGGAGAGATCTACGCGGAGAAGCTATCCGAGTTTGTGCACAAGCGCCTGCGCAACGAGCGCCTCGCATCCGTATGCACCTCTCTCCTCTCCTCCTTGTTGCCCACCCATGAAACGCTCGCTTGAGTCGGAACAAACAGACTGAGTTGATTGGGAATCGAGTTGGCTCATTAGTCGGCTGATAGTTTCCCTATGCTTCTCTTCTCAACGATGAACGCCCGTGCGCTGCCAGCACAGTCACCATGTTGTTTGAGACTCTTTCCTTCACATGTGGTTACTCTTGCATGGCATAGGCTCTTTCATGTCGTTCATTACTTCCCCACTTGCTTGTCGTTCTCACTCATGTCTCACTTTCAAGCTACCCCTTCTGAATTACCATGCCCATGACACCATGCCATGTCATGCCATGCCCTGTCATGCCATGGCACGACCCACCAGGTGTGGACCAGCACTCTGCGTCGCACCATCCGAACCGGCCGGCACATCGCAGGGTTCCCCAAGGTACGATTAGAGTGCGGGCCCCTCACAAACAAGGTACACCCAGAATGCAAGGTGCAACCCAAGGCAATTTTGGAAATTCTCAAAAGCACCAGCTGTCCAACGTACAGTACTCGTGAGGAAGTAATAGGTCTTGGATCCACAGTCCCCGATCTAATCCCCTGTGTCCCCTCGCTTGGTCTGTGTGCTCCCCCCCTGTGGTGCTGTGGTGTGGCGGCATCAGGTGCAATGGAGGGCGTTGGATGAAATAGACGCGGGAGTGTGCGATGGCATGACATACCTTGAGATTCGCCAGAGCATGCCCGATGAATACCGGTCAGTGCCTGCGCTCTGCATGCATGCACATACATGTGCATGCATGGCACATGGCACCAATGTCACCCCACACTTGTGTCTTTGGAAGTAGTAACACCACCACCACCACCACCACCACCGCCACCACCACCACCGCCACCACCACCACCACCGCCGCCGCCGCCGCCGCCGCCGCCGCCGCCGCCGCCACCACCGCCACCGCCACCGCCACCACGTGTCTACTGCGCAGCTAGTCATTCTTGGCACTGCTGTGCCGCCATTTTCCAAGGCGTCCCAAACTGCATTTCAATAGTTGAGCCAAGCTGCTTAAGCACTAGTCTCTGTGCTTGCATCTGGTGGTTGGCTGCCTCTTCTTCTCCTCCCGCTCTCCCTAGTGACCTAGTCTATCTCACCTCTGCCTTGACTCCCCCCCTGTCACCTCCTCCCCTCACACCTTCCCCTCACCCCGTTGTCTCTCCCCTCCCCTCCCATCCCTCCTCACCCCTCCTCAACCCTACTCTCCACTCCCCACCTCATCTCACCTCACCTCACTTCTCCCCGCCACACCCCTTATCTAACATCGCAGATCGCGCAAGGCGGACAAGCTGCGGTACCGCTACCCACGGGGGGAGTCGTACCTGGACGTCATTCAGAGGTATGTGCCCTGCTCTGCTCTGCCCTGCCCTGCCCTGCCCTGCCCTGCCGTGCCTTACTCATCCTCTACACAGGTCCCTCGCCTCCTCCTCCTCACACTTATTCTCCCTTGTACCCGTCCTCCTCCCCCCTTCTTGCACTTTCAGCCAGTGCCCACAAGGTACAAAGTCAGCGAGACGTGTTGGCAGGTTGCGGAAACCTCTCTGGTCTCTCTTTGCCTGTTCCTGTCCAACCCTTTGGCAGGCTAGAGCCTGTGATAATAGAGCTGGAGAGGCAGAGACACCCTGTCGTCATCATTGCGCACCAGGCATGTACCCATGCATGCCATGCCATATCACCCATGCCCCGCCCTGCTACTCGCTCTTCGAGCATCCGCAATATCTGCATGTGAACGGTGTTGCCCTGCAGCAGCTAAATCTGACCCATCATACTCGCTGCTCTCAGCAAAAGCAGCGCTGAGCTGACCCCTCTGAATAAAGCAACTTCTGTGCTGCATGGTGCACAAGTCCTAACGTGCTCTGGCCCGTGTGCTGCCCCTCCCATGGTGTGTATGGTTGTATGGTGCGTATGGGCAACACTGCAGGCGGTACTGCGAGCGCTCTATGCATACTTCATGGACAAGCCGCTGAGGGAGGTTCCTCACATCGAGGTGGGACGCCCCTTCTTCCCCACCCCCCTTGCCTTCATGCATCACCGCATCACGCACACTCTCACGGTTGCTTCCATTCCCCGTGTCGCCTTCACTCACGCCGCAACCCCTCCGTGTCCTCTGTGTGTGTGTGCGTGGAGCAGATGCCACTGCACACCATTATAGAGCTCACCACAGGTGTGGGAGGCATCACTGAGAAGCGCTTTAAGCTCACTGCTGCCTCCACTGCCGCCGCCACTGCTGCAGCAGCTGCAGCCGCCGCCGCTGCTGTGACATCCCCTGTCGCCTCAAACAGCATAGCCTCACCTACTTAGCTCGACACAGCCTCGACTGAACTGTTTCACCTTCTCCCATACGTGGCCCCTCCTCCCAACAACCCAACCCCCCTTCCTCTCAAATGCCTCTGAAGGGGATGCAGGGGGTAAGCATCTAGGTCAGGTTGGTGGAACCTTGTGTTGGTAGACTGTTGTATGCAGGAGGAACTTGGAAGCAGCTTTGCTATGTAGAAGGGATTGGGCATGTTTTATCTGTCAACCACATGGTCCATGTTGTGATGCCAACTGGATCATGTCAACCCAACATGCCATGACTGTGTAATTTGTGTCTGACAATCTGGTGCTAGTGTTTGTGACAGGTACCACAGTTCCATTCTGACATGCAATCAGTTACGGTAAAACAAATACCTGCAGCGTACTTATTAGTACTAATGGTTGGGCTGGAATGCCATATGCGGTATTGTTTATTTAAGAAACATTATAGTGTACATGTATTTGGGACAGATGGCTATGCAGAGTATGGTACCGGTAAAACCGTGGTTCTTGGCAACCAAGTCGATACGCATGATTGGTTGTTTGAGACTTGGAAATGTTTGCAGCTTTGCAACAAAATGTTATACAGGTTTAGAGGTTACCAGAATAGTTCTGACTTGTGGGTCAGATGTGATGTTTTGGTGCTATTACCGAGGTAAGTTATGGTATGTTGGGTAACACTATTGAACACGAGGTGTACAGGTTCATGACATCCTGTCCCAAGCTGGTCGAGGGGCAAGATGACATGGCTCAAATTGGTGCTGTGGTGTGGACAAAACATGTCCTCTCCTCCTGAAGCAACACTTTGTCGCCATGGCTTGTGGGAGCAGAGCAGCTCTCGTACGGCACGACCGCGTTATCTTCGCAAACTGTATTTTTGTGGGAGCATGCCGCCTGGTATGAAACATTTACAAACTTGGAAATGCTTTGGATGGCACCATGTTCACCTGTCGCCTGAAGTTCAGGTGGTTCACTGGTCCTCGCCCCTGATGCAAGGGACCCATGTTACTGTACCGTGTTGGAGCAAAATCTGAAATTTCAATATCGATTCAAGCGGGATGTTCCGTTTATCCAAAAGGTTTCTTGGATGAACATTTGACACTCCAACCCTCATTTTCTATGGATATATTTTTCACGCGAAAGCTTCCTTTGCAGCTCAAGACGACGTCCCGCGCCCATCGGTCAGTCGTTCCTCGCCACAGAAACCAGCCCTCCCAACGAACCAGTGCGCCCTTCGTGTTAGCTGGTCAACGACTGCCCGCTAGACTGACCATAAAACAGGTGGTACAGTGCAATGTTTTCCAGCACGCACCGTAGCTGGTGTTAGAGCGGGTCCGAAGTGAACGTGACATCCAGCGTCATCCGATGTCGGCAAATCCTGACGGTTGGAACTTTCGATCCGAGGGTTGACATTTACCGACATCCAGCGTCATCCATTCGACGCTTCACTTCGGACACGCCCTTACGAAAACCAGGAATCCAAGGCCCTACTCACGGCCCCTGGCCAAAATGTCAGGGCAGAAAGTACCGAACAAATGTGCACCTCCGTACGTCCCTCCAAAAGCAAGAACACAAGCCATGCGGAAAAAAAACGGGTAATCACGGCGAGGGTTAACCCGTAAGTCACCCCCAGGTCAAACCAGCCCCCCCTTCACTAAAACACCACTACCTACTTTCTGATCTGACCTGGTGGCCTGGCTGGATGGGAAAGAACGAGAAGAATAGGGGGATGGGCTGTGGCTGCCTCCCCCTCACGCTCTTTCCAGCAGCAAAGAAAGAAGCCAAGGCATGAGCAGTGTATGAGGCAGTTGCGCAAAGAAGAACCCCTCGCTGCCACCACCACAACCCACCACCCCTCGCGTTGGGCCAGGCAGGCTACCAGTAGCGAGAGTCGGCCGAGACTACCAGTGACCAGCCATTTCTTCACAATTCACGAACTATCCAGACCATGGAATCCGATAATTTGCCGAGAAAGCGACGACGGAACAGGCAATGACGGAGTGCTGCGACGCGCACTGCTGGTGGTTGCGCGCCTTGTCGAGTGGGCTTCACTGCAAAGTGTCCTGACGCGCTCCGAATCACGTGCGGGACCATCCACGGCATACAACGTACGAGCATTGTGAATACACCCTCGCGACAGCACCATTCGGTTACCCGTCCCCCCCCATAAGTGTGCCTCGCAGCACGAACCTTAACGATCACCGTCTAGCCGCTGCGTTTTCTTCTGACACCCTGTCCGCTTCCGCCGCGCGCCATGAACTTGGTGCGCAAAATCCGCCAGCTCAGCTCGGACCGCCGCTCTCGCCGCAGTGCGGCAAGCGCCACGAGCCGCGGAGGGAGCGAGGATGTCTGCACCAGCGGCGGCGGCGGTCCCGGAAGCTGCGCCTCGTGGGCCGACATATCGTGCGTCGCAAGCAACATGGCCGCGTCGCCATCGCGCGAGGCTCCGCCGGCGGACAGCCGCAATGTCCCCGCGGAGCCGCTAGCCGGCGGCGGTAGTAGCTCGGCTCGCGAGTCGCGACGGTCGTTCGAGCTCCCTCCGATCCGGGCGTCGCCCGGCCGCAATGGCGCCATCACGCCGCCTCCCTCGGCGGGCCGCATTGGTCTGAGCACAAGCTACGACTCGTCACACCGGCCCCCGCTCCCCGTCCCTCCCGCCTCGAACGCCGCGCATCAATATCACTCCGCTGCGGACGGGACAGCTCCAGTAAGCCGGTTGGGAAGACGGAACGCCGCGCCGAGCGGCGGGGAGGAGCTGTTGCGCAATGCTGCGGGAGAGGCGGGTGAAGCGGCTGCGGAGAGCAGTTTGGCGCAAAGGGGGAGGGGGAAAGGTTGCGCGGAAGGGATGCTGGCGCAGGGCAAGGTGGACCGGCGGAGCGAAGGCGCGGCAGGAGATTCGTGCGACGATGGAGAGTTGTCGTCGTGCGAGGAAATCGCGAGCGACGAAGGGGGTTTGACGCCCCCGCCGCACTATGCGGGCCAGCAGGAGCACTCGCGGACGTTCCGACCGTACGCAGGCAGCAACGGCAGCGCCGGCGGATGCAGCGGCGCGAATAACGCCGCAACGGGGACGAGCGGCGCGCACGTCACGACACAGGCGGGGCAGAATAATCCGCGGGGAGACGGCGCGGGCAGCGGAAGCCCGATGAATTCGCTAGCGGCGTGGCGGTGGCACCATAGCAATAAGGTGGCGGATTGGCTCCTCGCGCTCCCGACGGACCTCGCGCCGCCCTGCGACTCGAACTTTTCCTCGCTGCTCGACTCGTCCGACGCGGACGGCGCCGCTAATGGCGCTTCTGCGGACGAGCCGCCGAAAGAAGGCGCGGGAGAGGCGTTGGGGCAGGGGACACAGGCGGGCGCGGGAGTGGGCGAGGGACCGGAAGTGACTATCGCCTCCGCGGCCTTGGGCGCAGCGGCGGAAGCATGCGCGGAGAGGCAAGGCGGGCTTTCGCCAGTGAAGGTGGCGGGAGGAGCGTCGGGGGGAGTGCAGTCGTGCACGGCGTCTGGCACTCCCAGTCCCAGCCAGCCCAGCCCGCGCGCCGTGGCCGGCGGAGGAGGCGGCGCCGACGACAAGGCAGGGGACGCGAAGGACGGACAGGAGGAGGAGGAACAGGCGGACGTGGCGGCGGAATCGACGGAGGGGACTGCAAGCGGGATTGCGGAGGGCGCGGTTGGAGGAGAGAAGCTGCAAGAGCAGCAGCAGCCACATCTATCCCTGCCGAAGCGCCAACCCTGTCGACCAGATGACGTGGAAGGCATGGTTGCTGACCTGGCACTGGTTGATGACGGCGGCGGGTCAGGCGAGAGCAGAGCAGAGGCGATGGAACGGCAGGTGGACGCGGCGCGCGCGCTGAGGCAGCTGGCGCGGCGGGGGGAGGAGACGCGTGAAGCCATCGTGGCTGCTGGCGCCGTTCCCGCGCTCGTGCTCATCCTGCAACGCGCCGCCGACGCCGCCGCTGCTGCTGGCGCTGGCGGAACTTCCGGTAGCAACGGCCTAAGAAACGACCCTGGCAGTGGTGCTGGCAGCGTGGGTGCTGCTGTGCTGGCAAGCCCGCTAGTGGACTACTCGATATCAGCACTGGTGAACCTGAGTGTGTGCCGGGGCATCAAAGCCATCATTCACGATGCGGGCGCCGTGCAACCTCTCATCGTGCTGTTGCGTGGCTCCGCCATCCCCACCATCCCCACCAACCCTGCCGCCTCGCCCTTGATAGGAGACTCGAATCCGCGCTCCGATGCACACAGCCGCAGCTACACTCACGGGCACTCGCACACGCAAACCCACTCCTCTCGCCACTCGCACTCCCATTCCCACTCTCACTCGCACTCGCACACGCACATATCAGCACACAGCCACAGCCAGCACATGTCACCAGCTCCCACGCTCTCCTCACCGGCCGCACTCCCTCCCGCTGCCACGACTCCATCCACGCGTGCCAACGCAGCAGTGGCGCTCTACTCGCTCTCAAAGCTGGACGATGCCATGCGCACACACATCGGCGACCTGGGCGGGGTTGATGCGCTCGTGGGGTTCCTGGCGGACAGCACTGTCACCAAGGGGCGCAAGGACGCTGCTACTGCTCTGCACAGCCTCTCCACCGTCGCGCCCAACCGCCCCAGGCTCGTCCGCGCAGGTGCCGTGCACATGCTGCTTGACTGGGTTGTTGCTTGCAAGAAACCCCCCGTTGATGCTGCTGCTGGTGCCGGTGCTCCCGGTGCTGGTGCCGGTGCCGGTGGTGGTGGTATAGTAGGTGGGGGGAGTCTGGGCGACAGTCAGAGGGGCGGCAGTGAGGAGGACGAAGTGGTGTTGGTGGAACGCGCTTTGGCTGTGCTGGCGCAGGTGGCGGCGTGTGAGGAGGGGCGCGCCGAGATGGCAGGGCGGGGGGGGATCGAGACGCTGCTGGTGCTGGTGCAGGGCGGAGGGGGCCCGTCGGTGGCGTGTGCGGAGTATGCAGTAGCGGCGCTGCTGGTGCTGGCCAATAGCAGCTCTACTCTGCGCCGCAAACTGCATAGCCTCAACCTGGGCCCTGCTCTCTCCCAGCTGGCTGTGAACTTCAGCCCCAAGGCCAAGGGAAAGGTGAGACTAGTTCCTCTGTACGCCGCGTGGCTTGTGCCTCAGCTGCTAGTGCCTGCTGCTAGTTCTTATCCTCTTGTTATTGATCCCTTCTTTTGACCCTGATTTGGTTTGATCCCTTCTTTTTCCGTGGTGCGTGCTTGTGTGGGTGTGAGGGCGGGTGCGTGGGGTCGTGAGTCTGTGCATATGTGTGAATGTGCGTGTGTTGTGTGCATGTGCATGTGTGTGTGTGTGTATGCGCGTGTGTGTGTGCATGTGCATGTGCATGTGCATGTGCATGTGCTTGTGCATGTGCATGTGCATGTGCATGTGCATGTGCATGTGCATGTGCGTGTGCATGTGCATGTGCATGTGCGTATGTGCATGTGTGTGTGCGTGTGCATGTGCATGTGCATACCGTACATGCAGGTCAAGAAGCTCCTTGACATACTGCATGTTCACTGAAACACCCATGCATCCCAGTCGCTCCATGCCTCTTCTGCGTTCAACCTCGCCCTCTGCCTACATACCACCGCCCCTTGCCATTCTTCCAAATAGACTTTACTTCCTTCCAATCCTGCTTCCTTTCAATCCTATTTTTCTGGTGCAAAAACAATATTCATTTCATTCTTTTGCCCTCAGCCCTCCTTTTTGTCATTGGCTGTCAAACCTTCCATGCCAAGACTGTGCTCTATTTTTCCTCTTCCCCTACTCCACACTCACACCTCCCAATTCTCCTCGTTAATCCATGTGTCGTATGACATCCTTCACGTGCCATAACAAGTGTCAAGCCTTGCCTGCCTGACTACTTGACGCTCTACACAATCAATCGATTTCCATATGCATGGTCTACACTGGGTTGTGCATGTATGCATGACAAATCTCTGGCCATATTGCTGCATTTTCTCTCAATGTTATACCGTATCTAGCGGCCCTGAATAAGCTTGCACATCATATTACAAGAAACATTATTGAGTGGCACTCACCTCAACTGCGTGCACTCTCTCGGGGCACTCAAAAGTGATTCTGCTTTTTGGGGTACCGTACGGTACCACCCGCGTGAAACCGACCCCATCCGACATTGGAAGACTCCTCTGTCCTGTGCCTTCTGGCGCTCCTTTCCGCACCTCGTCTCGTCACGTCCTTCGTCCGCCGTTTGCGGGGACGGACGGAAGGCAACGAAATTCATCCCGTGCCGATTCGCGAAGCCCAACTGCTGCCGATGGCAACGGGCGCGTAAGCGCTTGCTGCCGTTCGCTCTCAAAGTGTGAATCCGCATCGCCGCTGTAGTTTCTCGCTGCCTTGCGTCTTTTTCGCAAATCTCCTCGCGGATTCTGCCGTGCCGTTGCGCGGGGTTGTACCCCCTCCGCACATCCGCCTCGACAGAGAGGTGCGACGAGCGGGATGCATGGCAGCTCATTACGCCGTCCGCTCGCGGTCTTTCGCATTAAACGCGTCTCCCCATTCCCTCGCTACTTCTTTGGATTGCCTCGCCACCGCGTTGCACCGTTCAATACCGGGTTTTCCTGGCCCTTCCTCTGCGGCTAGTCTTACCCACAGAACTGGCCTGAACGACTTAGATGCTTCTCGGAATGTTCGCAGCGGCAATAGCAGAAGCGAAAAGCCAAGCCGCGGCGCCATTGGATTAGAATGCGCAACCGTGCCTCCGCGTGCCGTTCCGCCGTTTTCCGCGCCAGGCGCGCCCCACCGCCCGTGCCATCCGCCCGACTTTCGCGGGCCTCGGGATGTTGCCTCCCCTGGAAATCTGAGCCCCCCTTACTCCGCCGTTCCGCCCCGCGCCTTCCACTCGTCCGCGGCTTGCGCGCGGAAACACCGCGACAAGTGGCAGTCGGTGAGTCGTCTCTGCTCTCGCTCCTTTTTCCCTGCTCTTGCTCGCGTCTAGAACCCGCGTTTCGCGAAAACGTTGCACGGCCTCATGCGCGCACTGTCTCTTGCGCGCACTGCCTCATGCGCGCACGGCCCCATGCGCGCATACCTCTCCGCGGCCATTACCCTCATCACCGCGTGCCAAAGCACACGAAGTTGCATTGAGCCGCGTCAAGAACAGCCCGCGTAATCACATCCTCTCCTCATTGCTCCCTGCACTCCCTTACCTCTCTCCCCGTTTCCCCTCTCCCCTGTTTCCTCAACCTCCGCAGATGGCGTGTGATGCGGACCAGGCAACAAGCAAGGTGAGCGCTCGCTTTCCCCCTTCAACCCCTTGTCCTTGTGCTCCTCTTGTTTTCCATGCACCTCTCCTTCCTACCTCCACACCCCTGCTACGCTTCTCTCCCGCCCCAAGACCTCTGTCCCACTCTTCCCTCTTTCTGCTTATCCGCACTCTCCGTTAACCCTCCGTATTTCTCTCTTGCTCCACTCCTCTCCCTCTCCTCCCCATCTCTCTCCCCTCCCCTCTCCCCCCACCTCTCCGCTGTCTCTCTCTCTTTCTCTCGCTCCGCCTCCCCTCTCCCACCCACGGCACAGCACCGGCAGTATGAGCGGCGGCAGCAGCGCGCGGCAACAAACAGGGAGCTGAGGCGGTGGCGGGGCGTGCAGGGAGGTGCAGTGAGCGTGGACGACGCGCAGTGCGTGCGGGAGACGCGGCAGTGTGGCATGGACGTGCGTGGGCTGTGGAGTAAAGGCTCCATGATGCGAGATCATCACGCCATGCCTCATGCATGGGACAGCCATGGCGGATCCAGGCACAACCAGCAGCAACAACGAGAGGAGGAGCAGCGGGGGAGGGATGAGGAGGAGGGTGATTGGACGGGGAGGGGCTGGGAGGAGAGGGGGCGTGGAGGTGGGGGTGGGAGGAAGCAGCCGTGGGTGCATTATTGGCAACAGATGAAGTCACGTGAGATTCAAGAGAGGTACAAAGAGGCTATTATACTGAACTGAACCAACTAGTCATCGCCTTTCCCTCCTCCCTCCATCATGCCGTTCCCACATGTGCCTCTCTCTGCTCCCTTCATTGTTCCCTTTTACTCTCTGCCCTTCCCCTCTCCTGATCCCCCCCAACCTCACAGGTTGCGAGATGGCTCTTTTGCAGCAGCTTCCTTCCACTGGGACGGCTCATTCTCCTCCTCCTTCGCCCGCCATCCCTCCTTTGTCCGCTTCTTCCGCTCAGCCCGCCGCAACCACCAAGCCTCCTCCTCGTCCGCCTCCTCCAATGGCGCAGCGGGAGATTTTCCAGGCGGATCAGCAGAGCATTTTGACAGTGAGGACTCGTGGAGGGGCCACGGTGGGGCAGAGAGGGACGGGGGTTACGGGGGGTGGTCGCGGGCAGATGAGGCAGAGGCATGGCGGAGGCAGCAGCAGGTAGATTCGTACATGGACACTGGAGAGGTGACATACGATCACCTGCGGCATGACCACGACCATGACCATGGGGACTATGAGCCGTACGGCATGGGGCATCAGCAGAGCGCCTACTACAAGCGGTGGGCCCCGCCGCGCGACAATCCCTGGGAGCGGTTCGGGCATATCTGGCAGGAAACGGAGAGGATTCGCGCCGAGACGGAGAGGATTCGCAAGGAGAGGGAGGAGCGGGCGGCGAGAGGAGATGCAGGGAGGGGCAAGGAGGAGGTGCTGAGCTGGGAGGAGATGGAGATGAGGCGGCTGCTGGGGCTGGCCACACAGGGGGCCCTCACCCAGGCCTCGTTGAAAGCAGCGTGAGACCTCCCCGCCACGCCCAGCTTCTATTCCTTGCTCCTTGCCTCCTTCCAGCACCGTTTCTCTCGCTGTCGCTATACTGTGTGGGGCTCCCAGCACGGTGTCTGTCATGTGTGCCCCTCCGTGTGTGATTCCCCGATGGGTGAGCAGGTACCATCGGTGTGCAAAGCAGTGGCATCCGGACGCACAGCATGGGTTGAAGCCAGAGGCCAGGGTGAGCTGGGTGCACACAGGGTGGGGAGCAGGGTGAGGTGGCGCACACACATAGCCCATGGGGAGGCTCACTGCTAGTTGCACGTGCTGATTCTTCATTCCCGCTCTCATTCCTTCCCCTACTTTCAACTTCCCCACCCCACCCCCGTTTGCCTCCTTATTATCTTGGTATCCGCTCCTCCCACTCGACAGGTTGAGGCAGAGCGGCGTTTCAAGCTCATTTCAAGTGCCTACGAAACCCTGTCTGCGCGTCTGGCCAAGTGATGCACACAGCGAGCTGCCTTGAGGAAATGGTGGATGCATACATGGGAGTGCACAATCGCAATTGGTGTGGCGGCTCCCAATCATTGAACACACACAGATGCGCATACACATACACGCACATGCACATGGACAGAGGGACACATCTCACAGCACAGGCATGCACATCCGCACACCAAGGCATCAACCCCATGTGTCCTGGCCAACTAGTCTAGGACTTCTGGCGTGATCCCATTCCTCCACCAGCCCTGGCTTTCCCTCCCATCCCAATCAACCAATCAACCAATCAACCAACCAACCGACCAACCGTGGACCGGCCGGTGAGGAACGCCTTTGCTCGTGGTCTCTTATACTGACTCACCCTATCACATTCCCTGGAATAACTGCTCGTTTTCATGTGATGTGTTCTACTTGGTATACCGGTACACCACTGTATCCTCGGCACATTTATTAGTGCATCCGCGTTACTGTCCTACCATACATGCAGCAATTGTTGCGTATGATTATTCTCGGATGGCAGTGCAGGTGATGTGAACATATGTAGCACCAGTAATGGAAATACATACAGCAGCAATTGCTGCCCATCATTATTCTCTAGTGGCCAGTACAAGGAAAGCAATGACTGCAGTACTTTCAAGCCCTGTAAACAGGGCCAAACAATTGTGTTGAAACCTCTACACAGACCTCGGTGCCCCATACCTAAAACACTACTAGTACTACTTTTAGACTCTACAGGTATGGGTGCTTCAACAGCAGCACCGTCCGTCACTCACTCCACTCCACTCCACTCCACTCCACTCCACTCCACACCTCCAATCGAAAGGTAGCTACCGAGAAGGCCCCTCGGAGGATAGAGGAGCTGAGGCGGTGTTTGTAAGTGTGTGATGTGATGCCATGCACTTCATGAATGATGAAATACGGTACTGACTCTCCTCACTCCCGTCCCACACATCCACTTGTGGCGTGAACTTCTGAGTTGAAATACCGGTAGCTATCCGTACACATCCACATACATGCTGCTGTTGCTGCTGCCACACCACCACCATTGCTATCACCGTGCGTGGTCCCGAGCATGGAACCTAGGGTGCCATGGGTGCAGGCACATGCGTGTGTGCTCATCGTAATAAATAAACCCGTGCCGTCTCATGCGCTCCGCCTTGGCTTCCCGCCCTGACACCAGGGACCAGGCGCAATGGGGAAAACCGGGTGGGGGAGGACAGATAGGAAGCGTGTGAGCAGGGAGGGAGGCAGAGGGAAGGTCATGCAGTGAGAGGCCTCTAATGCATGTCGTGCTGTTCCTTGGATCATTCACCGATTATTCAAGCAAGACCTTGGGTCGCGGCTGTACAAAAGGGCCTAATCCACGTGATTGAGATGCAATCATGTGCGCACAACATTGGGGGCGCACAGGGGGACACACAGGGGGGCACACAAGGGGGGCACACAAGGGGGGCACACAAGGGGGGGGCTGCACACAGGGGACCGCACAGGAGAGGGTTGTACAGGTGGGGGTGCACAGGGTGAGGCGCACGGGGGGGGGCCACATAGGGGGCCACAGGGAGAGTTTTTGGGCGTGTTCAGAGTTTTTAAAGCCGGCAGCCCAAATTGCACAAGTTTTAAAAGCATGACGCGAGGGGTTTTTTCTGGTTTGGGTTTTGGCGAGTGATTCCGATTTCGAGCATTTCGTTTTTTTCGCCAAACCTAGCCAGCCCACGTATTTCGCCCTGGGGGTTGTGTCAGCACCCGAAAGTCCCAAATTGCAGGTGCGCTGCTTTTCAAAGCTTGCACGCTGCAGTCCGTCAAGTTTTAAAAGCATGACTCACGCGCCCCGCAATTTGGGACTCGGGCTTTAAGAGTTTGGGCGCAGAGAGAGAGAGAGGGTTGACTTGACTGACCGACAATGACCCCGTTGTGCAGCGCCATGCAGCGCAGGCGGTGGCAGGAGGCAGCCGCGTTGCGCGAGCGCCAGATGGAGTAGACGGCCCCGTTGGGGAAGTGCTGGCGGTCCAGGAACAGCACTCTCAGGTGCTTGCCCCACCTGCACTCGTCCCTCCCCACCTGCCATGCGCGCAGCACACAGGGGAGGTGGGATGGGATGGGAGCAATGCGGAGAGCGGGAGGAGAAGTGAGTGGGTGGCATGCTTGCTTGGTGGTGGGGCTTGGTGGATGGGATGTGAGAGGAGTGCTGTGGTTAGGGAGTAATGTGGTGGACATGAACGAATAAGGCTGCTGCCCATTACTGTCCTCATACAACACATGCTTCCCTCCCTCTCCTCCCCCTCCTCCCTCTCCTCCCTCTCCTCCCGTTCCTCTCCTCTCTTCCCTCTCCTCCCTCTCCCCCCTCTCCTCCTTCTCCCCCCTCTCCTCCCTCGCCTCCCTCTCCTCCTCCTCTCACTCCTTCCTCCCTACCTCCCCTCCCTCCCCCACTCCTCCCCACATTCCCCACCCCACAACCCCACACGCCACAAGGGGCTCACCTTGAGTTCGCCGCGCTCCCCACACAGCACGTCATAAGCAGATCGATGCTCCTCCACCTCCACCCCTTCCGCGCGCCCCCTCGCACTGCTCTCGCCCCCGCCCTCCGTGCCCGCTGCACTGTCCGCCTGCGCCTCTGCGCGCACCGCTGCTGCATACGCCGCCACTGCCTCCAGGGCTTCCAGTGTGGGGCGGTCTGCGTGTGCAAACATGAGCCCCCCGCCTATGCTGCGCGCTCCATTGGCCGCCCGATTGCGATTCGTCTCTGCACTCTGTGGGGTTGGAGAGATGGGAGTGCGGTGGTGTGCGGTGGTGTGCGGAGAGGTGAGGGTGAGTGGAGGACAGGGAGGGAGATTGAGTTGGAGGGATGAAAAGGAAGGTGAGGGGAGAACAGTGGGAGAGGGAGGGAGTGGATGGAAGGGAGGGAGAGATGATTGAGGGAAGAGCGGAGAGTGGCGTAGGGGGAAACAGAGGAGCAATGGTTGGGTTTGGGGGAAAGAGGGAGGAAGACCTGGGGGGAAGGTCAGAGGAAGGGGGAGGAGGAGACGTGAAGGAGGAGGGCGGAGGAGGGTGGGTGGAGGTGGGGTAGCGAGTGCGATGTTAGACAGAGAAATGTGGCTTCGACAGGGAAGGACAGTGGGTTTGAAGGAAAGAGTGCGGAGGTGGCAGGAGAAGGGTGGAGGAGGGGGGGTTAAGTTAGGTGAAGAAGGACGGAAGGGGACGATGGGGAAGGGTGGAAGTGGATGGGGAAAGGTGGGGGGGGAGGGACGCGGATGGAGTCGATGTACAAGGGAGGGGGGAAGAAGCGATGTTGCATAGGAGTGTGGGGAAGTGACAGAGAGAGGGTCATAAGTGGAGGCAGGTGAGAGAGAATAAAAGATAAAAGTAGAGATCAGTGTCAATCTGATGAGTGGCCAGGAGACAAGAAGAGCAGGGCAGGACGCAGCACAGCAACTGACCTGCACGGCGAGCACGTTCGGGCCGAGCGAGAGCAGGTGCGGCAGAGGGTTGGCGAACCAGACGGCATGCACGTCGGACCAGAGCACAGAGTAGCCCAGGCGCAGCACATGCACCGTTATCGCCACCACCGCCGCCGCCACCGCCCCCGCTCCCTCCGCCTCCTCCGCTGCCGCTGCTGCCTCTTGACAGGCAGGCGAGGGGGTGGATGGCGAGGAGGACGAGGAGGAGGAGGGGAGGCAGGGTTTGGAGGAGGCGAGGGAGGAGGAGGAGGGCGGCGAGCGAGGGGAGGAGGGTGAGTGGAGGAAGACGGGGAGGCCGTGCAGGAAGGCCAAGGAGTACATGTCTGGGTCCAGTGCTGCCAGCATGAAGTTGGTTATCTCTAACCGCCGCAGCCTGGGGCGCGGATGGGATTGGGATGAAGGGTGGAGATGGGTGGGGTTAAGAAGAGGAGTGGGAAAGTGTGAGTGAGGGAGTTGGGATGTCGAAAGGTGGGTGGATGAGAGAGGAGGAACAAGGAATTGGTGGAAGGACGTGGGAGTCTTGGAACCGGAAGAGGGAGTGTTCCATGTTGGGAAGAAGGGGAATGAGGGTGATTCCAGGGACCATGGCAGGACATGATGTGACAAGGCATGACATGATCATGATCTAGGAGGCATGTATGACGAGCATGCAATATGAATGTGGTGCCATGCGGTAAGAGCATGTGGATGCTTGCTGGTAAGCTTCCTCCACGCACCCCTTCAACCGACCCTCCACTCCATTGCCCCCTCTCCCATCACACTCGCACCACATGCTCTCCCACTCACGTGCTCCCTTCCAACCATCACAACCAATCGCACCCCACTCCCTGCTCTCATTCCACTCCCTCCCTTCTAAGCCCCGGTTCTTTCGTCCCTCCCCTTACCCCCCTTTCCCCTGCCCGCTCGCCCCACGCACATGCAGATGAAGTTGAGCGTGGCGGTGCTGTCCTTGCTGCCAGCGGCCAGCAGCACCACAGTCTGGTGCCGGTCGGCCACGCGCGGCAGCAGCTGCTCCAGCGTGTGAGGCATGCCCTCCACGCCGCGCCAGAACGCCGCTCCCGCCAGCGCGCTCTCTGCCATGGCGTCTAGAGGCGACGACGACGCCGGCAGCTGCAGCAGCGTTGCGATCCGCTGCCGCAGGGTGGACGCGGAGGGATGCGCGGAGGCGGAAGCGGAGGAGGTGAGTGGCGCGGGGGACGCGGAGACGGCGCGAGATGCAGCAGAGGAGGAGGCGGAGGAGGAGGAAGAAGAGGTGGTGATGGGGGAGGAGGTGGCGGAGGAGGCAGTGGTGAGGAGGGATGCGGTGGTGGTGGGGATGGCGGAGTGAGAAGGCGCGGGGTGGATGTTGAGGGCGAAGGATTCGGGGGGCAGGGCTTGCAGGCGGCCGCAGAACCACCAGGTGCCGTCGTGCAGGCGAATGTCCTCCGATGTGTGGCGTGCTAGCGGTGCGTGCTCGCACGTACAGTTGCCTGGGCGGCGGCGCCGCAGCAGACACATGGACTCGCCTGTGGCGCGCGCGGTGGCGATGGGTGGAGGGGAGGGGAGGGGAGGGGAGGGGAGGGGAGGGAGGGGAAGGGAGGGGAGGGGAGGGGAAGGGAGGAGAGAGAGGGGAGGGGAGGGGAGGGGAGGGGAGGGGCGGGAGAGGAGGGGAGTGAGTGAAGTGGAGGGGGGATGGAGAGCAGTGCAGAGGAGGGCAGTGGAGGGTCGTAAAATGGAATGGAGTGGAGTGGGGTGGAATGCCCTCTAGGCGGGGGATTGGGGTTAGGGTTGGGTGGATGGAGGGGGGAGTGAGAGTCAGCCGAGAAGCGAGGGGAGGAAGGGGAGGCAGTGCGAGGGGCGGCAATGGCGGCTCCTGAAGGTGGGCACTGGCGTATCATTGAGGGTCACACGGACAGCACCCGTCTTGGAGCAAGCGGGGGAAAGGGGGTAATGGGGGAAGGGGGGGAAGTGGGGAGGGGGGCGTGCGGGTAGGCCAGGCAGGCAAGCCCTTGATGTGATTTGTGTTCGTGAGAGAGCGGAGACATGAGAGAGTGGGCCCTGGAATCATTCGTTATTGAGCCTTTGTGTGTGTGGGGTTTCAGTGCGGTTCTGGGTCCTTGGGTGACCACTGGCAGTTGCTTCGCTGTGATGACCTCACCATTCAGCTGTGCTGCCATGCCAACTGGTTCCTTTCCCCTGGCCAGATCAGTGATCAGTTCGTTCATTGCACTTACACCTGCGCAGCAATCCTTCATCCACATCTCCCATTCCCCTCTTTCCCTCCCTTCCGCGCCCAACCATCCCCATCCCTCACCCTCACTCCCCCGTACGCGCACCTTGCGGGTCGAAGCACGGAGTGAGGCGCCATGGCGCGTGGGCGGGCGTGCCGAGCAGTTCGGAGAAGGGCGCGGGGGAAAGGAACCGTGCCATGTGCATGTTCGCGTAAACCTCCCACCCCTTCACGCTCTTCCGCGGAAGCGGGTGCCACCGCAGCCGCTCCTCCTCCGCCTCGTCCCCCTCCTCCTCCTCCGCCTTCTCCCGCTCCTCCGCGCCTGCGTCGTCCCCCGCGGGCCCCCGGCGCTGCCACCACGCGCGCTGCGCGCGCGGCTTTTTAGGCAGGGGGAACTCTTCCATGGCGCGCTCGCGCACCATCTCAACCTCCTTCTGAACGTCTAGCGCCGAAAACACCCGCACCGCTGTCACCGAGTCGCTCGCATCCACCACCTGCCGTGTTCTGCTGCTCATCCGAATCTCGCTCGCCCCCTGGTTCCGCCCTTTCCGCCCCGCTCCCCCGCTACCACCGCTACCCGCGCTCTCCGCGCCAGTCCCCGCCAGCGCCCCGTCCGCTTCCCCCTCATTCGCCCCCGCGCCGGAGGCCATGTGCACGAGCCAGCGCTCGTACGCCCCGCGGCCGAGGAAGAAAGGCGGAACGGTCGTGTTACCGGGTAACAGCGGATCCGCGGGACGGTTCCACAAGAACGCCCCCATTCCCCCGCCTGTATTCAACCGCCCGCGCCGGCGCACAAAGTCTCTAATCTTCTGCTCGTCCACGGGTTGGCCCGATGCCGCGTCGGACCCTAGACTAATCGATCCTACCGACGCGGAGGCGGCGGCGTGCTTTCTTTGAATGGAGGGAGGGAGGCCGTCTAATTGGAAGCGGAAGGAGTTGACGTCCCATGAGCCCATCAGGATCATGAAGGACGGGAACCGCGCCGCTACTTTGCGCGCCGCGAAGAACATGTCGTTGAAAAGAAGCACGTCGGGGTCTACAAGCATGACCATATCGCAAAGGGAGGACGCGTGTAACGAGGACGAGGAGGACGAGGATGCGGAGTGGTACGGGGGAGGGGACTGCGCGGACGACAAGCCCTCCGCTTGTATCCGCGCCAGGACGGAGTTTAAAAGCGGCGCGCCCTCCAGGTTCACGTCCACGTCACTCTCTACTGTCACGTGGTCCGGGAATTCCGCGGCTAGGGCATCGAGGGAGGGGTGCGAGCCGAGCAGCACTACGCGTGGAACGGGGTGCAGCCGCAGCCACGATAGCAGCGCGCGCCGATGCGCATACGTGGTTACGTTGTACGCGGTGGGGGCGGAGAATATTGTGAGGCGCGGACACGTGGAGGATAGCGGGGAAGCTACAGACGAGGAGGACGGGCTGGCGGTGGTTGCGGAGGCGCTGGGGGAAGAGGGGCTGGAAGGGGAGGAAGATGAAGACGACGACGAGGAGGAGGAGGGAGAGAGATGGGAGACGGAGGACCAAGCTGATGGCATGTCACTGCTCTGAATGAGTACTCTTTGTATGCTCGTACCAGACTGGGGGCTGCAAGCCGCGGATCGCACGCCGTGTTTTGAGGAATCGCAGGACCGAAGGTTGTCGTGGAATCGGCCGACTGAGCTGAGCGTCCACATGACGGTCAGGCACAGAACCACGACGGGAGCGCGCCGGCCCAGCCCCATGGCGCGCACCGCGGCTGATACACTGCGGAGCTTCGGGAGGTGGGACAGATGTTGGACGAGGACGGGGGGCACCCATGGCGGCCACCGGGGCTTCATTGGGGACGCGCACTGGGTGGACGGAGGATGATGGACGTGACGATGATGGATGTCGATGGCGTTGTGAAGTGGACCGATGCTGCCCTCTGCTCCCAACACCACGCGGCGCTTGCCACGGGCGAATGCGGATGCTGCTCGGAATCTCGGCTATAAATGTTTTAAAAAGCTAGGGGAGTAGATGCTAATCGTGGTTTGCGTCAGAGGAGTCCCATCAAGAATTATTTGCGAAGCGGAAAGCAATGCTAAGCAAGCAGTTGATGGATCGCCTCTGTTTTCTCATATGGCAAACTCTCTGTGGCTGATCCCAGTAGCGTGTCGTAACCACTCTGACACTCCATCCAATCTAGGGATCACCATGCCGACTATTTCGTTTTCGTCGAACACTGATGAGGCCCAGACTAAAGAACAGCGGAGGTCGCAAGCGACCGCTCCTGTAAAAAATGGTTTGCAATGCAAGCGGAAACAAACGGTTCAGCTCCTGTAATCGGCAAGTCTCCTTTTCTAGCAGACGAAGAACTGGCAAGCTGTAACCTTGGTTGAGCTTGCACAAATTAGGTATTTTAGCGGTCATAGAGGAATGAAGCGGGAGAGCGGCATGAATTGATTGGCGTGACGCGTTTCTTTGACTGAAGAAAGAGGTAGGTGAGGGGTGGGGGGACGAAGCAAGAGCAGTGAGGTGAGGAGGAGGGGAGGGGATAGCGTGGCGTGGCGTCTCCCTTTTTCTTCCCATGATCCGCCTCGCGCCACCCCGCAACTTCTGCGATCGGCTTCCTCCCCGTGCTGTGCATTGCACCATCACTGTAGCTCGGGTTCGTTGCACTGTACCTTCTTTTCGTTGCCTCCGCGGGCGTTTCTGTTTCAAAAGATCGCTGCCACCGACCAATGACGATGGCGCATCTTTGCCATCTTGTGCTGAACGTCCCGATTTCAGACAAGCCAAGGTGGACCAGCCCTGAAACAGAGTTTTGTTTTGATGCAACATCGTCCTCTCTCTGGCTGATCGTTGCCCAACTCACACAATGTGCCTGCCCGGCTTTCGGAATTCACCTCGGCTTTGGCCCAAACCCACCAGAGTTGTTATGCTTCGGATGGATAGACGTGTTGCACCCGCACCATCAGATCGGCGTTTCCCAAGCAGCCCTGATCAAGTGTGCACTGCCCAGGTGTGGCACGCTGTGCATGCGTTCCAGGCAAGGAACAGCGGCCAAGGGTTGAATGGGGAAGGCTTTTCCTTCACAAATTGCCGAACTTGCAGAGCTAGCAATGAGTGGTGTAGGTAAAATGTATTTTTACAGGGGCTCAAACTTTATTTCTCGGTTCAATTGCTTGTTGAAATCTGTCCGACAGGGCTGCCAGCTACCCCCCGTCACCTCACCACCTCGTCACAACGATCTACACTGATTTGTTCCGAGTCTGCCCCCAAAACCCAATGTGCTCAGAAGAGGGCTAGTCGTACTTGTCGCCTTGGTAAAAGGTGCGCTGAGGACTGTTGCAGCAAACTGAGGTCCAATTTTGTAGTGCACCTGATACTCTGGAAGGGCACAGCAAGTTTTATGGTCGTTAATTTTGAGCCCGAACAATCAAATGGCCAAACGGATATACCAGCGTACTTGCTGGGACGGAGGATGGCTCGGTTAGCGGAGGAGAACACCATCCGTCATGGAGGAATTCTTTGCTTGTTCCATTCACAAGCTTTGTGCGGAGGTCTTTGATGCATGGGCTATCGCATTCAAATTTTTGCACGAAGCAAGATATAAGCTATGAGTTTGAAGAGGAGCAGCCTTTCAATGAGAAACACGTGTTCAAACACACAAAACTCTGCTAGGAGTTTCCTCGTCATAATAGAACTAAAACACAAGAGTTAGGACAACTGTCACTTTTAATTTCCGCGGTAGCATTCTATTTTGTATAAAGTGTCTTCTGTTTATTCTCTACTTCAATCCCCACATAAAATTCACCCTTTTAATATAAGGTTGATGTTATGCTTTTATGTTTATTGTTGGTTAAATCCCCCACCTGATTCGCATGCCATCTGAATAAGTATTTGCCTATACGCAAATCACGTACTGTCAGGTTGTTTCAATGGTTTGACCAACCTTAGAAGAAAGAATGTGCCAGTACCGCCTCACCGGTTAGCCGACATCGCTCGCAACATTTGCATTTGGAGCTGGAGATGTCACATTCAGCAGCATCTGACTGTTACGGTAATAAGCCTCCTTCAAGAAGCGAACACTGTGCCACCTTTTAGAACGATATGCCTACAAAAATCGCTAGGCTCTAATCAGATAGCTTAAACTCCGTTCCAAGGGTTATCATCTCAAGTTACATGAACGCTTTCCAAATGAGGCTCAATCTTATTTCGCAACGAAAAAAATGGTCCAAAGTCTGATGATGCACTCGTTTGAACGTCTATGCTATTTTATGTGACAAACAGTTTTTAGTAGTGTCCACATTCATCTGAGATTTGTAGCACAAACATGATTTATCCATGATAATTTATAGCTGTAGATGGTGTATGCAGGATATGTAAGTTCTAAAGCGATCGCTGAATGTGATGCGTATAACAAAGCATCCCTGAGCTCACATGATTGCGATTGCGCTTTTGTCGATGCACCAAGCGCAGCCGCTAGCTTGATAAGAGATCGACGGCTAAGCATTGTTTCAAATTCCATGGACTTCTCGATTAGTGTTTGCCCCTGCTGACGCACAGTCTCTTGGAGATTGCGTTTTGTTTTGGTTTGGCGCTATTCGTCTAGAACTCCACGTGTCGTGTCGCTTGTTGACAGCGCATAGCTGAAGCCTTCCAGCGTCGCAGCGCGTTGAGCTTCATCCGAGCATTGGTTCCTCATGCTATTCGCGCACTCACGAATGCGCCACCTGGCCTGGGACTCCCAAGGTTTTGTGAAAGCTCAAATTGGAAAGGATTTCGAAGATCGTGACATCCTGAAATTTGCTCTCTTCTGGTCTTGCTGCCTTCCAGTCGCAGCTCCTCGCCTGTGCTGATCTGCTAGAGCAACTCAATCAGGCCTTCCCCACTTTACCATGGCCGCTGTCTCCACGTCTTCCGCTGTGAAGGCTTCGTGCCTCGCTGCAACCTCCGTGAAGTCCGAGTCTCGCAAGGTTGAAAATCTCTCCTTCGCGCGCTCGGTCGGTCAGCGACAGGTTGTTGCTGCTAACGTCGCAAAAAATGTGAAGGCGAAGGTTCAGCCCATCCGGGCCACCGTTGGCATTGAGAAGGAGGTTGCTCTTCCGGAGATCCCACTTACGCTTCTCAGGGAGGGTGAGGTGCGCGACTGGAACAAGCCGGACCCCACCAACTTTCGCCAACGGTTCGAGAGCCTCGTGCTGAACGCTCAGAACCACATTTGCGAAGCCATCGAGAAGGTCGATGGTACCAAGTTCCGTCGCGACGCTTGGATGAGGTATGCACTTTCGCATCCGACATAATTCGGTCTCATCATGCGCTTGGCACGCGATCTGATCGTCGGATCGTTTACAAAGCTAAATTCTTTTTACGGTTGTTTCCTTCCCTTGTGCATGACCCAGGCCTGGTGGCGGCGGTGGCATCTCCGCTGTTCTCCAGAACGGCAACGTGTGGGAGAAGGCTGGGGTGGCCGTGTCTGTAGTGTACGGCACCATGCCTCGCGAGGCCTACCGTGCAGCCACGGGCGAGCCCGCGCCAGGAACCGCCAAGGAGGGCGACAGGATTCCTTTCTTCGCGTGCGGCATCAGCTCGGTGATGCACCCGTGGAACCCCTTCGCCCCTACCATGCACTTCAACTACCGCTACTTCGAGACCGACGCTCCCGATGGTGCCAAGGACGCTCCCCGCGCTTGGTGGTTCGGCGGCGGCACGGACATCACCCCCTCTTACCTCTTTGAGGAGGATATGAAGCACTTCCACGGGGTCAGTATTCTATTCGCCTTGCTGCCTATCTGTTCAACTCTTCTCCACAACTTTTCGCTCATTGCTCACCCGTTGCTAAACTCCGTGGTGGGTTCTTGCGTGCGTGTGTGCGGCACGTGCAGATCCAGAAGGCGGCGGTGGAGAAGATCGATCCGGCTCTGTACCCGAAGATGAAGGAGTGGTGCGACGAGTACTTCCTCATCAAGGTACACCGCTTGTTCGCACCCCCCCCTTCCCCTCCCGGACACACATAACGAACCCTCTACTGTGTAACGAACAATCATCTCTCACAATCTCTGTTTCGAGAGGCAAGCCAGCTCATCTGATTCTTTTTTATTCTGCGCTTCCACTCTTCTTCCTCTCCCAGCACCGTGGCGAGCGCCGCGGCTGCGGTGGCATCTTCTACGACGACATGAACGACCGCGACCCCGAGATCCTGTACAACCTCGCCAAGGAGTGCGCCAGCGCCGTCGTGCCGGCATACGTGCCCATCGTCGAGAAGCGCAAGGACACGCCCTACACCCCGGAGCAGAAGGAGTGGCAGCAGCTGCGGCGCGGGCGGTATGTGGAGTTCAACCTGATCTACGACCGCGGCACCATCTTCGGGCTCAAGACCGGCGGCCGCATCGAGAGCATCCTCATGAGCATGCCGCTCACCGCCCGCTGGGAGTACAACCAAGTACGAACCATCTATTCCCCCACCTTTTCTCGTCTTCGTTGCGCCCGTGTTATCTTGCCAATGCTCCCGCTTCCGCCGTATGTCATCCTAACCCGTGTTTGGCCTTTTTTCGCGTGTCTGTGTGGGCAGGAACCCGCCCCCGGCACCCCCGAGGCGGAGCTGCTCGACGTGTGCAGGCACCCGCGCAACTGGGCGTAAACGCGCCAAGCTTCGGCTGAGGCTTCGGTCGAGATGCGGTGTTCGTCCGGGGGCTGGTTCTGCTGCTGTTGCGGGCGTGCGGCGTGCGACGTCCACTGCAAGGTTGAGTGTCGCCGTCGCTGAGGCTCCTGGCAGAAGCAGCAGCTCGCCCCGTGTCCCACTCCCGCCCGCTGGTGCCTGTCCGCCATGCGCTCTAGAGGCACAATAAAGGCTGCTGCAAGCGGCTTGCTGAGTGTGTTGGCGTGGCGAGATACGAGCGCAGGTGGATGGTGGGACACATGTCAGGCAGGGAAGGGGAGCTGCTGCGGCAGTAGCAGTGCCTCTCCGTGTCTATTGCTCTCCCAGGGTGTACCGGTAGGGGTTAGTTGTAGCGCCTTTTTTCTTTTTTGGGGGGACTGGAAGGGAGGACTGTACTTACCCAGTGGTGCTTACTGGATGGTGTGCGTTGGCCTACGGTACCTTATCTGTTCCTCAAATCTCTTGAATATAATGTAATATTTCTCAACAAGTTCTCCAAGCAAAAACAAGAAATAACCTTTCCTAACACCATTTGCCTTCCTCCCTCTCCCCACCCCACGTTCCTCTCCCACTTGTTGTGCAGTCACCAGTTCTCTTTCCTCTTCCTCACCCCTGTGCCCAAAATACTCCATTGCCCTGTCTCTTTCTGCCTTCACTGCTTTCCTCCAGTCGTCTCCTGTGTTGCTGTTTCCTCCAGCCCTTCCTCCTTCCCCCCAGCCCCTCCTCCAATTTAATTCCATGGTGCCGTTCACCTGCACATAACTAGAACACTTGCCTCCCCTCTTGGCCACACATAGCGGTACTACCGTGGTTAATTGCGCTGTACTAGCCAAATCCTTGGACACAATCTTGGCTGGCGGCAAGGGGAGCCTGCTCTTGATGTGTGCTCTGGTCTAGCCTGAAACTGTGACTGCACTGAACACGCAGGTGGATGAGAACAGGTCCAGAGAGTACGGTACTCCTGTGCCTCAGGGCTGGTTTTCGGTTTTTTTTCGGTAGCTCCATGCTTATTTCATATGCACCTGATTCAATGGAGCAGCCTTGCGTGCAACTTCAGACCCGTGAGAGCTGCCTCGGTGCAGGCCACGTAGAGTGAGATTGGCGTTCATACAGGCAGATGCCACTGAGATTGTCCGAACAATTCTCTCCCAACGGGCTGGCTGAAGGCATTCTTGACTAACTAGGTACCTTGCAGAACAGAGGATCATTGCAAGCAAGCAATAAGACGCATCTGAAATAAGGGCACAAGTGCGGTTACAGCACGACATGCAGTCAGCAACGACTCTCAGCAGACTCCACTTCACACTCTCGGCTCCCGAGCAGGCACACACACACACACACACACACACACACACACACACACACACACACACACACACACACACACACACACACACACACACACACACACACACACACACACACACACACACACACACACACACACACCACAGACAGCACCACCACCTAGAGCTGGAGCAACACGGAGGGGCGCTAGTCATGTGGTAGCAATGACAGGAGGTGAGGGGCGACCCTGTGCCCCTGCTCTTCCATGTACAGCACCACTGCTGCTGCTCGCTCATGCATGCCTGCCTTGCCGTACCCCGCTGCCATCACCTCACACGTGCCCTTGCTCAACACCACGCCACTGCTGCTGCAGCAGCAGCACCCTGCACCGCCACCCACCGCTCCGTGCCCGTCCTCACCTCCTCCCACTCGCTCCCCTCGTGTTGCCGCCTCGCTCCTCAGCTTCCCGCCACCATTCACCCTCACACCATACTCCCCCTCCCACTCCTCCAACCAACCGCTGCCTGCTCTACCCCAACCCCTCCGCACCGCTGCTCTTGCTGCCCGTCTGCGCAAGCAGTGAGGGCAATCCCAAGGCAGGCGAGCCCACGCGGGGTGGGAGGGCATGGGGAGGCACGAGCAGGCAGCAGGGTAGAGAGTCCCCGCTCCGCCTGGCCCAGCCACAGCCTGTGCACTCGCCCCCTGCTCCCTCTGCATCTGCTCACAGTGCCGGCGCTCAGAGCGTGGGGAAGAGCTGGGAGAGTCGAGAGAGGTGGGGTGGTGGGGGGGGACGAAGGCGGGCGAGGGCGAGTGCAGGTAGCAGAGCAGCAGTGCATCCATGTGGCGCGGTTGTGATGCCTGCTGCAGCGCCGCCAGCACCATGTTCAATGGCGTTGGGGACATGGCGGGGCGAGCAGCAGCACCATCAGGTGCAGCAGCGGGAGGGAGTGTGGAGGATCCCGATGTGGCAGGTTCAGGTGAGTGTGGCGGTGTTTGTGTGGGTGCACGCGGCACTGCAAGGGCCATGCCAGGTGTTGGCAGCAGGCGGGCAGCAGCAGCGGAGAGGAGGAAGCGCATGGCATGGTAGACATCACCCACAGCCACATACACTCCCACCATCGCTGCTGCTGCCATGCCATCCAACCTGCCCCATGCTGCCTCGCCCACCACCCCACCACCCCCCCTCCACCCATCCCCCCCTCGCTCTCTGCCCCTCTGCCATCCGTCCCACTCACTCTCCTCCCGAGAATCCCCCTCTCCACCACCACCCTCCCACCTCCCAGGTCCACCCTCCCTCCGCGCTCGCCTGCCTTCCCTCTTGCTCCGCCACACATACCCCTCTACCTCCCCACTCCCCCCCTCCTCTGCACCCCACTCTCCTCCCCCACACCCCTCCCGCACATCCCCCCCAGCACCACCTGTGTTGTGCACGGCACGAGGCTGGGAAGCCTCAGCGAGAGCCCAGAGGGACTCGGCAGCGGGCACGAGGCGCAGGCGGGCCATGGCGCCCAGCACGAGCGTCACCATCGGCGCATCTGGCACCACCGCTGCATGCCTCCCACGCACCATGCACCGCGCCTGCTCTGCTGCTGACGCCGCATCACCTGCACATGCTGCTTCTGCAGATGCGTACCTTGCCGCAGGGGCGCCTGCTGCTGCACTCACACCCCATCTGCCCTGCATCCCTTCTCGGCCCACCTTGCTCCCCTCCTTGCTTGCTGCTTCCCCGCTTCGCCCTTCCCCAACCCCACCTTCCCCAAGCCCTTGATCCCAGCCCCCCCTGGTGACAGCGTCCCACAGGTGCAGCACGGCGCGGTCATCACCCCTGGCGGCATGGGCGGCCATGACAGCTGTCACCGTGGCAGCTGTCGGCGCCACGCCCGCTGCTCGCATCGCTGCCAGCACCCGCTGCACTCGCCCCACTGCATCACTGCCCCGCGCCCCCCCACTGCTGCTGCTGCTGCCGATGCTCCCCCATTGGTACACATCAAAAGCAGGATCAAGGGAAGTAGTGGCAGCAGCGGCAGCGGGCGGGGAGAGGGCAGCAGCGGCGGCGGAGAGCAGGGTGTTGAAGACGATGGCGTTGGGGCGCACATGCACACGCGCCATCACGCGCAGCACCGCCTCCGCATCCCCCACGCGCCCCGCCTTGCACAGCGCGTGCATCACCGCACCAAACGTCGCCTCGCTTGGCCAGCACCCGTGCCTCGAGGTCCTCTTGCTGCCCCCGCTGCTCTGCCCACTGCGCCCCGTGCTGCCGGGCGGGGAGCTGTCTTGCGCGGTGGTGTGGGGCACAGGAGGCGAATGGGAGAGTGCAGGGATGGGACTGGCGGAGGGCTGCGCGGATAGCCCCATGCTGCTGCTGCTGCTGCTGCTGGGAGCAGCGCAGGCAGGGCTGCCAGGGCTGGCAGTGGTGCAGCGCTCCAGCATCTCTGTGAGCAGCGCCACTGCCATGTCCGCCCTGCCCGCCCTGCCACACGCACATATCACCGCGTTGTACACTGCTGTGTCGATGCTGCTGCCGTTTCCGCCCTGCGCCTGCTCCGCCGCAACCAACCCCGCCTCCTCATTCCCTACATCCCCGCCTCCCCACGGCCTCTCCCCCTTGCACTCTTCCTCCCCCTCCCCCTCGCCGTGTGTGCTCTCCTCGCGCTGCACGGCGCGGAAGACAGCGAGGGCGTGGTGCAGGCGGTTGCAGCGCGCGAGCAGGGCGAGCAGCGCGCACAGCACGTGCGGACTGCGCTGGTACGCTGGGGACCCGCGCCAGCTCTGCCATAGCTGCGCGGGGAGGGGGGACATGCGCACAGGGGAACCGGAAGGAGAAGGGGAGGGGAGAGGGAGAGGGAAAGGGAGAGGGAGACGGAGTGGGAGACGGAGAGGGGAGGGAGACAAGAAGGGGGGGGGGTTGGGGGGGAGGGAAACTGAGCGTTGTGTACCTTGCACGCGCAAGATGGCTAATCCGGATGACCTCACGCACATGCACCCCATGCTGCCATGCCATGCCCCATCAAACTCCCCCTAGAGCGCACCAGCAGGGCAGCGCGCCACGAGTGCAAGTCCGCCAGCGCCTGCATCAGCGCCACCACCACCCCACTGTGCACCCACACGCCCCCGCCCCTCTCTCCCGCTGCTGGCCCCGCCCCGCCCTCCCCGCGCCCCTCTGCCTCAGCAACTCCCCCCTGTCCCTCCCCCCGCTCGCCCACAGCCGCAGCCAGCATGGCGTCCACGTCAGCAACGCATCGCGCGGAGGAGTGCAGCTGGCGCGCCAGCGACCGCACCTCCCCTGGCTGCAGCCTGCGCGAGGCGCGCCGGTGGGGCGGCGGCGCTGCCCGCCTCTGCTGCTGCTGGCGCCCGGGCTGCATGGGGCGCATGGCGGGGCCACTGCGTGCGCCCCCCGCACCTGCTGCACACCCGCCTGAGCCCGTATCCGCCCCCCTCTCTCCTGCCCCCCGGCTAGGGCCCGCGTTGCCACAATCGCCGCCTTCCCGTGCGCCCACGCTCCCCCGCCTCTCGTACTCGCTCGCCCCGTTATCCGCACTGTCCCCAAAGCCCTTTGAAGTATTCTCTAGTGACCGCCCTCCCGCCCTCGCTTCCGTTACCACGCCTTGCGCCGCGTCATCCACAGCGCCTTCTTCCCCCCATCCACTTCTTCCCCCTTCGAAGCTATTTGCGCGCAAAGCTCGCGCCACCCGCCCATCGCGCGCGCTGCTCCCCGGCAGCTGCTCCATTGCGGGCGCAGACCCCCGTCGCCACCGCGCCCGGAGCCCCTGCCCCCCTGCGACGCCGCATGCCTCTCTCGCTCCATCCCCTTGCACAGCCTCTCTAGCCAGCGCGCTTCTGCTCCGTGCCACGTCAGCATAAGCGTCAACGCGCTGGAAGCTTCTCTGCCTACTGGTGCGAACCTTCCGCCGCGCCACGGGCGCCTGTGCTCTCCGCACCTCCCCTTCTCGTAGCGGCCCCTGCGCCCACTCTTCCCGCCGCTCCTCGCCCTTGACCGCCCCCGAGCATTCACCCACTCGTATTTTCAACCTCCCCCTTTCGGCTTCTCTCTTTTGACTACCCCCACTCTCATCCTCTTCCCTCCCCCCGTCCTCTCTCCCCTCTTCCGCCCATCGTTCTCCGCGTGTGTGTTCCGCGTTGGCGCTTCTCCCCGCCCACCACCACGCCTCCACCGCCGCGTAGTCATCCGCGGAAACCTCCCTGTCCCCCGCATCCCTCCGCCTGCCGAACCTCCCCAGACCCCCCTGCCGCGTCCCTTCCGCCAGTGCGCGCAACTGGCGCTCCCCCGCCCCCGGCGAGTTCACGGGGGGAAGGCGGCTCTTCTGCTGAGGATGCCGGGATGGGGGGCAAGGGGAGAAGGGAGGGAGGCTTGGGGCAAATGAGGTGGACGGAAGGGGGTACGTCGGAACAAGCAAGCGGAACAGAAGTGGTGATAGCGGATCCGCCGATGGCGGACATGCACCAGCCGCCAGCGGCTAGCAGACTCCGCGTAAGCAGCGGGCGCACAGGTCACCTGAGCGGGCGCGCGGAAGAGCGGGCCGTCTGGGGTTGCTTCCCGCGCTGACTGCACGCGCACCGTCGCCCGCCTCCCACTCCGCCCGCTTCCGCTCGTGCGAATGCTTGCGGCCTCGACTGCGGCAGCAGCGCAGCAGGGGCAGAGGGCGGCGGCAGTCATGACTGGGGACCGGGAGCGAACGACGCGGAAAAGAGCGCGGGGAACGAGCACGCGGGGCTAGCGGAGGCGAGTGGCGGAAAGCGGAGTGCTGTTGGGTGCGCAGAAGGGGAGCGGAGAGCACTGGACGCGAGACGAGAGCGGCGCTGAGGCGATGGCGGGGAAAGGGAGGAGAGCGACGAGACGGAAACGAGAGGAAAGACTGCGAGGCCGACGATGAAACATACTAGACAGGCGAGGAGGTGGAGCGGGATTGCTGGAAGGAGCATCGTGGATCACGGAAAAAGCTTGGAGTGGGCCTAGATATTTTCGAGTGAGTCAGATCCGGCAGGCCCAGCATTGACAGGGTGGGGTGGAAGCTGACGCAAGGTTTAGGGTTGCGGATGTCCGCGACAAACGCTGGCGGGATACAGTAGCTCCGTAATTGCTTGCACAATTTTTAGAATTTTCAAGCTCACAGCTGAGACATGTAGAATGAAACAAGACATTGTACAGGAATATCAAAGCTCGCACACTGTACCATCCGAAGTTTCATTAAAACGAAAACAAGGGCACCCACGTGCCTAGTATGTATAGAAATCAACAGCAGTGGAGGAAAGTGGCAGGGAAAGTGAGGGGCGTTTTCAGGAGATGGAGAGGCGTGAGAGGTCAGCGGCAAGCTTGGTGGGCAGCAGCTGCACCATCTCCTTGGCCACCGCCACCTCCGACTGCAGCTGCTCCTGCACGCCCACCCGCGCTGCATGCTCCAAGAACTTGCTGCTTGCCCACACGCACGCACACACACACACACACACACACACACACACACACGGGTGGCATGGGGAGGGGGGGAGTACAGAGCAGATGTGGTGTGGCGGGGAGGTGAGAATGAACGAGTGTGCGAAGCGGAAGGTGCATGCAGGGTGATGTGGGCAAGTTTGATCAGTGGCGGGGAGCATGGCAGGGGGGAGTGGTGAGGAGTGGCGGGGAAGAAGCAAGGCTCCCCTGTGTGCAGAGGTGCATGGGGAGAAGCTGACCTGAAGTAGTTGAGACTGTGCTGCAGATGATCCTTGCCTTCTGTTGCGCGCACACACAGCCATGGGCACAAGGACGAATAGCATGGGAGCGATGGGGAATGGCATGAGCGCAATGGCCATGGGTAGGGGCACAAGGGGAAGGAGGATGGTTGCAGTGACACAGCATGAGCATCACTACATATGGCTGAAAACACAAGTGCATGGCGTGGCATGCAGGTAGGGGGAGTGAAAGTGGTGGGTTGGAAGACACTGGCAGAGTGAGGCATGAGGGGGACGAGGGATGGACGAGTGATGGAGGAGGGGGAGTATGCGGTGCAAGGGGCGGTGCAATGGGCGTTGCAAGGGGCGGTGCAAGGGGCGGTGCAAGGGGCGGACCTTGGGGCGGCAGCAGAGTGCAGATGCGGTAGTGCGTGCGCGCGATGTGGAAGTGTGCGTACACAAAGCGTACGTCGTCACACCCCTGGGGGCTGTAAGCCGGCATGCACGAGATGGGGCAGAACGATGATGGCAGGAGCCAGTGAGAGGGAAAAGCGCATGGTGGGTTGCAGATAGGGATACAGCAGGGGGACATAAAAAGAAGAGATGCGATATACACAAGCGGAACGAGAGGCAGATGCTTGTATATATGCAGCAAGGCAACACGAGTGAGCATGGTGGAGGGGGAGGGAGCGCAGCGGCACTGACGTGGAGGATTGCATGAGTGCGATGAAGCGCTCAAAGTACTGGATGGCCTGTCGTGTGGTGCCACGGGGTGGTGAGGTGATGGGGTGGTGGGGTGATGAGGTGGTGGGGGAGACATGACAGACACACGGTGAGAGGGAGGGGGAAGGAAGAGGCAGGAAAGGGGTAGGGAGAAGAAAAAGACAAGATGTTTGATCCATGCGGGCGGGTTGGCTGGGCCATGCAAGAATTTCCCTCAATCCGCCCATCTCATCCACCCATCTCAGACACTCAATCCACCCATCTCATCCACCCATCTCAGACACTCAATCCGCCCATCTCATCCACCACGCTCACACCAAGCGAAACCATGGAACTTCCCAAGCCTGTCCTGTCCCGTCCCCTCATGCCCGTCCTGCCGTACATCGTCCTGTGCCCCCCCTGTGCGCCCGTCACACCACAGCATACGCACCTGCTTTGCGGGGTCAATGATCTTGGGAGGGGGCCGTGCAGCATCCGCCTCCAGCTCCATGACGTTCAGTGCGATGGACGCCACCTCGTGCACACACTGCCACGCACGCACGGGGGGAGTCATGGCGTGAGGTCATACGGCAGGGTGGGAACAAGTGGGGCCCACATGACGGGGACCATTGAGAGGAGAGTGGTGAGTAGGGGAGCGACGGGAAGGAGGCAACGTGGGCATGAGTTGGGCAGTGGACAAGAGGGGGCGCGGTGTGAGTGAGGGGGCAGCAGTGCTTGCCTGAGCGGCCTGCGTGGGGTAGACGGAGGGGTTGATGGCGGTTGCAAGGGGCAGCAGGCGTGTGGCGCGGCGCTGGTGGATGAGCGCTGCCCTGTGCGCACTGGGCTCATAGTACGCTAGGTACTGGGGGGGGGGAGGGAGGGAGAAAAGTGGAGGGCAGAGTTGGGGAAAGGGGCAAAGAAGGATCAACCGGGGGGAGGGAGACGAGGGGAAGAGAAGTCCAATTGCAAACAAAATGAGGGATGTGGAATGCAGGCTTACAACAAGCAGTTACGCGAGAAGCGAAGAGGAAGAAGAGGAAAAAGAGATGGAAAAGGGTGGGCGAGGGTGTGCTGTAGTGCAGTGAGGTGCAGGGCGGTGGCAGGAGGGTACCCGGTGCAGCGTGCTGATGTCCATGGCGATGTCGAAATGGTCTGAGAAGCGGTCTGTACTCGTGTACACCTGATGCCGGGGGGAATGACACCCATACGGCCACGGTGACACGCAGGACAGCGCAGGAGATAAGAGAACAACAAACAAGGGCCGGATTTGCCGGGGTTATACATAAGCACAGCTTGCTAATCTCTTTGCTGTGATGCGGAAAGGTGAAAATAGCATCAGCTGCGACGAAAAAGAAACAGTGTGTGTGTTCCCCATGCAGCCGTCTCCCTGGTGTCACCTCAAGCGCGGCCTTGAAGGCGGTCATGGCCTTGTTGAAGTGGATCACCGCGTGTGAATACTCCCGCACCACATCCGCCTCGCCCTCGCCCTCCACCCCGCGCCCCTCCCCCTTCTGCCCCCCTGCGTCCCCCCCATCGGCGAGCATGCGAGCGCAGGTGTCAGCCTTGGGGTCGAGGCCCAGAAGGGAAAAGTCGGGTCCCAGGGCGATGTCCACGTCGCCCTCGCCCGCCCACCGCTCGCTGCCCTCGCCCTCCTGCTCCTCCGCGCCCTCCCCCATGTCCACATCGCCCCCCTGCTGCCCCTCCCGCGCCCCCCCGTCCACGTCCATGCCCCCCGCTGCAGCACCTGCTGCGCCCGAGGGGGCAGTGCCAGCAGGGGCATCGCTGCCAGTGGCTGCACTAGCACTGCTGGTGGCAGTGGCAGCGGCGGGGGTGGGCGTGGGAGTGGCAGTAGCGTGGGCAGCAGGGGAGGCGTCAGGCTGGGCTGCGTCCAGCTCCACTGACCGCTGCAGCACTCGCAGGTGCCTGGGCCGGGTGGGGGGAGGCGGCAGGCGAGGACAAGTGTGGGAAGAAAGCAGGCAAGGATGCAGTGGCGTGTACAAGGATGGGCAGGATGGAGGGCGCAAGGACGCGGAGGGGCGAGTACAGGCGAGGAGATGAGGGACACGTGGGTATGGTGTTGAGAACAAAGGCGAGGGAGCAGCAAGTCAAGAGAGCACATGAAAAAGCCGAGCGAGGGTGGAAGCAGCTCACACTTTCCCGATGCCGATGTTGATGTTTGCTGCCACCTCCCGCACCTGCTCCTCCTCGCCCCCGCCCGCCTCCCCCCCTCCGCCCCCCACGTCCCCCCCATTTCCCCCCGGCAGCACGGGCTGGCCCGCCGTGTGCCGAGCGAGCACGGTGGCAGCAGCAGCGAGGCAGTGCAGGGCCGTGCTGAACTGGTCCCTCCCCAGGTAGTACCCCGCTAGCTGCGCGCAGTTCTGTGCCCAGTCCCACGCGCGGAACTGCTGCCGCAGCCGCAGCTGGCGCGTGAGCGTGGCGGCACAGAAGGCCGCGGCGCGCTGCTTCTTGCCCATGGCTGCCAGCGCTGCTCGCCACACAGCGCAGCACAGGGCGGGCGGCACAGATGGATTCCGGGGGGGTGGGGAGGAGTGGGACATGGAAGGGGTGTTGGTTGAGCAGGCAGTGGTGAGAGTGGTGCTAATTTGGGAGCAGACCCGAATGGCAAGGGCACAGCGAGCACAAGAGACGGCGTTGTGAGAGGCAACACAAAGGTGGGTGCCGTGTGGTGCTATGCGGTGGGGCGTACTCTGAGCGAGGTAGAACGTGGTGATGGTGTGCAGGGACTCCACCTCCCTCGTCTCCTCGTCCCCCCCTCGCTCACTCCCGCCGCCCTCCTCCATTGCATCTGTTGCTGCTGCCTCCCCTGCTGCCTGCGACTGCAGGTTGAGGAAGTGATGATAGCTGGGCCATGGCACATCGGAGAGGCGCGACGGGGAGAGGAGGCGGGAAGGAAAGGAAAGCATGAGGAGATGGGGAGCAGCATGCACTGCACAGAGCATAATGGCGGACATGCAGGAGAGCAGGCGAGAGTGCATCTCGAGAGTGAGTGAGAGTGGAAGGAATATGGTGCTCGCATTGCATGCCCATCCCTCTGCATGTACTTCATCGAAATAACAATACCAGAACCATTTATGTGCGAGGGACGTACTATTTATGTGCTCTGACAAGGAACGCGAGGGATGCCTTGTGGTCTTCGTCATTGCTGGCGAGCAGCCCCAGCAGGTTGCACACGTCCTGTGGGCACGACCATGTGGCCATGGCGTGGAAAGAGAACGTGGAGAGAGGACAGAGTGGGGGCACGAGTGCAAGAGCAATGAGAAATGATTTAGAGGGCATATGGGGTGGGAGCGAGGTTTTTTCGGGCAGGGTGTGAGCTGCACAGGTGCATGCATGCGTGTGCGGGTTGTGTGCGTGCGTGCATGTGCGGGTTGTGTGCGTGCGTGCATGTGCGGGTTGTGTGCGTGCGTGCATGTGCGGGCGGGCATACAATGAGGGGGCGCAGGTGTTTGGGTTCGTTGAGGTGCAGCCGTGCATGGGCGCGCATGAGCAGGCCCTTGGCGCGTGTGACCTCGTCCACGTCAGCGGCGATGGCGCCACTCTTGTACTCCAGCACTGCCACCGCGTCCAACAACTCGCCTGCTGTCGCCTGCTCACATGCACACGCATGCACACGCATGCACGCATTCACACGTTCCGCACACACATCACATTGCAAGCATTCACATGGCGTTCATGCATGTACAAGCCTTGAGTCATGGCACTGTCTGCTATAAAGGACGAAATGCTGATACAAGAAGAAGGCAGGCCAGCAGTGGCGTGGGAACGCAAGCATTGACGCACGAAATCGCCTCCCCAGGGAGTGTGGCCTCCCCAGGGAGTGTGGCCTTCCCAGGGAGTGTGGCCTCCCCAGGGAGTGTGGCCTCCCCAGGGAGTGTGGCCTCCCCAGGGACTGTGGCCTCCCCAGGGAGTGTGGCCTCCCCAGATCCATCTGCGCAGAGGAAGGGACCCACCCGGCCAAGGTTACTGGGTTGCACGGCACACTCACCGCGTCCTCGCGTGCAGCGTCGGCAGCGTCGGCAGCAGCGGAGTGGTGCGAGGCAGCAGGTTGGAAGTGCCGTAGCAGCATGTCCGCCTTGCCTCGCAATGCATCCTGCACGTCGCAGCCAGGGGTAGTGCACAGACCGGGGGCAAGGCTAATGCAGAGACGACATGTGCGAGGTGGAGCAGACAATAAGTTTCAGAAAGAGGTGAAAGCACGGAGCGCAGAGGAGGAGCGGGGAATGCGAAAGAGCAGGAGAGAGGAGACGAAGGGCGCGGAGCAGGCGAGCATGGATGACCAGGGTGGGGTGAGGGCCGTGAGGCGGAGACGCACCAGAGCAGCAGCGGCCGCATACTTGGATCGGTAGGGCCTGCCGTGGACGAGACAAGTAGCAGGGCGGAGAGACAGGAGGGTGGGATAAGACCCACGCGCAGAGGTGTGTGTGAACGTGCATGGCGAAACGTGGAGGCGCTGGGTGAGCCCGCGAGGGCATGGCGACCAGCGGTGAGCACAACCCATGCATGCAAGGGTGGTGAGGGTGGAGGTTGGCAAAGAGACCTGTGCGCGCGGTGCAGGCATGGCTGCGCGAGCGCCGTTGCTGCGAGTACCACTCTCGCATCCCACACCGTGTCCCCCGGCGCTGCAGAGGCCGCTCTCTCAACTAGCCTCGCCCCCCCTCGCCCCCCTGCCCCCCTGCCCCCGCACTCACTCTGTCTCGGGGTCCTCCACCGCCACCAGCTGCGCTGCCGTCGCCAGCACCTGCGGGGGCGCGGAGGGGAAAGGGGGGAGGGAGGGGAGCGCATGGGACTGTGACCTCGAGCTTGCCGTTGGCGGTGCCGGTCCTTCGACCAGCAAGCAGGAGCAGAACGCATGCGTCGCGCGCGCTCATGCACGGCACTACCGATGCACTGATTGCGACCGCGACGCCTCGTCGCAATTGCAGTGGAGAACGCGCAGGCAGCAGCGGCGAGCGGCAAGCAGCGCCATCCCAGGAGAGCGGCGACGCGGCACGAGGCGCCCTCGTCGACCACCTCGGGCTTTCATCGCGTTCGCCACGTGCGTTTCGCGCAAAAAGCAGATCCGTAAGCTGCGACGAGCCACGCGCATCGAGAGGCGCACCTGCGGGAACTCGTCGCGGAGGAACGACGCCGCCGCGGCGCGCGTGGCGTGGTCGATCGCAAGCGGCATTGGCTGCGCGGGAGGCGGAGAAGCGGATGGGGCATGAGATTCCTGCAGCTCCATAGCCGTGGCTCACGACGCAACTGCTGCTCGCGATGTGGCGAGGCTGATGGCCGACAGAGAGAGGAAGCAGGCATGCGACGGGGAAGATTTCTGAAAATCGTGCAGTAGTTGCTGTGGTTCTGCGGAGTTTGGGTGGCTGCGAGACCGAGGACGGCCTTTGGGATCTGTGTCGGAATATCGAGGGCTTCGCGCCAATCCGCTCTGCCACGCAATTTCTAATATTGTCCCCGCTATGCGTAAGCTTGTATTTTCAGTTACGACTGTGGATGTGTGAATGTCTGTTGTGCGTTTAGTCAACCGGAAAAAAAAACTGCGTTCTACCACAACTTAGATATACTACATTAGTACAGACAGTACAGTATAACAACAATGGCGACGACTATTCGATCTCAGAGCTCTGCGCCTCACTGAAACATGTCCTTGGCTGCAGAATTTATCAGATACACTGCATTTACACACCTGAAAAATTGCAAGAGGCGAGGCGACAGCATTCCAGTCAATAACAGTCTCCCACAAATTTATGAAAGCCAAGCCACCCATCCCATTACGGTATGCTCGCGCACTTCATATTCCACTTAGGAGCATGCAGCAAGGGAGTGGTCTCCCGAGTCTGCCTCTGCTGCACTCCGCCATGCATCCACCCCCACATCACACAACTGCGCACCCCTATCCTCGCCCCCCCTCTCCCCCACACTTGCCACGGCCGCAGCAGCTGCAGCAGCCATGCCAGCAGCAGGATGGGTGACGGAGCGCAGGGGTCCAGACATGCGAGGCGCAAGGGGCCCCGAGGAGGAGCGCAGCTGGCGGGAGCGCAGGTCGGAGAGCAGGATGTCAATGTCCAGTCCCATGTCACCCTCCACCCCCGTGTCCTCCACCTCTGCCCCCATGCCCCTGCTCGCGCCTGTGCCACTCCCCAGGGACGTGCTGCCATTACCGTAGGTGTGCTGTGTGTCGGGTGTGGGCCCGGACGACAGCATGAGGCGCGAGGCAGGGCGGGCGGCAGCAGGGGAGCCTGAGACTGACCCCGAGGAGAGAGCAGCGGCGTGGGAGTGGGTGAGGGAGGAGAGGGCGTGTGAGAGCGTGGCGACGCCCATGCTGCGGCTCATCCCCAGCATGGACCGCCGCCGCCCCTCGCCTGCACCACTGCCTGCACTGCTGTCGCAGGGGCCGTGGGAGAGGGAGCAGGGCACACGTGGCAGGGTGGCAGAAGGGGAGCTGTGGGGGCTGCTGCGGCAGGGGCTGTGCGCAGAGGGGTGCACGCGAGGGGAGAGGCAGGCGGGGCTTATTGCTGCAGGGGTGCTGCCATGGGAGGACGCGGACAGGGGTGCTGCCCTGTTGGGACTGCTGTGGAATGAGGAGGGGGCGCCTGATGGTGACGCTGCTGCTGCTGCTGCTGCTGTGCTTGTGATCACCCCAGCAGCAGCAAGGGCAGCATGAGTGAGAGGCCCAGAATATCGTTCACACAGAGAGGAAGCGTCACCCGCTGCACTCCCTGTGCACTCCACCCACCCCATCTCCTCCTCCTGCCATCCCTCACTGCACTCTCCGCCATACTCCCCCCCCTCTCCTTCATCCACGCCCCCTTCGTCTGCCCCAGACACCGCACCCCAGTGGCCGTGCCACGCCATGCCGTCCACAGCAGCGCCTAAGTGTGCGCCCATGAGCAGGGCGTGCTCACCCGCGGCGTCAAGGCGAGCGCCCACGACCATCTCGTCCACGTCCAGCCCGTCATCGTCGTCATCAGCGGCGCCCAGGTGCACGAGGTGGCTGTGCTGCGTTGACAGGTACGCCAGTGACGCGTTCATGCGCCGCACACTGTCGCTGTCGTCCCGCCCTCGCCACTCGCGCCGCCGCCGCCGCCGCCACTGGTGCATGCTGGCCGGCGTGGTGGTGGCGGGTGGTGCGGGAGTGAGGTGAGAGGGGGTGGTTGTGGTGGTGGCGCTGCAGGCGCTGTGTGGAGTGAGGATAGTGAGGTGTGGCGGATGCACGTGGTGGTGCTGCTCGCCCGAGGGTACCGCTGCAATGGCCGCCTCTGTTGCGCCATGTTCGTGTGCCTCTGAGTGGGGCTGCCCGTTCTGCACCGCACTGCACGCACGCTCACATGGCGTAGCGACGTGCGGCTCTGGGTGAGGCGCATGGGAGCAGCTCCACGTGGCGGCAGCATGGTTGGGAAAAGGAGACACGGCAGGGGGAGCGGCGGGAGGGGTGTGGGGGGAGAAGGAGCAGGCACTGGAAGGTGCAGAGTCGGTGGAGGGCACGGAAATGGGCGCAGTGGCCGTGGTGGCGGTAGCGGGAGTGGTGGGCGTGAGAGAGGCAGTGGAGACGCAGAGGGGGCTGTTTGAATCGCAGTAAGCAGGTGCACATGCGGTGGTGCACAGCGGCTCGCACGCAGACTTGCGGGAAGGCCCTGTGGGCCTGGCAGCAGGGCGGGTAGCGTCAGCGGCCCCACTGGATGGGGCACTGCGAGAGGTGGGGACATGAGCACCCGTGACAGCACCCGCTGCTCTCCTCACCTGGCTGTCCACGCTACCGCGCCCACCACCCTCCCCCGCTTCCCTCTCATAGCCCCCCGCTCCCCCCCCGCTCATGCGTGCCCTCCGTGCCTCCACCTCCTGTAGCCAATCCACCGGCACCACCTCGTACGCCCTGCCACCCCTGCTGCCCCGCCCATCGCTCCTGGGCGGCATGGCAGGCGACGCGGTGCCGGCCGGCGAGGCGGGGGAGGTGGGCGTGGCGGAGAGGGTGCAGCTGGCGCGGAAGAGAGAGAGCAGGCGCGCGGATGAGGACGACGAGGAGGAGGACGAGAGCGAGTGGGGGAAGGCCGCAGTCGCAGCCTGATCCGGTCCCTCACTCACTCCCTCGCCTTCCATGCCCACCTCTTCCTCTTCTCGTCTCCCTGCATCCGCCCCCCCTGCATCCCTCTCCCCCGCCGCCAGTACCGCACCATGCCCTGCTCCGGAGCTGCCAGCGCCGCGCCTGCTCTTCCCCTCGCTGTGCCGCCGCCTGCTGCTCTGCCCACCCTGCCCACCCCTGGCTTGTGCGTGGCGTCGAGAGGAGACACGACGAGTAGAGCCGGGCACGGACGACGCCCTGGTGAAGAGCAGCGTGGGGGGGCGACGCGCAGAGGAGGACGACGAGGAGGAGAAGGAGGAGGACGTGGCGAGTGGCGATGGGGAGGCACGGGTGACGGACGAGGGACCAGGCACAGAGGAGGAGCGGAAGAGACCCATGGGCCAGGGGGGCGGGGTGGGCGCAGCGGACTGCACGTCTGCAAGTGCCAACCGCGCCTGCACCTCCCTGCGCAAGCCACCGCCCGCCTTGCCGCGTGCCCGCTCCTCCACCTGCTGCCTCGCCTCCTCCCCTTCTATTAACCCACGCTCCTCCCTGCTCCCCACCCCCTCTGCCACCTCTGCCACCTCGCCTTCCTCCCCCTCCCCACCCTCAGTAATGCTCTCCGACCAGTGAAAGTGCTCCCGCCTGCCGCCACTGCACGCGCCCTCCCCTGCACGCGCTGCAGCGTCACCCTTGTGCCCGCCTTGCTGCACTGCTGCTGCTGCGGCGGCGGCGGCAGCGACGGTGATGCTGCCGTGGGGAAGAGCAGCAGCGTGCGCGGGTAGTGCGGGCGCAGAGGCGGGCGCGCAGGGGGAGGGCGAGGATGCAGAGGGGCGCGGGGAGGATGGGTGCGGCCCCAGGGGCCCTGGCTGGTTTCTCAACCGCCCATGCCGCCACCGCCGGCTGTACCGCCTTGCTCCCTTCCCGCCCTCACTCCCAACCCCCCCCTCCACTCTCCGATCCCTCTCACCCTCACCCTCTCGCTCACTCTCACACCCCCTCTCCCACTCCCCTGCGCCCTCCCCTCGGTCTACCCCCACTGCCCGTAGCACCCCTGACCGAGGCCTCCTCTCAGCTGCCATGTGCTCGTCGTCGCCCCTCTCAACAGCAGCCAACGGGCCGCTGCCACGTGTCCTGCGGCCAAAGCTCCACGTGGGCATGAAGGAGCCACTGCCGCGTCGTTCCAGGAGCAACGAGGCGTGTGCGTGCTGCTGTGGTGTGCTACCTCGCTCCTTGTGCCTGCTGCTACCAACCCCACCACCACCACCACCAGCACCAGCACCGCCGTTACCCCCATCAGCATGAGCATGTGCATGCGCGCGCGCGCCAGTGCGCCAATGATGCAGCTCACAATGCGCGTCGTCCGCGCCCTCCCCCACAGACAAGCTGCGCCCCACTGCTACCCCTGATGATGACGTCACGCTACCACCTCGCGCTGCCCCCATTCCCCCCTGTTGCGCCTCCAAAACCCCGCTCAACGCCCCCCTGCCGTGCTGCCACGCCCCCGACCACGCCCCACTCCACGCCTTCCCCAACGATTGCTGCTTCCGCGCCCGCACTTGCCCCTCCCCCTCCCCCTCTTCTTCCCCCTCCCACCCCACTGTGCCCCGCGCTTCCAAAACCCCGCTCTTCGCCTTTCTCCCCTTCCCCCCGACCTGTTCCTTTTCCTCCGCGTACGACCGCCGCCCCACAACGCGCCGCGCGCCGTCCAGAAACGACCCCGCGGCCCGCGACGAGCGCGCGGAGAGCCCGCCTTGGGGCAGCGAGCGCGACTCCGGGAGGGCGTTCGGGGTAGCGGAGGCGGAAAGGGGGTGAGAGTGCGTGGAGAGACGGCGGGTGCCCCGCGCTTCGATGAGCAGGCACGCGGGCGGGAGAGCGGAGAGGAGCGTGGGGGGAGACGGGTGGTGGGCGGAGTGAGGCGCGAGAGAGAGCGCGGAGAGGCGGGACCAGAGCACCGACCTGACAGGGGAAAGGGGAGGGCGCACGACGAGCGCGGAGAGGGGAAGGGCAGCAAGGGGAAGGCGTTGGAGAGAAAGAACAGGGGAGGAAGTTGAGTTAGAAGAAGCGGATAGGCAAGGGGAGTCACAGATCCACGCACGAGACGCGACGGAGGACGACACGGTAACGCGAAACGAGGTGAGTCGACGGCGCGGCGCGGCGTGGGTTGAAGGTGGTGGAAAAGGAGAGTGACAAGAGGGGCGCGAAGGGGAAAGGGGAGGTACCTTTTGACCTGGCCGATGTAGAGCCGCGTGGCCTGGAAGCGATGCGCCACGTCAGCGAGGCCGCGCTCCCTGGAGAAACTGGCCTCCACGTGCATCACCGCCCTCAGCTGCCCGCGTCGCCCACCGAACGCCGCGCCGCACCCACGACGAGAACGGCGGCGCAAAACACAAGGGTGGAGCGAGGGGAAGCGGGGACGGAATAAGAGGCCGGACGGAAGGAGTTGGGAGATGGCGCAGGGAAAGAGAGAAGGGGTGAGAGCGGAGATGCAACAACGCGACATGGGCGTGAGTGAGGAACTCAAGTGGGTGAGTGCAGTGCACGCGACGTGGAGCCCGGCAACGCGAGAATCTACGACCGCCGTGAAGCGCACGCGCGTACCTGCTGCTGCTGCACGGCCACTTGCAGCGGCTTGAGCAGTGCCCACTTGAGCGCCTCCTCCGTGTCCGCCCCCACCGCCGCCAGCTCTTGCCCCTGCCCTGCTGCCTCCCTCGGTGACTCCGCGCCGTGGGACGAGGGACCTGGAAGAGCGGCGGGGAGCGGAAGAAAGGGTCGACACGAGGAGAACATGGCTTGCCGAGGATTACGGGACCTACCGGCTGCGCACTCACTATCCCTCTATCTCGCTAAGAGTCTTCACTCTCGCTCGCTCAATCCAGCTCTCTCGCTCTCCCCAACTCGAATTTATACCCCAACCGCCGCAGCCGCTTCTCATTCGTCCGCCCTGTTTCCACCACCCAACGCCGCGCTCACCTCGCGTGTCGCAGGCCGCGACGACGTGCACGAGAATGAGGAGAACGCGACCCGACCGCTCGTTCTTCGCCTCCTCTACTGCCACCGCGAGCCCCGCCGCCTCGCCCGCGCCATCCTTAATACCTCCTCTCGCCCCCCCGCGCCCGCTCTTGCCACTCGAAGCGGACGCTCCCCCGGCCCTCACGACTTCCACCAACCAATGCGACAGCTGATCGTCGCCTCGCATTTCTAAGCGATGGTTACCTTCGTGACTCTTCAACACTGAAAGCGCTTTGATTGACGATTAGCGGTTGTACAGGACGGTTGGATAAGAAGGTTGAGGGGAAGGCAAGATTGCAATCCTATTGCGAATCTCTCAATATCCAGTAACGACCAATACCGTAAGTCAAAAATAGTTGCATACGTGTTACTGTCATGCGCGTACATAACAACTGTACGTAGACACTGGACGGCAGCAACTACTAACACCTGTTGGAGCTAACTCATTCTGGACTGGTTTCAACCAACTTCCCTTGCACCAAGAAAGCACCACCATCAGACTGAACGGAAGCAAAATCGGTGATGGGTTTGCTCCGCGCGGACAAGGGAGCCAGCTGAAACGGTGGACATCTGACTTTCGGCTGGGCAGGGTAGCTGTTGAAATGGAAAACACTCGCACCCTGGTGGGATGCTTTGGCTGCTTGCCTCAACTGGTGCCGTGAAGTGTGTGCAGGTCACAAGTCAGGAAGCATGTGAGCGAACTCTGGCAGACATGTTGCGCGAAGCAAACCCGCACCCTGGGCATGGGCTCACCACGAGGCTCCTCCACGTGCAGTTTGTTGAGGCAAAAATTGTGGGGTTCTGTACAGTACAGTACATTTCTTCTGTACGAGTGTACACATAATGCTCAAAATGCACAGTTTTGGGCAGACCAGAATTCACCTAGACCCACTCAAGCGGAAAATCCAAGGGGCTGGGATGAACCCGCGGGGTCAGCCCATTGAGCAGGCGGCGTGCCTCCCACCTGTCACCCTCCAGCCACATGCTTCGCCCCTTCCGAAACGCCCATCGCGTAAGGCCACAACATTTGTGTAGCCACGATGAATGCACGTCATCTAGGGGCTTCATTGCGCTGGCAGATACCAGGAGGTATGTAACTCACTCCACTCCCTCACGAGGATTCTGTAGCTGTCGAAACCGAACTTAGTACACGTGATGCTCAACAAGAGTCCTTTCCTGCTAGATATGTATATATGTGATCCACTTAGAACCAATTTCCAAGGGAAGGGCTCTCACGTTACAACCTCCTTGTTACAATAATACAAGGGCAAAATTATTTCAGACTGTCATAATAGATCTTGTGAATTTTACGACTCATGAGCTCTCCTCTCTAATTCGACCCAAGGCCAAGATGTACGGATACAAATGTGCAGCAGAGTTTTCTCCAATTAAACATCATGCATCTCATCTCGCCAAACATTGCTCTCGCACGAGTGTCTCGGCATCTGCCGGGCAGCGCATTGCGTGCTCACAACACTGTATGTCAAATAATGTCCCCATCCCCTACGTCTATTATCACCTACATTACAATGGTAAAAACAAGATTGTGAAGGCGAACGCACAAATGATCGACGTACTGAAGGCCGACGACAGCAACACGCACATCAAACTCGACGACGTACCCGTCGTGGGGAACATGAAGCCCGAGAGGGAGAGAGAAGGGGAGAGGGAGAGGAAGAGGGAGAGGGAGACATAAGTGCATCGTCTGCTTGGGGGAAACCACAAATTGAGTCAGAGGGGTGTGTGTGTGTGCGCGACTCTAACCCCAGTTTCACTGCCTTTCCCATTGCCCTTGTGTGGCCACGTGTGTGCACGTCCCTCATGTGTGCACGTCAAGCAGGGCGTGGTGTGGAGTGGACGCCCTCCAAGCTCATCGACCGCCTTGGGGGAAGGGATTTGTTGACTTCACTCAAAGGCCTGCTGTATACAAGCATATCCGCACCACGCATTCGCTGTCCGCCCTCCTCTTGTCCCTTATGTGCTCACAACACTCCCGTTACCAGGAAAGGCCAGTTCTACACGTCGTCGTGATCAAAACTGCTGCTGCTAGCACTGGTTGCAGCACTACTGCTGCTCTCAAGCACTACGTTCTCCTGCGTTGCTCTGTCTCTGGCATTCCAGCACCCATCACATGATTTTTCTGCAGGCCCAATGTCCTTCTTGTTCGTGTGCTGATGCCCTGCTACACACCTGGAAACGGTTGCTTGTCTGCACACCTGATCGTGTGTCCTGTGTTCTTGCTGCATACCACTGGCTCCTGCCCCTGTACACACCACAGCGGCTCATTTCCGCTGCCAGAACTCCTCAAGCTGCGCCGAAATTTGGGAAAAGAAGGAAATGGGGACGGGAGAGCGAGACGGGGTGAGTGGAGGATGCGGGACGACGGGAGGGCATGAAAGGGAAGGAGGAATGCCGGAAAACTATGACAGACAAGCCACGTTAATATGTAAGAAGATAAAAAAACTTCGGGAACAAGCCTGAAAACAGAAACATCATAATTTACCTGGATGATGTGTTGCTGAACGTACGCTACATTAAAGCCATGCGAACGCGGCCACATACCTTACGCCTTCCCGCCTGCGCAAACGTGTTCTTCTTTCTCCAAGACAGTTTAGGCAATGGCTTGCCAGACGGGACCATGTCGCATGTAGGAAATGAAGGCTAAATTCACGAAAAGAAAAATATGGTAACTTGCCTCGCCACTATGAGATTTGTTTCAGGACAAAAAGAAGCAGAGAATTGCATAAGACACTACAAATTAGAGACTGGCCCGGCAAAGTAGTAATGGTGGGTTCGGTCGAAACAGCAAAACACAGGGGAAACGGCAAAAAGTGACGGACGCAGGGGATGACTTGCACGGGCAGCAATAAAGGCATACGCTCATGCCCACCTCTTTAACCCTGAACGAATTCCGAAGGCATGTTCTTTCTACTCTTAGTCAGCTTCACACATCATTGCTCAAAGTCGGAGGTCTTCTAAGCACATTAAGAAGCGTACTGCGTTGATAACTCAGGTCACAAAAAGGGACGAAATAAAGCATAGCAATAAGATTCTCAACCTTCGCGTCGGCATAGTTCACGAGCGGTATGATTAGGAAGATTGGAGGGTCCGTTATTCGTCAACGGATTCAGCTCGCCGTGTGGTCGCGAAGTAATCGCTTGATTAGCGTAGTATACGTAGAGATGATCCTAAAGCTGACAGTAACTCTTGCGACTAATGGACGCTGCGACAAACGTACGATGCGCAAGGAATTTGTCACAGGTCGCTGCTGCAGTATAGCTTCCGTATTGTGGTTCTATGGCTGCCTGAGCTCTTCCGAGGTTGGTTTTCTGCACAGCATGAGCAAAGGTTTGTTTTCATTTTATTTCCTCGCTTATTCGTCTATTATGCAAAGTCAGCCTACAACAGAGTTACTTATATTTGAATACGGGGATACAAGTGCTTACTAAGGTCCCTAGGATCCCTAAGTGTCAACCACGGCATCTGCAGTGCAGATCCACAACTTCTCGCCTTTCTTGGTTCTTGGTTCTTGGTCATTTGTTCGGGGCCTGTTTGGGAGGGTGGGAACTTATTTACAGGGCAGAAAGGAGGGGGAACGGTTAAATTTTTAATCAGGGCAACAAAATGTAACAACTCGAGCACAACAACCTCATTCGTGCAGTGCCCAAGTTCCCGCCAGGTTGATCAGCGCGAGGAAGGGAGGGAAGATAAAAAACAATCTTAACCGAACTTAACCATGCTAAACCTAACCTGACCGTCCGAACCTAACGACCTAGCTAATTCGAGCCTAGGTCCAGACTAGGTCGTAAACCAGATCCGAGCCTATCTAGGGCTAATTCGTCTCGAAGCTAAGCCTGATTCGAGCCTAACGATCTGACTAACGCTCCTAACGTTAGCTTCACGTCCTGACTAGCGCTCCTAACGTAGGCCTAACCACCCAGGGACCAGGGCCCAGAGCCACTTACACGGCTGGTTCAGGGTCCTTGCTCCACGGCTGGTTCAGGGTCCTCCCGCGGCTTTTCTCCCCACGCTCCGCGCTCCCCCTTCGGCGCTCCGAGCTCCGCCCTCCTCGCCCGCTCATGCTCCTGCCCACAAACAAAAACCCAGCACCGTAAGTGTTTCGAAAAGGAAGAAAAAATATGAAATTGACGAAACTACCAGGAAAAGGGAGACCACACAGTTTCCCCCCCCCGCTCACCGTCAGCTTTCCGTCCTGCTCTTCCTGCACTAAGAGAGAACATAAAAGAGAAACTTAGTGAAACGAAAACAGAACCAGAACTGGAATTGACAATACTTACCGATAGAGGAAGAGCTCGCCACGCGGTACGTCCCTCACCCGCTCCATGTGTTACCCGTGCTCCACGCCCGCTGGATTTATAAGGCACGGAAGGGCAACGAGAAATTCGTCAGGGAACAGAAAACAGATATTGCTAAAACACAAACACAGAAGACTGATGACGGGAAACACCGACGGAACTCACAAGGAGAGGGAGACCACTCGGTTATCCCATTGCTGGTCGCCAGCCCCTCGCCTCGCTCCCCCTGCACTTAGACAGAACACAGAAGAGAAACTTAGTAAAACGTAAACAGAAGACTAAGTGAAATTGACATTACTCACAAAGAAGGGGAGAGCTCGCCGCGTAGTACCTCCCCCGCCCGCTCCAGGTGTTGCGCGCACTCCTCCTCCTCCGCCTCCTACTCCTGCTTCACAAGAGGCATGAAACTCGAAGTTAGAAATCTCGAAATCGTAGTGAACGAAAGTGGACCGTGCTTACTAGGAGAGCCAGAGCGTTTTCTTGGCTCGAAGTTAGAAATCACAAAAAAGGAAAACGAACAGAATGGGACCGTGCTTACCAGGAAAGGGAGAGCGTTCATTTCTTTCTTCTTGACCTCCCTTAGGGTACGTTCCTGGCCCGTGTCAAGCTGAAACGAAAAAGAAAACGGATGTCAATTTCAGCTAGATTTTCTTTCCAAGACACACAAACAGAAAGTTCATCGCGGAAATGCTAAGGGCCCAAAGTCACAGAAATGTGAAATTTCCGTGACTTTCCTGTGACTTTTTTGCGTGACGGAAAAGTCAAGTTGGAAGTACCAAAAACTGAAGTCACGGAAATGTCACGTTGGAGTCCCGAAATTTCGTACAGAAATTTTCAGAAATGTGACTGGTGAAGTGATGTTCTCGTCACTTCACGTCACTTTTTTGTTCCCATGCCACGTGGACAAACCGCGTTTCATCTTTCCAGATATTTGTCAGGTGTCCATGTCGGTGATTGGTTAAATTGGGCCAATCGACTGTCAGTTCTGTGTGTGCCAAAACGTAATTTGATTGGCTGACGAATCTCAATAGCGACCGAATATCGCACACGAAGCACAGCATTGCGCACGTCCTATTTCTGAACAGCACAACGAAGACGTCCATTTGCGTTTTTCAAAATGCACACTATTTAGTACATACATACATCGGCATCACTATTTAGTACATACATACGTCTACAACACCACACGTCCACACAGACACATATCTAACCGCGCTCTGTAATAAGGCCTAGTCAGAAACTAGTCCGTCCATATGGGTCGGACGGAACTTGACAGCAGCAAAAAACCCCTAACGTTATAAAGCCTGCAATCAAGACAACAGCAAAAGATTGTGACACGTGACAAAAAAAAAACCGTTAACAACTCCAAGAATAAAACGGGCGACGATGTGACAGCTCCATACGCAAAGAGACTCACACCCAGGGAGATACACAAGCCAGGTTGGATGCAGTACGTGACAACAACATCACGGACGGAATCATAGACTGGGCGACGTTGCCCACGGTTTGGCACAGGGTGAAATAACCGAGGTGTGCCGAAAATGCACACATACGACCCTGCGTCCGCGCTAGCACATCCACCTGCACCACATAGAAAAACAAATACAAAAAAAAAAAAACGACGAAGAAAAAAAAAGAAACAAGAGCAGCTCGAAGAAAAAAATGTCCACCTCGCGCAGCTCCAGCGCTCCCTCGCACGCCAAGGGCCGCGGTGAATGGAGCCTCGTGCGAGCCGGTGTGCACGACGTGCCCCTGCTGCACCACGGCGATGCAGTGCGCGCGGAGCACGGAGAGGCGGTGGGCGACGACGAGCGTGCGCGCGCCCATGAGCGCAGCCTGCACCGCCTGCTCGCTCTCCGCGTCCAAAGCCGACGTCGCCTCGTCCAGCAGCAACACCCGCGCAGTCCGCGCGATCGCCACGCGCTGCTTCTGCCCCCAGACAGCTGCGTATCTCGCTACCCCTCCCTGCGTCTCGTAGCGCTGCGGGGTGAGGGGGAGGGTAAGGAGAGAAGAGAGTTTAGGATGCGAGTGAGAGCCCGGGGCATGGGAGGCGGACACGGAGGGTTAGGGGGAACGGAAAGCAGTCTGAGGAGCAGGGGTAAGAGGGAGAGGCGAAGGACGGAAGAGAGACGGCCGAAGGAAAGACGCGAGCGCACCTACGCCGTGCAGCAAGGAGATGAAGTGGTGGATGTTGGCGAGTCTGATGCGCATGAAGATGGGCACGTCCAGGCGCTAGGGGTACGCAAAGGTCACCTCGCGTGGCTCCGTCGCTCCCTCACACGCCAGGCTAACCCTGAAAATATGTGGGGAATGGAGGTGGGAGGGGAGGGCAGAAGCAGAGGGAGATAGGAGCGAGTGGGTTTATATATGGAACAATCATGAGAGACCCGAAATGTAGGGACAGTTAGCGCAAACTATCTTCAGAATGCTAGCTCCTTCTAGTGGATGTATTATATTGGCGATGCGAAACTATTACGAAACGGAGCGCATGGAAAGAGGTATTTAGATCGCTGGAGGGTAACTAGATCTTCAGGACGTAGAGCATTGCAAGGAGCAAGAGGAGTAAGACATGGACGTGGGAGACCAAGGCTAACTGCTGAGAACGTGGGAGTCAGAGCATTTGTACGGCAGGTTGGGGGTTGGGTGGGGAAGGGGAGTGAATGAAGGGTTGAGGGTGGTTTGAGGTTCGGTATGCTGATGTGTGGATAAGGGAGGTTGTGAGTGTTGATTCTGGTTTTGTGCGCTGCAACGATTGGTTGAGAAGATTCGCTAGACAAGGTTTGGAGATATGGGTGGTTACCTCAGGTGTGATGTGGCACGTTCTGAATTTAGGTTCGGGTGATCGTACTGGGCTTGGTGTAGCTGTGATTGGTTGACTTTCTTCACTTTCCAAGCTTACGTGTACATTTGACGCTGTACACGAACGGAAAAAAACGTTTGATGTTTTCACGATATCATCGACATCTGTTGCCTCGTTTTCCTTCTCCTCGCTAACTGTCGTGTGGGTTCGCCAGTTTCGTGATAACAATTCACAGACATGGTTTGGTGAACTCGGTCAGCCACAAAATGATGTATCGCATACAAGCGCTCTGAACCACTATACATTTCGGATCCAACGAGCCTATTCGAACTTTTTTGCGGCTAACAGGTTCGCGTCACTGGAATGTTTCTGTTGCGTGACTTTTCTGTCACAGATGTGTCCTACGGAAATGTGACATTAGCGTCACATTTTCTCTGTCATGTTCTGTATGAGTTCGGGGACTTTCCGTGAGTTTTTTCATAGAAAAAACTACGAAAGCCAAAATTCTGCGTTCGACATTTCCGCGATGTTAGTGAATCGTAAACGAAATACTAGCTGAAATTGACGAGACTCACCAAGAGAGCGAGAGCTTTCCGCGTGTGACTCCCTTGTGCGCCGTCAGCTCCCCATCCCGCTCCTTCTGCACCAAGAAAGAGAGCACAAAAGAGAGAATCAGTAAAACGAAAATCAAATCTAGCTGAAATTGACGAGACTCACCAAGAGAGCGAGAGCTTTCCGCGTGTGACTCCCTTGTGCGCCGTCAGCTCCCCATCCCGCTCCTTCTGCACCAAGAAAGAGAGCACAAAAGAGAGAATCAGTAAAACGAAAATCAAATCTAGCTGAAATTGACGAGACTCACCAAGAGAGCGAGAGCTTTCCGCGTGTGACTCCCTTGTGCGCCGTCAGCTCCCCATCTCGCTCCTTCTGCACCAAGACAGAGAGCACGAAAGAGAGAATTAGTAGAACGAAAAGAAAATCTAGCTGAAATTGACGAGACTCACCAAGAGAGCGAGAGCTTTCCGCGTGTGACTCCTCTGCGCGCCGTCAGCTCCCCATCCCGCTCCTTCTGCACCACGTCACAAAAATTTTAGGCGGAAATCTTTCCTCATGAAATCCTAAAGCACTGCTTGAAGTATGTCCCAGGCAACAATGTTTGAGGTCTATCTTCAGAAATCCTACACCGCGCAGGGATTGTTTGATGTTTCGTTGTGAGGTTTGTTAGTGCAAACCTCGTCAGGCTCGGCAAGGATTGCGCAAACATAAGGCCAACACTGCTCATACTCACTACAAGAATCTGGGAAATTCTGTCAGAATCGGAAGTGTTGGTTCATTGATGGTGGTTGGGGTACAAGTAGCAAACCCTAACATACGTACCCCCTAAGACAAACCTCACTACAGGCTACCAACATTTGACACACCCCCATAGCCTAAGTGAGGGGTGTCTAGCAAAACCAAAAGAGTACGGTCATAAGACCAGTCACAAAGAAACAAAGCTCAGGGTGGATCACAACGTCACCACACACTCTGAGCACAAGCAACAATGGCCACAAGGCCAGTCCAAGAAATAACAGAGTTATATAGAAAGGGTACAAGCAAAACAAACAGTGAACTCAAGACTAAGTAAGCCGAAAACCAGTGTCAACAAGGCCTAACTGCACACAACACCTGTGGTGGTCACAAGGCGGAAGCGCCTTGGTGAAGATGTCTGCAGTGTTGGCCTCAGACTCCACAAACTCGAAGCGAGCCTGCCCACGTCTCTGCAACTCTCGCAGAAGGAAGTACCTGACGTTAATGTGCTTCACTCTGCTCTCCAGTCGTGGCTCTCGACAAAGGAGAATCGATGCCTTGTTGTCAGTGAACAAGGTCGGTGCAGAGCTCGGCCGCTCACCCAGGTCGGCGAGCAAGAACGTCAACCAACGCAGCTCCTGTGCTGCCATGGCACCAGCGTAGATCTCAGCCTCAGCTGTAGAGGTCGAGACCGAAGAGGAGCGCGTGGACCGCCAGGAAACAGCTCCAGAACCCAGACTGAAACAGTACCCCTGAGTAGACCTGTGAGTCTCAGCGTCGTCAGCGTAAGAAGAGTCACAGTGACCAGTAAGTACAACAGCCTGCTGCCCTCCAAGAACTAGCCCCACGCCTGATGTCGTCGCTAGGTACTTCGCCACCCTCACAGCTGCTGTCCAGTGAACAGGACGGTGTCTCCCTGGCGCAACAAAGCGCGCAAGGATGCTGAGAGGGAAAGCGAGGTCCGGGCGAGTACAAGTTATCAGTGTCAGAAGTAGTAGGAGAAAGTTTAGAAGCAGAAAGAGAGTTTGGACTAGCAGCAGTTGAGATACAAATAGCAAACCCTAGATTGGGCTGTACTCGCTATAGAGTACCCCACTGCAGGCTAGACAAATACAACATTCTGACAATCAGGTACATGAGGCAACCCACAAGCTCTGCGTAGGGACCACTAGGCTCAAACGGCTCGTCAGGAAAGGGGCCAGTGAGTCTGTGGTCAACAGCAAGAGGTGTGCGCTGTACTGTGGAGTGCTGAAGCTCGAACCGCTGAAGGACCTGCTGCACCATGTGTGACTATGAGAGTGTAATGGTGCGAGCAGCTCTGTCCCTGGTGATCTGCAGCCCAAGGTAATGGCGCAGCTCACCAAGGTCAGTGCACGTGTGTCTCTTCTGCAGTTCGGACTTCACGTCTGCCAAAGCAACCCTGTCAGCAGTGGCAAAAACTAGGTCGTCGACGTAGACCAGAATGAAGAACGGTGTGGAGCCACGGCGAACAAACAGCGACGGGTCGGCAGAAGACGGCTGGAACCCAAGGTCAGAGAGGGTAGAGCGGAGAGTGTCGTGCCACTCACGAGGGGCCTGGCGAAGACCGTAGACAGGTCGCCTCAGCCTCCACTGGGTCCCAGGAGGGAAAGTGCCAGTGAAGGCAGAGGGACGACGCAGCCAGACCTCCTCGTGTAGGCTGCCCTGAAGAAAAGCAGTGGAGAAGTCGAGAGAGTGTAACTCGTAGTCTCTCTGTGCTGCTACATGCAGTAACACCCGAAGAGTGGTCATCTTCGGGGTCGGCGCGAAGGTCTGAAAGAAGTCAACTCCCTCGCGCTGACTGAAACCTCTAGCAACGTAGCGCGCCTTGAAGACTGGAGGAGATCCTGGTGGCCGCTTCACCCTGTAGATCCACATGCCATCGACTACGTTCGTCCCAGGGGGAGGAACCTCATCGACGTAGGTGCCTGTGGATCTGTAGGAGGCCATCTCTGCGTCCATGGTAGCTCTCCACTGAGAGGCCCAAGGCCCTGACACTGCCTCAGCGTAAGTGCGAGGAGTCGGAATGTCAAGGGCGTCGGGGTCACCCTCAGGGGTGAGGAGCATGGCACAGAGATGAGGGGAAGCGGCCGCCAGGAACTCTAGCTCAAACTGCCTGTCCTCTAGGACGTCACAGCCAAGGGCAGACACACCCCCGACGGCCAGAGGACTGGTAGGAGGAGCAGCCACAAGAGTGGTGGCGTAGTCAAGGCGGCGAGTAGAGGCAAACTCAGTGACCGTGGCAGTAAGAGCGGAGACGGAGGACAAAGAGGCACGAGGGTGGGTAACAAGAGAGGCGAGAACACGAGAGAGAACAGGACGGTACGTGCGGTAGTAGTCAGTGATAGGGGTAGAGAGAGAAGCTGTGAGGGCCGAGTCAGGGGGAGAAGGAAGCACAGGAGGAGCCGAACGAGACGGACTAGAACGTAACAAGACAGTACGAAGGTCTGTGAAAGGAACAGGGGACGAGGGACGAGCACGAGGAGAGCGACGAGTAGCCCAAGTACGAGACGGAGGAGGAGAGGACAAAGGCAGAGAACTGGGGAAAACAGCGGGGGAGGAGTCAGGAGGAGGAAACGTGGGACTATAGACAGGAGGAGAGGCGGAGGAGGGAGGAGAAGGAGAGGGGAGACCAAGGGTCCGAAGACCCGAGACAGGAGGAGGAAGTGGCTGCTGCTGCTGCTGCTGTGGCTGCTGCTGCTGCGGCTGCGGCTGCTGCTGGGACTGCTGCTCCTGCGGGTCCAGCTGCTGCTGCTGCTGCTGCTCCTGCGGCTCCAGCTGCTGCTGCTGCTCCTCCAGCCGCTGTAACTCCCTCTCCTCTCTCTCCAACGCCAGCTGCTCCTCACGGGCACGGCGAACACGAGCCTGGTGCCTAGTCGGGTAGGGGTGGGGGGGCGGAGTAGTGTCCGGAGCAGCGGCAGCTCCAGAGTCCACCCCCGAAGGACCAGGCGCACCACCCCCAGAGGCAGCACTAACACCAGCTCCAGACCCAAGCTCACCAGAACCCGAAAGAGGCGCACCCTCACCCCCAGACGGAGCACCCCCAGTGTCCGCGCGACCAGCACCAGCTCCCGGAAGACAAGAGTCCTCTGCACCCACCGGCTCA